AGGGCCCGTTGGCCTGTGCTGCCAGGGTCCGGCCGGAACAGTGTGGACGGGACTGTGGGTGGCGCTGGCTGCGCTGCTCGTGCCTGTGCCTGAGCCGGTGCCTGTGCCTGGCCATGGCTGCCGCCTGCGAGGCACTCACTCGCGGAAAAAAAGCAACTGGCAGCGTGGCGCCAGAGGCCGGCAGGTACCCGCCGTGTGCTCGCCCAGCGCCTGTGCAGCAGCGTGCGGCGCAAACCGGTACCTGGGCGGTACGTGCGCGTGGCCTCCAGTGTTTGCTACTAGTGGGAATAGCCCGCAGCGTGTCTGTACAGCCTGCAGAGCCTGCAGCGCAAGTGGCTGCCATCCCCCCCTCGCTGGCAGCGGCTGCAGCCAGTGGCAGCGCTCTGTTCTGCCCCCAGGCGCCAGGGGACCCCCCCTCCCCCAAACCCACCGCCGGCTCGCCTTTTTCTTCTCCCAAGTCTCCTGTCCCCGTTCCCTCCTCCGTCTTCCCCATCACCATCCTCGCGGCCATTGTCTCCTCCTTTTTTTTTCCTTTTCCCTTTCTCTCGTGCGTCTTTCTTTTCACGTCACTCTCTTAATCTTCGGCCATTTCGGTTACCGTCACTCTTTCCGGGACCATTCCATTCTTTCGGCTTTCATATCCAAGGCCTGTCAATCTTTCTCTGCTGGGTAGACTCCGCTATTTGTATTGAGCATCAGCTGTGTTCCTTGCAAGGATCCCAGACCACATTCTTTTTTTTCTAGAACTCGCCTCTGCTTTCTTTTTGGCTATTACTCCCTGTCTTTGCCTACTACTCACAGTATCAACATTATATTCGAACCCTTTCGAGCGCCCGTTGCCGCCACTTTTCTCACCTGATTCTTTTGAATCTTCATACAAACCCTTACATCTCTGGGAGGTTCTGACGGCTGTGCTATTGCGACCCGTCTGATTGGGAGCGATATCCTAACGCTCAAGAACCTTCTGCACTCTAACAACACAAATACCTCCTCGACTCTCGACCACGAACGGTAGTACGACCTTGACGCGTCTCCATCGCCATGGCTACCGAGATAGAGCAGCCGCTGGCTTTGACGGCCACAGTGGTTACGCCAACTGCTCCCATCAGCCCGACTGGATCCATGATTCACCACTCGGCATCTTCAGACGGTACCCCTGGATCTGCTTCTAGAGCTCTTCCTTCTCCCACCAGCGCCAATGGCCAGGCCAATGCCGCCCGCCGCCCGCCGCGCAAAAGCACCCTCACCCAGCAGCAGAAGAACCAGAAGAGACAGAGGGCCACCCAAGACCAATTGACGACTCTGGAGATGGAGTTCAACAAAAACCCAACTCCCACGGCTAGCGTCCGCGACAGAATAGCCGAGGAAATTAATATGACTGAGCGATCTGTCCAGATCTGGTTCCAGAACAGGTAATAATCACTGCGTACTGATTGAGTACTGCTCAACGACAATGGGGGCTAACGTTTCTTATAGACGAGCCAAGATTAAGATGCTGGCTAAGAAGAGTCTCGAAACTGGCGAGGACATTGACTCTATCCCTGAGTCCATGCGGCAATATCTCGCGATGCAAGCAATGGAGTCAGGTAAGGGTTTCGCTGGAAGCTACATGGGCCGCACCGGCCTGATTCCTTTTGGTGGTAACAACATGCTCTTTGGCGGCGACCAGAGCGCGCAAGGCAAAGTTTGTAAGTCAATCGCGTTTCTTCTTCATTTCTCCACTCGTGCCAATTCCTGTCTTGTCGCGCGCAATCAGCGGTATTAATTGACTTCTAGTGATCCATCACCTTACCTGTCGCTCTCTGAGCATCGGCAAGTGGACGCGAGTCGGACAAAACACCATGGATCTCATCATTTTCTACTCGCCAGACAAGTGCACCATGACCTATTACATCAACAACGAGCAAGCTGGATACAAAATCGAGTATCCCTTCTCCCATATCAAGAACATTTGGCTCGAGAACGCGGACAATGACATGAACAAGCTGGCTGGCATCTTCATTGAGCTCAACCAGCCCCCTTACTTCATGATGGACGCAACTTCATCGACAACGGGCTTTGATTATGTCAGTGATTTTACCGAGGACCAACAGGCGTCTCAGTGCTTGCTTCACCACCTTGGAGGCAACCCCAAGGTCTTGGCCAACCAGTTGGCTAAGCTGGTGTCTTTGGAATCTTTTATGAACCGCCACAACCCTCATATGCGCCAGGTCCATCCATTTGCTGATCCCCAAGCCATCTCTGTTTCGGCGCCTGTATCTCCCACGCTAGCTCGACCCTCATCACAGCCAAGTTTCGGCGCACACCCACCGCCCATGGCCATGGCTCAGCAGCAATGGGGTATGGCAAATATGCACTCTGCCGCTGGTATGAGGCCCCCCGGCCACAAAAGACAGCGTAGCCGCTCTGTTCCCGGGCCTGTTGACTTCGCCATGTTTCAAAACCAGCCCATGCCGTCATTCTATATTCAGCCTCCTGGAGAGATGGGCGCTCAGCACAACCCCAACATCTACGCTCCAGTGCCACAACAGCCCAACGCTGCCCACAACTTGAGGATTGACACACAAGCAGGCTTTGGTTTGGACATGCGGCAATACCCCATGTCAGCAACAACTGCGTCGCCATCCGAGTTCCCTCCGAGCCCAGGCTACTTCACCCCTGGCCCTGAGGCTGGTGGCCCCCTAGCTCCGTCAAACTACAGCACTCCATATGGTAACGCGTTCCTGTCGCCAATGGTCAGCGCTGAAGCCAACATGCCCACAGCCATCTCCCCCCTGCCCTTTAACGGCCCTTCCGAACCCTCAATTGTTGAGCACTCTCCTCCCATGGCCATGATGGGCCGCCCAGGCTCTTCAGAAATGTACATGGGTCAAGACAGCTCATGTGCTGTGTCGGATGACGGTGTTAGCCTGAACGAGATGTACTCCAAGCACTCAATCAACATGCCGATGCACGAGTCAATGCACGAACAAATGCATGAACAAATGCACGAGCCTTCACCAGGAAGTTATGTACAGCATTCACAAGCAGATATCGACATGGACCAGTTGGTTCATTTCGATGCCGTTGATCCATCTAGTCTGTCACCCGAGGCGATGCATTCCATGCCTCGGTAATCTTGATGGATAATGGTGGTATTGCTGGCTTTGCGCTTCATTTGGTCTTTTGTTGCCCTTGGCGTTGTTTGGATATATCGTTACAACGGAAGGGCGTTCTTCGGTAAATCTATACCAATTCGGAAACTGCATCATGTCTCCCTGCAAGACATCTAGGAGCTCATCTCGCCTCATAAAATTTTGTTCGCCCATACTTTTTTTTGTTAGCTGCCTACTGGTGGTATAATATGTTTGGCTTGACTTACCTACCTGCCATCGCTAAATGCGGCCATGATGAATCTGCATGACGGTATCATTCTTTTAACATCGGTCATGCATGTCCGGTACAGCGATCGTACGAGCTACTTCTGCGCGTGGAGATTTTACTCAGCCATACTCTTTTTTTTTTATCTACCGCCTGCGCGTTTATCTCTTGTTTGCTTGGTGATCTTAAGTTGCTGGATGTATTATATCCGCAAACTCCACATTATCTGCTTCTCCTTTTTTCTTCTATTTCTTCCTCTTTTTATCTACCTCCCCTTGGCTACTCGATGTGTAATTGCCCAAGGGGAGCACACAGCTGTCTCGCATCTCGCGGGGCTTAATTTTCTTTTGGCGCACATCATTAGTCCCGGGAGTTATCATTTCGCTTTGTTTCGTGTTTTCGCACTTGCGTTTTTATTTGGTTTGCAACCCCGGAGGTTGTGACTGAACTTGAACTGAAGTTTTGTTTTATCTTGGATTTTTTTTTTACTAATGGAAAAATCGAGAGGGAAAAGGGATATATGGTGCAAGAGGTGGAAAGACTTTTTTTATTAAAAGTATAGCAGTGCATGTGTGTATGTGCGGATGATGTTGTGTATGTGAGTGAGCGAGACAGAAGCGGAGGAATATGCGTCTCTTCAACATGGTGATGAAGAAGGGCATGGCACTTTTTTTTTTGTAACTATTGGGTAACTCTAGAGTTACGAGGGAATATGGCGGTCTTATTGGCGGCCGACTGTGAACCTTTTGCAATAGTACTTTTGATGTTCAAAATTTGCCCTTGCCTTTTACGTGAAACAACTTGTGTCCATTGGCCAACCGTTGCATATTTGTCAACTTCATCTAGTAGCAATCTTTTTGGCGAACAACAATGCACGCAGCAATGAAGAGATTTCTAGAGCTATGACTAGTATGTGACAACACACATCCTTTGGTCATTGACGTTTACTCGGTATCAAATTCTGTATGTCACTGAAAGCCGTAACTGTTTGGGTCAAAAGTTGATGTGATGTGGTTCTCAACTTGGTTTAAAAATAGAATAGTTCGTTATGACCCAAAGTACGTATCTTTGTCGTATTGGTGTAGCCCTTTGGGCTAGTAGTATTTCAGTCGTATTTGCGGGGGAGCCTCTGCTCTAGTAAGGATGCTAAAAGCGGCACAACTGAGATCTCCCCAGCCAAGATCAAGCCCTCTAGCACTGCCGATGGTGCCCAACACCGGGCTTGGGAGAGCATCGCCGCTTACACGTAATGCGGATGCGTCATATAAGACGCGCCTCGTTTCAGAGCCCGAATCAGGTCGCAAGCCAGCGTCGAACAGCCCACTTTACAGGCTCATGCGATGAGGCGCTGCTGGTCCTTCGTGCGTTCAGGGCGTGACGTCCTGCCAAGCTGGCTCCAGCCTTCTGGCAGCGTTGCACCAGCGTCTCTGGTCTCTGGCTCTCTCTCACTCGCCAACCTCGGGCATATCCCCCACCCCCGTCTTCTTTTGTGCATCTGATTAATCCAAAACCCTGCATCCTTTGCTAAATTGGCTGCAAGCTCAGTATTCGTTACTATCATCTCTTTGCCATGGCATGTCCTCCGTCGTTGTGCTGAGGCCGTGCTGCCGTACCCAACGTCAGCACTAACGTCATCAACAATGGATCGTCGGCACCAGCCGCTGTCTCAGCCCGGCGACCAGCACAGCCACGCACACGACACCGAGGGCACCGCAGACGAAACGAACCATGTAGATCAGGATGGCGCTGAGCCTGGCCCACCGCTGCTGGCTGAGGGCACTTCATTGCCAATGGCTGGCCCAAGACGTTCTCAAACAGATCCAACAACAACATTATCGCCCATCCCGCAGACTACAAACAGGCCGTTGACTGGATCTTCATCGAGACCACGCTTCTACGAGCATGTTGACGTGGATCAAAGCCCATCCGAAGGGAAAATGGCCCAAGACACATTGTTGAGCGAAGGGTTATTGGACGCCAGACCAAAGACCGCTGCGACTAAGACGAAATCGCCGTTCTCTCTCGTCGCTAGGAAGTATGGGTATAGTAAGATAGCGAAGGGGAAGAAGGGGAATCGGAAGCCCGGATCTGGGTGGAAAGCTCAGGCTGAAGCATTCATTCAGAGTCTTTATCAGAGAGTGGTTTTGGAAACCATCCTTCGTCGCAAACCGCTGCCGCCCTCCAAAGATGGGCGTCATATTCCTCTTAACCCATCGGGCGTCGATCCCGGTGGTCTGATAGATGAACGCAGCAATCAGCCTTACATTAGCAACTTTATTCGTTCCAGCCGCTATACGATCTACAATTTCATCCCGAAGCAGCTTGTCTTTCAGTTCAGCAAGCTTGGAAACTTTTACCTCCTTATTATGGGCATTCTTCAGGTAATTCCTGGCCTGAGCACTGTTGGGAAATACACAACAATTGCTCCACTGGCTGGCTTCGTGGCCTTTAGCATGGCCAAAGAGGGCTATGACGACTACCGGCGATATCAACTCGATAAGGCGGAGAATCGCAGCATGACCTGGGTCTTGGCCCACGGTGTAAGAGAAGGGAGAGAGAGGCCACGAATGTCGGTATGGAAGAATAAGCTAAAGATAAAGCGAAAAGGCACCAAGAAACGACGCGGAGCAGATGAGGAGGATGTTATTCTGCAAGATATCGAAGAAGGAGCCCTTGCTAGATTGGACGACACGAACGACTGGATGTATGTGCAGTGGCAGCATGTCCAAGTAGGTGACATTGTACGACTCCGTCGCGACGAACCAGTGCCCGCCGATATGGTCGTACTTCATGCTACGGGGCCGAACGGCGTCGCATATATCGAGACAATGGCATTGGATGGCGAAACGAACCTTAAAGCCAAGCAGGCTTGTCCTCTGCTTGCAGATAAATGTGACACAGTGGATGGGCTCCGATCGACTCGCGCTACAGTGGTATCCGAGGATCCCAATCTTGACCTGTACAACTATGTTGGGAAGGTCGGCATCGACGACGGTGAAGCCGTACCTTTATCATTGAACAATGTTGTCTATCGAGGCTCTATCCTGCGAAACACTGCAATGGCCATTGGGCTTGTGATCAACTCGGGCGAGGAATGCAAAATTCGCATGAACGCGAACAAGCATGCGCATGCCAAAAAGCCGGCAATGCAGTCTACAATTAACAAAATGGTCCTTGCTCAGATCTCCATTGTCATCTCTCTCACCATTGGATTGAGTATTGGATACCTCAGATGGCACAACGACACAGAAGTGAAATCGTTCTACATCGTCGAAATTCCCTTATTCGACGCAAGCGTACCGTTTAAGCAAATTTTCTTTGGGTTCTTGATTATGTTTGGAAGTTTAATTCCGCTCTCGCTTTATATCAGTCTGGAAGTCATCAAAATTGGTCAGCTCTTCTTGTTGCAGGACGTGGAAATGTACGATCCGGTCACGGATACTCCCATGATCGCTAACACCACGACCATTTTGGAGAATCTTGGTCAGGTGAGCTATGTGTTTACAGACAAAACGGGAACTTTAACAGAGAACTTGATGCGCTTTCGGAAATTGAGCGTTGCTGGTGTTGTTTGCCTTCACGATATGGATACTCAGGACGATGAGACGACCAAGATGAAGTCTCGCGCAAAGGGAAAACAGCCTGTTTTGACGACATCTACTATGATGGGCCAGGGGGAGGGTGACGAGATGGGGGAGGCACATTTCTCTGGACAGATGACGGATTTGAATAACTTGGCTCCGGACATGAAAACCGAAGAGCTACTTGACTACATCCGTCGACGGCCCAACACCCCCTTTTCCCAAAAGGCTAAACAATTTTTGCTTTGCATAGCCCTTTGCCATACCTGTTTACCGGAGACCAACGAAAGCGGAGATATCGAATACCAGGCCGCATCTCCTGACGAACTGGCCCTTATCGAGGCGGCTCGGGACTTGGGATACGTGCTCATCGACCGTCCGGCGCAGTCCATTAAACTGCAGATGCAAGATACGGATGGGGCACTACAGACAGAAACATACCAGGTGCTGGATGTGATTGAATTCACCAGCAAAAGAAAGCGAATGTCAATTATTGTTAGAATGCCTGACAACCGGATTTGTGTCTTTTCTAAAGGCGCGGATAATGTCATAATGTCTCGTCTCAGGCTTAACCAAGTTGCTGCGCAAAAGGCCAAAGATGTCAATCGCCGAGCAAGCGTGAGAAAAACGTTTGAACAGGACAAAGCAATCAAACGCATGAGCAGCCAAATCGTCAGAAAGTCTTCAGTTCGCAACAGCTTTGGTTTGGACCGGAGTAAATCAAGCGCTGGGCTCGAAGGTTTAAGAAGAAGTATGAGCAGGCGGTCTACGGATCTTAATCGGCTCTCACAGGCTGAAGGTGTCGCCTCGTGGCTGCACAGGCGAAATACAGAGGACATGATAACCCCTCGGCCTTCAACTGATGTGCTACGGAGCCCGAGACAGAGCTTGGGACGCATGTCATCATTTGACTATAGGGATTATGCTGGCGAAGACGATGATAGAATAGACGAATTAGTGGCCGCTGATGAATCGATGATCTTTGAGAGGTGTTTCCAACACGTGGACGACTTTGCCGCAGACGGGTTACGAACACTTTTATATGCCTATCGATATATCGACGAAGAAACGTATACTGAGTGGAAAAATCAGTACAAAGAAGCAGAGACTAGCTTGGTTGACCGCCAAGAACGCCTCGAAATAGCGGGAGGGAAAATCGAAGAGGAATTTGAGCTTGCTGGAGCTACAGCTATTGAAGATAAGCTCCAGGAAGGAGTTCCGGAGACAATTGAAAAGCTGATGCGTGCAAATATCAAAGTCTGGATGCTCACGGGCGACAAGAGAGAGACAGCCATCAATATCGGCCATTCAGCGCGCGTTTGCAAACCGTTCTCGGAGATTTACATCTTGGACGCCTCCACGGGGAAACTTCAAGATGCCATAACAACAACGCTCACTGAAGTCGGACGGGGCATGGTGCCTCACTCGGTCATTGTTGTGGATGGACAGACATTAGCCACAATTGACGCTGATGACGATCTTTCCGCCTTATTCTACGACTTGATTGTACGGGTTGACTCTGTCATCTGCTGCAGGGCGTCGCCTTCTCAGAAAGCCAATCTGGTCAAATCTATAAGGCGATTTGTGCCAAAGAGTATGACTCTGGCAATTGGCGACGGAGCAAACGACATTGGCATGATTCAGGCTTCACATGTGGGCATAGGAATTTCGGGGCGCGAAGGTCTTCAGGCGGCGAGAATAGCCGATTTCTCGATTGCCCAGTTCCGGTTCCTTCAAAAGCTGCTATTTGTGCACGGTCGATGGAACTACATCCGGACGGGCAAGTATGTCTTGGCCACGTTTTGGAAGGAGACCTTCTTCTACCTCATACAGGCGCAATTTCAGCGTTTCACTGGCTACACAGGCACTTCACTTTATGAATCGTGGAGTCTTACGGTTTTCAACAGCGTGTTCACGTCTCTGCCTGTGGTCCTGCTCGGTATTTTCGACAGAGATTTACAGGCGTCGACGCTATTATCTGTACCGGAGCTGTATACTTTTGGCCAGCAGAGGCAGGGATTCAACCTAAAGCAGTATCTGGGCTGGATGATTCTGGCCGTTGCAGAGAGCTTTGTCACGTTTTACTTTATGCTAGGAGCGTTTGAGAGCATTCTGTTTACGGAAGACAATACCCTTTATGCTATGGGGACGATATGTTTCAGCGCTGGTGTGATTTTTATCAATGTGAAGCTACTGTAAGTGATCATGAAGTGCGTCATATATGGAGGAGGCATTGTACTAATCGGCTCTTTTTACGTAGGCTTCTCGAGTTTCACAGTAAAACGTTGATTCCGCTGATTGGACTCGGTCTAGAAATCACTGGATGGTTTCTCTGGAACTTGATTCTTTCCGCTATATATCCGAGAACAATTGGTCCCATCTCGGTGAGGGATGCCTTTTTGCATGCTTTTGGGGATCGGCTATCCTGGTGGACGACGCTGCTTCTCACATTATTCACCCTCATCATAATAGAGCTGGCTGTACAGGCTATTCGACGAGTGTACTGGCCAACCGATCAGGATCTGATGCAGCGCATAGAGAAGGATACCAACTCGAAGCACATATTGAGACAGTACGCTGCTGATGGAGCTGGAGACCTGGAAAGGGGCAAGGCTCAGACACAGGGCATCGAGTTGGAAGAAATAGGGTTACAGCCTGATCTTCAGCGAGAGGAGGGGGCCACACTGCTGACGGAACGGGAAAGAAGTGTAGAGAGAAGCCAAAGCCCCCAGCCTATCAGCTCAGTGCCGAGGAGAAGCTTTCAAGATTTGGGTCCGAGGAGGTCGGTTAGGATGAGCCACGACGACTATCGGCCGCCGAACTTTATGCCGCTAGCGGAAGAGAGGGAAATTCCGTATGAGGACGCTGAGGAGACAAGGGGCGGTACGTGAGAGCCTTTCTCCTTGGAGAAGTTAAGAGGATTGAGGGAATACAGGGGGGAACGATACCACTCTTTCTTGATTCGGCGATGGTGATATACGTACATTTGCATTTTTAGAACCTTTGATACAAGCGGTTCTCATTGGTAAGGGATTGGTTGCAGTTCTTCTTTTGTTTCAACGTTTATGGTTGAATGTTTGGCAGGCGATACGGTATATGATATGACAGCATGATTATATTGTTAGGTACTATAGTAGAATAACGAATCATGATTTACACGCATTACAGATTCGGGTATCATGCTTGATACGTAACAAACAATGGAGAGAGTCTGCGAAGAGATGGATAACCGAGCAACCAAGTAAAAAAGGCAATGACTCGTCCGATGCAAACGAGAGTCACAAAAACCGTTGATACGAACACGAACACGAAAACATCGTCCTTAGCACTCATCATCACCCACCGTTTCATCCACTCTCACTAATATCTTACCGCTTGCATGCAGCCCGCCCAGCTTGGCATATGCCTCCCTGACATTCTCGAAGCGCCAGACGCTGTCCCTGACCACGCGTATCTGGCCATCCCGCAGCATCTCGGCAATGCGCTCGCGATCCTCCAGCGTCGGCTCCATCATCGAGACGCCCCGCCAGAGACGGCCGACGCCGCCGAGCCAGCGGCTCACGGGCCACCACTCATTGAGCTGCATCTGCCATACGGCGCGGAGGAAGGCGGGGATGGAGAAGTCGGGGGGCTTGATGCCGACGGAGGAGTAGATGCCTGAGGGGATGAGATAGGCGATGGAGTTGACGTAGAGGGATTGGTGGCCGAGGGTGTCGATGATGGCGTTGAAGGGGTTGGCGTGGAAGGTCTGCGCGAGATGTGCTGGGAGGTTGTTGTTCTGGTTCTTGTTGTCAGTGTGCTGCGTGTAATCGATGACGAAGTCTGCCCCGAGGCTTTCGACGAGCTGGACGTTTCTGGCGCTGCAGATGCCGACGATGAAGCCCTCTGGTCCAACGACCCGGCGAGCCATCTGCACGGCCATGGTGCCGATGCCGCCGCTGGCAGCGTTGACGAGCACGCGGTGGCCTGGCTTGAGGCCAGCCTCGATGACTAGCAGATGGGCAGTCATTCCCGTGAGAAGACAGCCAGCTGCGTCGGCGAAGGAGGCCTGTGGGGGCTTGTGGACGGCGAAGCGGGCGGGTAGGGAGACGTATTCGGCGAGGGCGCCGCAGCCGGTTGGGAGGGCGTGGCTGGCGGGGATCATGGCGATGATTTTGTCGCCTTTGCGGAAACGAGTGCTAGTAGTAGACGTAGTAGTGGACTCAGACTCGACGGCGTGAGGATGCCAGACGTCGTGGACGGTGCCGGAGAGGTCCATTTCGGGGATGCAAGTCTTGTTGCGCAAAAAGGTTGGGATGAGGGACATTTGGAAGATGGCGCCGGGGTTGAGGCCTGCGAAGGAGACTTTGATGAGGATCCATTCTTCTGAGGCTTTGAGGGGAGGAGGGAAAGTTGGTATGGGGTGGGAGGAGAGAGATAGGATGTCTGTTGGGGAGCCGCGGTGGGAGAACGTCCAAGCTCGGGATGTGGTTGGCATGGTGTTGAGGCTTGCTGTTCTATGAGCGAGAGAATTGTAAATCCATAGACTTATCAGTAAAGCTTTCACGTCTACTGTGGTGATGAGGGACGAATGAATATTGAGAGAGACGATTCCATCGAGGTGGTAGTTGCTCGTGCTGGTAGGCTGGCTCTGGCTTGGCTTGGCAGCTGAAGCTGAGTTGAAGCCTACTCGTATGAAGAGTATTATTTGCCTAGTTTTGGATCTGGTCTAGAGGCGTCTACCCCCCTCCTTCAGCTTCAGCTGCAGCTGTAGCACATGAGCCTAGAGCAGATGTAAGTCGAGTCCATAGGTCCAAAATGCCATTTACTGTCTTGGGATTTGGCTTGGCGGGTTGCCGTAAGGGGGGCTGTAATACGCCACAAACCAACATGAACTTGCTAGCAAAAGGGAACGTTGCTACACAAAGCCACTTAGAGAGATGACATACACAGCTTTAGCAAGGGGGTTTAGATTCAGAAATAGTGCTGCCTATAGTAGTTGCTACAAGAGTTGATAATTCTGCAGCCTATAATAAGGGTAATTGTAATAGGAGCTTATGAGGTGGTGGGTTGTTAACCTTGATAGACGATACGCAACGGCGATACGCAACACGATACGCCGTAAAAGAAAGGACACTAGAGTTTTGCAAGTAGTAAGTGCATGTCCCTGGTCAGAGCGAGCGACCAATGCTCTGCCCAGACAGGGAGCCAGCAGGAAACAATGCAAAACATCTCAAGTGTAGTACGCGAACTACCTAGTTGCCGCCGAAGCGATCGGCTTTCAGTGGGTCGCCCGCTGGTTTAATTTGTGTGCCTGGATGATTTTAATCAATCGGCTGCAGAATTGATGGCTGCCTTGTCGCCTTGTCGCCTTGTCGCCTTGCTGCCTTGTCATCGAAACGCCAAAGCAACTGAAACAACCTGCAGATTGCATCATGAATTGTGTTGCCTGTCAGGCTGCCTTATTGCGACCTGCGGATCGCGTTTTCGTCCGCCAGGCACTAGGATTGACGGCATTGCAAAGTCCGGAAGTCTGGAATCGTTGCTGGCAATGTTGAGCGCATATCCCGCGTTCACGGCTGAGTTACGAGTGCGTGAAAGCTGCAGGTTTGATTCAAGTGCGCGCGCTTGTCTGAAACTCCGCCACGAACGCCCAACAAGGCAAGAGGACATGTATCAAGCGGCTTCATCCGCGGAGCTAGAAACGGGAGCTGGCCCAACATCATGAGCAATACGCGAACTCCGAGCAACTGCTAGACTAGGCAATAGTGCGTAGTGCCTGTATACTTAGTAGCACTTGTGTATGTAATAGCCTCTGCGCAGGCACGCCGTATGAATCTTCTGGAACACTCGCCTTCCAGGGGTTTGGGTTGGTATTCCCATTTAGATCCGGCAGCTGAGGAGTCATGCCGGGAACGTTGCAGGCTAAAAAAAGATCAAGCAATTTCGGCTGCACGTCCCCATCAGGGCCTGTATCGCAATACGCGATGTTCGAGCTGTCATAAACGTCATCGAGTTATACTATCAGTATGCTCTAGTTCCAGGGTCCAATCTGTAGGATTTTGCATGTGCTCAACCTTGGCTCCGGGATTTGTGTGTAAGTCTACTGACGTAGCATGTCTATCATCAACATCAGCACATTTAGAGTTGCACATGATGCAGGTATGGTGCCAGGAACACGTATTACAATAACAGCCAGCTGCAAATAGACGTGAAATGCAAATCGTCTTGTCTAAATCTGGCTCAACTCATCACAAGCCACGTATATGCCGACGGCCATGTCTTCTGATTTGACTCACGCCCCTCCGCTGGACCTGAGGACCGGGGTGCGGACTTCCGAGCGGATTCGGGTGGGTTTATCCGGTATTCTCGGGCGACGGCAAGGCCCCGAACCCCGGGGGCCAGATTTGATAATTGACGTCCCATTATGGGGCAGCTTGAAGCTTGGCGTGGCCCTTTATTCAGAGGAACAGCGCCGGCGCAACGCCGCTTGCTGAGAGGCGTCAATAGGAAGATGGAGGGTGGGAAATAGGGACGCCGCGCGGGCGATACGCTGGAAAGCCCAACACGAGCAAAGCGACGCTGCCAAACACCATGGCTGTCGAGATGGCCAATCGGCATCGCCTTTGATAGTCGATTCGATTTAGAGTTGCAGGTGGCAGAAAAGAGTCATCCCGCGCTGATCTCGGCCCTCATCTCTAAAATTGTGTAGGCGCTTTGTCTCGGTCGCGAGGAACAAGAGTTTGTCTGCAGCGTAGAGTCACTGTGGTCACACGCCAGCAAGATTCGGTACCGCGAGGCTGCGAGTAGCCCAGTGCCGGACCTGAGGCCTACTTTCTTGGTATTTCGGATCCGATCCGGCTCCTGAAGATTCCGATGCAAGCGTTGTTCTCCCCATAAACGAGATGAGCATCGAGGGAGACAAAGAACAGCGGCCAAGTAGTCCGCAACGGGGTTAATTGGAGGCCTTGCTGGAAATGAGAAGCATCCTCTTATCCCTTTCGAGGCTGTGATTTGATATAGTCGAGACAGCGGCCGCGTATACCGTCCAGTCATGGTGCTTGGTAGCGCCAGCAGAGACGAAGCTCCATACGCGGCCTCGACTAACTCATACATGTAGTAGCATCAAGATTGTTCGCGGCAACCATCGCCGGTGCCTGTTGCTACTAGCATCTCTTCGTTTACGTCGTTTAGACCGTAAACTGCCCGGCTTAGAAGGCCGGTTTTAATACCTCGACTGAGTCATCAGTGGTGTAGCCTAGCTTCACAGCCGTTGCGCACTGCCACGCCTCAGGTTTTGCCAATCCTTCTATGCTGCCGTCTCCCCTGTAGTGCTGAGGTCGGGGCCCTTTTTGAGGTAGTTATGATAATTTCTCGGACCAGTTGCGGGCGATACGTCAGAAATGTGAGCACAAGAGAAATGAGCCATGACGATGCCGGGATTTAGACTTTTGCGTATTCCCTGCTTCCTCTTTGGTGGTTTTTGGTCTCTCTCAGCTCGCTGGAGAAGACAGACTCAAAGAGGTTTGGTCGCGTCACCCACGCACCACAAAAGAGATCCACAGCCTCCTGCTATCGAATAATACGGGAGAATGATTACCAAAGTGCGGATTCGCTATCTCGAAGGAGAAACATGTACCTGAACAAGGGAGGTTGTATGGAGCAGTACGGGCGAATCCGCTGCTTGTCGTGTGATACAACCGCCAACAGGCAGTGTGTATATAGTAGTCGCTTGATCCATACCTATCCGCTGATTATTAACATTCAATTTGGAAGAAAAAAAGGTTGAGGTTGAATTGGAGCTATAATATTTTTGTAGGTAAAGCTTAGGGAAGGAAAGAACTAAACGCCCAAGGAGCGCTTCCTTCCATCCTGAATCTTTAGCTGCCGAGCTGACAACCTATTAAGCTTTACTGCCTGAGGTACACAATTCTCTCTCATCTTTCTTTACTTCATCTTTTCTTCTTCGTCTTCTCTCCTTGATCCCAACTTTCTTCGAACTCCAAGGCCTCTCAATTGGTTTCAGTTAGTTTCCACGTCTCTTGGGTTCCCCGCTGCGCAAGTTCCGCTGACCAACCAGCTCCAAGCTGAGAAGCTCTGGAATTTTCTCTCCGCGGCCTCCGTCCATTCGATAGTGGATGCGATAGCCGAGTACGCGAACCTTGATTATACCTGGATTCACTGAGGGATTGATCGCATTGATTGATCCTGATCCTGCTACTAACAGGTACCTGCTGCTACTATCCGGCAAGCAACAAGCCACTGCCCAGGAATCGCACCACGCCGCATCCGCCGAGCGCTGAGAGGCCCCGGCTCGCAGCTAAATAACGCCAAGGGCCACTGACACACGCGATCACACGCACACACTGCCGCTTCCCACCTGCTCGGTATACATCGTACAGCCCACTGTGCTGTATTATAAATTTGCGGCCGGTACCTGGCGCTGGAAACCGCTAGGTCGCGCTGTCGGGCACATCTCGACGGAATAACGGACATAGTCTACCGACGTCATTTTAGGGCTCTGCTTAGAGCTCTCAACCCGGCAGGCATCCCAGCGCTTCATCTCAGTCTCCGGACGGGAACCAACTAGAGACTCTCTCTCCGCAATTGACGGCGTCCAAGGGCGGCGGAATAGTCCAGAAGACGGCGGAAAGAAGCTTAAAGGAGAGGGTCTGTCCAGTGAGGCTGCGGTCAAAAGGGTCCACGACCTGCGGAAAGCTTGGATAAGAAGCTGAGCTCTTCCGTCACAGCCGCCTCCGCCGCGCCGCCAAGCACCGGCCGACGTCTCTCCATCTCTTTGATACCACTGTCTGCTTGTGTCCATCTATTCTTACTGACCTCTGCGGTATCCTGCTTTCCATCCGGCAGCAGCGCATCCGGGATCCTACAGGCCATCACTTCATTTCTCGGTCCCAACAGCATCTCCACCGCTGCCCTCCTTGGATACGCGTATCTGGAGCGGCCACATTTGTCCGTTTCTCTGCTCCCTGGCTCGTCCGGACACAAGACAAGTCTCCGGGAACAGCTCCAGGCCCTGTAGGACTCGCTGGTTCTAGGTGTTTTCTCGCCCCCCAGAGAGCCCACTACTTTCAATTCTCACAGAGGACTGCGCCGTCAGCTTTTTTTTTTCTTCGTCAATTACAGCAACTCCGTGCCCGAGCTGCTGCACGCACACACAACCTCTTTGCCCCTGTCTCACGAGAAAGCAGTTGGGTCAGGCAACATCACTTCTTCTTGCTTGCTTATGAATATCTGTTCACGCGCTGTCAGAAAATCTCCCTGATCTTCTCTCTAGCTTATCTGTGCCTGGTGCACTTTGATTCGTATTTGCATTTCCCACTTTTGGATTTGTTTCTTTTTTTTGTCTTTCCTTGCTTCAATTTCCTGGTGGATTTGCTTTGCTTGTCACGCGTGTTTTCTCTTATTTTACCGCTCTCACTCACCCCAGTTTCGGGGTTTGACAGTGACCCGGCTTTATTATTTACACCCCACGTTCTCCCCGCTGGTGACATGTGAAATCGCCCACGCAGACTTGGTCATGTCGTCAAAAGCTTCACCCGTCACTCACAAGCAGCCTCGAATACTGGCTTGTGTGCTGTGCCAGCATCGCAAGATCAAATGCGACAGGAATTCGCCATGTTCCAACTGTATCAAGGTGCGCGATACACTTCTCTCTGACTCGGCCCGCTAGCTTCAAGGTCTCATTCACATGCTGTTCCATCTTCTGCTCTATTCTTCAGTCCCCGGATTTAAGCTCCCAACCGCTAAGAGCATGCTCGGGGCGAAAAGAAGATGAGGAGGAAATGAATCCTTCCAGCTCCCTGGCCAACATTTGATTCGAATTCAAGCTTACATTGCCCCAGGCCAATGTCACCTGCACTCCTAGTACGCCAGCGCCAGCTCGTAAACGCCGCCGCCCGAACCAAGATCTCCAGGAACGACTTGCTCGATGCGAGGAACTACTCAAGCAGTATGCCAACGGCTCCGTGCCGATCCCTGGCCCTCCTCTTCCTCCCCCTCCACCTCCCGCTCAACGCCCGCTGCCACCATTTCCGGCAACCCCCTCCAACTCAATCGCGCCATCCTCAGAGGCACCCGTCGCTACACCGGCCAGCATCGACTCAACCGTGTCGCGGAAACCAAGTACTCTCATAGTTCGAGAAGATGGCAATGTCCGCTTTATGGATAGCTACATTTGGACCAGTGTATATGAGGAGGTGAGTGGAATTCGTTACCTATGAGCGGGCTTACCGCAGTCCTCGAGCTACTTGATCAAAACGATGCCATCTTCTTCTTGCTATTCTTTCAAATTACTGGTAGCACAAAAACACTGACATGAAGCGGATGCTATAGCTCCAAAAAATGCGAGAAATCGTAGAGACCGATGACCCAGAAGACTCCAGCCTTCTTGGCTCAGATGAGCTCACCCCGGACAATGTTGCGGACCTAGTTCTCTCGGCCGACATGTTTAACTCGAGTACTGAAGATTTGCAACCTGATCCCATCCACATCTTCCGGCTCTGGCAGCTATATCTCGATCGCGTCAACCCTCTTTTCAAACTCATCCACGTACCTACCACGCAGCCCTTTGTCATGGAGGCGGCTAGCAATATGAGTAACCTACCGCTGCACTACCAGGCCCTTATGTTCTCCATATTTGCCATGGCCAGTGTGTCTATGACATCTGCGGAGTGCATTCAAACGATTGGTATTTCTCGCGAGGCTGCCATTCAACGGTTCAACACTGGCACCAAATCGGCTTTGATCAGGTATAGTTTTCTCAAAAATCACAATATGACTGCGCTGCAAGCTGTGGCTCTTTACTTGGTAAGTTCTAACACTGAATGCACTCTGATTTCCTCTCTCATCAATGAAAGGGTGTGATTAACGCATCGTTAGCTTTCCTTGGAAGGGCGCTATGACAGACATGCTCAATGGGTTATCAGCGGAGCCATTGTGCGAATAGCGCAAAAAATGGGTTACCATCGGGACGGATCGCAGCTTGACTTGAATCCCTTCGAAACCGAGATGCGCAGACGCATTTGGTGGCACATTATGATGCTCGATGCCAAATGTGCCATGATTTCCGGTCTGAGTTCGACATGGCTGACCAACAACTGGGACACGAAGAAGCCTCGGAATGTGAATGATGCGGACCTATACCCCGGCTCGACTGAACCCGTTGCAGAGCGTGATGGCCCAACAGAAATGGCATTTGTTATGGTTGTTACAGAAATGTTTCGCTTCAAACTAGAAGCAGATGGCTCAAACGAGTCTCGTGCGTTTGAGGCTGCCATGATGGGGCAGACGCTCGATGAAAGCGATCCAGAAAGCAATACCAAAGCCATTTTTGAAAAATTCCGGGCCAAGGCTGCAGAACTGGAAGAGAAGTTGCAGTTTATCGAGAAGAATTACGTCGACATTAGGGCTGGAAATGCTCACGCTGCAGCTATTGCTATCCGGCCAATGCTCACAAATCGGTTATCAGAGATGCTCGTTCCCATGGAGGAGCAAGCCGAGTGGGGAACTGAGATATTCGGTCCCAAAGACAATTTCTTCAAGGTTTTGCTGATGATGATGGAGCACAAGACAGACGCACATGAGCAAATGGTTGCTGCTGGATTTCAGTGGTTCATGCGCCAACACTTTCAGCTTGACGTGTTTGCAGTTTTCACAGGCTTACTCCACGATCGCCCAATGGGAAGACTTTCTGATCGTGCCTGGGCCGTCATGGACAGGATCTATCTCGACCACCCTGATTTTACAGATATGACGATCAAGCAACATGTCGCGCAAGCTCAGTTTGTGCTCAAAGCCTGGCGGGCTCGAGAAACCGCTTACGCCCAAACCGGCCAGAGGATTGATGTTCCCGATTTCATAAGCCGACTCCGAGACGTGGTGCCTGTCAGCGACTCCAAGTCATCAGGCCAAGGATCCGTCACATCCCCTGCAATAGCCACACCTCAGCAGCAGCCTATGGCGGGGTTCAACCAGTTCTTGGGTGGCTATCTGGATGTTTCCACCGTAAACTGGGAAATGTTTGGGGAATTTTTACCAAGTAGCGGAGAACAGCTTTCCACTGCTATGTTTGAAGGATACCCCATGGACAACCTTAATATGGGCAATCTGGGCTAGAGTTGATGGTTTGGATATGTCAGACAAGCTTTGCCAATGTGTCGCGCCACACCGAAGAGAAAGTGGAAACCCCATACGCATATACTTGTGAGGAGTGCGAGGTAGTTGGTATGCAGAGTGTACGGTTGATTGATGGGCAATTCTAGTTGAGCTAGAGTTGCCGAATGTCTCTACATTGAAAGTAGCATCTTTTTCTCCTTTTTGATCCTTCTTTTTTCTATTCTGTTCATTTCTTTTGATTTGTCTACTACAGCTTCATCTCCTCTACTTTGCTTTTTACACGGGGCGTTCAGGTCGACATAGAGTTGGTCTCCTCTCTGCATGGACATACGAATCGCCATAAATCATAATTATTCTCCTTCATTGTGTCGGGTAAGGGTGGCTTTCAACACGATATCATGTACGATTGAAATGGAGCCACTCCTGCGTTTATGTTATTTGCTGTTTTGCTTATTGCACATTTTCCGCCACTGGGCGACATATTGTGCTTGGACGAGCTTTCGAGTATGCAATGGGTGGAAATTGGTCACAATGTGTGATTATGTACAACATGGAAGGCGCTCGCATGATGTGTGTGTATATATATTTCTATTCAGTCGGTATATACTCGTGGCATTTTGTGCACATTAATCTACCTAGCTTAGTCACTGAAGCCGTATTTGATTCTTTGCTCCACATAACGTCCTTCTTTTTTTGTCCTTCTTTGTGGTCGATATTTGGATAGCATGTCGAGGTATTCGATCGATTCTTGATGTGATGTCGGTGTATAGTAGCGGCGGCTTAGTAGTTGTATTTGTAATGGTGACGTTTCGCATCTAGATATGATAAGTTAGCAGCAATTCTGCAGAAGAAGAATTATATCTCTGCTGGCGTGGCATATTCATTCTGCTAGGCGAGAAACAGCGGTGCTCTGCTTGGCAAAGAAAGTTTTCGTGACAGATCGTTAGAATCCTGCTCTTTTTCAGCGCATTCTGTATGAAAAGAAGCCTCTGTAAACTCGCCAGAGAGGAGAGGCTGAAAGAGTTGGATAATGGAGATGGTTTTGAGGAAGAATTTGTTTTGCGCTAGTGAGCGAGGAAAGTATGTGGGAGACGAAGGGAGAGGGAAGGGCAAGAGGGAAGCAGATGGAGCAAAAAGACGGGGTCTTTGGGGCGCTTAGACAAAAGGATTACCAAAAGGAACATTTGGAGGAAGTCTTGATCTGATCTGAGGCGGCTTTGCCTTGGGTGGATTTTGGGCTGGAGATGCGATGGATGGCTTCGAGGCGCAAATTGCTTTCAGGATTTAGAGACGAAGCTGGTGGAAGCAGGTACTAATATGAATACAAAATAACAAAGACGTTGAAAGTTGAGGGCACGCCGTAGTTGAACAAAAAAAAAAAAAAAGCTGAGCTGGTGGTGCTGTAGAAACTTGCTGTCAACAACAAAGGGCAGCGAACTAAAAATCAAACAAAACAACCCAACACAGCCAGAGTAGCTATAGTTAGCACAAAGAAATCTCCGTTGTTATTCACCCATACCACAATAGAAATAGAGGTCATGTCAAAGAAAGTATGTCAAAGGGATGCAAAGTCATTTAATGAATAAGGGTGCTTTATTCGAATTATTTCTCACGAAGATGATGATTTCTTAACTGTACACCCTATTGAAAATAAATACATGAAGTGTCCCGCAATCTGGTAACCCTTGTTTCAAACCAGTAATTTTTCCATTTCCTTGTGAACCCTTTGTTAAAGCCAAATTATCCTTATAAATATTTCATCATCAGATTGATTCCGTGAGAGAGTGAAGTGCGGATGTTCCACCGCTGACCATATAAGCTTGGTCTTCCTTTCTTGCCGAGGAGCTAAGCTACTGCTCGTTATCGGCGGGAGTGGCCTTTGGGGCAGCCTCTGGAGCGTCTTGGAACTCTTCAGCAGCCTTTTGCTCGGCTGGAAGCTCGGCGGGAAGCTCAGTCGCCGTAGCCTCAGCGAGAGCAGCGGAGAGATGCTCAGAGAGGCCCTCTTGGACGGGGCCAGGAAGCTGGACCTGGGCGTTCTCAAAGAGCTGCTGCTCTTGCTGATCAACGAGGACTTCTTGGATGTGCGAATACATAGGGGCCTTTCCTTTGCCTTCGTACTGAGGCTCGCGGAGATTGTCCAGATTCTGTTCGGTGGTGGTAATAGCGATATCGTCTTCCTGTTCAGCGAGAGCCCTAGCAATAGCAGCGTCGTCTTCGAGAGTGGCATCAAGCTGGATCGCGCTGTCGAGGCTCTCGAGGCTATTGTTGGGGGCGCGGTATCCAGAAGATTCGCCAACTTCATCGACATGATAGAGCGAAGAGTCAAAGGGGAAGGGGCCATAGACGAGGTAATCCGTGCTATCATCATCGGCAACCTCGCGCTCAAGGGCATCAAGACGACGTTTCTCACGGCAGCGAGCAACGCACATCGCGATGAAGCAGGGGACGACCATCATTGCAAAGAGGCCAACGAGGCAGCCGGCGATTGCAGCATAGAAAGTCTTGTTGTCTGCCATGATGAATTTTGAAAATGGTTGGTGATACAAGTGAAGCTGACGGGTTGCTTTTTGAGAGAAAGAAAGTGGAAGTTTTAGCTGGGGAGCAGATGGAAGAGGGAGGAGTGGAAGATGAAGAGATGGATGTGGTCGACGTACCTTGTTGCTCTGGCTGTCTTTCTTAGAGAAAGAAAAAGATGATGATGATGTAGCTGATGATGAAAATGATGAAGCTTCGAGTTTATATGTGATAAAGCGTGATGGGTAGCGGTGAGAGGAACGAGTGAGGTTCGAGGAAGAGGGGAGTGGAGATGGAAAGAAAAAACCTGCGAAGGTTGGGGGAGAGCTTTGCAGATTTTGAAATAGAAATTTCAGGACCGGGGAGAATTTCTGACAACTTGGATAGAGATAGTGATTGGGGGAGAGAAGGTGACTGATTTTTGCCAGTGTTGGCAGCTGGTTGTGGTCTGTCTGCCCCCAGGAGAGGGTGGTCTCCCCCCTATTTTTTCGTCAAGATTGCTGGAGAGGAGCTGTAATGTGAACGAAGAGATGCTGAAAGTGAGATATTTCTGATGACACGAGAAGGTGTTGATGAAGATGAAAAAAAGAGAAGAATTATGATTGGGGATGATGGATAGTTGCTGTGGATGCTGCTGCTTTTGAAGTTTGTATGTCGAGGTAGGCTTATGGCAGCTGGGCTTATTTAACAGCGCAAATACCATATATGGGGCCGGTTAATTATTTCAAGCTCGACTATATCAATGAATAATCTTGGTCATCAAGATAATGGAAGAAAGCAGATGTGCATTACTTTGCACGTGAATGATTTTGGTAGGGCTGTTGATCTGGTAATTGCTGAGGGCTGTAAACGAGGAGTTACCGCAAACTACTTGTTCTCTCTAGTGTCTGCTGGGGAAAAAAAGACATCAGACCATTGTTTTTTGCCATTACATTTGGAGATTTGTTTTTTTCGCAAAGTGCTCTTATGCTGGCATGAGCAACGCCCATTACTTACTGGACTGGAATACCAGATACGGCTACTGATATGCCTAGCCAGCTGAGTTTTTGCCAGTTCCATCCCGGCTATTCTCCTCTGCCAATACGTCATTGCTGCAGGAACATTCGCCCTTTTCTGTTAGATTGTGGGTAAAATCCTTGCAATTTCTGCTCCTACCAGATGGATGAGTTCAAGATGCTTTAAGGTATTAGAAGCTAGGTAGCGTCGTATCTTTCATTGCATAACCCCCTTGATCTTTTTACTTTTCTTCAAACCAAAGGCACATAGCCAGACTGAATTGGTTTGCTTCAACAGATAACAGCTGGCAGAGATATTCTACAATTGCAAGCAGTACATCCGATCACGTACACAGCACGCACACCACGTTTTGCGGCATACAACTTCGAATATAATACGGTTGACGATCAAGGCTGTGGCATTTCTGCAAAGGCACGGCTTGTGGAGATGAAGAAGATACGTGGGCTGGTAGGCAATCGATATTATCGTTGCTATTACTGCTATTGCTGCTATGACCGCTACTGCTGCTGTTGTCGCTACTGCTGATATTATCGCTACTGCTGCCATCGAGTATAGCTCCGCGGAATAGTCCATACCATTCTTCTTCAAGACGTCCGACCTGGGCCGCGGTTGGCCATCTTGTATCGGACTCAACATAACTAATCACCGGAACAAAGCAGAATACAAACGAGCAGTCGCTCAATTCACGATGCCGCAGGAATATTTTATCAGTCTTGAACGTCGACCTCGAGTCACTTCGCAAGCAGAGACTTTTACCTGGCAAGGTTGATGTAATTTCTTATTGATTTCTGGTCATCTAATTGTTCAACACCAAGTTCTTTGCCTTGTCCACCAGCCCGTTTCCATTCACGCTCTTCTCGTTTTCCAATCGCGCAGCCCTCTCCGACAGACTCTCGCTGTTCTCGGGATCAAAGAACGGTCGCTCTCCAAAGATGGCAGTACGCTTTCCTTCTCGAAGCTCGGTGTCGTAGCCGCCAGGAATGGCCTTGTGGGCGATGACTCGGTTATCCCAGAAAGCGACAGCGCCGGGCGTCCACTTCCAGCGAGCGGTCACGTCGTCTGCGTTGGAGAGATGCTCGCGGAGAAAGGCGAGGATGTGGTGAGACTCCTGGGCATTTAGCTCCTGGATGCGCTCGAGGAAGGTTGGGTTGTAGAAGAGCGACTTGAGGCGGGTTACGGGGTGTGTTCGGACCAGGGGATGGGCGGTGGAGATGGGGGCTCTGTGTGGTGTTCCGCCGCCGTTGATGGAGCCGAGATAGGCTCTCTGTGTAGTGGTTGGTTAGTTTCGACGGCTACTGACTGGTTGGCAGAGGCTCAACGAAGATGAGATACGTACATCTGAAGAGTGAACTCCGTGGAGGCCCTCGATGGCCTTTTGGAAAGCTGGGCTGAGCTTATCAAAGAGACCGGTTTGGCTGGTGAAGATGGTGTCTCCGCCGCTGGGAGGTGTCTTGAGTAGACGAAGCAGAGTATACGCAGGCGGGTTCACCTCGTAGGTATGATCGCCGTGCCATTCTCCAGAGAAGTTGCCATGGCTTCGGATATTTCTACCAATAGTTAGTAAGAAAGCTCAATGCTCAATAGGGATTTATGCTTGGTCAGAAGACTTACCCGCCTCGGCCGATGATGGTTACGTGTTTGGGGTCCTGCTGGTTGGGATCTCTGTCTTGCTATTGGGTTGGTTCCATGTTAGAGGCACATTGCCATGAATTATCGTCCAGAATGGAACCACCTACAATGCCATAGTATGATGCAAGTTCGTGCTGCTGGTCAAGAGTGATGTCTTGATCGCGGAAGAAGACGACGCCTCTCTACATCTCAACTGTCAGTTAGCGATTCTTACGAGGAACTGCTTCTGACTCAAAGCATCAAGATGTTTTTTTCTTTCGTCTCTTCTCTCTTTTTATTCCCGTCTCCTTTCCTTGTTTCAAAATTCAAATGCTTACCTCCGCTACCAGCAGTGCCAGTTCGTCTTTCTGCTGGTCGGTCAGCTTGCTCAGCTGGACTCCCTTCAGCTCGGTTCCGATGTATGGAGTGACCTCCTCAACGGCTGTCGCTAAACCCAGCAGTGAAGCCTTGGCTGGGTCGGCGAAAAACGCTCGATCGCGGGCTGGAACGAATTCCTTGAGCGCCTCGTGGGGAGGCTTGTACGCCAGCACCGCAGGGGTGATTGCGGTACCGACAAGGACGCTTGGGGTAAGGACGTTGGCCATGTTGGATATGACTTATTGGGAGAGATATTTTTTTCTTGAATTTTTGACAGTTTGATGTCTGCTGTCTTTATCCCTTGTCTTTTATTCAAGATCCTTTCCGCTGATCTTTCTTGCCCCTTCGCCTTTTTATACGACCAGGGCCCTGGCTCTCGGCTCTGAATTAAAAGCAATAATGATTAAAGATTGCAACAGCAAATAGTTTATGGCGGACCAATCGGCTCATTGCCCCGATGCGAACGCATGGTCGGAGTTGTCAAATCTGCATGGCAGGAGGCTATCGCCATGCCCATTCAAGATGACGCCAGCGCGGGAACACCAATAACGCGAGCTGATAACCCCGCGAATTCGTTGCAGTTGGCAGCCATGCCGGCGATCTCGCATGTAATGCATAAGTGATGCATCCCGCGGGGAAGCTAAACTCGAAGCTCTGAGATGTGGAATCAAATGTCTGGATTTGTATATTGCTGGTTGTTTAGGGCCGGACAAGGGCCATGATACCATTATTAGGTTGCAAACGCCATCAAGCTGATAGGTCTAAAATGTAATGACAGATCGCTTATCTCGCAAAGGCGCGAAGCTTTCTTTGAGTCTATCGACTATCGAAACTACTGTGTAACTCACGTTTTGTCGCGCCTGTTGCGCTTGGCGGCGTGTTAAGACGCATCATATATGATACCATTTCGATATCGAAGACGTGATCTCCAGGCCATGCAGCCTCACACCAAAGGTGCGCGCAACGTGATATTCCGTTAGCTTGATCCTTCGTTGAGATGTGCCGGCAGCTGAAAAGAGATGGTGACTGGATGCAAATTTATATATACTTTGGGACATGTTTAAGAAGATAAGTTTAAAATTACACTCGGAAAGATTACTATTTCAATTTTGGTTGTATCGTCTTTTGACTTTGGTACCCGACGGTCTGTTATGTAATTGGCAACCATGGCGATTGAACCAACAGAAGCAACAACTCCATCTGAAGCGGTGCTTGAGAAAGAAAAGCCCATTGACGCTGCGAGCTCAAGCTCCAACAAGAGCGATGTGCCCGACAGTAACGAAAAGTCCACCGTTGTGGTCGATTCTCACTACGAAGATGCATCATCTTCCAGCTCCAACAGCGATGTGTTCGACATCAAGGCAATTGACCCCATCTTGGCTCGGAAGATGGCGCTCGTGAACAATGCAATTGACGAGATCGGCATGACGAGCTTCCAGTGGAAGCTGTTTTGGCTCAATGGGTTTGGATATGCGGTTGACTCGGTATGGACTGCGCGACTCTCAATCAACTCTTGTTCAATTAAAGTGTGTTTTGTAAACTGACATTTGCGATTTTTAATTTTCACAATGTAGCTTCTAGTTGTCTGCCAGTCTATTGCCAATCCGGCAGTTCAGCAGGAATACGGACTGCCGAGTGCCCACATATCCGGCATCCCGCTGGCTTCACAAGTTGGTCTCTTGGTGGGAGCCGGCATCTGGGGTTTCTCTGCCGATATCATTGGTCGGAAATTGGCCTTTAACACGAGTCTGCTCTCTTGCGCTGTGTTTGTCCTCATTGCGGGCGCTATGCCGTCGTATATCTCTTTCTCTGCCATGTAAGTGGTCTTTTCTTTTAAAGTAGACTCTTTGAGTTGAGATGTTTAACCTGTCAACCAACAATAGCGTGGCCATCTACTCAGCGGGTGCTGGAGGCAACTACATCCTCGATGCTACGAATTTCCTCGAGTTCCTCCCCACCAGCTACGCATGGCTCGTCACCTTCATGGCCGTCTGGTGGGCTGTTGGATACACCATCACGGGTCTTCTTGCATGGGCCTTCATGAGCAACTTTAGCTGCGCGCCTGACGCGGCGGTGTGCACTCGGAAGGACAACATGGGCTGGCGATATCTTCACTTCACCTGCGGCGGTCTCGTGTTGGTCATGGCATTTGCGCGCCTGGCGTTTGTGCGCATGGTCCAGACGCCGCGGTGGCTCATTGCGCAGAATCGCGATGAGGAGGTTATCAAGACGCTCAACGACCTTTCGACTCGAGCTGGGAAGTCGCACAACCTGACGCTGGAGCGGCTACAGGCCGAGGGCGTGGTTCTGCACACAGAAGAATCCGTCTGGTCCGCTCTGCGGCTCAAGAACCACTTCAAGGGCCTCTTCATAACGCGCAAGCTGGCCTGGTCCACGACCGTCATTCTGGCCAACTGGTTCGTCATCGGCATGGTCTCTCCGCTGTACAGCGTCTTCCTGCCCTTCTATCTGCAGTCTCGGGGCGCGGAAGTTGGCGACAGCTCCAACTATACGACGTGGAGGGACTATGCCATCAACCAGGTTGTTGCACTTGTTGGTCCTGTGATTGCGGCGGTGCTGATTGAGTCCAAGTGGTTTGGGCGACGGGGCACGCTTGCTGTTGGCGCGCTGATCACGATGGTGTTGCAGTTTGGCTATACGCAGATTAAGACGCCGGCGCAGAATCTTGGTGTTTCGGCGGCCATTTCGGCGGCATCGTAAGTTTGCAACTTATACATATCCCTACTAATGAATTGTTACTCGGACAAGAGCTAATTCTTTTGTAGAACCATTTACTATAGCACGATTTATGCGTATACGCCCGAGATCTTGCCTTCTGCGCATCGTGCGACGGGCTATGGCCTCTGCGTCGTCCTCAACAGAGTCGGCGGTATTCTGGGAGTGTTGGTGGGAAGCTATGCGAATGTAGAGACGACGGCTCCGCTGTTTGTGTGCGCGGCCTTGTTTGGGCTGCTTGTTATTTTGAGTCTGATACTGCCCTTTGAGTCTAGGGGAAAGAGAAGCCAGTAATAATAAAAAATGTTTGACTTCTTATCTCATGTACGATTTCTCCTGTTATCTACCGATATTGAGATGTAGAAGAGATGCGCTGCAAGGGCGTTTACCGTTACAGCCGTTGTGGAGATGGCTGCTGCGTAAAATATCAGCCGTACATATTGCCGAATGAGGCAACTTTTGCCCTCTATGTTCCGATTCAGCGTCACAACGGCGATCCATGGCGAATTATATATATCACGCCGCTGGCTATTGTCGGAGAAGCATCTGGAAGTCCCTCGGAACCGGTCTCACTCGCTGTACGTAAAACCGGCAGCAAGCAAAAAAATGCCGGACAAGCCCCCCGGGCGTTATTGGCGTTATCTCTCCCGGCGTAGCATCTGCCGGGGCTTTTCGAATATGGAGAATGCGGGGAATGGCCACAGGAACAACAGAAGGAGGCTACCCTGCCCTGACTCGGGACGTGACGAGACTTCGGCGGTCCAGCCTCCGGCCCGGCCACCGGAGATGGGCGAAGCCTTCTCCACGCTTTTCGACTTGATAGGCTTGAGATAAGAATTGACAGGTGTCTCATAGCGAGAGAGGTTCTAGAACTAGCTTGGGAGGAGATTCTGGGGTCTAGTGCGCGAATTTTGTTTTGATGCCCGCATGATCAAAGCATTACGTAGTGGCGAATTTCCCCACACGATAGCAAAGAGGTGAATCTGCAGCTGGTAGGCAAGAATTTGCTATCTCGGCACCTCGGCAGATGTGTAGAGATATGGAGATGCGGATGATAAGGGATGGAAGGGGAAAATGATAGTAATTCACCCAATTGGCTATCAATGTCATCAAAATAGTCAACGATTGTTGAGGTGCAATTCCATAGCAAGAGGTTGTACGTACGTAGATTACTGGATACTTGGAATCACATTATGTAGAGGATAAGTTGAAGAGGGTAACAATTTTGAGATGGTATAGTATTTCCTTTTTCCACTGAAATCCTATTTTCTTAAAGCCATATGATGCGCGCCAAATTCAAGGTATATGTACAGATAAAACAATTAGTGAGAAATGGCTTCTCTTATGAAACAACGCCTTTTCGCTTCCCAAGTTCTTTTTTTCCCCACTCTATGCAGATCCAAGGGCCTTGTCCAGGGACTCAATCAGGTAAGGGACTGTAAAAAAATAATTAGTTTAGCTGGATCACAGAGAAACTAGAATTGTGGCTGGACTTACTGTGAGCCTCCTCAAAGACAAGCATGGGGCGAAGTCGCACGGTTCGGACGCCGCAGGTGCCGATGTTGACGCCAAGCGTCTTCATCTTCTTGACAAGAGCGGCAGAGTCCTTGGTGTCAAAGGCAATGTAGGTTCTATCATAGAGGCGTTAGTTTAATTCAAAATGTCGATTCAATCATTGGCTGAGAATGACACTCACCCTCGGTCCTTGCCACGGAGGTTCTGAACCAACTGTGGGTACTTTTCGGCGAGGCGCTCCATCTCCTTGTAGAGAGCCGCACCAACGCGAGCCTAAAAGAAGATTAAGTTAGCCTTTTGAAACCAACGAAGTGAAGATGAATTTTTCTTCTGCTAGACTTACAGTCTGGTTGCAGAGGTCCTTGGACAGAATCTCCTCGACAACGGCCTTGGCCATGACAACACGGGCTGGGTCACCGATCCAGCTATTCTCAAATTAGTACACATTAAAGTAATTAAGATTCTCCGTCATAGCATGGCAACGTACGTGTTGAACTGGCGGTAAGCCTTGTCAGGTACCAGCTTGGGGTTACCGAAGAAGTAGCCCGCAGTGTTGGCCTTCTTGGAGAAGGTGACAATGTCGGGAGGCGAAGTCAGGTTCCAGTGCTCGTGGCCCCAGAACTTGCCGGTGGCGCCGAATCCTACGCACGGTGCATTAGCGACTTTTGTGATACACTGAACCTGTAAGATAGTTTGACGTACCAGTCTGGACCTCGTCGACAATCATGGTGACGTTGTGCTTCTGGGTAATGTCACGAAGGCCCTGGAAAAAAGCAGCAGAGGCGTGGTTGTCACCGCCCTCGCTCTGGATGGGCTCGACAATCAGGCCGGCCACGGGGAACTGCCACGTCTTGATGAGCTCCTCAACCTTGTCGAGGCATCGCTTCTCCTCGGCGGCGTTCTCAGCCTCGTACTTGTCGAGAGGGTACTTGAGCGCCGGGAAGGGAGCCTGAGGCCAGTTGAAGGAGGGGATATCCAGCTTGTGGACGGCCTTTGAGCGGGTGGTGGACAAGCTGCCAAAGCCGCGTCCGTGGAAGGAGTTTGCAAAGCTGAGGATGGCCAGGTCCGGGGAGCCGGGCTTGGCGTTGTTGAGGCACGAGGCGATTTCCTCGTCGGTCCACTCGACGCCCTCGCCGCGCTGCTTGCGGCGGTACAGCATCATGGCGGCCTTGTAGGCCAGCTCGTTGGCCTCGGAGCCGGACTGGGCGGTGAAGATTTGGTCCAGGCCCTTGGGTGCGACGCGGAGGAGGCCGTTCTTGAGGACATCGTGCCACTGGCTGGAGGGGAAGTTGCCCAGGGCAGGGCGGTTGACCAGGGCGGAGATCAGCTCAGGGGACTGGGCGGCCTTGATGAGAGTGGGGTTGTTGTAGCCAACGGGGATGGAGGCAATCTGAGAGTAGCTGTGTTGAATGTTAGATACAAGGCCTGAAGAATATGATGTATGATGTGCAACTATAAGTCTATGAGACATACACATCAAGGAACTGGTTGCCGTCAACATCGACAATGCTTTAACAAGGTTAGCTTCTATGCTTCATTTAGTTTCATAAGATGTCAAAGCAAACATACTAGTTGCCAAAGCTCTTGTCGTAATCGGCAATAAAGTAGAATGCTCGGTTATCAAAGAAGGCTCCCAGCTTCTCGGCCTCAGCCTTGGACTTGGGGCCGGGGATCTCAGTGGCCACCTTGACGTCGCGAACAGAACCCATTTTGGCTGCAGTAAAATTGAACTTGATTGTGATGAAAGTAAAGAATATTGCCCTGCTATACAACACAAAAGAACAAGATACTATACACAAAGATAGGTAGCGCATACCTCTTCTTTATAGTTTCGAGTCTATATAAGTGCCCTTCCTCCCGGCAATGCTCGCCCGGCTAACGACGGTGGCGGGCGTGGGGATGGGGCTTAGCGTCGACGACCGGCCCGGTTCCGGCTGCGGTGCCGGGCCCACGTGAACAGCTTCCGGCTGGTTTTCTGGAGATGCCGGCCGTGGAAGATGGAAGATGTGAGATGGAATGAACGATATCGGAATTGGCGGCGAGGGAAATGAATCGTGGATGGGGGATGCAATTTGGTAATGTGAATTTCTTGATGGATTGATAATGGGGTTCGGGATCGATCCGGATGTTGCCATGTAGCCGGTTCTATAAGAAGAGGCGGGAGGACATGACAGAGTCCATTTTATCATATACGTATATCCAGACATTAATATATTAAATTATTTCTGAACCTGTTTGTTTGTCATACTTTAGGAAAACAGCATCACGACAAGTTTGGAAACACAACAGGACACAATGTCTGCTGCTGCTGCATCGGTCCTCAAGGACGCATCGCTGCTCAAGACGAAATCTTACGTCAACGGCGAATGGGTCGAAGCCAAGTCTGGAAAACAGTTTACTGTCGACAGTAAGTTACAAACGCAAAGACAAAAAGAGCCATGTCTATGTATACGTATAGATGAAAATCCTCTCTAACACACGACTTATAGACCCTGCTACGGGAGAGGAGGTCGCAAAATGCCCTGAATTTGACGCAGAAGACACTGAGGCTGCCATCACCGCCGCCAACGATGCCTTCCAGTCATTCCGCAAGGTCTCTCCCCAGGAGCGATCCCGCCTCCTCCGCCGCTGGTACGACCTCATGGTCGAAAACGCAGAGGACATCGCCAAGATCATCACTCTCGAGAACGGCAAGGCCCTGACCGACGCCCGCGGCGAGACCACCTACGCCGCAAACTTCTTCAAGTGGTTCTCCGAGGAGGCGCCCCGGATCTACGGCGATGTCATCCAGCCCAGCGCCCCCAACTGCCGCGTCGTTACGCTTAGAGAGCCCATTGGCGTGTGCGGCCTGATTGCGCCGTGGAACTTCCCTGCGGCCATGATTACTCGCAAGGTTGGTCCTGCGCTGGCTGCGGGATGTACGGTTGTTGTCAAGGCGCCTACGGAGACGCCTTTGACGGCGCTTGCTTTGGCGGAGTTGGCGCACCGGGCTGGTATTCCCAAGGGCGTTGTGAATGTCATCACTGCGTTCGACAACACGCCTCTTGTGGGCAAGGTCCTCACCACGAACCCCATTGTCAAGAAGGTGTCCTTCACCGGCTCTACCCCCGTGGGCAAGATCCTCATGAACCAGAGCTCTTCCACGCTCAAGAAGCTCTCCTTCGAGCTGGGCGGCAACGCACCCTTCATCGTCTTTGAGGACGCCGACCTCGACACCGCAGTGCAACACCTGATCGGCTGCAAGTTCCGCGTCGCCGGCCAGACATGCGTCTGCGCCAACCGCATCTTTGTTCACAGCAGCATCTACGAGGAGTTTGTCAAGCGTGTCGTCGACGTCGTCAAGACATTCCAGGTCGGCAACGGCCTCGACAGCAAGACCACACACGGGCCCCTGATTCACAGCAGAGCAGTGGCAAAGGTCGACGAGCACGTGCAGGATGCCGTCTCCAAGGGCGCTCGCCTGCTCCACGGAGGCAAGAGACTGCCTCTTGGTCCCAACTTTTACGACTTGACGGTTCTGGCGGACGTTACGCCCGAGATGCAGGTCTTTAGGGAGGAGACGTTTGGACCTGTTGCGGCGTTTTTCAAGTTTGATACCGAGGAGGAGGTTGTTGCGCTGGCCAACGATGCGGATGTTGGTCTGGCGGGATACTTTTTCAGCAAGGATAACAGCCGATGCTGGCGCGTTGCGGAGGCGCTGCAGGTGGGCATGGTTGGTGTCAATGTTGGAGCCATCAGCGACGTTGCTATTCCCTTTGGAGGCGTCAAGGAGAGTGGATTCGGGCGAGAGGGTAGCAAGTATGGTGTTGATGAGTATCTGACTACCAAGATGATCATGACTGGTATTTAAGCGTGAGTTTGGAAAAAGAAAAGGACGAATGAACAGCTCCTGTTTAATATTTGGTTTAGCGATTGCATTAATGAATTGGAATTCTTAGAATTAGTTGTTAGAAAGTTATAGGGAAAAGGAAACAACTTATCTCTTTCAACGTCCTCTTCTTGTACTCTCATGTCACTTGTTGTTTGCATGGAAACCCGGCGTAGCTATGCTTCAAATATGTGTATAAGCGCTGTGACTCTACATGTAATAGCCCAATCAGGCTCTTTGGCGCCCAAAAGAAGTAAAAAATGCCCAAGGTGGCTGGTAGTCATCCAGCATCTGCTCGAATCCCTAGATTGATCCGTGGAAGAGAGACCAATTCGACCCAAGTCATCGCAATCTTATATCCCGTAATAACCGTCCCGTACTCCAATCCGTGTAAACAATACCAATTTTCCGCTCCCAAGAATGAAACCACTATGCCGGCCTGCGGTAATGAGCGCGCATTGTTGACTCATTCAACCAATCGCCTCGTCCAAAAATTCGACCAGCCGCCCAGTCATCTCTCAGCTGGCGAGGTGTCGGATCTCCATGGCCAAAGATTATATGTGAACCACCTTATTTTCCTCTTATATAAAATTTGTATGCATACGGATGCTCAGTGTCGTTGATAGAAACTGCAACACGATGCATCTTCCATGTTTCTCGTCATCTCGCCATGATTGCCCGTAAACGATCGCGTCTCCTTTGCTTCTGCGCAGCAGGCGGGTCTATACCGTACGCCGCCAATTCGAATGGATCAGACGCATCTTCGAGTTTTTCGAGTTTCTTCCGCCGCAGGTGCAGCCAGAACAGAACCAACAGTACGGATCCGCCGAGTAGTAGGCTGGAATATGGGCAACAAGAGTTAGCAAGCTTGCATCTTTATACAGCATAAAGAGGAGAGGAGAGATCATACGCTGTAGAGATGACCACTGCGATGAGGATATGCGTTTGAGACAAGGGCTTTTCGCATGTGTTACTCTCCTGGGTTTCTGTGCAGCGCGTTATCAGGCGATTGGCGACGCTGTGTAACTGATCAATCGAGCGGCTTAGTATGCTTTTCGACATCTCGCGCACCATGACGACGCCTTTGTCGTTTTCCATCACCGTAATAGAGAATTATGGATGACGAGGAGGTAAATGTGTGTGTAAGAGAGTGTTGTTTGCAGAAAAGCAAAACAAAACACCATCCTTTCAGCCACCTTCAGCAGCAGCCAACACCTCGTATATAACGGCCGCCTTGTCACTCTCATGTCTCTCTAGCCAGCCCCCAATACCACCACTACTGTACGCCATGTTTTGGCTCTTGAACTGCATCAACCATTCCGCACGGCCAAAAGAGGGCTGTGCAGCGGAGGTTTCAGATGTGCATTCCCCACAGCCCTGGGAAATGAAACAGAAGGGGGCCCGGCCAATCGAGGCGCCGTCGTGCCTGGTTTCACCCCCGCGCTGGCCGACGCTTTTGGTGTAGCTTGGCGCTGGTGGCTGATCGGTCTGGTATGGCGATGCAAGCGCAGGATCGCCGTGACGCCAGTGAGACGCTGTTTATCCGCGTTGGTTCAGGGCATGGCCATCTTCAAACGGCCTGCGCAATGCTGAGGGGTGGACATGTTTTGTCGCATCGCATCGCGTCTCTCTAGGGGGACTTGCGGCTGGCAGTGACCTTGCGCATCTCCGTGTCTTGCATCATGAAAACCATTGCTAATAATAGTAGGCGTCAGAGCTGAGATAACTGACATGAGATCAAAGGATGAAATGTGAAATAGACTTACAGAGCGTTCACACCCAATCCGTCTCTGTAGAACTGTCAAGTCGCGCAAAAGCAGCAAGGCAGCAGGGGTCCGCTCAGATCTACGCATCTCAGCCCTTGGCTTCCCCATAATTAGAAGCTTTGACAATCATCCACATGTAGCACTCGCATGTTTACAGGAACCATGATGTCAGAAGTGATATCATATTAAAACCATATATAGTGATCCCCCAAAGTATTATCCATCTTTGCCAGATCAGCGATGTGACCTATCTCTTATTATTGTATTCAATGCGAAGTTGGCGAGCCTTTGTCTTCCTCCTTGTCTTACATTGACAGCTGGAATAAAGCTTTTTCCAGCCGCCACGTCAGTGCTCTCCCTTCAGATGCCTAGCATTGTGTAAAAACTGGCATGGAAATTGTGCTGCAGGCCCTGCGGCGGAGTTGCTCACAGTTCTCGTCCGCCCCTGTAATCCTCATCCAGCTCTGTTTCCTGTCGTATTACAAACCTGGGCGGCTTGGCGTGAGGCATCTTCAAAATCTTTCTAGGTTGAATTCATCCCTTTAATGTGAGTGCTTCTTCATCCATGTCCAGGGTCGATGTTGTTTCCAAACTCATTCCCAAAGAATGCCGAAAAGTCATCCAAACTTTGTGGAAACGACGCGAAATGTCCATCAACACCAAAGAACGGAGTACCGTGTGGCATCATCGCGGGTTCTTCCTTCGGAGCTTCTCCCATATGCCTCGGCTGCTCCATCACCGGCGGCGCAATCGGCATTGGCTTGTTTTCAACGCCTGTCTCGGCCATTTCTGCTGTAGGTGCGTCGCTCTTCCATAGTTGCTCCCACTTTTTGAACTTTGCATATTCAGACTCGCTAACCATTGCGGTGGCTGTCAGCTCATGTGCGTTCATGTTGGCTATAGCTTGTTCGAATGCCTCTATCAGCGACATTTCGGAGTGTGCGGATTGGCTGCCAGTTGACATTTCCTTGAGCATAGATAGCCCATCTCGTAAAGCCTGTCGGAACATGTATGTCTTCTGAGAAAGACATTGCGTGGTGATGACCAACAGCGCCGCCCGACAGGAGCTGAATTCAGTATACGACGCGCGAGCGAGTCCAATACTATTGCGCAGAGAGCGACAAGTGTCTATAATTGACAGTGCAGCCTCAGTACAGTCTGCAACCAAGGTCGAACGAGTACCCTTCCTACTCAGCGACGCACTGGAGGGCCCGTTTGCAGATGTGGCCGGACTGCTACCATCTTTGAATCCTGCCTCGGGAAAGATAAAAACGCGACCGACAAACATGCGTACAAGACAATATTCCAAGTGCAGATGCATGTGTTGGCGAGACAATGTCGACTGAGACGTAAATTCTTTACAGAATATGTCGTTCGGCAGAGATTCCCACCAGCCTTTTAGTTCACGATGCAGTCCTAAGAGCCTTTTCAAACCTTCTGGAACGTCGTGTTTAGGTAAAGACCGTAGTACAGTTCTAGAAAAAAACATTAGCAGCTTGCTCTCATATTGAATATCATATTGAATAGTATGTTGCTCACATCTCTTGGGACATTCTGCTTAGCTTTTGATTTAGTTCAAAGGTCGCTAGGAGATGCGCAGTATCGGTCGGCGTGGTTGATGACCAAAGATTGGGGAGATGAATCGGATAATCGGCGTCCACATCAGTACTTGATATAGATGTAGGTCTTCCATGGAAGATTCCGACACGCCTGTTAAAATGTTAGTCGAGTTCAAGTTTTATACTCGTTCGAGGGGAAATGATATCACATACTTTTCAATCGTGTATACACTCCACCATACCCGATTTCTAGTCTCGACAATGCGCACATCTCGATTTTCGACGGGATATTTCCTGTGCATGCCATTTTGTATCGCCAGCTTAAGGGATAAGTTGAGATAGATGTAGGCCAATCCAGATGCATCCACTGGCAGAGTGTATATACCAAGCAATAGGACGGCCTGCACGCTCTCTAGTGAGGATACTGTAATAACATCTGGAAGCAGCCTGCACGCTTGCTGATAGAACAGTATCCCAACCGCATCTTCTGAAAACGCGCCCGCCCCTTTCTCTGTGGGGTTCTCAGCGCCTTCAACCAAGGACTCGAGGTACGCAAATTGCGTTCCAATGGCAAAGGTAGCGAAAATAATGCCGATTATTCCCACATCTCTCCGAGAGAAGGATCCAGGATTCTCGTAAGCAAGATTTAACTTGGCCCTGAGCCAGTCCTGTTCAACAAAGAAATAGTTGGTCTGCGCATGCTTGAAAAAGGAGTAAACGAGAAAGTCGGCGATGGGTCTCGGTGGTAACATTGATAGTGATCCTAGGATTTCTGAATTTGATTGGAGCTCCTCTGCACGATAATACTCCTTGAATGACGTCGCGGACTTGTGCGGTTGCTGCATAAGCTGGTTAGCCTCGATGTAAAAGACAGAGATGGCAGGCCGTATTCACGTTTAAAGAATCATTTGTAACTGTTTGGTCGATCCACTTCTTTATGCGCATGGAAAAGTTCCAGTGCGAAAATTCTCCGGAATAATCTATTGGCTCGAGTTAGTTTCTGGAGCGTGGCATAACAGGCAAAATGAAGCTTGTACGTGTGACATTGCCGTGGAGAGGTCGCATCTCAAACTTCTCGTCCACGCCATCGAACTCAGAGCTCTGGGACGAGATATCAGCCGGTCGAGTGGAATCTCGGCGCTTGTCCGTGGCCTCGGCCAGATCCTTGAGAGCCTCGAGGTCAAGCGCATCTTTGCTGCCGACGTAGCCCTGGACAATCCGTTCCAGGTACTCGAGACGTTTGGCCTGGTCAGCGGCGCTCTCGGCTGCGCGGGGTCTTTGGTGGTTGTCAGAACGATTCCGCCTTTTGAGATTGAGCATGGGCAACCAAAACAGCATCATGGATCGAAGGCTCTACCTTGCTATTGCTCCCGGGCGCACGCCTGCGCCGGCCTGGGACTCGGTATCGGCAGAGGCTCTAGCCGTGAAGTCGCATGGGCGGCCTAGCCGGAAGCACCTCCGGCACGGCACGCCTCCATCGCACCGCTCCTTCTGGCGGCGACAGCCATCGCATCTACATTTGCGGCGTCAGACAAGATTCCATCAGGTTTCAGCTCGCTCAGCTCTCGGGGCAACGTACGCTCGAGCCGCTCGTTTCCTCTCTCTATCTAGGTGGCGGCTGGACTTTGCCGGCGGCTGCTGGACGTCCATGGGGAGAGTCACAGCGATGACATCAATGCAGGGACAGTCCGAGAAGCCGCAGATTTTGGGAAACCAAGTGATGAAGCCCCATTCCCGTATGAAGCAGAAGAGTGGAGATTGAAGATTAGTGTTGGTCACTGTCGCAAACCCCCAGAGGAAGATATGGCTGCTGCTAGGCCGCGATGACTAAGCGCCAGCTAGACGGCAGCCTGGCCGAGGTCGGGATAATGAATCAATATTGAGACTGCAGTAAGCCCAGCCCAAGCCTGATGCTAGCAGCAGAAGCTATTCGCCGCTATTTTATTACATAGTGTCATTGAAACCAAGCGGTGGGTACCAGCAGAGCAGCAGTGGTTGGTTTCGCAGAGTTGAGCTGAGATGCAATGCGGGGACTAGCCCAAGAACCGGATCGCCGGTACTCTGAAGAAGCTTCCATCTCTTCTATGACTTCTGGAAGCCAGAGCCTCAGTTGTCTACGGGCGCAGCGCTGTGGGGCATTGCCTATAACAGCCCTGCGTACGGAGTATAACATGCCCATCAACTGCCTCTGGTTTTACTGATAGATATTGTATCACCCACTTCATGTAAAAGTGATTTTTATATCAGCGTTTGAATTACAAATCGGTGCACTTGCTGATGCCTCTTGCTCTATTGCCACACTCGCCTCTATAGTGCCCTACATGCAGGACGGAGACACTTAACTGTGCTCTCTGTGTAATGTCGACTTGTTGCACCTAGTAAGTACCTCTTTATGTGAAAGATAAAATCTCTGATGTCTTCAAATTGCAAGCGTTGGTGAGGTCTCAGCCTCGGATTTATTCTGTCATTGACGCCGATGTTTACGTGACAAAGCCGCTAACGATAGCAAACCGGTTCAAGGCTCTCCTGCTCGCATCGGTCATGATAGCTTGTAGGCTTTGATCCTTCCCATATAAGCAAAAAAACGATGTCTGTACTCGCGCATTGGTATAACGAAGTTGGTAATGCATTTCTCTCTATGAATGACATCATGATAGACTCTTCAGAATAATGCCAAGATTCGAACCCCTGAAGCTATGTTGGTCTCTGTATCTGCTCTATAACTGATAAATGACAGGTGATAAACACAAATGCGCCTACATGTATACTTCAAACACATGAAGCAAAAGAGCGACAAGCCACATTGCACGTAAATGTCGCCGTGGCTTATATAGCCCAGAACTGTGCATACGTCGGAGTTTTTGGTCATGCCCTAAACTCAATCTGAATTTCTGAATAGTAATCACGGCCATGATCCCTCGGGTCGCGCTTCCACGCATTTCCAATTCAGCTGAGAATACTAACCAGAGAGCGAATTGCAACACTGCTCCCAAAAGGATTGCTTTGTGAACTAGTCCTCAAGAAGCACAATCGACTGACACTTTATTGATGTTAATTCTTAATCCTTGACCAGCCCACTTCTGCTTCAACTCCAGTATCCGCTTTCCACAACAGCTGCTCCATACCATCTATCAACGGGCGACATGCCACAGTCCTTTTCCTTTGTCAACTTTGATGGGCCGAACCTCGTCCCCGATGCGCAGGTTCGGCGGCGCATCCGGCAGCAGGCGATGAGAGACACCGCAGTGGCCCGGAAACAGAGAGGCGATTATGGCAAGCATAACATGAGGCAGTATCCTGTCTTTATAAGTCAGGCCGACGGCTCTAAGGTTGCGAAGGATATCCCCGACTCAAATGAACTACAGCGCATTCGCCAATCTATAGATCTCTACGTACCGTTTTCCTTACAGGATCCCAGGATGCCCAAAGAATTTTCCTTACTTCTTAATCTTATGCCGCTGACTGGTCTTCGTCTTGGTGTTGGCACCCTTTCTCACTATCTCTACGAGCCAACTCAGCCCAAAGACGCCATCGTAACAGCACAGGCCTCGAGCCAGAGGCTTCTATCCTTCATTCCAAGCCGATATGGACATGTGCAGCTACTTCGCCACGCAACGGATAGTGTCATTGCGAAGCTCCAGTACCTTTCGCAACTAGAGGAAAACAGATCGCCAAAAGGGGACTTGAAAGCGCTGATGCACTATCAGAAGGCGCTTCAAGCGCTTCAGGAAGCATTACTGGATGAACGCGAGTGGGCGAAGCCAGAAACACTTTGTGCGACACAGCTTTTAGGGATCTTCGAGGTGAATCCAATACTCCAGATATCAAGCCCTTCGACATAATTAACCAGAGTGTTTTCACAGGCCTTGAATGGAAATGAGAAAGATTCTTGGATGCAGCACGTCGGTGGTGCAGCTAGACTCGTGGAAGCTCGAGGAGCTCACATGTTCCAGTCGGAATTTGAAAAGGCCCTGTTCTTGTCACATATTGGGCCAACGGTAAGAATACACGGGCCCCAAAGTCTCAACTTGCAAAATTTGGCTCATCGTTTTCTTCCAGGTCATGTCAGCATTTCTGAGCAACACGCCCTGCTTCTTGGAACAATCACAGTGGCAGGCCGTTATTCGAGAAGCCGTCAACGAAGACGCGACTCTTTCAAACGACAAAGAATTTGTTCTCGCACTATGGGGCGGCCTTATTGAGCTGCCCAGGCTCTTCAAAGACACCACGGCACTTCTGATGGCGCCCTGTCCGCCTCCACAGAAAGTTGTTGACGATCTCATAGAGCGCTTATTGGCAAAGCGTAAAAATCTCATGATATGGCTGACTTTACTAAGAAAGAATCCTATAGTCAAAGATGGAGGGCTAGTAGATGATGAAAACGGCGTTCTCATCTTTTCTCCAGATTTTGACTATAAGACTTTGGGACCCTGGTGTCTAACACGCATAGGGCTGCGAGGCACTTACGCAGTGTGTCGAATGGTCAAGTCACGGCTCTTGTACGCTCTGTCTCCTGAAAAATTCCAGCATCTGGAAAACGAAGCGCAGGATATAGCCCGCCGCATTCTCAATTTGCAGGATGATATGGCAGCCGCCAAACAGTCAGCCTTGATCTGGAATCAGTTCATGGCTCAGGGAAGCTGGATTGCAAAGGGGATTGTGGAAACAAAGGATATATGGGGCGAGAAACCGCACAGAGATGAAAGTATGCTTGAGAAATGGAAATTTGAAAAGTGGAACAAGGTTATAGGAAGGAAAATATCCTAGTCATATCCTTTTTTTTTTTGGTTAACAGACTTCTTTCTTCCCATTTTTTTGAAACCAAAGCCAATACGTATTAGTTAGCATATCACATAGCGATTGTTTCAAAATAAATCTTCTCTCATATCGATTCAAGTTGCCATATACCATTTCATGACTTGATCAAAGACCTAACTGTCGAGTACTAAATTTGAGAGGTTGCGCTACGCTCAATGATCTCACGTCTTGTTTCGGGGATTGGATAATAATCAAGAAGAGTTAGGCGTCAGGAGATGATAGCTTTGGTAAAGGATGGAGATTTTGGGTCACACTAAAGCGAATCTTTGCTTCACACATGCTTGATCTGTCGACAAACAGTCAAGGAAATTAGAATTACCCGCTATGGTTCATTACTAATTGGTCATCCATTCATTTTATTTTCCCTTTGTTTAATCACTTCCTCAAACAACGTTCTGTCTCTTCTATTGATAAAATCAATCGCAAGTGTTGGTATCGCAGTTGCCACGCGGGTCGTTGCAGCTGGGGTCGCTGGGCTCAACGCAGAAACTGGTTGGGTCGACTCCAAAGCCTCCGAAGTGGTTGCACACTTGGTCACCAGGGCAGTCCTTTTCTTTCGTTAGCAAGATCATCTCATAGGAATGGACAAGATCCAGGATTTATGAGAGCCTTACATTGCAGGAGTTGCAAGCGCTTGCCAAAGCAGCGGTGAAGACGAGGACAGCAGTGTAGAGCTTCATGTTGATGACTGGTTCGGTTTCCTGAGGATTGAAAATGATAATTGATGATTTTGAGTTGAATGCCTTTAAAGAATCCAGCTGTCGAGGAGGTTAAGCAAGTATTTATACCTGATTGCTACAGTATCCACCACCGAACGATTTGCTCTCTTACACCCGTAGCCATACCCTGAGCTGTGATGCTAGAACAGTTTGAGCCATGGATATCTTACATCGGATGATTTTTTTTGTCACTTTGTCATTATAGCTAATCAATCGCTCGATACTGATTCAATATACCAACTCCCCGGACCCCAGTGGCTCAGATTTCTGCCCGTCGCTAAAATCGGCTCCCCCAATCAACGTTTACAAACCATGTGAGGCCTTACTACAGTACAAAATCTACAATGGCGCTAAACAGTGGTTATTAGGCTATTCGCAGCTTGAAATGCCGGGGAAAAGCTCAAGGAAACCTGGTATTCCTTGATCGAGCGTGTCATCCTTAGCGTAGGGGGGCATACCAACCTGTTCTGTGTCGTTGAGAAACCGGGTATTCCTATTACTATTCAGAGCTTGGCAGTTGCTTGATAGGGACTGTATAACCATATTTCTCCATCCTTAACAGGTAACGAACGGTCAGCGCCCGACGACCCGAACAGACTGAGCAAGCCAAACATTATTGGTGGGTTTCATATTCCGCGGGGAGATAGCCTATGTACTCCATATTGAAAGCAACCCTGTGGGCTTATTCCCGATATATATCGGAATATTTAGTATCACTTGGCCGCTTTCTATCTCCAGAATGATAAAACCTTGGTTATCTCCGTATACAATGAGAATCCGCATTATGTGAAGCATAGCAGCAACCTAGCTTGGCCTAGAGACCATCAGTCAACATAGCAGTGGGTATAGACTACTGATGCTCAAAAGGGAGTTAATTCTTGTAGCTTTTTCGGTTTTTGACCCCTTCAGATTGTTTACTCTGCACGCCACCCATGATCAATATACTAGAGCTGCCTTCCTATTTTGTCAACGGAACTTTTAATAAGCATCTCGTATGCCGCAGTAAGCTTACTTTACAGCGGATATGGAAGGACTCGAGCCCCGAACAGCCGCTAGGACTATTGTAGTGGATTGCCATCGGGCCATATACCACTTAATATTAACATAGCCAGATGCTTGAAAATAGACTTGGCATTATAGATGTTGCATGGAGTAGTTTGTTTGCACCTTGGTTTCGGCTACCTAAATACTCGGTCCAATTGATAGAAACAATGAGATGGCCGGTGGTAACATCGCGTTTCCATCGTCATAGTCTTGCGAATCACCTAGTTATTACATCAATCTGATGAAGGCCGTCGGTCACTTCAATGAGGTTGGTGAGGCAAGTTGGATGTTGTATTCCCACAAACTGCTAGTATACCATCAGCTTGACCATGTCACTGATTACAGATCACATCAAGGTTTACTTACCGCCAATTCGCCATCTGTGCGTAAACTCGCCAAGTGCCGAGTGAAGTTCTTCAAGATCAGAACGAGTAAACATTCCCTCTTCTTGTAAATCCACGTTGGTTTTAGCCAGCAAGTTTGCGGCACGGCACGTGGATGAAAGTCCAATCAGAGAAAGCCCTTCAACTCCCTTTCTCAACACTGTCTCGCTCATGGACTTGCAGATCTCGACTGCCATTCGTCGCGAGGACCCTATGGCAAGTCTATCTGCTATGCTAATAACCGTTTGGGATTGCCTCGTATGATATACATGGAGTTCGAATAGGAAGCTGAATATATCTGATTAACTCCAATTGGTTTGCTCTAGGCGTGATGTTGCAAAGTCATACCTCAGTGCCAAGGCAATGCTATCGCAAAATACAATAGAGTTTGTACCCGCAGCTTGAATTAGAGCGAAGCAAATATTTCGAAGCCGTGACTCAACTGCTGTATATGAGCTACTTGGAGACTGTATCGTCACGTCGTTCTTCAGATACTGAATAGCCTCTCGAACAATGGTTGCGACTCGGAAAAGTATCTCAAAATTCGATAGCGAGTGGTCCTTCTCGCCTAGTATTTGTTCACCGGACCAGGTAGGCTCATTCAATGAAATGGAATTATCATTTGTCGATGCCTGTATGTTTTTCGATATTTGGATGTTTGTCGAAGCTTTTGGAAGTTCTATCATGCTGTCGTGAGCAAGGTTAGAGGGACGTTGTATTTAACTTTATGCACACGGTGGCCTCCAGGTTACCGAGACCGACGAGTCCAAACACTTACCAGTCCATAATCGCAACTGCTCTCCTGCATATAGCAGCTACAGTCAAATCCTCTCCATCTTCGCTTCCATCATCTAATAGGAACTTGTGCGATCTGCATATGGTTGTACAAGCTGCAATCGAGAGTTTGGACTCTTCATCGAGACCATGGCCGTACTCAAACAGCGAGAGCAAGAGACCAATCTGGAGAGTTTGTAGACTATTTCCTGAAGAAGTTTGTAAGAGAAGAAAAGACTGCTTTGCTGCCTTATATAAGTTGCAACATATACCATGACCCGGGTGCCCGCACGGCTGCTGTGACACTAGAGCCATGCAGAGAAGCAATACGCCGTCTCTGCCATGGCAGTTTCCTGAAATAGAAGGTGTGGCAAATGAGATGATTTGGTCTTCTGTGACAATTGGAAACCAGTCATGGACCCTTTTCTTGTATGCCTGAGCAATGGATGCGGCGGTCAAGCCTGTAGGTTTAAGCGACATACAAAGAATCGAAGCATCTTGCTCAGCATCATCGATGCCACTCAACAGAGCGACCGATATCATACCCACTAGTTTGTAGCACGTCTCAAGGGATACTTCAAAAATACACGCCGTCTGATTTGTGAGCGGTTTGACGCCTTCTCCGTCATCAGTGCAAACTCCGCCGGCGGAGGTGTTGGTGGATAATTGGCGTCCATAGACGCATCGCATCTGTTTCCTAGATAACTAGAGTATGAAAAAGCAGATCTTCATAAAATTGAATAAAGAAGTAAGCGTTACGTACGATGTACATCGGGTACAAGCGGGAAGAAATTTGTCACAGCGGGCTTTGGATCTTCGGCATTGGTGGCAGACTCCAGCCGCTCTGCCAAAGACTGGAAACTGCGGCGGAGAATGGGTGTAGTTTGATGTATAAGCTGATACTTGCATTCTGCCGATGTAGCTATCGAACTGGTTGTCATGCAAAGGTCGATTCTCTCTAACTGCTGGCAATAAAGAGACTATGTCGGTACATATGTAGAGGAGAGGTTTGTTAAGGGTGCGTACAAGTTGAGAGGGTACTTCACGGAGTTTAAGCTTCTCAATAGACCGTGGGGCATCCGGCTGATAAATCTGAACAGGGATCGGCCGATGCATTAGCGCAGGTTGAAAGTCCGTTTTAAGCTTATCGAGGAGTAAGTCACCCAATCAGAGGCAGCGCCGTAATAGGAGAGGTTGCTGCTGTATTGCTTCTCTTTAGCAAAGACATAAACAGGATTGGATGAAACAGTCAATCATATGTCCATATAAAGTCGGTCTTCCGCCATGTATTTATTTGAGAAATCTTCATTCACAAGCGAAATTACAAGGAGTTCACCAGTCACCCGTCTAAACCTCAAATATTCAGAATTTACATAAACTCAAGATGTCGCCGATCAAGACAGTCGCAGTTCTTGGTGTATGTTTTATTTCTACACTCCATCCATGACTCATCACTAATATTGTCGAAATTCTTCAGGCTACCGGAAATGTTGGTAAAGCCGCGATTCCAGCTTTGCTCTCTGCCGGCTTCACTGTAACGGTCATTGCGAGGCCCGAGAGTACCTCGACTTATCCTCAAGGCATCGCTGTCAAGAATTCTGCTTATGATGACTTGAAGACACTTACTGAGGTATTGAAAGGCCAGGATGCTCTTGTTGAAGCATTTAATCCCGCCGCTGCCGAGCACCAGAGCACCATCGTACAGGCTGCTCTGGCCGCCGGCGTGTCTCATTTGATCACGCCAGAATTTAGTACCGACTCTTTTTCCGCTCATTCTGCAGAAATTCGAATCTTTGAGCCTAAACAAAAAGCACAAAAAGAGCTTGAGAGACTCACGTCGGCGCCTGACTGCACTCTATCATGGACAGGCATTATTCTTGGGGCGTGGTTTGACTGGGGCATCGAGGAGGGATTCTTCTGGGTTAACAAGAAGGATCGCACCATCACGCGCTTTGGTTCTGGTAACCAGAAAGTCTCAATCAGTCATGTTGCACTCGTTGGAGATACTATTGTGACTGTTCTTCAAAACCCAGAAAACTACCGAAATCGGGTTGCTTATTTTGCAGATTATGCCGTTAGTACGAATGAGCTTATCGACATGATTCAAAAGTTCTCGGCTCCGGGAGAATGGAACATTGTGGATCTTTCTGTTGAGAATTTCAAGAAGGAAGGACTCGCGCTTTGGGATGAAGATACCAAGCAAGGCGTAACGAATCGGCTGTTTAGCAAAGCATATACGATGCTAGGGACCGCAGGAGTATTCGATGAACAGAATCGCTACGATGGAGACTATACGGCCAAGCTAGAGCCTGGATATGGCAAGCCTATTGAAAGCCTTGAGGAAAGTCTTAGAAAGCTGCTAGGATATGCTTGAAGAGTTTTGGACCTTTGAAGGCAGCAGGTCTTGGAATCAAGCTTCTGTCTTGGAGGGCGGTTAATTTTTAGTCATGTGTTCAAGCATACTCTTTACATAGGAGATATACTTCTCAAATTACTATTATTTGCCTCACTGCGCATTAATGAGTTTATACAATGTGTGTGTTCTTATCCCAAAGCGTTTATTGAAAAGCGCAAGTTTGATAGGGATTTGACATTAGATCGATAAATGGATGATAATTGACACTTTATGTAAAACAGTCCTCTAATTATAGATGAGAGGCCTTCATCGGCAATCGCTCTAGTTCCAATCCGCCTCCCGCTTCTATCTTTCGAATTCACGTCTAGCTTGCCTCTCTCTCAATACGTTCAAGAAGAAGCTCTTCAACTTAGACCCCAATTTATACAAGATGAAACCGGGCAGAGAAATAACCATAAATATGCTATGAAATAGCGCCAGATATGCAACGCAGCTCATATGTTTAAAACCATTGCTTTCGTCTGACGTCTGTTTTCTCAATTTTGCATTTTTCTTGGCAATCCATTGGGCCCTTGTAGTGGTAACCACAGGGCGTGTAGTCTTGAGACTTGGGATCCCAGATGGCCAAGCCATTTCGAAGGCTAGGGAGATGGTTTACTCAAAGTTGTAATCTGCTCTATTGCCTCAACTGGTGAAAGAATATGGCGATTAGAAAACATAACAAACGACGTGCAGCTCATATATTATATCCTCAATAAGTTGCTGTAAGAGTTGACTAACGAGTGAACACGTTGAAATAGACTAGGTCTCTTTAGTGTTCAAAATAATCGGAGACAAAGCCAAAAAAGAACCTCGGTGCTGAACAGAAATCCAATTTTTGAATTGCCGTTGTTCAGATGATGTGCCCGAAATCAACACGTATTTCTACTCTTCGTCCTTTATCTTACTAGTGCAAAGCAACTAAGGCCCAGACAAAATGCATCTCTGTTGGCAATATTGTGCAATACAACAATAGGCATCCAGAACCAATCGCGCAAAGCTAGGCGTAGACCCAACGGCCTCTGACGATCATTACACATATTACAAGGGAAAAGTTATGTAGCGCCCCAAGTCTATTGTCCAGCACTCCAGCTATAATGCGGGCTACCACTGCTATCGCTGCTACTACTTCTACTATCTTTACTACTTCTACTATCTTTACTACTTCTACTATCTTTACTACTTCTACTATCTTTACTACATCTGTCTTTACTACATCTACTATCTTTACTATTTACGCCTTTACTATCTCTACTGCTGCTGCTAGTAATATTATTAATACTATAGCTTTTTAATGCATTTAGCAGTTGTATATTCTTAATACACGGATTAACGACCTTTATGTTGTTAAGCTATAGCTAGGGTGCTGGATAATGAAACCGAGTGTTAGATACCTTCTCTCTATTGCAACATGGGCTTACAAGATACAGTCACGCATATAGGCGCATAAACCTTAACAGCAAAAAACGTAGATCTCAGAACGAAACGGCGCCGGTACGGAGGACAACCAAGATGCCTTCTCGCGCTGAGGAAATGAGCAAACTCATGCACGTTGTTGCAACAGCCCTTTATGGGCGCAATGGTGGTGGCCCACCAGACGACGACAAGAAAGGTGGCCCTAGTTTGTTTCTTGCTTTTTCCCTCTGCCTCATCTTGTATCGGAACTGATACTGTAGGTTGCGCTAGTGCCGAGGGCACCAAGAAGACCAAGAAACCCAGCAAGAATAAGAAAGGTGTCTCTTTCGTTTTATTTATTTCCATTCACTTCATTTCTGACATTGATCCAGTCCTAAAACACGTGCAAGGGGGGCGAAGCTCTTCCTCGGAGAGCTTCGGGCGGCATTCGCCCGTGCTGGCCTCCCTCCAGTTACTTCGACTAATCTTGTTGATCCTCGTCCTTCTTCTGGTCCTGCCACTACCTTCTCTTCTAGCCCTGCTATTATCTCTTCTAGTCCTGCTACTACCGATAATGTGGTAATGGATAATGGATCTCAGGTAGTCACTTTACAAGAAGAGTCTAGTTTGGTGATCCGAAGCAAGGGACAATAAATTGAGAATGACCAGAAGGCATTGGTGCTAATGGTAATAATGGACGACCAATTCGGAGACAGTAATTAAAATTTTTGGCTTCAATACTCGCGCCAGGCACGTAAGAGTGAGACCCGACGAGGAGAATGGGAGCTGCATGGTTGGCCCACCTACACCGAGGATGCGTGTTTACAGAATACAGTCATAGACACGAATACATCAACATCAACAGAAAAAAAAAATGTAGATCTCAGAATGAAACGAAATCTGCACGGAAGACAAGCAAATTTCGAGATTAACGAAGGATCAATTCCTCTCCAAACATCCACGGGCCAAAATGGCCTTGCCAACATCGATGTCCATAGTAGACACCGCGTGGCGGATATTCGTGACTATCTGAAGAGAAGAAAAAAGAGAGAAAAAAGAAAGAGCTCCGCAAGCTCCTGCCGAAAATATTAGCCCAGGGCACCGGGAAAAAAAGGATGAGTCAGCTTTCGATTCAGGCACGTGATAGAGGGACCCGGCGATGAGGAATTGGAGCTGCGTGATTGGCCCACCTAAACCGAGGAACCGAGCGCCAGTTCCGTTCCGAAGAAGCTCGTCACGGATCTTGAGCCCGAAGCGACAAAACGAGGGAATCGATAACTTTCGACTTCTGGGGGAATTAAACCAGTTCGCCCAATTGACCTGCCCTCTCCGCTCCTCGAGATCGTTTCCTAGCTTGCCCAAGATGATCGCTCAACGGCTCGGCCTCGCTGCCATGCGCAGTATGTTTCTCTCTCTCTCCCGGGCTCTTTCACATGAGAGGCAGAGCTGCGAATAGCCTCAACCTTGCGGGATACGATGTGCTAACCTGGGAGCTTCTCTGTTAGGCGCGACTAAGCCCAGTGCTTTCTTCAGCCAGAACATTCCTTGCATGGTTCTCGCCTCTGCCATGTCGACTTCACAGGCCCGGTAAGCAATGCTACTCGACCCCACGCTCTCCGTTGCTCGCAAACAATCGAAACGCAACCCCTCCATGAAGAACAACATCAACAAAGGAACTTTGCTAATACGATGCTCTTGTATCATGTCACAGACCCATCTCGACTCAGAAGCTCACCCCTGAAGAGGGCCAGCAGATCCTCGTCAAGCAGCGTCTCGACCGCCCCGTCTCTCCCAACCTGGGCATCTACAAGATGGAACAGACCTGGTTCGGCGCCTCCGCTTGGACTCGTATCACCGGCTGCGCGCTCTCCGGCGCCGCCTACGTCTACTTCACCGCCTACCTCGCTTCTCCTCTTCTGGGCTTCCACGTCGAGAGCGCTGCGCTGGCTTCCGGCTTCGCTGCTCTGCCTTTCGTCGTCAAGGGCGCTATCAAGTTCGCCTTGGCTTTCCCTTTCACCTTCCACTTCATCAACGGCATCAAGCATCTGGTATACGACCTGGGTATTGGATTTGCCAAGAGACAGATTACGAGGGGAGAGACTGCTCTGTGGGTGTCAAGTTTCCTTGGCAGTGGCTACTTGGCTTTCGGCTTGTAAGAGGTGGAAAGTGGCGCGAGTGGGAAATGTATAAAGGAAAGGGAATACTGGGCGAGCAATTGAAGGTGTAGGGTAAAACTGACTGGCCATGGAAGGCCTTTTCGATTAACTGTCCAAATCTTGATATTAAAAAGAATTATAAACAATCCGAACAATGCGCACTAATCGTGCAGTATAAAGCTGTTTTCCCGGATATCAACCAATCTAAAACGCCGTGCGCCTCATTCATATGCCATATTAATTGAGGCTGTTTACATAGTCACTCCTCTTTGTACCCTTTATTCTAAAAATCGAGCATCAAGAATTGTCTTGTTCAGCTGATGGTTGCGAGCAGCCGCAATCTTTTCGCCAACGATGGGACCCAGGAAGTCACTGAGGTCAGAAAGCTCAGATGCAGGGGTGCTTCCGTTAATTCCATTAGCTTCCGCTGCATTGCCATCTGCTATATCGGTTCTCTGCGCAAGAGATGCTACCGCCTGCACAAGCCCCTGCACGAGCATCTCATACTCGATAGAGCCTTCGGATTTTTCTTTCAAGGGTTGGAGGATCCCAGCATCAAAGCTCTTGAGGTTTCGCAAGACCAAAACTCGGATTGCTTCAGTTCCTCCTGCCTCAAGAAGGCCGTGGATTGCGCCATACAACACGGCGGGAGGCTTGGTGGGATCCAGAAAGTATTTGAGACACGTTCTTGTGAGCTTTGGCCGAAGTAAGGAGTTTGACGCCGAGTATTTGCGGGCAATGCGGCCGAGCAAAGAGGCCGCCAACTGACGAAGATCATACTGCTCTTTCAGCGAATCCTGTCCCTCGTCTGTGCCCAGTTTTCTCGCCATCAAGCACGTCAGCACAGGTGCAGAGAGGGAGCTGGCATACGGATCCAAAAACAGGCTCTTGTTCTCGATCAATGCATTTGTCAGCTCCATCATCTGCTTCAGAGTGAATGTGTCGTCGAGTTGGTGCGTGACTCTGTCCATGATGAAGTTGATAAAGTAGGGAACTAGCTGATGAAGACCGGGATCATCTCTAACGGAGCCCAGCGCAGCTTGACGTAGTCGTATAACCTCTTCATCTGGATTGTCGTCGAGGATGGCAGCTTGAATCTTGTCGAAATAGAGTATGAGCTCCTTGCTCACAATATGTTTGACAGAAGGCTGGCCAGCAGAGGTATCATTCCCAGCCAAGGCCGACAGCGCAGGGTTCGCTCCTGGGCCTTTTGGCAGCAGGTCTTGCGGTCTCAATTCGGCGGAAGTTGGATTCTGAGGGATAGAGGGCTGGACACCTTCAATGGCAAGCCAGTGCGCTACAGACAATGTCAGTGAAACCGCGCGTAGAGCATCAACGGTCTGCCAGACGAAGCCTACCAGTGAAATTCATATCTCGCGGCACTCTAGGAAGCGGCGCGTTGATCAACTTTTCGAAATCCACCTCTTCATCCTCGATATAGAACAGCGGCTGGCCAGGTCCCAAGCTCGCCTCGCCATATCGCAGAGGTCGCGTCGAATCGTAACCGTAGAGAGGCTCCGCGTCCAGGACTCTGAGGGCCAAAGAGATGTCGTTGACCGTCATGGTCGTTCGTCGTGCCGCACGCATCAAGCGGAGAGCCTCGATGATGACCTGGCCGATGCGGTACTCGACGTCCTGCGCGAGAGCCTTGAGGGCCTCATCGCTCATGGAGCCAATGCCCACCGACTCGGCAACATCTTTGACGTTCTCGGTGTTCCACAGCAGCTTGGGGTTTTCGTTCGCCATGATTCTTGCCCTTCGATTGGCGATGTTGGCGGTGTGAAGCTGCAACTTCGCTCAAGGGATGGTTGGTGGCCTCGTGAAGCGATTCGCGAGTGGGTTGATAACTCGATAAGGCTGAGAGACTGATGCGAGGCGAGCTTGGATGAATTGTGGGGAGGGAGAAGGCTGGAGGATACAAGGCACATGTACCTGGCAAAGTTTCCCAGCGCTTGTTCCAGCGGCTGTAGCGGGGCAGCTCTAGCGTGGCCTGGTAATTCGGCGCACGTCAGTGGCCCAGGGTGCCGAATTCGGGACGTGGGGTTTGACTCTGCGCTTGTAGTTCCGATGCTGAGAGCCCGAATGAGTGTGCATCTTTTTTTTTTTTTCTCTTCTATCATACCTATTGTTCTCCAGCCATTGAGCCACTTGATTATTGCTTCAAGAAGGTCTGAGTGACAATGGTAGTTGCTGAGCTCCTTTCTTGATATTACATTTCTTTAGGAAGCAGCGGCGCATCGCCTATTCGACACAATGCCGGGAGTAAGACGACATCCTACTGATTGCGATGCCCTCATCGAGTCTCTGACTAACAAATTTTCAGCCCAGGACTTTGGCCTTGGCTCTCTCAGCCACGAGAGTCGCATCTCGCCGCGTCTCTCATTTGCGATCTTCTCGTCTTCCGGCCTATCGCCAGCATGCGTTTAGTACTTCTCACCCCGTTCGACGACCAGATGCCTTCCACTCTATGCTTGAAGAGGCGCGCAAGGCTTCCGATGTCCTCTCCGCCAACCCGAATACCATCTCCAGTTCTCCTCAAACACGGACAGAGAAGATTATACAAAAGCATTCGGTTGGTCTTGCGCCCGGAAAAGTTGTCAAGTCTGGAGACTTTGTATCTCTTCGACCGGAACACAGCATGACGCACGACAACTCATTTCCTGTTGTCCAAAAATTCTATAATGCAGGAGCGTCCCAGATCCACGATAAAAACCAGATTGTCTTTACCCTGGATCATGATATTCAGAACAAAAGCGAGTCCAATCTCAAGAAGTATGCTTTTATAGAAGAGTTTGCCCGTACTCATGGTATCGACTTTTACGGTAAGCTTTTTTCTGTCTTCCAACAAACGGGTTGAAGGCTAACAACAACACTAGGCGCCGGCCGCGGCATCGGTCACCAGATCATGGTCGAGGAAGGATATGCCTGGCCGAATACAGTCGTCACCGCCTCAGATAGCCATTCGAATATGTACGGAGCAATGGGAGCAGTTGGAACTCCCATCGTCAGATCCGATGCCGCCAGTGTACTTGCAACTGGACGGACTTGGTTTCAGGTGCCACCTATCGCCAAGGTTACTTTCACTGGCGCTTTGCAACCTGGAGTCTCGGGGAAAGATGTCATCATTGCCCTTTCTTCGTTGTTCAATCACGATGAGGTCCTAAATCACTGCATCGAGTTCACCGCATCAGAAGCAACACTAAAGAGCATTCCTGTTGATTATAGGTAGGTTTTAAACTACTGCGCCGAGTTTAGTGCATCAGAAGCAACACTAAAGAGCATCATAGGTTGAGCATCTCGAATATGACAACGGAGTGGGGAGCTCTATCTGGAGTCTTCCCCGTGGATTCAGTTCTCGTCTCCTGGCTACGAGCAAAAGCTACTCTGGCAGCCATGTTTGAGGGGGGCAAGGGACGTTTCACCCATGAACGCATCGATGAGCTGGAGAGAAACCGGGTTGAAGCTGATCCTGGTGCCACCTACGCTAAATCGCTATTTCTCGACTTGTCTACTTTATCTCCTTTTGTATCAGGACCCAATACGCCTAAAACTGGAGCTCCTCTTAAGGATATTGAAGCGAAGAAGATTCCAGTGAACAAGGCCTATATTGTCTCTTGCACGAACAGCCGTGCTTCGGACTTAGCTAGCGCTGCTCAAGTCTTCCGAGAAGCGGCTACGGAAGACGGTGTCATCCCCAAAATCGCACCGGGTGTTGAACTTTACGTTGCCGCAGCTTCTCTCCCTGAACAAAAAATTGCTGAAGAGGCCGGTGACTGGCAAGTCCTCATCGACGCTGGAGCACAACCTCTCCCTTCAGGCTGCGCAATGTGCATAGGCTTGGGGCGTGGACTTCTTGAGCCGGGCGAGGTAGCCATCAGCGCTTCAAACCGAAACTTCCCTGGAAGAATGGGTGCAAAAGAAGCAACTTCATATCTCGCCAGCCCTGAAGTAGTAGCCGCGAGTGCTTTGAAGGGCTACATTGGGGGCCCGGGCTGGTATCAGGCGCCGGAGGGTGTTGAGAAGGTCATTATTGGCGAGGGCAGCGGAAACCTTGAGGCTGATAGGGTCATGAGCGTGGAAGATGCTCTTGATAAGCTTCTCAACGAAGCAGAGAGTATGATCTCCGGTGCCGAGAACGATCTTAACGGCTCCAGTGAGGCTGCGGTGGTTGAATCCGAAGACACTCTGACCGATGTCCTGCCTGGATTTCCTGAGTCCATTGAAGGCGAAATTGTTTTCTGGTAAGTCAAATCGGTAGTTTAATTGTTTCATTGCTGACTCAGAAAAATAGCGATACCGATAACATCAACACAGACGGCATTTATCCTGGTACGTTTTGCTCCTTTTCTCTTAACATGCAGATGTCAGCGTATATTAACACTTGCACAGGCAAGTACACCTATCAAGATAACATCTCTAAGGAAACCATGGCGGAGGTGTGCATGGAAAACTATGACTCTGCATTCCGCACCATTGCCCGTGAAGGCGATATATTGGTAGTGCCCTACAATTTTGGTTGTGGCTCATCCCGAGAACAGGTATTCATCTCCAGCACGTCCACCCAGTCGTACTCTTAACTAACTAGTAAACAGGCCGCTACATCGATTCTGGCAAAGAAGATTCCACTTGTTGTGGCTGGCAGCTTCGGTAACATCTTTAGCAGAAATAGCATCAACAATGCTCTTATGGGCATTGAGCTACCACGCCTTATCTCACGGCTGAGAGAAACGTTTAAGAGCGAGGATGGTAAAAAGGTGCTCACACGACGTACCGGCTGGAAACTCAAGTGGGACGTCCGCAGGAGCAAAGTGACCATCACAGAGGAGGGCGGAGAGACGTGGAGTGAAAAGGTTGGCGAACTGCCGCCGAACGTTCAGGAGATTATTGCCAAGGGAGGATTGGAGGGTTGGATGAAGTCTCAGATTTCCCAGTGAAGGAGTTGAATCTCACAGCCTTTTAACCGTGGCTAGAATTGCTTTACACATGTTTAGACTTATATCCTGCCATTTGTTACATGTCTTGTTCCTTTTGCAAATAGGCGAGCCATCAGTGCGAGCAATGTATATAGTTGAAGAAAAAGAGGAAAAGGAGGGAAAATGGAAGTGTGAAAACGGAGACGGTTTAGAGAAGGATCGATTTCCAGCCTGAGGGTGAAATAAAACAAAACTTTAAGCGAATTCTATTCTATCACAAGCTATCTGGTAACAACTGAAAGCGACACATAACTTCTATCCACTATTTAGGCGCCAATAGCAGCAACGAGCGCGTTGGCAAAAGAATTGGCCGAAACCGGGTTTTGGCCAGTCACAAACTGACCGTCAACGGCAACCTTGTCGCCAAAGACACCCGCCTTGACAAACTTTCCACCAGCAGCAATGACCTCGTCCTCAACAAGTAGAGGCATGGCGCTGGTCAGCTTAACATAGTCCTCCTCCTCGTTGGTGAAGCCGGTAATCTCCCGGCCCTTGATGATGTGCTCGCCATCGACCTTGGCGTTGACCAGAGCAATGGTGCCGTGGCACACCGCGGAAACAACCTTGCCGGCGCGGTAAAACTCCTCAACCAGGGCGATAGAATCAGCGTCGTTGACGAGGTCGTACATGGGGCCGTGGCCGCCAGGGAAGAAGATGGCGTCGAACTCGGCTGAGCGGCCGCGGAATTCCTTGATGGTGGCGGTGTTCTCCCACAGAGCCTTTTGGTTCTCGAGGAAGGCCATGGAGACGGGGTCTTCCTTGGAGAGCTCGACGGAGCCCTGGTCGAGAGGGGCGGCGCCGCCCTTGGGGGAGACGACGGTGAGTTGGACGTTCTTCCCGGTGAGGACGTGGTGGGGGTGGGCGAATTCAGGCTGCGTGAAGTGTGAGTGAGAGTTTTTAGGATTTGGGGTTGAGATTTTCATTGTGAAACTGCAACGAGAGTGAAAGAGCAACGTACCAGGTACCAGCCGGTTTGCCTGTTGATGGCGTCAATCTTGTCGTGGGAGGTGAGGACAACGAGGACCTTCTTGGCAGCCATTGTATCGAATTGTTTGTTTGGAAAACTAAAAGTCTTGTGATGAGAGTTGCGAGATGCAAGTGTTGCAAGTTGAGATTGCTAGTTGAGTTGGAGTTGTTGCTTTTGTATTGATGCTGAGCTGTCTGGATGCTTTCTGGTTTTTTTCCTTCCACAACTTGCGATCTCAAAGGGTCTTTATATACTCAGCCCTCCTACATCTTCTCCATCGTCCTCAGCCCCATAACTAGCTCCTGAAACCTCCACACGATCGTCCCTATTCTCGTCTCCCTATCCTTCTCCGAGCTTCTACCTACGAAATCGGGGACATATTCTCTCCGCCTCAAGCAGGGCTTCAGCTCTAGTCCCCGCTGGTGCATGAACTTGCACCCCTGTTTCGTCCCGGGCTGGGTCCGGAAATGGAACAGATTGGCTACGCTTGTGGTGTACGTCACAGAACGGCCCTTTGGGTGCTGGTGCTAAAGAGCTTTAGAGCGGATGGGCTTCCGAGTAATGGGTTACGTAACTACGCGTAAACTGATGGCTCTTTGCCCTTTGGGGGTTCGCAGGGCTGCTGAGTCATCTGGCGCGGCGGATGATACCGTAGATTTCGGCGGCATGTCCCGCAACGTAAGCAGCTCTTTATACTTACCCTGGGGATTTTATAGCAGGATAGCAGGACTTAACGGCTTGTCTCCGGGATTGAAGCACGGGAAAAGGTTCTGTTGCGGCTGAAATAGGCGTTTTCGATGTAATCATTGTTGGAGTCTGTGTTTCTGGTTTGTAATAATGTCCGTGGCTTTCCGTCGGTGCTGGTATGGATTGGTGAGCAGTGAGACTGAGATCCGCTCTGTGAGTATCAGACGAGATGTAGATGCATATCAGATTATCAATCGACTTGTTTAAATTAGAAGGAGCAGATAATGGCGCAGAAGCTATCTCAAGAATTCCAATTAGGTGGAATTAACGTATAAGAAGACTTTTCATAGACTGTCGACGGGTTAGACCTTATGAATCGCATCAATTGGAGAATGATAGCATTACTGAAGAAGCCCATCTTTCATCTCGATATTGCATCACGCTCAACAGGTCAACATGTCTTGGTAAGATGAGTTACCTCGAATTACTGGACTTGCTTCCAAATTGGCAACTCATACTTTGTCTCCTGGCTTTAAATGGCAAAATTGCAACGGTCCAAGCGTGATGGAGATGCAGTAAGGGAAGTGGCACAGCGGGTTACGCATATTGAGAGCAGTTCTATGCCATACTTTTGAGGAAGCATTTAGGTGGTAGTGTTTGGCATTATCTCAAGGCTTTGATCGATTAATAAACAGCAAATGGCTTGTTGGATGCTGTCTTTTAAGAGGATTTACCCACAAAGGTAGAGAAATAGGAAATATTTGGAAATATGACTGCCTCTCTTTCGTGTAACCTTTTCTGTAAAAATACAATCACAATCTTGTTATTGCTGTGTATACAGACAGTTCGAGATAACTTGTAACCCTACGTTATGAACGAGGAACTGAAACCAGATTGAATGGTAAGTTTCATAGAATGTTTGCCTGAAGGAAACATGGTTTCATTTTTAGTTATAAGGAGAGTCATATAAAATTATAACGTCTTGGATGAAGTTTGCTAAAGGAGCCCATCAAGCCGTCCATATTGGTATATTATATACATATCCACACACACATACATTATACCATATGGCATCCGCCACTCTAGCCAGATGTAATACAAAGCTTTCATCACTACAGTGCAGCGTCCTGCATATGAGAAACTAGTCTACGCCTATTGAATTGCCTCTTATATAGATCGAATTCCACGAATATAGCATGGGACCGGCCGTGGGAGTTTTGGGGTGCGAATTCCGAGTGTTAGATAATCATAACAGCGCAGCGCACCTCAATTTTGTTCTTCTAAGGAAGAAGAATGTATTTATGGCTTTGAATGCTCTACTACATAAAATTTTGGAGAAACTTCTCGGCCTAGTCTATCAACAGCTATAGCCACCTAGTCCAGACTCAGATGTTGCAAGGAATCCCCAAGGAGGGTTGCAGTAATTGCCGTTATTCGCATTAGCCTGATTGTACTCATAGAACCATCCTGTCTGGTGTTAGGATATATAACGCATAGTATCACGAAGAAAGCTTACCATTGGCACATTGGCAAACAGCATAGTTGATACCGCAGTCTGGATCCTCACTGTGGTATTTCAAAGTCAGCTTCACGTAAACAATAAGAAATCAAGAGGGCGAGAAAGAACTGACAAGGCGTAGCATCCAGAGGCGACCTGTCTACTAATATTCTCGGTAGCTGGAGCGGCTGCTACAAGAGCAGCAGGAAGGGCCAAGAGGAGGTTCAGAAAATGCATCTTGTGTTCGCAACAGTTGACCTTTAAATTTTGGTGTTTGTCAGTCGATGTTTTGCTGTGTTTGTATCTAGAGAGTGAATAAATGTGATATATATAGTATTTCGTGCAAAGAGAGCGATGTAATAAAAGTCGCCGGAATGTGGTCGACTCTACCAAAGCGTGCAGGAAAAGACATTGTGAGAGGGAGGGTGCCACATTCAGATGCCTCGAGAGTCATGATAGGATCATTAACGCCACTCGTCCAAGTTAAAAAATAAAGGTGCCCCTCGGAAGAAAAAACATTGAACAGAAAAAAGTTAAATAAAATTTAAAAAAAAAAAAAAAAAAAAAAAAAAAAAAAAAAAAAAAAAAAAAAGGCCCCAGAAAAAAAAAAAAAAAAAAAAAAAAAAAAAAAAAAAAAAAAAAAAAAAAAAAAAAAAAAAAAAAAAAAAAAAAAAAAAAAAACACGCCGCTCTCAAAGCTACCAGGACTGCTCTCCCGCCAATTCCACATAGCCATCCGCATAAAGTCATAAAGTGGCTTCGCAGTCGAGTGTTATTTCAACACGAAGGATCGAAAAGCTAACGTCACATCGCGATTCTGCCTACACGGCTGCTCGGCATTAGAGATTGTATGATGGTGCGAGCGGTAGCATCAAATCCCCGCCCAAGTGGTGTGGTGGCTCTACCCGAGAAGCTAACAAAGAGACATTTCGCCCAAGGTAGTAGTATCAAGTAACGAATGTTTCTGGCAGCATCTTGAGAGAGTAATATAAGCTTAAAAATATCTACTACAGCTTATAAGATATATAGTAATAAGCAACTTTATAATACATAGCAACAATGTCAAAACGCATTGTAGAAATCACCAAGCGTGATTATGCTAACATAATGTGGTGGAAATCACAGCAAGAAGGCATCTGTTATCGAAAATACGCCACAGCTCCTTTGCTGTGTTTATCACGTTGTTAGCTTATTTTGTTCATCTATCGCGGATTGCTTCTACGAATTTGGCAGCTAGTTGCACATTGTGCCGTTGTTGGCTATGCTGTTGGTGTTGTGCAATTGCTATCGAATCCTACCCGGGAAGGGCGGCATTCCTACTATACAAAAGGTCTCACAATGTTGGGCTGTAAGCTTTCACACAAAGCAGTGCTGCAGCCTTGCAATCAGCGCGTTGAACGCCCGGCTCTTTTTTTATGTTTTTTTATTTGTCTTGTTTTTTCTTCCTACCGGCGAGTAATGCCGGCGAGTATTTTGAAAGCCTGCTTTCTAGCTTCCAATTAGCAATTGGAAATCTATAGTGATCTACCTCTAGCAACCATAATAAGCGTGCTAGAGAGGATGCTTTGTACTTGTATATCCATCCCCCTCCCAAAAATAAAAGGCGCAACCGGAATATCGGCATCTACGGCAAAATCCTTCCTTTATGAACGACCATCCTCATCTCAGCCCACATGAGGCCAAGATCCACCAATAGGGTTTAGAAACGCCAAAATGACCGACCTAGACGGAGATAAAAGCTGCCTCTTGCGGCGAAGCCAAGGTTATAGCCTTCTCTTCAGATAACATGCATTGACCAAGTAGACTGCAAAAGGCTGAAGAGTGTGCTATATATGTGTGTATGTGAATCACCATGCAGGGCCCATTATGAGGTATATGGCCGTGACTTTTGCTCGTTCTCTGCAGCATTTGACTTGGCGGCCATTTGTTTAACTCATAGATCTGTAGTTTAGAAATGTTTCCTTTATGCATACTTTTTATACATATTTATTTATATACTCAACTAAGACATGTCTCATGAAGAGCTTTTGTGATGTAAGTGGTGTTGAAGCAGGACGGCACGTCGTAGACAGGGATCAAATGGAGAGGGTCACAGCCCACATGCATATTGCAGAACGGCATCAAAGCACCCGGAGCGTCCTTCAACTCCTCCCCGAGCTCCTCCTTCAGCTCCTATTCGAGCTCTTCCTCGAGCTCCGTTGGTCTATATTCCATAAACGAGTTCCATAAATGGGTAGTAGCTGTACGTAGCCTGTGGAGTGAGTAGTCTGAGCTTCGACACAGCAACAATGGCTGCGCTGCATGACGGACCACGAGTCTCTCAGCAGCCAAGGTTGCGAATGGCCTGTGATGCCTGCCATGAAACCAAAACGCGCTGCTCTGGGGGCGCCGTCTGTGAGAGCTGCGAGGATCTCGCCGTGCCATGTGTATACAGTGTAGCTAAGCTAATTGGCCGGCCTCCCGGATCTCGAAACAAGAAACATAACAAGCTAGGCCGCAAGCCTCGCCCAGAAACTCGTCCCATCATGGATATGACGGCTGCGGCTACTGATGATCATATAACAAGAGATACGGAAGATGTCTCTCTGTCGTCGGAAGCGGTCTCTGTAGTTACCTGTCCTGGTTGGTCAAATATGTGCTTCTCGATGTGGATAACACGTTTAGTGGATTCTAACCATGCATTGTAGCTCCGCGATCAGCGTCTTTGTCAAGCTCGCCATTGCATGACAACATCGGGTCAATAACATCGAGTTTATCCTCGAATCTATTTGATAGCGGCTGCGAACCACACAATTCAAAAAGTGGTACGTGTACCGATGAGGTGTGTATGTAAATATAAGGTACTAGTCATGTTAACTTGAGCCTCGTGTACTGCTAGTAGGTTCTGGTCCTCGAGAGCTAGAAACACCGGCATGTACATGCTTAGGTAGATTCATGGACCTGCTTGGGCGGCTGAAGCCAGCCACTAACAACGACAGCCGTACCCGCCTTGAGATGATTCTTCAGGGTGTACGGAAGTTTCACGAGGAGTGGGTAAATTTCCAGCTTTGCCATCACTGCCACGAATATCCGGATCCAGACATACTTTTGTTGATAATAACCTGCATCCGTCTTCCATTACGCCAGCTGAAAAGGTCATGGATCATGATGCCAGGCGGAGACCAGCTGTTGGCAGTCGAACAAGCCACGCCATTGCATCCTACCTTTCTCGGCACATACCAAATGACGGCTGAAGAAGAAGATGTAGTTACCAACGTCTTACTCAAGCGAGCTTTGGCCGTGCTGCAAGGGATACTTGTTGAGCTGAAGAATCTATTGGACCGACAAGAGATAAATGCTTCCCTTTCAGATTGGTACAATGGCACGGCAAAGCTTGGCGCCAATGCTGATGCATTCCCTTGTTCCAATCATATATCACCGTCCATTTATGGGGATCCATCCCCCCCAACGCCAACTTGGACAGGGAGCTACCGGCTTCAAGACGTGGATCGAGATGAAAATTCAATCGCAATGGAGAGTAATGACTTTACACCGCTTCAACAAATGGTTACGCTAGCCATTAGAGAGTGCCAAAATCTGACAGCGTTTACAAACAACTAACAGATATTACCTATAACCTTGGGTGTGGGCACTCTCGACGCAAATATGTCACACTGCTGTGGCAACCTCAAAGAGAAGATATGATGGGAAACTTTCTCGACACTTTCATCGTGCAGGCTCTTTGAGTATGCTTTTAGCCGCTGGACCTTCTAGCATTAAGGAAAAATTAAGTGCATCACCTTCAAAGCTTCGAGACATCGTCTCGTTTGTGGGCATGACATATCTTCAAGCATCTGTTAAATAGTTATCAACGAGTGGCTACATGAATTTTTTGTTGTTTTTATTTAGATCTGTGTGTTGGATTGGATAGTCACTCGTTACTTATTGTACGTAAAGAGTAGGTAAATATATGATCTTTGGCTATCAGGGTCTCTCTTTATCAAGCTTTTGAAGACTTATCCAAGTAACAAAGACTTCCTTACCTTGACAATCCTTTTTATTTTGTGAGGCTCAAGCAACTCTATAACCTCCACAATCTATTTTACAGTTGTTGTGATCGTTTTCACCACGAGGGTTGTGTCCGTAAGTACCGTTGTTGTTGTGCCATACACGTCACAATGTATCAGGAGCTTGATATAAGCATCGCATCCTGTCAAACCGTCAGGAGCGCAACAGATTGGCGTTTCGGTTGCTATGACACAAGGAAAACTCGTGCCCTTGCACACCACGGAGCCGCCATCGCCATCACTCGGTGCAGAATTTTTGTAAGCGCAAGAAGAAAGAGGCGTCGGTCCAGAAGTGAGAGCGGTGAAGAACGAGATACTGCTAGGAACATCCGACCAGTGGGCTGGGCTAGGCGTGGCATCGCCTTGGACATAAAAGTTGCCTGCTGAGCAGACGTCAAATGTCGTGCGAGGCGGGATGAAGTTTAAGTTGTAGTTGGAGAGGACAATTTCTCCGCCCTTTCCTCCAAACACTATGGAGCTGACGCCTGCCACGGTTAATGCCCCTTGCAATACTTGAGGAGTAAGCGTGGTAATGAAGGTCGTTGTTGTCGTGACGTATATTACGGTAACTTTGGGAGAGCTGCTGCCGCCGCCGCCTGGGGTACTAGTTGGCGACGTAACAGACGGGAAAGACGTTATGCTCGGAATGCTTGTAACATAATTCCCAGTAGTGAAGATGAGACTGGCAGTGAGAAGTTTACTACGGATGGAACTGGCAACGGAGTTGGCAACGTTGGCGGGTTCAGTATTGGTGTTCCATGGCTCAGGCAGGGTCCCTTCCCAATAGTTGGCTGGCGTTTCGGTGGAGTCGAGTGACGTTGCGGTAACTTCACAGCCTTCGTATGTGCTGCAAGTGGTGGTACATGAAGTTGAGATGCAATCCGTTCTGCAGTCCGAAGTTGTTATAGTTGAGCACTCATCATCATCATCCCCGTTGTCACTGTCGGGGTCGTTTGGATCTCCACTCCCATCTACAGTCTTGTTAGTATCATAGAGGCAAATATATATATATGTATATATATATAGTGAAAGAGCGAAACATACCGTTGCCTGGACCAGTTCCCGGGGGACAGAAAAGAGTACAAAAGTCAGATCCGGTGCAGCCTCCTAAAAAGGAGGGAAGCAGAGGATTGCAAGCGTGACACCAATAGTGGCAGACTGATCCACATCCTGACTTGCAAGTCGGCTTTGGCGTCGAGCTCTTGTAAGTGAGAGTCGGAAGATGCGAGTCGTGTGAAGTTGATGAAGTCAGATAAGGAAATGGAGGGGGGTATATCGTCCGGGTCTGTGGCGGGTGGGTTACACCGCTTTGCTTCAGAGGGTTGGGATTGTCAGTCACCACAATCGGCGGCGGTAGAATGCTGCTCGTGGGATAGATGATTGCAGAAGTAACGTTATCCGGGATGATTGTATTCCAAATAGGAATCAAGGTGGTTGTGATTGGCGGGATGGTAAGTGTTGTGTTGACCTCGATTGAAGTGTAGAATGTCGTCGTGATTACCGCGTTGCTGGTGGATATTGTGCTGACAGTTGTCCATCCAACCTCGATAGACGTGGTCCACGGAGGGAATGAGATGGTTGTGGGCGTCTTGAGTGTTATCGGCGGCAGCACCAAAGTGCAAGGAGGAAGACATCCGACTGTTTGAGAAGCAGCCGGTTCAGACCAGATCTGAGGATCAATATACACAATGCCACTGCCGATACCGCTACTGCCACTGCTGCCACCCCCATCTCCAAGCTGGGAGGCATCTCCGCTAGCCAACATCAGCCACGCCGCAACCTCGCTGGTATAGCCGCTTTGGTTAGAATCATTAAAGAAGACAGGTGGCGGAAAACCACCTGCCGGTGAGACGAGCTCGTCGACCCCGAAGGTGAACAGATTGTACAAGTATAGCTGGCCAACATAGTCTGTCTGAATAATATGCTCTTGGCAGTCTTGTCTGTTTCCGCAACCCAGCACATAGTTGTCGAAAAAGGAGTAGAATCCCGCCGAGTAGATGAAGATGTTGGAGGAATTCAGCGCACGCAGCGCCCATGAAGACATGCAGTTATTCGAGCTGCAATCTGAGAATGTGGGATCACTCGTAAAGCTGCCTTGCCCAGGAGAGTATGCCAAGAGGTCAAGGTATTGTTCAGGTTGGTAGTAAGGCGTTTCGGTTTGCATATGGCTTAGGAAGATGTTGGACGCATGCGCTAACTGATAGTTGTACAATTCGGAATGCTCGCTCGAAGATCCCCAAAACCAGACCTGCATTAGATGATTAGTTTATTGATTTAATTCTCCTTATTGCCTTGCACGCTTTGAGGCCACACATATGCTTACCGGACCTTGAGACTCGATCAAGATACCTCGGCCGGCGTAAACGCCAATTTGTGTCTGGACATTTTGGGGCACACCATCTGATGTTTCATAAGCGAAGGCATTGTTTGGGTTGTCAAGATCATGGTCTGCCAGTGCCAGTAAGCGTCAACGTTTTTTTTTTTTCTTTTTTTCTTTATAGAGGATTGCTCTCAGAGACTTACCGGCTACCCAAGCCCAGATATTCTCAAAGTATCCTGAAGAGCTTGGAGTCAGATGCAGCAGCATTGACGCTGCATCGCAACCAGAGCCAGGGGCCGCGTCTTGACATTGAGCCAGCTGCAGATTTGTGCCTTGAGCCCCGCCGACTCTGAAATGGCTATCGAACATCATTGCGGACCCCTGTGAAGATTCAGCAATGTTCCATTCCATCAGTATGCAGCCAGCGGTGCTTCCTTGGACAGTAAATAGCATGTCCTGTATCTCGACGCTCCCAACGTCGCCCTTGTTGCCAACTCGAACCATGACCAGTGGCTTGTCAGGATCGGCAAAGTTTGATCCAGTTGCCATGATCTGACTCCATCCTTCGCCAACAATGATTGAGCCTTTCGGAACGAGCACAGTGTTCTTAACAAGGTAAATACCAGCAGGGAAGAAAATCACACTGCCCACGTTTGAAGCCAATAAAGAATCTGGCCCAGAAAGTTAGCATGTCTGCTGACTTACGGCGCTGTTACTCACTGATTGCTGAAGACTGGTCACCCTCCATGTTGTTGGATACACCGTGAGCTGTGGCCACGATGACACTGCCGCCAGCGACATTTGTGTACAGCGGTTTAGGCTGAGTAAAGTATCGGCCATTGCTGTCGAGTAAGCTCTTGGGTTTCGTTGGACTCGGATTGATGAGGCCAGTCAAATATTGGCGATCTCCATTTTCGTCCAGGTATGCGCCCCCCATTCCCCAAGATTCGACATAGATTTGGCCAGAAGAACCAGGGAAAATAGTTTCACCGCCATCTACCAATACCACCGAGGCGGAACCCTCGACCAGCAAGTTGTCGAGGATAAGATTTGGCCTTGTTCCTTCAGCGGAGACGGTGATAGCGTATGGAACACCATTGAAATGCGAGTCAAGCACGCTTAGGGAGCCAGCACCCTGACCAGTAGAGCCGCCGTGTGAGGTACAGTTGAAGGCGATATAGCAGGATAGAACATAAACATTCTGAAAGGTCATGCCCCAACTGTCACCAAAGTTAGAAAAGCATGTTTTGTAGGATTAGTAGTATTAGCTGTCCTCTAGTACTTACTTCCAGAGCACAGACACAGCTTGCAAACACGACGTGAATTGCAGGTTGCCTGATAGGTGTAAGTGAACGTCTTGAGAGCGAGCGAAATCATGGTTTAACCCCCAGACTTACGGAACGTGAATTGCTGTGAGCCAATGACCATCCCTGCATTTCCGCCGAAGAATGTGAGGTCGGACATGAAGCCTCCACTACCATTCTCCATAAATATGCCAACCGATGTGGCTTTTCCATCGGGATCAGATGAAGTCGAGACCGCCATATTGAAGTTACAGTTCGTGATGCTGGTGGCTTGGCCGACTGTCTCCACCGATGTCAGTTGAGACAAGACATAATGAGGGCGTGAAGAGTGTTATTCTGATGAGTTGACATACCTTGCCAGTGAATGCCAGTAGGTACGTATAGTTGGAAATTCTGCGTGTTTTGCGGCGCTTGCTTTGTCATGTCAAAGTTGAAGTTGCGAATCTGGCGATAGAAGTTGTTCTGGTTCAAGTACCACTCTGCACCGCTTCCTCCCGGTATGTAAACATCTGAGTCGATGATAGCAATACCTGTAAAATTGAGAGTGCTCTGCAGCGTGGGCATCTGAATGGGGTCTCCTACAAATTGGGTATAATAATATTGGATAATTGGAGACGATACAACGTAAGTACCTGATGCCACTCGCAATCAGTATTCATCCTTAATTTTGTGTGTTTCAGGGGCTTGTTGCGTATCTCACCCGGAGGAAAATACACCAGAGCTCCGAGGACAGTTGTTGAGCCACAGTTATTTCCGCATCTGTTGCCATCAGAAACGGCTTTATTGATAGCTGCAGTATCATCCGTAGAGCCGTCACCTTTGGCCCCATAGTCCTTGACATTGCGGAAGAATGTATAATTAGAGGGAGCCAGCGGCATGACGCCGTGAGCAACATTATCAAGCCAGTAACTATCACTCTGGCGGGGCAGGTTCTTATACTGTAATACTGTGTTGTCCAGATGGGCATGTAAATGCTCATACTCTTCCTCGGAGTAGTCTTCGGTGCCACGTCTTTCAACTGTGTCAGTCGATTGATGTTTTGCACCAGAGGCCACGGTTGTGCTGTGCGAAATATGCGCTTGGGTTTGGCCACCAACCGGTGGTCCGAATGCTGAAAGATTTTGAGTCCTTGTCCTGTTGACTGAACTATGATGAATCTTTGCAAGATCCTTTGCAGGTATTGGTCCCAAGATAGGACCATTGAACAACCCCTTATCAGGTGCAGTGCCAAATTGGTTGTTGACATTACTTCTCATATAATCGGGGAGTGACTGAAATTACTTACGTGTAAGCTTCGACAAAAACATCACATAGCAATGAAGGAAATCACCAAACTTACCCCTGGGAATCCTATTGGCAGAGGAGGCCTAGAGCCAACAAAACTGGCTGGATTGGAGACACATGTTGCCAGGCATATGAGGTACTGTAGTAAGAAAAGATATGGCAGGGCCATGATGAGAAGAGACGCCGCTGGCGTTGCGCAGCACTACTTTGGTGGCTAATCAGCTTTGCCTTCCAAAAGGCTTTGTTCGCAGCAGAATGCTCGGGAAAATTGCATTTAAAACGCGGATGGGGCGTAGACTGTTTTTCTTAAGACTATGTAACTCCCTAGAAGCGAAATGTGGTATCGAATAGTGCGGTATGCGACACGCTTATCCTTGGCAGTTAAATGAACAATGAGATTCTTGAGTTGGGCTGACTTGGGGTTAGCATCCTCTGGCGAGAAGACGAGGGATCGGCGACTATCTCGGCGAGTATTTGCATATTTTGCAATACGACAATTCTACCAATTGTTCGGATAGTATTTACGGCATGTATAAACGAGACATTTCTTGCCATTGTTACTCCACCAATACTACCACCAAGATGGACCGCTGTATTGACCCAACTATCCAGTCAAGGATCGTGTTTTTGTCTCTTATTTCTTGCATTAACGTCGGCTTGATAAAACGACCAAGCTGGGCCTATCTTTTACGTTTACTCCTTTTCAAGTACGCCGAACGTACAAAACCCGTCGAGCACTTCTCTGGCTTCTCTACTCGATGTGGAGCCTTCTCGACTTCACTTTTTGAAAGTCCAAACCATGCGGTTTATAGCTGTGACGCTGATTTTTAGATTGCAGGTCTCTCTGGTCTCTGCACAGGTCCAACCAATTACTGATCTTTTCGTCGTCGACCAAGCATCATGCGGACAGTATCTCACTGCTCAAGCAAATGGCGTTTCTATACTACAACAGTTGGCAAACGAGGCCGGAGCCATGGTAGATGCCGCTCGTCAAATTTTCGAATCTGGTAGTGGTCTCAACAGCCCCCCTATTTCATCGTGCGAGGCATATTTGTATGGCATGTTCGGTATTCGCCCAAATGATGGATTACTATACGATATGGACAGTGAGTTGTGAATAAACCCAAGTAGCTATTATTGTCAATATTGACAATTTGGTTGATTGACTTGCGTCCCTTGAAGCGGTGTTGGTGAACACGTATGTCAAATCCGATCTTTTTGACCTTTTTTTTTTTTTTTCCTTTTCTTTCGTACATGCATCATATTGACAGCTCTGTTGCAGACATGAGTTTCTATTCGGCGGTACACAGCCTCCCGGGAATACATACAAAACCCACCTCTTCTGCAATGACGACGCTTTTCTCAAGCGGAGCGCCCGACAACAAGCCGTTCAACTCAACGGACAGCCAGCAACTCTAAACGGACAAGCCGTGTCTGTAGAGTCTCTATATGCCGGTCCCATTGCCGATAACACGGAAAACGGGGTCTATCCCGACATATTCCTTTTGCAACTTCCGGCCAGCGGAAACCAGGCCGCCATGTGGCAGTACTACTTCTTCAGGGCTTTCGATGGCCAAAAGATTTGCTCTGGAGGCGTCCGCGCCGAGACTTTCAAAGCCTACATAAATCAAACCCCGGTCCCAGTTGTAGTGTTATGCCCAGCGAGTTTCACAGGCGGCAGAACGGACACTCTTGGAGGAATAGCACCAGAACCAGATCCCCCGAATCAACAAGCCGTACAGGCCGTCAGTGATGTCCGGCCAAATTCCCTGACCTTCCTACATGAGCTTTTTCACTTGTGCCCGTGGGACCCAACAACAAAAAGCCTTGATGTTATAGATAATAGTTACAACGGCGGTGATGCTTGTAAGTTTGCACAAAGTCGCAGTCAAAGCTAGGCTCTCTTACCGACATTTTCAACAGATGATGTATGGGACATCCTCACTTATCCCCCAGCAGAATCGACTATCAATGCCCAAAATTATGCGTTTTTCTCGCTAGCGGCCTGGTATACACTGAACAAGCGTGTGCCGGATCCAAGGGGCAATGGCCAGACAGTGGTAAGACCAAACCGTACATGTATCTATTTGCATCATTGACAGCAATCGCTAATGGGCTACAGCTAATCACTTATGCCAATGGCGACTGTGACTACATTCGAGGACCTTAGCTACATTCCTTGTCGAAAAGCTACTTGATGAATCTTCATCCAGATGACCCGTCTACTGCCGGTTAGATACATGCATCTATTATGGGCAATGTCCATGACTCAAATATCAGGGTTTATGCTAGTCAATCTACGCCGAAATAGATGAGGAGGAATGGATGTCTATCTTTATTTGCCTTGATATTATTAAGTGTGGAAACTGCTGTCGCGCTATCTAAGACAGCAAAATAACCTGTGTAGGGTGGAAGGATAATGGTTTTATTTTGCCTAATGTAAAACTCCAAGCTTCTTGGGCGCGAACAACTACATCAGACACACTCAAAAGGCGATGTATGGGGCATAACCCAAACCCAGAAGAGTAATCATGACTGAATGAGCCTGTACCGTAGGAACAATTTGTTATCAATCTGTGAGGCATCCTGAGCGGGGTCACATGTTACTAAGTAGTACACTCACAGTTGTTGTCCACGAGGCACATGTATATAAAGAGCATGAAGCCTCTGCCAATGTCCACTTACACTGCTTCCATTTTTTTTTCTCCCGCCAACTCCGGATCTGCCTCTTGCATCAAAGCTGCCAGCTCAGCTGACTGAACTCTACAGATGGCCAACCTTGCAATCACGACCCCGTACATTCTTCATTACATCTTTCTCCACCTCCCCCAACAAGATCTTCTTCTGGTTCAAAGAGTCTGCCGCACTTGGCACGATGTTATATCTTCAAGCAAAGTCCTTCAAGCTGCACTTTTCCTTTGCCCCGAGCCAGCAGAGAGTGCGCGATCCGATGCTTCTTTTGAGCTGAATCCACTGCTGCAGTCTCGGTTCCCATCCTTCTTCGATGCCGACCGCATGGAAAGAGGCAATCCCGCGCATGAGATTGGCCCTTGGTTTCACTCGCACTGGGCTGAGAATATACATCCTTGGCCCAAACTTCGGGACCGCTACCGAAATCCGTCCAGACACTTTGAAAGCCCGGAGTTGAACCCCCGTCGCACGGCGGCGTATAAATACCCCAAAGCAAGTTGGAGGCGGATGATTCCATGCATGCCGCCGCCTATAGAACTCCAAGTCAGCTATGAGTTCATTAGACGTGGAGATAGGAGGGCACCGCCACCACCACCACTCAACACATTGAGATGTTTAACGTTTAGCAATGAAATTACACTCGACAAAGGGGCGTCCTCTACTCTCCGAGATGGCGTAGGTGGAGAAGGGCGACAGCCCTGGTTGACATTTGGTCTTTTATATAATATAATCGAGGCCGCATGGTTCCAGGGCATACCAACTCCAGTCAGCTCAGCGCAGTTTGACTATACCTTTCAGGAGGCCCGCCCCTACATATGGAAGCCAAGTTCGGCTCCCGGGCATCCGTCTCAACCCACGCCTGAAGAGAAAAAGACGATATTTCGGCACGGTAGGCGCGAAAAGTTGCGAGATTTATTTCCTGATAAGAAGATTGGCGGACCTGGCAGGATATTTGTGACTTTATCCGGGTATGAGTCGGAAGGCAATCGGGAAAAGAGATATAGCGGCCAGTTTGAAGTGGAGAACAGGGCGATTGAGCACCTGAAATGGGATGAAGAGATTGAGTATGAAATTAATGGATGGTAAGGACTATTCTTGCTTCTTTGCTTCTCAGGTAGATACAGTTTCTAAAAAATCTCGTCCGTTACAGCATAATATATCCCAGCCTTTCAGGATACATCAGATTATATTTGCCATTAAACGCGCATAAGAAGTGTGAAGCTTGCAGTAAATGCAATCTATAACACCAGAGTCTATTTGGAATACTTTTTTCCCAATTTCTAGGCCGCCTCTAAAACTTACAAGATGGCAGCCAACTATGCGGATAGACTTCAATTACGGCTAGGTAAACAGATGAGAAACAAGATTGCGTGAAAATGTTTGTAACGGCAAAAAATTAAAATAATCATGTTGTGTGATGGCAGCTTCCATGGTAATAATTTGTGTATAGTCTATCGATGAGTATTAGCCGTCTGGTTATGTTCCTGCAATGCCTCCTTCCACCTACAACTACTCGGAATCCAATGAACATGATTTAAAATCTAGCTCTATGTCTATCAAAATAATTGCAAACGTTTTTGTTTTTATTTTTATTTATTTGGTTTTTTTCTCTCTCTCAACTGAGGAAGCGAACCATTCAACTGCCGGGACGGAACAAACCGCCTCAAGGATTTGAAGTTTGGCCACTTCCGGCCCCTATCCGAATAGCAACACCGCATGCAGAGAAGAATTTGTAAGTCTCGTAAATCGGATTAGGAACGGAAAGGAAAAAGAGAGAGAGAGAAAAAACGAGGGTTGAACAAAGAACTAAGGGGAAGTTTTAACTGGCTTCGTATTTCTCTTCTCATAGATGTTTTACATACATAGGTCTTGGTAGGGCAGCTTCACAACAACACCAAACCAGGGATATGAGAGTGAACAAGATCTACAATCTACGCCATACAGTACGCATGGATATCACTTACAAATCATCCCTTTACGAAAAAAATGACAAATAAGACCTTAATGAAAATTATCAATTGCTGTCTCGCAAGTAATGCATCATGCATCCCGCATCCCGCATCCCGCATCTCCCATATCCCAACAATAACCATCTTTGCTACTTTCTTTTTCTTGGAGCTTGAAAAATACAAATAAATACATAGAGTAACAGAATAAGAACAAAAAAGAAAAAGGAAGATATCGCTCATCGACTTGTCTCAAACACAGAATTGAAACATGGACGAAAAAAAAGAGGAAAACAAGAGTATAGAATCAGCGCTCAAAGAAATAGAAAAAAGAATGTCCCGTTAGCTCCCTTGTCCAACAAAAGTCATAGATTACACATTTGAGACATCATCTGGACGAAAATGGCAAACTCCAGATAGGTAAGGAAAAAAGTATAAACGAGGGAATATGTGTGGGCAGTCGCGAAGAAGCACGTAAAAAACATCTTGAGAACCGACTGGTCGTCATGTCAACGAATCATTCTCACTGTTGTGCTCTCTGCACTTCAGGCTCCTTCATCATGGCCCCAACCAGAGAGACAAGATCAAGTCCTGTTGTCGCCCTATCTCGTCTCTCGCGCCGCTGCTTGGATATCTCTCTGCCCATGGGCTTTTCAACCGCAGTCTGTTGTTGTGTTGATGTCGCTTTTTCATACAACCGCTCCCCCTTTGGATCCCATTTACAATCGGAATTTCTTTCAAAGCATCGTCCGTCAAACCTAGCCCATCTTTACATCGGTGTTCAACTCGACCTGTTGCACATCCGCAGTCTGTTCCTCCTCTCCATCATCTTTTCGCTTCTTCCCCATTCTCTCGCACCACTGCTCGGCGCTCACAATCGTCCCGTCCAAAACGCCCGTCACCTGTGTAACCATGTCGAGACCCTCTTTGGCCAAGACTAGCACCTTTTGCGCACCCTCGCGCAACGCAGAGTCGCCGTCTCTGTCGGCGTTGTCCGATTGCCTCTCAGTCATGGTGGCAAGGCGGAAGCGCTGTGGCAGGCTGGTAAGGTGGCGGCGAACAAGCACTCGAGCGTTCTCGGGGAGCGCGCCGCCGGCGTATTTCGACACGTTGTTGATGACGTCTTGAAGCGTCTTGAGGATGTCGCCCTTGAGGCTGTTGATCTTGGCGGCGAGTTCACTTCGTGATGGGTTTGGCTTCTGCACGCTCTGTTCCGTGCCATCGACATCCATAGCCCCGGCATCATCCGAGTCGCCCGTGGATGGTCCTCCCTCCAACTGTTCTTTCTTCTCCGCCTTTTCTAATTCCTCCAATGTGTGTTTCAGGTTCAGAATGGCCCTGTTCATGTGATCGTTGGTCCATCGAAGCCAGCGCAAGCAGTACTTCAAACTGCGCAGACTCTCAGCGCTCATGGCAACACTCAGTCCCGACGTAGACATCATCAGACGAGTCTGCCACGGCTGGCTGCTTGGCGGCTTGTGAGTAGCGGGTGCCGTCTCAGAGTACGCAGGCGAGCGCAGGTCGTCATAGGCTGGCAGCGTGTCTACGGTGCTGGCGGTCGATAAACGGCGAGGTGTCTTTGACGAGACGACAGACGCCGAGTCATCAAGACCGCTGGCGTCGGGTGACCCTCGGAGATCGCCACTGCTGCTGCTTCTACTGCTCTCTCCTGTCCTTCGTCTCTTGTTGGAACTGTTCGGGTCGGGGTCTGAGGTGGGCGCTGGGTGTCGACGGCCAGAGCCAAGGAACCATCGTACGCCTCCCTCTACGCCCGTCACTCTGCCGACAGAGTTGACGGTGTTGGCAAGGGGAGTCAAGTAGCCCTCGACATATTCGGCGCCCGATTTGAATCGCGGAGAGAAGTTCTTGACGCCACCATATGCTGAGCTGGCGCCGCCAATGGTAGATGTGACGAGGGGATGAGCGGTCGTGAGGAGCGATAACAGAGGCTCGGAGTTTGGTGACTTGGGCATTGTCTGCTGGGGCTGGAACGACGCGATGGGTGGGCTCATGGGAGGCAGTGAGGAGGTGTCGGGTGGTGATGATACAAAGTCTGTGTAATCAAGCACTTGATTAGTATTCCCATTGAACCATGAGGGGGAGCGAGATTGATCTTGTCCACATGGCTCACCTGCTCTCAAATCGCCCAGTGCTTCGGCGGCAAGTCGCACGTCCGGGTCGTCGAGCGTGAGACTGCTCGGTGTCGGTGTCCCCTCGTAGAGGCGATCCGGCGAGGGCGAAGTCGCACTCGCTATGCTTGCCGAGCCGTCCACGTCCATGACTGTCGCAGGGCTGTCGGGCGTGGGAAACGGCGGTGGTTGTCGGTACGAGTTTAGTGATGCGGCCGACGAAGCATTGAAGGACGACGGCCAGTGGTTTGGCTGCAGCGGCAGCGGCGGCGGCGGGCTGTGGAGGTGCTGGTGCTGGGGAGGGCGATGCGGCTCAATGTCGCCGGTGATGCTGCTCAACGACGGCAGGATGCGGTTGTCGCCGTCATGGCGCACCAGCGGAGGAAGCCTGTCGGACTCGGGCGGGCTCGCGAACTGGCGATGGCTGTGCATCGACGAAGGCGACGACGATGGCAGCGACAGCGGCGCAAGGGGAGGCTGGTGGTGGTGGTGGTGCTGGATTTGCGAGTAATTCGGCGGGAGCTGCGTCAATGGCCGCGGCGACAGCGTTCGCATGGGCGGCGGGCTGGCACTGGCATCCGATGGTGCGTCGCGATGGTCAAAGGCGAAGGCGTCGATGTGCGGGAGTCGAGGTTGAGGTCGCGGCGGCAGAGGCGGCGGCAGTGGTGCCAGAGATGATCCGAGGGAGGGCGGACCGGCCGAAGCTGGATGTGGATAGCTGTGGCTGCTGGGAAGCGTCTGGCGATGCATGTGATTGCGGTCCATATCTGCGGCAGAGGGAGAAAAAACGGCTGATAAGCACGCAAGCAAAACGGGCTCCAGCTGACTGCGGGTAGCGGTACTATGTACTTGTAGCAGCAATTGGTAATGGAATTGAATGCATGCTAACAGCCACGCAGCAGGGGTTTCTGTCTGGCGGGAATAATCGCCGGGCTATGGTGCGCGCTGCTAGCCAAGAAAGCGCAGCAAAAGGGCAAAACGGGAGTAGAGAAAGAAAATAGTGATGAAAGTGGCAACGAGTGAGTGACGATGATGGCTTCGATCTGCTGCTGTAGCTTTCCTTTGCCCAACAACAAGTCTGCACTGCACACCAAAACAGGAGACGAGGAGAGTGTGCGTGAGAGAAATGAAGGAGACGACAGATCTGAACAGCCCGGGGTGGCCTGGGCACGTGGATAGCAAACGGCGATGATGATGATGACGGTCGTGATAAGAAGAGCCGGGGAGGGACGGCAATTACAGGCCTGGGCTGGGCAAACACAGCCGACGAGGGCAGTCCTCTTGAAGTGCTTTGCAGAGTAGCACTGAGCCCGGGGAGCGGTTTTTTTTCCCTTTTGCTGAGGAAACAGACAAATGGAAAAAAAGATGCAGAGGGCATAAGAATGGAGGTGGAAGTAAAAATAGCCAGAGCAGCGCAAATCCACTCTCACCGCGCCGAGTCAGGAAGAGTCGAGACGAGAGAGCACCCGCCGTGTCACTCGGTACCTGGATCACAAGCAAAGCAGCGAGATATTGGGGTCAGCACCTATGAATCTGCACACTTTGATCTGTTTCATCTCGCGCTCTCTCTTCTTTCTTTCCTTGTTGCTCACCACCTGGACGCTGGTGCTGATGCTGATGCTGATGCTGATGCTGATGCCAGCCTGCAATCTATTACTTCAACAGGATGGGATGGTCGCTGTCTAAACTTGCTTCCCGGACTCGGCTTCTACTCTACACAATTACACACTTGCCTCGTTGGATCGTCCGCTTCGAGGAAACTCTGTGACGCCGTGGTGTGGTGGCTGTTACGTACGAGACCTGGCACTAACGCAAATGTCGATGCTTCAGCACCGCATTGGGCCAGGCGGTGGCTGCTAGAGCAATTAGGCTGCTTGTTCGGAGCACCTCTTACCGGAGCACTTGTACCTCTCGCGAGGGCCCAGGTCAGGCGCTGAGACCGGATTCCCCCCATTTTCTGCAGGGTCTGGCAGGGTCCTTGGAGAGGGCGCCGGGTCCTGGAACATGCGGACAGAGCTGTTTATGCCATCACTGGGGCCCTGATGGGGGGAGTTATGGGGCAGTCCCGGTGGATGCCGTGCCACAAGTCATGAAGCTTGCATGTGCTCGGTCGAGCTGCAGATGGAAGAGAGAGCGAATATTCCATGGGCCTTTTGAATGGCTGATGCCTGCTGCTGCATGCAATACTGGACGGACACGCAGAAAAGAAGACTCGCTCGCTCGCTCGCAGCTGTCCCGTTGGGTGGCGCTGCCAGAATGCCACATGGAGGCAAGACATTGCGCCGACGTGGATTGGAAATGGAAGCTGATTGAAATGGCTGCAGCTCAATTCACCACTGACAGCACGGCCTGTGTCATCCCTGTTGCAGCCCATCGCGATGAATCAAGCCAATTAATTCTGCAATCTCCCGCCCGGCCTGGGAGGCGGATTGATCCTCGCCAACAGCTTTCTTGGGCTTGGCATCCCATCACTTGCTTCGCGACGACTTGGACTCTTTCGCCCTTGGCATGACGGCTAAAGTCGAAATCCTACATTAGTCGCCCTCCCCCCCAAGACGCAGCCGGAGCCATTGCCGTCGCCATCTTTCCCCAATCCTCCAATAGTCCTGCTGTCACTGCTGCTAATTTAAGCCCCAATCAGCAAAAAAAACCGGCGTTCGGGACCGCTTCGAGCCAGCTCCCAAGCACGTGCCTGAGTGTTTCATAGGGGGAAAACGAGAGCACACAATCACATGCAATGTGACGCTTCTTGCTCTCTGCTCCAACTTTTGCCCCCACCGGAATCAAATCCCTGCTTGCTTGGCCTGGCCTGGCCTTCATGTGCTTTTCCCCTCCCACCGCTTGTCGCACTCCATGCCTGGAACTTGGTGCGTACCGCATGTGGCAGTCTTCACTTTGACTGGGACTGGCAAGATTGGAATGCCTGCACTCTCGTTCTGGTGGGGGGCCGTAGGGGCAACTTGGAGCCACTAACCGTATCAAAAGGAGGGCTTGATGTTCACATGGCCATGAGAATTCTCACCAAAATACGCGCCAGGTGTGGGGAAGCCCTCGTAGAGTTGAAGCCGTCGGCACTCTTCATCTCCATTCTCCCAATAGAAGGCAGTGGACTACCCCTTCTGAGGCGGCCGCGATGGCGAGGCACGGGCTCCTGGTAGCGCTTCCAGCACATGCACTCCAAACTAATGCTTGAACAGCCACAGTTCCCAACAAAGCTTAAGCTGTGTAGCAGGAGATGGGCGTCGCTAAAAGGCCTGATCAAGGCCTCACAGTTACCCCGAATCTGATTTCAAATGCGGGGACCCCGGATGAGACATCTCGGATATCTTGTGCTTACACGCATGTATGTACTCTATACTGTGTATCATTCACCAACTGTACGGCATCGTCTACCTACGTTGCCTTGCGTTGCGTCGTCTCAGAAGAAGAAAAGCAGCAGTAGTAGCAGGGGCCGCTCGCTTCACCAGAGTAGGCACACCACCACGCCAGACACATCTCCCGATAGCTTCAGGACCGCAGCATCATCAGGCAGTAGAATCGGGTACTAGCACAGGCACCTTGACGTCTTCCCCAACAATGTTCACGGCCTGTCTCAGACGGCCAGATAGCTATTCGCAGAAAAGCTCCGATCACTGATGCCACTCGGCACACTGCTAGCTTTCAGCCATCACATGCCCTTTTTACGTCGCCCCTTATTGAGCAATGGGTAGGTAGTAGCGTGGAATATTTCCGTACTGTAGGTTGCCTTCATATCAATCTTGTTGGGTCGCAGTGCTTGCCACAGGCTGGATTCCGTCTTCGCGCAGTGCGATGTTATCGAAGCCGGTCCGATGGCGGAAGCTCGCTCGTCAAGTATAAGCTCTCGTAGATTGTTTATGCTCCGCCCATGCCGCATAGAGCTAGAGAGGCTATAGGTGTGGGAGCCGTCTACAGCAGAAATCACTATCAACTTGTCCAGCGCTGCGCAACGTTAAAAGCCGATGTCATCCAGAAGAAAGGAAATTTCTTTCACATCAGTCTAGCGGACATGGACAAATTAACAAGTCGCTTCCATCAATGGTAAAATGTCCGGCCCCTCTGACGCCGCCCAAGCAATCAAATCCCGCCCAAAGAGCAGGAGACACACGCGGGCAGCTCTTAAAGAACCAAATATGAAAAACAAGTTTCCTTCCTCTCCGCACCTCGAAATCGCTAACTCATCCACGGCTCCGCGACTGTCATGGCAGAATGCCACCCAATCGCAGGTGAAAGATGAGCTGCACTGTCTAAAAGGGTGCGTTGGAGAGGAAAAGAAGAAGAAGAGGAAAAGCAAACCGACGAAAAATCTCTATTCATAGCTTTTTTTTTTTTCCAGTAGTGGGGTTGCTCAGGAACAAAAGATTGATCCACGTGACCCTTATCTTGCCAGACATGCCGCTGTTTTGCCGGCTGCAGCTACTATCCCTGTCCCGCAATAGGCCCTCAGCTGTCCGATTCGTAGGGGCCTAATTTCCAGCTACGTAGTCGCGAAGCCGCCATGATACCCGCCTTGCTCTGAACTCGTCCCGTCCAGCCAGAGAGAATCCCGAGGCCTGTGATCTGTTGTATGACCAGAGCCTTTCGCGTCGTTCTCAGTCCCTGGCCGGCGTGCCAATCTCCGAATCTTTCCCTCTGAGCGCCCCTCCTCCCCGCCACATCTCCTGGCCGCTTAAACATCCGCTGTCATCTTCATATCATCATCCACCATGGCGTCTGCACTCTTCTTCCTGGATCTCAAGGGCAAGGTACTGTGAATCCGGGAACATGAGAGCATCATTCGTTGCTTGGCCCGGCTCAGTCTAACATGATGTCTGCTAGACCCTCCTTGCTCGAAACTATAGGGGTGACATCCCCATGTCCGCCGTCGAAAAGTTCCCCGTCCTCTTGTCAGAAGCCGAAGAAGAATCATCAGCCGTTCCGCCATGCTTTTCCCACGAAGGAATTAATGTCCGTAACTGTCCAGACACCCCCGCAATCAAGGCTTGACGTTAAAACAGCCTCTCGAGAGAAGAAGCGTCTAACACGTGTGCATCCAGTATCTATACATCCGCCACAACAACCTCTACCTCCTGGCGCTAACGAAGCGCAACACCAATGCCGCCGAAATCCTGCTCTTCCTGCACAAGGTCGTCGAAGTCTTCACCGAGTACTTCAAGGCCCTGGAAGAGGAATCCATCCGCGACAACTTCGTCGTCATCTACGAGCTCCTCGATGAGATGATGGACTTTGGATATCCCCAGACCACCGAGTCCAAGATCTTGCAAGAGTACATCACTCAAGAGTCACACAAGCTGGAGATCCAGGCACGCCCGCCAATCGCCGTAACCAATGCCGTGTCTTGGCGATCAGAGGGTATTCGCTACCGCAAGAACGAGGTTTTCCTGGACGTTGTCGAAAGCTTGAACCTCCTCGTCAGCGCCAACGGAAACGTGCTAAGGAGCGAGATTCTCGGTGCCATCAAGATGAAGTGCTACCTCAGTGGAATGCCCGAACTAAGATTGGGACTCAACGACAAAGTCATGTTTGAAACAACCGGCCGAACAACGCGCGGCAAGGCCATTGAGATGGAAGACGTCAAGTTCCACCAATGCGTTCGACTTTCCCGCTTCGAAAACGACCGAACGATCTCATTCATCCCCCCCGATGGCGAATTTGAACTCATGTCCTACCGCCTCAACACCCAAGTCAAGCCCCTGATCTGGGTCGAGTGTCTCGTTGAATCCCACTCTGGCTCCCGCATTGAATATATGCTAAAGGCCAAGGCTCAGTTCAAGCGACGAAGCACGGCCAACAATGTCGAGATTATCGTCCCCGTGCCCGATGATGCCGACTCCCCTCGTTTCAGGACAAACATTGGCTCTGTGCATTACGCCCCCGAACAGAGCGCCATTGTCTGGAAGATTAAGCAGTTTGGCGGCAACAAGGAGTTCCTCATGCGCGCGGAACTTGGTCTTCCTAGCGTGCGAGGAGACGACGAGCACGGTGGTGGAATGACGGGTGGATTTGGAGGCAGCATGGGTGGAATTGGCGGCAAGGGAGCCAAGCGACCTATCCAAGTCAAGTTTGAGATTCCTTACTTTACAACAAGTGGAATCCAGGTCCGATATCTCAAGATTACTGAGCCCAAGGTAAGCCTTCTAAGTAACAAATCTCTTGGTATATGTACCCAGTGCTAATTCTTCATCAAGCTTCAATATCCTTCCCTCCCCTGGGTCCGATACATCACGCAATCCGGCGACATCGCTGTTCGACTGCCTGACGTGGTCTAAACCGTTAAAAGGATCTCAATTTTGATATACAAATAAACACATGAGAAGGACGACAGTGTAAGGAAACGAGACGTATGTAATTCCAGCGAACAGGCCGTTCGTTTTCATTAAAGCTAGCGGCATCGAAAAGAGCGTGATGAGGGGAAAGGGGGAGGCGGCAAGAAGTCGTTATTATATTCATGTAGAGTCTTCACAGTATAGCGATTTAATGGGGACTCATGAGATTTGTTTATGGAAAAGAAGATGGGAAAAGAGAAGAAGGTTTGATCTAGACGTAGAGGGCTATTATGTCGATATAACGTTCAAGACAGGATGGCACTGAATAAATTGAAATTCACATTACTCAAGCTCAATTCCCTTTTTTTTTTTCGTTAAAATTCATTTCCAGATTTGCAGATTGAAGCTATCCTAAAAACGTGAAAACTCTCAAAGTGCTGTTGTTGATTGAACTGTTGCGAAAAAGCAATAGCAAGGTAAGAGAGAGAGAGCAGAAATTCTAAGCCTCATTCGTCATAAAGGAGCAGGTCAATCCAAGATGCTCCTAAACGAGGCTGTAACGTATCATGTGTTGTCCATCTCTTCAAATAAAAAACGTAATCAAGTTGAATCGTATTTCATAACAAAAAAGTGAAACATGGCGAATAAATCGAAAACTGAAACGAAAATCCAGAGAAAGACAGAAAGGAGAAAGAAAAGAGAAGGCAATAAGAAGCATTCGTTAAAAGAAAAAAAAAATCGTCGCTTCAGGATTGTTATTTGATATCCCAGACAAGAATATTTCCCCATTCCATTTCAGTAAGGTGTGCTGCAGTGGAGTAGTCTGTATTTTCAGGGTCAAGATAGATGGAGATGAAGAACCCTCGTGGGTCTTCTTGGGCAGAGAGGGCGTCTATTATATCATTAGCATCCTGCGACTTCAATGACACAATAGTATCTAGAACCTGCAGAACAAATGCCTCAAACAACGCCACGAATGTAAAGGGAAAAAAACGGTGAAAGACTTACAGCCTTTCGGCGCATCATTATGGCGCCAGAACCCATCTCTCCATCTACCATGGGCCGCACCATCTCCCAGAAACGTTTGCGTCACAGAAGCAGAAGCATGTTCGCTAAACGCCATCAGGCCGAGAACAATGGGAAGCTCTCCGGCAAGGCCAACTGACGTAGCCGTAGTATAGGGATTGCGGTATGTCCTCGGCACCAGACTGGATATCCAGCTGGGGTTGGCTCCGGCAACGTACTTGCATGGTGTAGGGCCCTGTCCCATAGGGCTGTCCGGATGCACTGCCTGCGATACCCCTGGCTGGGAAGGAGGATGAAAGAAGAGCAGAGGGCTTCGATCCAGCTGGGCGCTACTGGACAGCGGGTCTCCGTTATCAACAACGATAGGGAGTAGGGGATTGCACGAATACACGGCAAGCTCCTTGTACCTTTGGCAGTACTGTAGCTGGCCCTCGTCGGTGTAAACAGGATTCCCATCAGTGTCAACCATGCAAATGATACCAGGAGGCCAGGCAGCTCCGTCAAAGTCTCCCCGCCACCATCCGTATCCACGAGCTACCTTTACTTGGCCATTGTGATATCTCATGACATAGCTAGAGCTCTCGCCGGCAAATCCGCGGGGTTCAGTCGGTGGCACACGGTTGTACCAGGGATCTCCATTCAGCAGATCTTCGTCTAATCGCACGTGTAGCCTATTGACTACAAAGAGAAAGCTCGTTGGGTTATGGTTGGGAAGGTGAATGCTGCTGCTGCTCCCAGTAGCCCTGCTGCTACGGCTACCATGGGCATGGGGCCCCGCATGCTTATGCGAGGTTTTGGTCTGCGACAGTACTGCATATTAGTACTCTATACACTTCCATGAAAGAGTAGATAGAAACAGGGAAATGGCAAATGGCAGATAGTTCGTGTCGTCGATCATCAAGATGAATAACTCACGCTGCTAGACATAAAGTGTGCTTGTTTTCGCCAACGTATGATATAAATGAACGCGTCCAAAAGTGGTCCTCAAACGAGGTAGCAAGTCAATGATACAACTAGCCTGTAAAGATGATATTTGGAGTTTCAAAAGTGCGGTGTAGACCTATATATTATGATCTTGCGGCTCTGGACTCTCTTCTGGCCCTCCGACCAACTCCACAGGCATCGCTGCCCAAGGCTGTGTTGTCAATATTAATTACCGGTCAAGGTTGGGCGCTGAGATGCATGGAATCAAATGTCACAATGCGATGAAGATAGCCGACTGCTGGTAATGAGATCGGGCTAGGAAACAAAGCATTCCGAGCGGAATTGCGGCTGAAAGCCAGCCAAGGGGTGAGCCAGCACAAAGTTGACGTCGACGTACATAAGTGGCAGTGTCTCGTGGACAACCATCGATGAACCGGTGAGAGCAAGTTGCCATTCCACTGGACCTCTAGCCTTCTCTTTGGCTCCTTCACCCCCGCTGGCACTTCTCGCTTCTCGCGGCATGTGAAGAGGCGGTTGGGCTCTCTCGAAATGTCCCACGAGAGCGAGCCTTCCCTGCCAGCTGTACACAACACCATCTCGTCAACCACCGGTCACAAGACCTTCACGATAATGCCAGCGGTATGGTAAGCTAGCGGAATATGCCAGATGCGCTGCTATTCCGCTGCTGTAATGCGGCCATATGTCGAATATACCGGGCTTCTTGTACATTACCGCCACCAACAGTGGTTTCCGGGATCTTTGCGATAGTCCAGTGGAGGCAGGCTTGCTGGTTCCAGAACCTACCTGGGCCAGAAGTGTCGCAGAGAAAAGCTGAACACCCATTGGGGGCAGTGGACCAATAGTAGATACATCAGCTAACCGGGGCAGAAGGGATTATGGACCTTGGGCACTGTTAAACCTTGGAACGGGCCTATCACTGCTCGTCGTGGCAGCAAGGCTGCGGCCGAAAGGGTGTTCCCCCGTTTGCCCCCCATCGGCTGGAAATTGAATGCTGTCGACTGATGCTAGCAAAGCAACATGGATGACGAGGAATCCCGGTCTGAGCACACGTGTGTGGGGTCCGGAGGTTGTATAAAGTGCGAAAGTATTGTAACTCGCTATGCTGAAGTGGTCCATCTCAATACGAAACGAATGCGACAAGCCGCCATCTCCTTGACATATTATCATTTTGCACTAGCCAAAACTAGCAGCAGGCTTTTTACCTCTCAGTATGAGGGGCGAAAAAAAAAATTGGTATCAGAAGAACGCAAAGGTTTAGCAAGCTCGTCATTGTCTGGGCACCAACAGCTGAATGAAAGTCCGGCTTTGAGATCTGCAACTCCATATGATGGAGGGTTACACGAAAGCTGGCCATTGACATCAGACTTTGCCCAGTCAACGTCCAGGATTTGTCGGGTAGGGCACTCTCCGCTGCCGAGAGTCTCTGAATTATATGTCAGCCTGAATATGAGGGTGCTAAAACGTTTCGTAGACCAGGGCTCGTACAATGTCTTGTTAGTCGGAGCCCAAGGCACCATGAAACGTTGAAAACGCATAGCTCCATGTCACCGCTTGAATATGATTGCCTTATTCCACGAGATTTAGCGACAACATTGATTTTCTTGGTAATCCAATGGCTGCTTCGAATGGCCACCCTAGGCATGTGTAACCAGTTGCATACGCCGGTAGAGTCGTGCAACCTTAGGCCCCCATCGTAAGGTATAGCAGATATGTCGATAAAGCGGTGAATGTTAAATGCACCACAGCTTTCTCGAGCTGTTAGTACTGATTAGACATTGGCTGTACTCTGTGTCTGCTCACCTGGAATCCCCTATACTCTCCTCAATCAGTAAGACGCGCGATTGACGCCGCGTGTACTGCTGGCGGATGATGTGATACAATACGGTTACACTCGATTTTGAAAAGAACTGAAAGGGGTTGTAGAATTTAGCATAAACATGCAAGCACTGGCAAAATAATGAAACGGGAGATTGCGCGCCGAAAAGTAGTTCGCTTCAATGCAAACAAGAGTAGGATTGAAGAGTATGGCGATTGAGTGAAAGAGTTCTATTTATGAGAAAGGGAACGAGAGACATAAGAGAGAAAAATATGTTCGACGAAGTCACTGAGGCTGCCTGATTTGGTTGCCTTGCAAGGCGTTGTTTGTCGTGGTTCGCATCCATGTATCATTGTGGATCTGAGGCTCTCCAGACTATGGTAAACCGATTTCGACCAGGCTGGTTGCCTTGTCACACAGTTGATATATCTTTTAGCCGGCCAAAGTGCCAATGCTGGCCCAATTATTCCGCTTATAGTGCCATCCCGTCAATGAACGCCAAAAAGCAATCATGGCGAAGGTTGGCCGCATAAACTGATGTGTCGCTTCAGTCTTACCGCCTAGCTTTCTTGTTCGGTGCTGGAGCATCGTCCAAAGTGGCATCGGAAGCGATCCCCGATAAAAAGACTCTAGCCTCTTGGAGCAATCGTTTCTCCCCAAGCCTCACTGTGACAGCGGCTTTGCGCCGCTCGCTAAGGTTGCTGCCCGAAAGAATGAGCTCATCCTCTATAATTGTCGTCGGATACTGTGATGTGAGGGCGTCAAGCGCCTTGATGAGTACAGTATGCTGAATCTCGTCACGTTTTCGCTTGTCGACAATGCATGATGGATCCACTTTGCGAATAGCCTTGAGCATTGATTTGAGCTGCTCCCGGAGATCTTCTGGCATGTCGCTAAATTTAGCTGGGTTGGCAAAAGTGCCATCTGGATTAGGCTCATCTGATTCTCGCTCCAAGACAAATGTCTCTTCGAATTCGTCCTCGTCCAAATACTCTCGCTTATTCAATATCAGCACGTGTTCAAACAAAAGGATTTAATACTAGAGTAGAACTCACTGCGCTTTCAAGCTGTTCACTTGATAGGCCCAGGTTTGCTGTCAAAGCATCTTCAATCATCTTCCATGGAAGTTCGACGACATCATAACGAGAGTGTTTCGGAGTGACGTAGCCGTAGCGACGAAGGAGCTCAGAGTTAGGATGAGGGCCGTAGTAGTTCAAGATCTCTTCGCCCGCTTTGATAGTCCGTAACGTTGCCACGGTGAGGGCATCATCTCCATAATTGACATGTGCCTACATGATGTGAGTAACTAAGTCGCCGTGAGGAGAATGTGTTTAGGGTAGACGGAGTCATACGTTATACTCGGCATCAGAGTTGAGAATATCAGCCATTGGCACCATACCCATTGTAGACTTGGTCTCATGATCTTCGACCCATTCTTCAGAATCATCCTCTTCTTCTTCGTCTTCATTCTGAAAGTCAAAAGCATATGACATTATCGTGCTGCCCATGCGATGGGCTAGCTGGATAAGCTCTTCATCGCTCTTGGCCTGACTAGCTTGGAAGACGTCAGGATTTCCACGGATCACGGGCAAAATCTTTGCGTGGAACATTTCTTCAGCATTGGTTTTGCCAATTTTTGATCGTGTGGCGCTCGCCTGAAGCTCCTCAACTTCAGCATCAGACCAAAACATGGGCGTCTCGAACGATGCTGGAAGGACATCAAGGTATGGCCTCCATTTCGACTGGTCTCCTTTGAAGTACTCGTAAATCAAGATGATGATCAGCGTGCTCCAGGGATCTTGCTGTGGCTTGTCATCCAAATCCATGGCAGTATCCTGGCTGAGAAAGACATCGGGTAGCTTTGCTCTGAGCTCAGAGGTCTCGATATTGATAATTTCACTTCGAGGCACAGTAAATAGGACTGTGTCAGCAGGAATATCTTGAAGTGCCACTGCGAATGTTGGTTAACCATTGCAATGCCACAGTCAAAGGTCAATGGGCAACAAACCTATGCCGCGACCTGCATTTCTTTCTCGTAGATCTCTAATCTCGATATGCTCAGAAAAAGTAGACCCAGGAAGAGAGTTGAACCAATCAAGGAACGCTTTTGTCTGGCTTTGAAATTCATTGGTAGACATGCTGGATCTATAATGCCGCTTAGGTATTTAATCCAAAATCACAGATTTCAAGCAAAGCCGTAGCAGAAATGAGAGTTGGGGTTGATTTCTGGTGTAGAGTAGAACTCTGAAAAGGTACCTAGACGCGAAGCTTTTTTTTTTTTTTTTAACAGTGCGGATAATCAAGAGATACGCAAAGATTTTTCTTTCGCACGGATCTCCTGCTATAGCTTCAGTACTCCGTACCGCTTGCCCAAAAACGCTAGGATCTCGGCACTGGAGACGTCTCAGCGAAATACTCAGTTCTGCAATCTTCATACATTCTATTTTAATGGAGATGATGTTATAAGTAATCTTGCTAAGGCTTCAATAGCCAAGCTTACAATGACTCTGGCCGACAATCTCTCTCTCCGGGAGTTGCTTCTCTTCGATTACACGTCGCAGTTGTTCACAACTTCGCCTCATTTGACGTGCATAAGCGACAAGCCATCAATCTATGGCATCATTTTCTTTTCTTTTTTTTTTCTTTCACAATTTTCAGGATTGAATTCTTTAAGTATACTCTTCGCCATCTACAGACACCTTCTCTTTCTTACTGACCTCCCGCTTCTTTGGGCGTAGCCATTCTTCCATGCCCAACGGCCAATATACCCGGCTCTGCGGCCCTCCCATGCCAAAATCTTCTGGGCTTATCGTACTTTGAGAGTCTAATTCTCTCTCTTCTTTATCATTGTCGCTCTTTTTGTTCTTTTTAATCGCTCTTTTCGCTTCTCGAATGGCCTCTTTACTGATTTCGTCGTCCCGTTCATATGGGACGACGTCGTTAAAGAGGTCCCATCCAGGGAGCTTGAACGTCCTCATGAGCTCAAAAACGGCTTGCTCTTTGTCTTTGGCCTCGATCATCAGGTCCATATCTGGTTTGCATGGAGGGAGAACCTTGACGCGTGCAGAATGTTTCCGCCGATCTCGTGGCGTGACAGCGTCCGCTGTCGGCTCGCTATAATGCATTTTCTGCTTGATATTCTTTCTTGACCAGGTCTTTTCTATGCGGTCGTATAGGCTCATAATGTCCAGAGTGCCTTCACGGACACTGGAGTCAAATATGATGTTGTGGTGGTGATAATCCAGGACTAGAGGAATATTGAGCTCCTCACATATCGGCAAAAGGTCATGAACACTCCACGAAACGTCGTCGTTTTCCAGAACCAGCCGCCTTTTCACTCCTTCCGTCAGCCTGGAGTAGTTTTCGCGGAAACGACCCAGAGTCGCTGCCTTGTCGCCATATACGCCTCCCATGTGCAGAATCATGACGGCATCCCGGTCCATCTGCTCAGGCAAAGTTAACAGCGATAGCATCTCGTCGTGGTATTCGAGGTCTCTGAAAGAAGCAGTCACAACCTCTTTCCTGGGGCTGGCAATTTGCGTATACTGTCCCGGATGTGTTGTAAGGCGATGACCTAGCTCAACAGCCACTTTGCCCGCCTCGGCCAGCACATCAGCAGCGAATGGGGCGAGTTTATAGCCGTGTTCCTGGTGGCTTGCAAAGGGAAACATTTCGCTGCTGAGCCGCATAAATTTTATGCCGTATTTGTCGTTCCATCTCAACATCTTGACTATGTCTCTGGCATTGGCAAGGCCCAGATCCTGTACAAATTTGAGCCCTCTCTGAACATCTGGCGGCTTTGTCTTGTCTGGTCGGTTTTTTGTAGGATGCTCAGGCTGTGTTGGATCTTGTAGGGGATATCTGTGATCGATAATTGAAGAAATGCGGCAAGTTCGAGACGAAAAGACTGGAGGGTTAGCTGCTCTGAGATATGTATTCAGACAAGCCTATGCGTACTCGCATTAGCCTCTATGCTGATTAACAGACTGCAGCATTCGATAAAGTCGTCAGGATTATCTCGACATGGCTGCATCAGTACTCACATAACCGAGACGTCCTTTCCACGGCAATGGTAGGACGTCGCTATTTACAGGCGGTGGTCGTCTGGCACTCCTTTCGATCGTTTCCGCATCTGCATTTGCCTCAGATGTATCAGCTGTCTCCGTCTGTTCGACGACTTTGGGCTTCTCTACAACTTTTTGTTCAGTAGCTTCCTCGGGGCTCTCTTTTGCCCTCCTCTTCAAGGCCGGCCTGGTCCTCGTCGCTTCCTCTCGAACCCTTTCAGGATCGCATTTGGACAAATCTGAGGTTTCCACAGCTAATCGTTGTCTTTTTACTGCACTCTGAAGTTTCAGCCCCATCTCTCCAAGCTCTTTCATTGTCCGCTGGAAGGCTTCTGGCGAGAAACTGGGGCCGCCCGCCAGGCCAAAAGTTCCTTTCGGTGCATCGTCTTGATGATGAAGGTCATCGAACTGCTGGTTGATAACTCCATTGATCTTTCTCGAACTACGTCGGACTTTGGCTGCAGGTGGCTCTGCTACAACTGGCTCCACTTTCTTCCGCTTGGGAGCCATTCCGCGAATTGAACGAACCGGTGGCTGGCGTGATGCTAGTCGTAAGATGGATGAGAGGGAAAGTTGTCGAGAGCTACTCAGCAGCGCCACGGTAGTGTACTGTAATAAGGTGAAAACGAGATTCGAGGCGTGTCAAACACACAAAAGCATCTTTCCTCGGGGTCTTATATCAGACAGCTATTCCAACAAGGCAGTACAGCTCAATGGTTTATGTTGAGTCAATACCGCTGCACCGGTTACGAAGATGGATGTTCACGCTCTCGCAGTATAAAAAAGCATGGCTGCCCTAGTTTATAGTCTCTACGGAACAAGCCTTGGTCAAGGAAGGGGCATGTGCGTAAGACACCAAGTCAAGCGAGAGCGGGCAAACAGGGTGCCACAGCAACGCCAGAGGCTTCGATCTATGCCCAGATCCCTGATTCATTGATTCATAACCATGACTTCGATGAAGTCATCAGCCCGCCAAACCATCTCGATCGGGATCGTGCGTAGGTGGATACGTACCAGCTCCACAACTTTGCTTAGCGAATGGCGACCTGGCTAACGTCTCAAGGCGGCATTGCACGTCTTTTTAGGGATATTAGCTGGACGGGCTAAACATCTCTGTCTTGTTATCAGATGACCTTTGCGCGTCTCCCTAGCTATATGACAGGCAATCTCACCAATGTAAGCCACGAGCCGCAAGCTGCAAGCTACGAAGAGGCAGAGCTTCCTGGACCTTTCTAGCGCCAGCTCTGCTTGTAAGTGATGCTGGGAGCACCACCGCATCATGCTGATGCAACCCTCCCTTGTTTGTGCCTGGCGCCACCGTGCCACGGAGCACTCTTCCGTAGTGACACAATGCCGAGGGCAATATTAATTCGGAGGCCAACCCCCGCTGAAGCTGTCATCGATGTGTAGGCGACGCAGCAACTCGACCTGAAACAGCGCTCTACAGCACTCAAGATGGCCAAATCATCATGATCTCATCCATGTCTGCCACAGATACGGATATATACACCTACTGGTGCCTGTCCACAGATTGCTCCGCACTGACGCCTTTGTAAGTTCTCGAGGGGTGATGAAGGCGAGTTCTTTACTGAAGCTTTCGTAAAAGCTAACCCCTAGAGGTCGGTGGCGGTAGAAATCATCATACACCTACTCATCGACAGGCAAATAAGTTGTCCAAAGTATTGGTTGGTGGACGAACTCATTTATGCGTAAAGATCGATACAACCAACGATTAGTGGCAAAGGCGCCACAAGCGTTTATGAAATCATATGTGGAGCCTCTCATTACCGGGAGCTCGTTTTTGATTTGGTGTTTTCGTCTTGCCGCTGTTCTAAGGCTCCAGCCCATGCCGCCAGCAGATCATTGTCTCGATTGGGGTTTAACTTTTAAGAATCAAGGCTAAGCTCGCTTGGCTCGGCCATGAAGCTGCGTCGATGCGAATTTGGGGGCGGAGACGGTGGAGCTCACCCTGAAATTGCATCTTAGAAATCTCAGGTGGTATATGGAAGCGAATACTGTACCCTTTAGTAATGCTTCTCTTCGCTCACCAACAAAGAGAAGTGTCGTGCGACGAGCATGCAATCTCGAAATTGCGCCGCTAAGAAATGTTCACCGTTAGCCGCCGTCTTAGCTCAGGTATGGAATCCGGGGTTGTATCAAGTTATAAAATGACCTAGGCTTCTTTCTATTCTCGCGCAAGATGCGATGTTGAGCCGTGGGAACGAAATGGCATGCGCTCGAAGATGCTCTGTTGGTAAGGCTGGCTGCGAAGATGTGGACGGCAAACTCGTATAAGAAGGCTATGATGGATTTTGGCGGAACCCCGATTCGATCCTCCGCCACCAAACTCCACGGAGAATTCGCTGATAGAGCGCAGAGCCCCCTGCGCCGTGCATGCGTGTGATTACGGAGTGCAACCTCATATACAGTACTCCGGGCGGGCAATAACAGGAAATAAATGGCGATATCCTGGTCCATGGCTTTTCGTCCCATGACAAGCGAGCCATCGATAAGCAAGGCCCCCCTTGATTGTTACTCCATACAACTGGCGATGAGAAGGCGCTCAAGGATGCTCAAGCCTTGTACTCCTGAACATGTGCTTTGTTTTATTGGCACATGCTCCGAGTTACTGCTTCAAGCATACCAAGCAGCAGCCGCTGTGTGCTTGCGGTAATGCAGCTTTGCCATTTGTCAGATACGTACGAGGTACGGATGGAGGCAGTAGTGCAGGTATAGCAACATCCTCATCTTAAGCTCAAGCTAAACGCGATGCTGTATATACGACGCCTTGCTATTTCTCCCTGCGCAGAGCTAGCAGACGTGTACTCGCCGCGGTCATTAAAGAAGGCTATTGAAATGGAAGCAGGGCGAAGTCGAAGCTGAGCTGAGCTGAGCTGAGCTGAGAAGCGCACATGTACTTAATGCTAAGGGGATGCCTTCATACCGCCTTTACGCTTGCGTGTGTGAGTACGAGGACGGACAGTGATGAAGTCAGATGAAGCTCGGCTGTGAGAGTCAGTCTGAGAAGCAGACGAGAGCTCTGGGCTTCAGTCAACCGCGTCCGTGGCAGGCCAAGAAGCCAAAAAGAAACTGTAGCATTACCCCATGTTCATGTTCATGTCGATTTTGGGTGCACCAGAAACAAGGTTTGCATGCCTTGCCTTGCGGTGATGGGCAAGGGGTATGTGATTTGATTCATGCGCTACCCGCCGGAGAAGCAACTCCGCTCACGCCGTTATCTCTTTTCTCGCCTGACTACCTAATTCTGACTTGCACATGCAAGCGCATACCCCCTGCTGTTAGTCAAAGGCAGTACTAAGCTATCGACTTCGAAAAGTGCTACAATTTAGGTATGAGCTGTGTAGGCGTCGTTTCGTACTCAACCAGCTGGGGTTGGAAGGGAAGCATTTAGCCGCAAGAGCAAGCCCAGTTTCCAGTCGCCAGTAGAAACAAAACAGCTCGAGGTCCAGGGGATGCTATCGTGACCCTTTTTTGGAGCTCAAAAGGGCATGGCAACTGCCATGGCGCTGTAATATTCTCCGACCGTTTAGCCCATCAACCGTACGGAGAAGAAGAGACTGGATGCGCGTAAAAGGCATTCAAAGAGGATTCTGGTCAGCTTTCCATCCCCACGTTTGGCAACTGATCAAAATGTGGTGGGGTCCCAAAACCATCCGCATCGAGACTTGAAGGGGGGTCTCAGTTATTGTTTTGGCCCTGCTCTCTCTTTCTATTTTGATATACGTGCGTAACGAGGCTTGGAGTCGCCAAGATCATGATGAACGAACCCCTAATATCGATGAAACAAAATTAGCCTATAAAAACGGGATGATATAAATAGTGCAGGCTTCGATGAAAAGAACGTCGCAGTTTCTCGCATTCGCTTATCGGCGTGTTATCTTTTCTCTCTTGCCGCCTCGTGGGTTTCGTTTTTTATTATGGATCCCGTCTGTCCACGTTGCTCTCAAACTCGTCCCGCTGTATCAGCTTTTCGATCAGTCTAAGCACGGCATTACTATTGCTAGTACTACCATACTTGTAGTAACTACTTATGTGTGTCAGGGGAGTGGATTCGTTCATCTCGGCGATATTTGCTGGTTCGTATCGCTTAGCTAAAAATACCCAAGTGAAGCATCTAAAGCACGTTTTTTCTTCCTTTTCATTTTTTTTGCTTAACGTCGGTTGACGTCGGTTGTGAGCACCCAATACTACAACTGGTTCGCGTATTGCTACTCGGACCTACTCTATGAAGCATTGCAACGTGGAAATGGAATTGATTCGTCGCGATATCCAGAGTGTGGCAGGCTAGTGTGAGACAGATGCATGCAGACAGCGTCAGAGAGGCTGTGATGAGTATTCCAGCGTGTACGGATACTCCGCGTAGCATTCGCGCTATTAGCAGGCAGCAGGTTGAGATATCACCTTGAATATTAGTGGTGATCGCGTACATGTACGCTGCGATGCTCCGTGGAAGCTGCGTTTTCCACGGTCCGAGCAGCGCAGAATAGGTACATGTACCAAGGGACCTACAGAAGCACCATGCTCCAGGGACTTGGCGTTAACAGCTGGCCCCTCACCTCGACCTCAACGTTTTTCCCCCCTGTCATATTGCCCAGCCATTCCGCCATCCACCTCGCAACTTGGCTTTAGTATCTGTTACAAGTACGCCGTCCATGACAATTACAAACACATCAAATATTCTTATAAATAATATTTACCCTATAGCTAAAATACCCGCAGCGCTACAGTACTCCCCAGAAAACTAGCCACGCCGCAAGATCTAGATTCACGTTCTCCTGCTCCTGAAGCGGCCTTTGGGCGTCCCCGGGTGGCGACTGACTCTCAGCACCAGCAGCAGATCGATTCACCCGCGACAAGGGCCTGCAGCCACCACGTTTTCGGACCATGGCCGGACCTCTCAGAAGGCTGAATTCCGGCCAGCCAGCCATGAGCCTTTGCGGCAGCTTATTCCACCACAATGCGCAATCTGTAACCAGGACCAGGACGAAGTCGACGGCTGGGGGGCTATCGGAAACTGCGGCCACTTCAGCCTTACAGTATGCTGCCGCTGTTCAGGAAGAGGAAAGCGTACATGTAGTCAGGAGGATGCTGTTTAGCCAGAAGGCTGCCGTCGTTAGCGGCATTGGCACCCGTCCGCATCCCTGGACCAACAGCATCTTCATGTTCAACTGGGTTGGAGTGAAAGTATCTCTGCTCTTGATCGCTTGAGACCGAAATTGTTGGATGCGGCTGTCTGTGCTTCTACAGGACGCTTCTGCACTTCTCTGGAGGGCAGTGGCAGTAGGCGAACAGCCTCAACTGGGATAGTCCATCCGTGCTTGTCCACTATGCTCAGTCCATCCACCTTGAGTGTTGTCTGGGCCCCCTTCATAGCGATAGCGCGAATAGAGAGCCTCAGTTCATTCATATACACGGACAACGAACAGCCCGCCTTCTCCGCCCTACTGACGCGTTTCTCGGCTTCCGCTTCGCAGAAGCAGGAGAATGAGATAGATTTTTGTCAACTGGAAAAGGGCAAAAGCTGCCACGCCCACTACTTACTGCTACTAGTAGCGGTAGCGTTACATCTTATCGGCGCCTCGATTCACTTGCCGATGCTAGTCTGTGCCAAAGCGACTAAACATGGCGTTCAAACAGCCACGCAGCGGCCTGGACCCTTGACAGGTCACATCACAGCACGTCTAGCCTGGCTTCTCGCTCTTCCTCCATGCCGTGAGTGTGCGACAGCGAGCTTCAGCGCCGTCTTGGCCCCGTCTGGACAGGCCTTGGCCCTAAGGCAATCAATATCCCCCTGGTCGGCTGGTCCTAGTCTGGCAGTTGCGTGCTGCGCTTGAGGCAGGCTGGCCATTTAGAGCTGATGGCGGCCCTCCTAATTAATCCATCTCTCTGTCCGCGTTGGTCAGCCCTGGCCAAAGGACCCGGTCGCATCTCCACCGCGTCTCTCCACATGCGAGCAGACAGGACTAGCGCCAGCCCTTCGGTGAGCTCAAGACGGCTGCGAGGTTATGTCGATGTGTACTGTAGGCACTCTATCCGCAAGACGAAGAGTGTGAAGCACCAACAGGTACTGTTAACGACGGGGAACAGTACTAGTAGACGTACTACTAGTACCTACATGTAGGCTCTGCGGCCATGAATCAAATTTCGATAAAAATAGAGCTTCTTCAACGACGACAGCCGACTACAGTCCAGCTCTCACCACAGCGCCTGCATGTACATAGAGGCCTCGCCCAGACGGAGAAGCCTTTTTTGGCCTGCTCCGTACGTACATGTACCGATCAATTACATCCATCCGCAGTGATCCCCGCAGCAGCCGCCCTACAGAAGGCCAAGCTGCGCTAAAGGCTAGCGGCTTAGCGCAACAACCGCACCCCCAAATCCAGTAAATCCCAGCCCCGGGTGGCGCCTAGCTTGCTTGCTCAGCAGGTACCTCGTGCTAGCAGCGGCAGCTCAGCGCAGCAGAAAAACGGCTCCCAGCTCGGTCCAGAGCCGGCGTTAGTTGCGGCCGACTTTGCCAGGCCCTCAATCCTTCTCGCATTTAACAACGTCGCCTCGCTGATTTGGCCGCTTACCGCCGACTTCTCGTCTTTCCTCTCCTTGTCCACCGTTTCTCCTGCGCATCAGTCGGTCACTTGCATTTTGATATCAATCGCGAGCGCTGTTGGCTGCTGGCGCAAAGAATTGACCAAAGAGCAAACAAGCAAACAATCAATCAATCGCGACAAGCGACAAGCGACAATCGACATTTTGCCCCTTCTCTCCCTTCGTCTTGTCCCGCCCCGAGCCTAGCTTGCGGAAACCCGCCGTGTGGCGTCCCTCTCTGTGTCTCTCTGTGTGCGTCTCCAAGGCTGTGTCTTACACTGGGGGTCCAGCATCTCTGCGCGGCTGAGCGTCTCTTTTGAAGCAGCCTGGCGGTTTTCAATATCACCACAGCATTGGACGAACAAAACCCCCCTCGCTAGCAATCCTGCGATCCAACAACTTAGACACTGCGTAACGCACGTCCTCCCGGTCTTCAATTTCCGGGAAACAAATTCCTTCTCTTTTTCTGCTTCCTCATCTCGGCGCGATTCGAGGGCGAGACATTGATCCTCGCCTTGTTGCGCCCTGTGCCATCTCCCTCTTCAACGGCTGAAGAAATAGCATGCCCCATATGCGTGAGGTGAAGACCTGTGACCGCTGCCGGCATTTCAAGCGGCGCTGCGACCTGCTCAAGCCATCGTGCTCGCGATGCATCCAGGCCGGGGTGCGCTGCAGCTTCGATGTCAATGGCGTCGCCGTGCCCAGCGCAGCAGCTGCCACTGGCACCAGTGCGTCTCCCGGCTCATCACGACAAAGGACGGCGCTCGCGTCTTCTTCATCTCCTCCCGTGAATGGTGATGCCGCGGGCCAAAACGGGCTCATCTCGCCCACTGCTTCAACGGAGAGCCCTGAGCCCGTTGTCTCCATCGATGAGAATGGCATGCCGGTTCAGGGTACTGCCAACCCGCTGCGCGTTGTTCGCAAGCGCAAGCGCAATTGCCTGAGCTGCTTGCGCTGCCACCGCCTCAAAGTCAAGTGCGATAAAGAGCTGCCGTGCGGTCGTTGCAAGTCGAGCGGCAACGGCAGGGAGTGCTATTATAGCTACAACAAGGGCCCCAACGGCGGAAAATTCCCCTGTCCCACAGCTCCATCAAACAACGAGGAGACAAAGACAGTCCTGGCCACATGGCAAGTCCAACATAAAGTACGAGGATCCAGCCATTGGCGAGATCTCATGACCAAGGTATGTTTTGCAGGATTACGCCGTAGTAAATCTATCATATATAGATACTAATAATAGCTGGGGCTACACAGATTGGCGCTTTGGCATCTTTGGAATCGGCCCCGCTGGCTGCCGCTCTTGAAGACGTTGCTACAAATGCTTGCTTGGCCAACTTCACGCTGCCGGGCAATTTCCCCTTTGGTACCCCTGGTGCCACCAAGTACTTTGCGCGCGAAGCCGTCACTCGGCTGTTGGCGGGCGAAAGGCAAAACCATGAGAGGTATCTCCAGCGATATCTCGACTTGCTTGATGTCGTGAATCCAATCATCGACCTCCACATTTTCAAGCGCGAGATCGAGCGGTATTGGCTGGATCCCAATGCTTCCAATCTTTGCTGGTTGGCGCAGTTCCTCATGGTCATGGGACTCGGCAGCTTTGCCTCCGCCGAAGGAGAGCCTCCCGTCGCCACAGAATTCATGATGGCTGCTGAAGCATGCCTCATGCAGACGCCCTTTTCCTTCAGACCGACCTTGCTCACCCTCAAGACGCTGGCCCTCATGGTAGTGGCCAAGCAGGTCTGCAACCCCACTTGCTGGTCCGTGGATTCGTGCTGGTCCCTGCTCGGACTGCTCGTCCGCACAGCTTTCATCTATGGTCTTCCGCAGGACCCGACTGATGATGCGGAGACTAACCAAGAGGAAAAGGACGCTCGGAGAAAGCTGTGGCTTACCATCCTGTACCTCGATATCAAGGTGGCCATGTGCACCGGCATGCCTCCTCTTACACGGCCGGATGAGCTTGGCAACCTGCAAAAAATTCCAGAGTGGGGTCCGCCGGACAGCCTCCAGATGGTATTATACCAGTCGCTGCCAACCGTGCTGTCCGTCATGGCACAGATCAATTCCAAGAAGGATCAAATCTCATACCCCGACGTGCTGCGGTACAATGCTCAGCTGCGAGAGCTCATGAGCCATGCCCAGCGCGTCTGCGTCGGGCAGCTACAGCGGGTAACCGTCGACATCTTCCTGCGACGGTGCCTCATGGTTTTGCATCGTCCTTTTGCGTTGCACCCAGAGGGCCCTGTCATGTTTCCTGAATCGTACTGGTCATCCCTAGAATGCTGTCTTGCGTTGCTGGTGCATTATCGTGAGATGTGGTGTAGCGATGCGAGCCTGCGATTAGATCTCGTTGGACGAGCTTTTGTCCTTGACTTCTTCTCCGCAACCCTTACAACGTATATCCATGTGCTTCGCGCAGATGCGCCTCTTACAGGAGCTGCCGCCATAGGATGTGCTTTTCCTCCTCGGCAAATTATTCTCGACACTTTACGAAGCTGTGTCGATATTTGGAGTTCAGAAAAGGATAAGAGCGTGTGCTACCGCACTGGTTACAACCTGCTCGATGCGGTGCTCAACTTGGTTCCTAAAAATAAGATATAAATCGCCGTGGGGGCGTAGGACAATATCCCAGTCCTTTTGTTAAGCCATTGTCAGAAGATGCCGCAAACAAGCGATAATGTGTATTCGGAATATTGACTGGATATTCTGGTTCATATTCCTCTTTCAACAACCATAATACGACAGACGCAAATGCGTCTCATTTCTCTATATATATCCTGCTCATCGAAGCCCTGTTATGAATTCCGAAGGCGTCTATTCTTCCCACAAGCACCTTTTCGTCACTGTGGTCTGTGAAATATACTCCATATAGCGGCCTGGCATGATTGAATATCTAAAGCGTCGTTTCTTTTTCTTGTTTCTATTTTTCCTTCTTTCCATTCCACTCTCGTTTCTTATTAGCCATCATTGGAATTGCGGGCTGGGTTTTTGTATAGGGACGAAGGCATGAAATCAATCGTGATGGTGGACGTGCTATGAAAAGGTCAGCAGGACAACTATATACATACACACATTAGGACAGCGCATGTCTATGGAAGCGCGAGTCAATAGCAGTAATAACATTACTAGTATTAGTTTGCAGAAACAGACGCGAGACGAAGGCCTTCCTGAACCAGACACGACGGTGTAGATCACCCATGTACTATGGCTTAATTGGTGATTGATAGGCGATGATATTCGGCACAAGGGAAAGCAATCATACGATAAAGTGTTGTGTGCAGATGCGGTGCTTTTCCATCGTCGCGTCTCTATGCTGAGAACTTTTGCTTCAGTCTTGACTTAATGGCGGCATCATCGAATCAAGCCAAATAGAGCCGAGCTGCATGAGCTGAATATAAGACATGGCGCTTATACTCTGCCCGTCCATGAAGAAAGCAACGCAACCTGCACGCGCCAGCCACGAAAACCACGCCTTGGCGACTCATCGTGCATAGAGACGCAAGACAACGGCAGCACGATATGAGATCATAGAACCCCGTTTTGTCACGATCAAGCTCTCTGTTGCTCCCCCCAAGCCGCTGACTGCTGCTATCTGGGCCACAGGCTTGTGATCAATCAACCCCGGAAATGGGGTGTGACGACATGCCACTGGTGCGTCATCCGGGTGCTACTAGCAGGTGCTAGCAGGTGCTCTGCCTTTTGGCCTTTGTTTTCGCCTGTAAAATCCCGCCAGCGCGCAAAAGCCCACTAACGAAAGAGCCACAGCGTTCTCGATTCCCCCTCCCCGCTTAGGAGCTCCTCTCCAAGCTTTTTGGTGGTCCCCTAGCACCCTGGGTGACCCTGCTCCCCACCTTTGGAAGCAAGGTTGAGAGGGTACATATACATTTGACTCTGTACATGGCACCTTTACTTTTTTTTTGCGCATAAACACCACAAAAGAGCTCAGCTGCCTCAGGCTTTTCTCCTTTAGACCTGTTTAAAGTTGCTGGGACCTGGCAACGTGATTCGCATCCTGCTTATCGCTTCGCACCATCTGCATCACCTGCGAGCTATAGCTGCCCTCCCTTCTGACGACGGCTTTCAGCCTACGCTATCTCATCTCAGCCTCATTCCTTCTCTGCTCTGCTCTGCCTAGCCAGACTACAACCAAACCGCCAAAATGACTTCTGTTGTTGAGCACTCTCCACCGGCTCACAGCCCGCCTGGCCCAGATGCCAAACGGCCTAGGGGTAAGTCTCGTGCTCTGTTGGTGTTTTGCTGGCGGTTTAGTGATGGTATACACATGGACTGTGGGCTGACTTTTCTCTTCGCTGCTAAGGCATCCTCAAAAACCCTTCCTTTGGCGATCCGCCGTCTCCTGAACGCCCGCGAGACCGGTCTCTGTCCGCCAAAGAGGTCACCCTCGCAAACACCCAGATCAACGCCGGCCCTCGACGATCGTCCTCTGGAGCAGGCTCGCGCCGCCACTCCTCGCACAGCATCGGCGACCCGTCTGAGCCGGCCCAGCGTCTCAAGTGGGACGAGGCCAACCTCTACTTGACCGAGCAGGAGCGCTCGTCGACGATGAAGATCACGGAGCCAAAGACGCCCTACGCCAAGCACTACGACCCCACAGAGGACCCGACCGACGACGAAGGCGGGGATGAGGACGGCCTTGCTGTTGCTGGCCGCAAGACTCAGCGTGCCGGTGCTGAAGACGACATTCCGGGCCTTTCGCTGGGCGAGCCGGAGGAGGAGATCCCGGAGAGGCCAGCACAGATATCGCGCAGCTCCAGCGAGAAGACGGTCCACGTGGAGCAGGAGGACGTCACCCCCTCTGCCGAAGAGGAGGTCCTGGGACTCACGCCCGAGGAGAGGGAGAAGCACCGCAAGTTTGAGGAGGCGCGGAAGAAGCACTATGAGATGAAGAATGTGGCGCAGATTTTGGGTCACCCGGAGGATCTTGATGATGATGACGATGAGGAGGACGATGATGAGGAGGGGCAGAATGAGAATGGGGTCCCACCTATGCCTCCTTTGCCAGCCAATATTGCTAACGGCTCGGCGTAGTTGAAGGGGAACCATGGACTGGTTTTGTTTTCTTTGACCCCTTTTTCCTTTTTTTTAAGCCATATCTACTATTCGTTTTTCTTGTTACATCATTTCGGTGCACCGCTGCATTACGGTGGGATATTGGGAGAATGGGAGTATATTTTTGACAAGAGGAAGCTTTTAGGAGGAGTTTTATAGGATTTTTTTTACTCTAATGGCGTTTGCAGGTGGCATGGATACGAGGAACGCGCATAACGGCGGCATCACGAGGTATGGGAATACATAGTGGCAGTTTGATCAGGACTGAAAAAAATACACTGTTCATGTTTATGTTTATCATGCGAGATGCATCCTCTTTAAACTGGTAATGTAGGGTTAGAATTTGCGCTTTTGCCAAAAAGGACTTGTTTCTGAATACTGAACATCACTTTATAAGCTACCTATCCAATCGTTATATTCCATCTTTATGTACAACATCTTAAACTTCTCTTCGTGTTCATCATATTGTTGCTGTATGTTTCTTGTGTTCCCATTTGGCAGCATATACTATGCCTCTCGCTCAAAGCAAACCCTTCCGCGCCAGTTCAATCTTGCGCGCGGCTTCTCCCGCCTTGAACCCGCCTTTGGAAATACAGGTGCGCTTTCCTTCTGAGAGCTCGAATTTGTCGTCGTTGGCTTCCCATGCGCAGGGGCAGTGGTGCGGGAAGTGGACGCAGGCGAGGGTGTCGGGGCAGAGGTAGTTGTCACAGGTGGCTGCTCATATCTTGCGTTAGTTCTGTTTTCCATTTGTTTTGACGGCAAATATAAAGAGAAGGGTTGAGAGTAGTGGAATCAGGTGAAAGGGCGGCAAATCAGCACTTACAATGTGTGTACTGATGTTGATAATGGCGAGCGTCGCTAGGGTTGTTCTGCGAGCGCTGCTCTTGGTGGTGGCCGCCGCCGCCGCCAAACATTTGGTCAAAGAAGCCAAACTGGGCATTGGCGAGGGCAAAAAAGGATAGAAGAGCTATTAAGAGCCGCATCTTGAAGATTTTTATTGGCGATTGAATGAGTAGTTTGAGAAAGTCAACAAAGTCGAGATGATGACGCTCTTGTTGGCGGAAGAGCTAAGCTGGCCACTACAAAGTCTTATCGATAACATTCGCAAATGTGACTAAGCACGAATAACTCCCAAAAATGGAAACTTTAGACTAGAGTTTTGATACAAGGATGCATTGGAGCATTTTGACATCAAACCCCTCGTAAGACTCGAGCTGTGCACAAACCCCACGACAGAAGGGGGAAAACTTCGCCGGGCCATGCGACTCTTCACGATACAGCGGCCGATATTGGCTGCTGTGGCTGCGCTTTCGAGGCCAACAATTGCGAGCGGCGCTGTTGCTCCTTTTGGAGCGCAATTGGCCAATGTCCTGGCCGAGGGTCGAAGAAATGCTTCGGTGAAGGCGCAGGGAGCCTACAGGAAGAAGAGCAAGAGGGGAATTCCTAATAAGCTTGGTGCTAAACGGACTGGAGGTACGTCTGCAGCCGTTGGGAGGAATTTAAGAGAGATTTTGGTGCACGATTGCTAATTCGATGTGATTGAAAGATCAATTCGTTATTCCGGGCAACATTCTTTACAAGCAGCGTGGAACACACTGGTGGCCAGGCGAGAACTGCATCATGGGCCGCGACCACACCATTCATTCCATGGCGACGGGCTACGTCAAATACTACCGCGACCCGGCGAAGCACCCCGACAGGAAATACATTGGCGTCGTCTTCAACAAGGAGGACACGCTGCCGTACCCGCAGCACGCCGAGCGCAAGCGCAAGCTTAACAAGACGGTGCACACGATCCGACCCGAGGCCGCGAAGCCGGAGCTGTCGCCGTCGGGAATCCCCTTTGAGGTCACGCGAGTGGAGGCCGGCGAGCCGGACAGGCTGCTGAGGCTGAGGGCGGATTACAGCTACCGCGAGGACAACTGGCGCATTGGACGGCTGGTGAAGACGACGGGGCTGAAGACGACGAGGTTCCGGACGAGGAAGCAGTGGTTCCGGCATAGACGGTGGAGGAGGGAGCGGGAGATTTCGGGGCAGAAGGAGGCAGAGAGGAAGAGGGCTGAGAGTGGCGGGGAGAAGGTTGTGAAGGCGATTAGCAAGAAGGCGGCGAAGAAGGCGGCGAAGAAGGGTGGGAAGAAGGCGAAATAAATGAATGATGAGTGGTGTTGACACGATGTTTAACTCTGTTTGGGGGGTTTGTACCTGTCTCGATAAAATAAAGTGTATAGTAGAATAAAAGGAATGAATTGATGGATATGAAACAGAGATGGGAGATGTCTGGACTCTTTGGTATATCCAATGACAAGACATGATATGGCACTATTGGCAGAGATGAAGCTGGAGCAAGATTGCCTAAATCGGTATAAAGAAAGTGCATGTGCAAGATTACCTACCTGGGATATTGATGCTAGATTGCATACCTAAAGTATGCTTAGGTGAGTAAGCTTCTTTGGGTAACATTAAATCTCTTTACAGACTTCATTTCAGCGTGAATGATTAAACAAGTCCGGGTCACTTAACTCTGTACTCTGATATTACTAGTGTCTACTGGCCTAGAGAGGTAATAAAGGAAAGAATTACACAATACAATTGGCAGGGATACTCAATGAAAATAGACGGGCTGCAAATATATAAACCCAGGCCGGGAAGCAAGCAATTACCTTATAAACCTAAACAACAAAACAATACATGTATTCTTCCAAGTCTTCACTTTCACCACTATGCAATTCACTGCCATTGCTGCCAATACCGCGCACAAGCAACGCAATCTTGTGAAGCCCTGCGCGCTCGCGCTGCCCGCGCTAACGGCTGTATCTGCCCCTCGCTGCGGTGCATGTCACTAAAGCTCCACTGCAGAGCGCCCACAGCACCTCCGCGTGGCCTAAATGCACTCCGCGCTCGAATCGCGCGATAGGGACGACACCAGCGAGCAGATCGACCACAGGCTATGATTTCTACGAGACAACTACATACACCAGAGCTTTCATTCGACGCTTGCCTACAAAGACAACAAACATTGGGTGCTGCAGCTTGCCTGCGCACCATGCTGGGAGCTTGGGCAGCCTGAGAGACACGACGTTGGGCGATTTTCACCGGCCGGACCGACGCCAACATCGAACGTGCCCATATAGGACAACAGAGCCTGTGCTACTGTTGGCTAAGAAGAACACACTTTGGCTGCCTGAGCCTCATCAATAGCTTCTCGTGCGCCTAACCTTCTTCTGCGGTCGGACTATGGCTTCCGCCCATAGAATGAAGCGTACGGAACAGTCCCTGTGGAGGAAAAACAGCCAGACGATGCGTCAACGCGACGAGCCAGCTGATGCGCCGCCTCCCCTAGTCGTCAGTGACATTCTGCCTTCGTCGGCGGCTGGCAACTCCAGCCCTTATGTCGAGACGCCTGTGCCAATACCGCTGCCGCCTCCTCTGCGGATCCTGAACTCGAACGGACCGGCGCTGAAACGAAAGGCAATGGCGTCAAACGACAAGATTTTGCAGGCACAACAGCAATGGGAGGCCACGAACAGGCTGACCATGGGGCAAAAAGGTGAATGCAAGAACCATCTTGTTTTGTTTGCATCTGCTGGGTGCACGGGGCAGATTGAGACTTGGGCCGGCCATTGGTCAGCTCAAAGCGAATCGAGGCCCTTCCCCCCAGAGTGGCCATATTTGTGCAATCGGCTGCCACTGCTGCCACTGCTGCCACTTCCCTCAAAGCTTGCAACACCTCGTTTCCGCTGCATACGCTAACATTGCTTGTTTTCAGGCCCTGCTGTACTACCAAGCAACGACGCACCTCTCCCTCAGATGATGGATGTGACAAGGCCACCGAAAAGAGACGAGGCTAGAGGGGCAGCCGAAGCAATGCCAGGAGCACAGCGATTATTGGAGGAGGGCCTGATGCAGAGGATGGCGGATCTCAACAGATCTGCAAGCACCGGCTCGAGGGCGCGTCGAACATCGAGAAGCCAGCTTGCGGAACCACCCGCTTCGGCGTCTGCGTCTGCGTCTGCGTCTGCGTCTGAAGCCGCGTCGCTGTCTCCAACTGGGCAGCATTCAGCTATCGATGAGATCGATACCACGGATTTTCAAAATGCCCAGGGCAATTGGAGTGGGCTACGGAAAAATTGTGAGGACATGTCGTATTATCATTATATAGGCAAGTATTTGACCATGCACATTAAAGTCATTGATGCTTTGAGTTGTTGAGCATTTGCTGATTCGATGTGGGCTGCTTTCAGACGATGACGGTATTTTGCGAGAAACGCGGAACGCACCATTTCCTCCAGGAAAAGAACGATACGACCATCCTGAACTCGAGACGGGACGGCCATTCATCTGCCCAGTGCGCGACTGTAGAGTTCTGGCTATCAGCATGAAGAACATGGCGCAACACTTTCATGGGAAGCACAACCACTTTTTGTTCAACGATAATGGCGACGGTACCTTTTCCCCGGTGAGAGCCTACACAAATAGGGACGACAGCTCTCCTGGCATCATCATTTCGCGCATTCCGATATCTCCTGGGGCACCACCCGCCGCAACCCCGGAATTCTCAGAGAAGCAAAGACAGCTGCAACTGAGCAAAAAGGGTTCGCCTATGCCGTACATACCCGCAGGCCCTCGTGAAGCCACGATTGGAAGCGCTCTAGGAGGCAGTTCCCCTGATATATCAAAACGTACTTTGCGCACTGAGGCAGTCAACGATGTCATGGACGAGAGACTGGCAAAACGTCCCAAGAAGACTCCAGTGCCTCTACCCGTTCAAGCAACTGTGCTGCCGCCATCACCAACGCCACCCAGTTTGCCTATGGAGCAGCCACCTTTGACTAAAACGCTCGCGTATTTGCACCGGTTTCTTTCACCAAACCAGCAAATCCCTTCTCGGCCGGACATACTTGCACTCTCAAAATATGAGCGGGTTCGGAATGTGCCAGCTTCGTGGATAGACTATCATATTGATAAGACGATCGATCCTCTCCACTACGCCTGTGTTTTGGCGTATCTAGTAGGCACTGCAGAAGAAAAGAATCCATGCCGCAAATGGAAAGGAGTATCGCGGCTGTCTGATCCCTGCGTAGGTTTGCCTGCGAGTCTCCCGGCTGAAGCGCGAGCTGCATTTAGCAGAACAACGACGTGTATGGCCTGCCAGTATCAGTATTGCTTCAACCGTACCAAAAACGAGTGCGAATGGGCCAGAAACGAGCTGGCGCTCGATGGTATGAGTGAAGAAGCAGATGCAACAGCGCAGGCAGAGGCAGAGGCGACACCCCAGTCTAGGCTCGAATCAGCATATGATACCAGGTCCAAGGCAGTTGTAGCGGATGGCGGGCACGCAGACGATGATTATGATATGATATCAGATGGCGTGCCACTATCGAAAATGGAGCCTGAGCAGGTCCCCATCCGAACCTCTCAAACCAAGAGCCCACCACCTGTATCAAATGCCAGACAAAATTCAACAGCCGCTCAGATGGAGGCGGAAGAAATGGAAGACTGGGAAGTTGCCCCTGGTACAATCAAAGACGAAGTGACTAATATGAGTGAGTTTCCTTCTACCATGGCTGTTACTAGCTATACCAAGCACACGTTAGACTGACCGACTATACTAGATATCGGCTTTTCCAACGCCTACATGTCTGACCAACGTCCTGTTACCATCTCCCCAGGGGTCAGCTTCAACGTTCTTGTCCTGAAGCCAGGACGCTCGTATAACTGGCCGGAGGTGATGAGTATGGTGCGCACGTGTTCTGTCAGCGCCGGCAAGATCAGTGTCAAGATGGGCGACAACGGGACGTTCAAGCTAGGCCCAAACGGAGTAGTTGTCATACGGCCAGGACAAACTTGTACAGTCTCAAACCGGCTTTACACAGACGCGGTGCTTCATTGCACGACTTTTGAAGATGACTTTCAGATGAAGTGATGAACGAGGGAGGACGAAGCAGTAGGTCAAGGCTATTTGAAGACGGACGGTTATTTGCTAGACTGAGATGATACCCTGTGTACATGTACATGAGCTGGCGTTTAGGGTTTCGTTTTACAGGGGGCTTTCTATTTTCTTTTCTTGCTCTTGTCAGCATTTGGTAAAGGCACAAGACGCTTTGAGTAGAGACACGGTTATCAAAATAATATAGGCATTTGGATTCTGGACACAACGTTAGATTGTGGTTACCAAGACTCCTCAAAAACTACGCACATTTCTATATAGCACCTGTTTCACACATGATTTGGCGTGAAGGCGGCCTCTAACCTTCGCTCTCATACTAAAATCAACTCGGATGCAACGCCGAGTTAGACATGACGAGTGCCGAGCCTACAGATGGCAGTCTTCAATCATGTGAATGTTTGCGGAGGTTTTAAAAGCCGACAGACGACAATCCGATGAGCTTAAAAGAGGATATCCCTCCCGCTTTAGTGGATCTAATCAATCTTGCATTGTCTTCAGCTTTGGATGCCAGCCTGAGGGTCCATGTGCCGCGAAATAAGTCACGGTGGCGCCAGTCCCATGGCCAGAAATGCCAGGGTGCTGCTGGGGTCATTCGCAGCTCGGAGGGGGCGCTGTAAGCACTGTAACGTCTGCACTGTAAAGTCTGCTGAAGGCAGCCAGACATCAAAACTTGATGATCGATGGATGCCTCCCTCGCTTGGGTGCATTCCCGCCTTCTTGTCACGAGCGAGGCAGATGATTTCGGTTTGTCGCGGGCCTTTTTTATTGGGCATGGTGTAGACTGTGCCTGTTCCTTACTCCTGGGCCTCCGCAATCGTGCTGAGCTTGAGTGATTTTTTAAGAGCGGCGTGTCTTTTTGGTCTGAGATGAATCGGGTGAGTGTGTGAGATGCGGGATTCGTGATCTGGGGTTGCGATGCCGAGGGTGGTAGATTTGTCCTCGGGGCCTGTTTGGGTGGATGGATGGGGGGTGGGCGATTTTGGACTTGAAGGTTCTGTGCCGTATTACTCATGGCATTTGATGACAATTTTGCCTTCCTAGGGGTTTGCGTAATAGCGCATCAATGTGCTTTGATGGAGAAAGATGCCTTGCTTGGGTGGTTTCCTGCTGCTGGGCTGCGTTATGCTGTAGCGAGCAGGTGATGGCTCGGTTTCGCGTGTAAGTTGAGAATGTGATGCGCGGGCTGTGGGGATACGAGGTGATGCGTACCTTATGCTTGCTGCGATGGAATTTTTGACTTTGATCGTGATTTCTTTTAATTTTACATATTTTATTTTATCGAGCTTGTTTCGCTATATAACAAGAACGTCTGCGCTGGCTGGGAGCTTGATGATGCTTGACTTATAACCAGTGCCGTGCTGCTTGACTTTTGACATCAACCCGCTGCATCAACTGAGACCGCTGTAATTATAGCGAGGGACAGGTATGGCTCGTGGCGGCCGCGGCGGCCCGATACGGCGGGCCTCTGCAAGCTTCGCGCTGGACGTGCCTGCTCCTCCTGCACCTACGCGAAGGAGATCTGGCAGGACAAAAACACCAAGCATATTCACGGATACCGACGATACTGATTTGAAACCTGGAGCGGGCGAGAGATTTACTGAGAAGTCGGGGACTAGGGACGGCCAAAACCAGCAGCCGCGGACTCGGTTCACCATCGACCCTGAGGGCGAACTTACACACGATGAGACGAGCGTGGATGTCGTCACGGTGCCGTGTCCCGGCGGGCATCCCCTGCGGAGCTGGAACCGAGATGGCCTCATGGGACGATACTTTGGCGCGCCGTCGATGCGGGATGTGGAGGTCCATGAGGTGGAGCGACAGGGCCCGTCGTGGGTGAGGCAGGGCATTCGGCGAGAGGCCAATAGGGCGAGGATCTTGCTGTACGAGCACCCGGAGGTTGTGGATGGCATGACGCTGAATAAGCTGGCGGTTGCGCTGCTGGATGAGCTGAAGGAGCTGAGGGCGAGGGAGAAGCGGGAGAGGCCGCTGTTGTTTATTGGGCATAGTATTGGGGGGTTGGTGGTGAAGATGGCGTTGGTGAGGGCGAGTCGGGAGGCGAAGTATGAGGGGATATTGAGGGAGTGTTATGGCGTTGCCTTCTTTGGTGAGTGACGGCGATCGCTGCAGGCTTTAGAGTGATGATGATGCTAATGATGGTTTATTAGGAACGCCGCATCAAGGATCCAGTTACTTTGCCATGCCTACTCTCGCGTCGAGCATCCAGCAGCTATTACAACTTTCAACCCCGTTGCCGGCATCTCTTACGGATGATTTACGCATGGCCAACCACTTACTCCTTCATGTGGACGAGGACTTCAAAATCATATCCGACGATCTCCGCGTATGGACCTTTTACGAGACAATCGATTCTCGACTGTCGGCCAACTCGGGAGACATCTATTTCACGGCCCCCCTGACATCCATCAAGTCTGCCATTCTTGGGATGCGTCAGGAGCGCATTTTCCCCTTGCAGGGCGACCATGCCAACATTGCGTCCTTTGGGAGACACAACGTGCACACGCTGCGGCTCTTCTTACGCCAGCTGGCGGAGCATATCGAAAAGGCAGATTCCAATGCCCGGGAGGATGCGAGGGCGGGGAAATGGATGCTCAACTTGGAGCAGAAGGTGACGGTGGAGGTTCATGGCTTTTTTGACGATGCGGGGATTGATGATGGGACGGTGAGGGCCTGGTCGACGAGGCTGCCGCTGAGGGAGTTTATGAGTAAAGGCCCGGAGGCATGTCTGAGTGAGAGGCTGAATGAGTCGGAGGGTCCGCCTGAGGAGAGCAGATTTCTTGCTATGAGAGGGAGGACGGGCTTGGTGGACATGGAGGGACCACCCGAGGTTGTTGAGTTTCCTCCGGATCCTATGACGGTAAAGAATGCCCTTGGTATTGATCAGGATATGGTTCCTTCGGTTGACCAAACTGCTGCCCTTCCTTCGGTATTGCCGGTGCCGCCGCCGTCGCCCATGCTTCTACCAGTTGACCCTCCAATAGGCCTATCAAGGCCTAGAAAGAGTACAGAATCCGCACCGTCAGCGATACGTTCACGGCCTGCAGCAGCTGCGCTTTCGACGCCTCCTTCTCGGCCCATCTCGCTGCCTCCTCAGCAAACTTCAGCTTTTCGAAAACCCTCGCCCCTTATGCGGGCGAGCTTAGACCAGGAGCTCGCCATTGATCGTCTTTCGCCTCCTTTGCGAGGTAGGGTAGGGCGATCCTTCAGCCGGTCTATGAGTCTGGACAGTGACATTGGCGGCGCATCATCTCCCCCTCGGTATCGTGGCTTTCCTCCTTTATCAGCGCGAAGTCGAAGTACGTTTGACAGGGCTCTGATTGGAGATGAGAATGATAGCGATGACGATGACGACGACGGTGGGCTGGAGGGGTCTCCGAAACTGCCTGAGAGCGTTCTTGCGATTCGGAAGATGGCAAAGGAGAGGGGCCACAGGCTGAGCGAAACTGTGATTGTGGATGACGGGGTGGTGGTTCATACTGCGTTTATGAAGCCGGAGGCCAAGGCGAGGAAGTTTGTTTGGATTCATTTGCCGTTTAATAACCCTACTTGGGTGACTGTAAGTTTACACTTTCTTGAGCTAATGTCAGAGGTTGGTGAATGTATAAGGTCTGACTAATGAATGTTACTACTAGGCTGTTCTTCAGACGTTGCAGGTTTCCTACCAGAGGGACTTTTCAGCTCTGTCGAATCATGATTTTTGGGTGAGGAGACATACGCGTGGAAGGCACTCGCAGCATTATGCGCATTTTGCGAAGCCGGGGTGTTACTTTACAGCGCCTCGAACGTGTAAGTGAAACTTGTGAATCCTCCATCTTAATATCATGAATACTTACATATTATTGTAGTATCTCCAAGGGCTCATTCAGTGACCAGCCGCTCCCTTTCACCACCTGGTGAGGACGACCAGATGTATGTTTGTCTGTTTCTCCCATACCTGCACTTTGACTCGTACAAGAGACTCATTCGCCGACGCGAACTCATTGCGAAGCGGTTGGCTCATGGGAGGGCCAGGCCCGTCCCTGAATCTGTTGCCAAGTCGGATTCCCTGGAACTACAAGTTGTCTGGGAGTTCTTGGGGCATGACCCGCCAATTAACTGCCGACGCACGCTGGACCAATATGGGTACCCATCGATTAGAGATACACGGTCTCGGGATGACGACCAAATGCTGTACAAGTTGACAAAGGAAAGATATTACGACGTGGCTGAATACAGGGGATTGTATAGCCAGACTTCGGGCAGTGGCTCCGCATCAGGAGAAAGCAGTAATAAAAGCGGAAATGGGAGCGGGACTGGAAGTGGAAATGCTGGTGGAAGCAGAACAGGGAGCTGGCGGGAGAGGCTCAACAAACAGAATGGCGGCGAGAACGGGGATGAAGAGGCTGAGAAGGACGTGCTGAATGGGAATGTGCTGATGGTGGATCAGTTATGGATCTGGACTATTTCAACTCGTGAGGACTAATGCCTTGTATCACCTTCATATGTTTCATGCTAACATGCTATAGATACGCTGCTTTCATTCTTTCCCAAGCGTGAGAGCGATCCTATCGAGGGGCCATTGTACCAACAGGCAGATTTGCGTGATAGCATCTTCAACGATGTCAATGTAGATCTCACGCGCCTCTGTGATAGCTCTTTGGATTTGGCGGCACTAGCAGCTCTGCATGCGGTGAGTGTTCTTCTGGACAGAGCTTCTCATCCCGATTTGGAGGTCTTTCGCATCTTTGAAGAAGCCATCAGCGTCTTGGTAAGTCGAATTATTGCTTGAATTTGAGCGCTTCATATTACTAACGCCTTATAGACTGAGAAACTTACCACATCTCTCAAAGAGTTCCGCTCAGAGGGGTTTCGTGACAAGGCTTTTGACTATGAGCCTGTCGAGAATAAAGCTCGCTCGATTCGGGAACGTCATAAACAAGAAGGTCGACGAGCCGAACAGGAGAATAGGGATAACACTTCGGCGTTATTGGAGCTGCGAGATATTGAGGACGAATTGGCAACTCTACTGGGTCTCTTTGAGAGACAGACTAAAGTGATTTCATCGATGCACACAATCTATAATCGCCCCGAGATGAGAGCTCACACGGTCCATGGAAGAGGATTCCTCGTTGAGGCGCTGAAGCGACTGGGAGAATATATACACGTGACGGAGGAAATGATTCGACGGGTGAAGAACACGAGGGACGAATACGACAAGTTGCTGCAAATGGTGCAACGCCAGGCGCAAGTTGACGAAGTACGACTGAGTAGACTTCACGCTGATTTAGCCAGCGCACAGAGCCGAAGCGTATTGATCTTTACGACCTTTACCGTCATATTTCTGCCGCTTCAGTTCTTTACGGGAATATTCGGTATGAATACGCGCGAATGGGGAGGAGGCGACAATTTGCCGCTGCGGACGATTGCCGTGATTGGCATCCCAGCGAGTGTGATTCTAATCGTGGTGACTCTCATCGTTGCGTGGAGTACCAACGCGCGACGCTTCTTCAAGTGGATCGGGAGACAGTATGGAGGAGCGATTCGCTTCTTTTACGAGATTTTTGGGAGACCCGTGGCGCAGTGGACGATGAAGTACATGGATAGTTTGGCGGCGAGGAGGGAAGGGAAGCGCAGGCAAGGAGGGCCTGGGAGAGGGGAGGACAGAGCTCCAAATGGTAGCTTGAGCACGGAGACGAGCGATTTCTGGGAGAGGCATCGGCTGGAGAGGGAGAGGGGGTATCAGATTCCGGAGATGAATAAGGCGCCGGTGAGTAGGATCAAGGTAGGGGCGAAGTTGAGGAAGGTTCAAAGGGGATGATGGATGTTTCATTCTTGATTGTATGATTTACTGTACTATGTTTTTGTTGTTTTGTTTTGTTTGAGATACGGTTATGATGGGATGATGGGGATGAGCATTCTTAAAATACATGTATATTATTAATTGGACTTGTATGAGTCCGTTTGGTGCTATCAGCATAAGAAGAGGCGCAGACATAATTTCACAAATAACAAACCATCATGATAACCAATGCTTTGGGGAAAAAAAATTTCCTTTGTTCTTACTGCATCTTGTTTGTGTGGTCATCAGCCCTCAATCATCTCATTACTCTTCCCATCCCGCTCATCGAGCAACAACCGCGCCGTCTCAGCTCCACCAACCGGCAGCTTGATCGGACTCCCCTCATAGGGAAGATGCGTAGGCAGGATATCCAGCTGGCGCAGCACGGTGGCCTGGTCCCACAGGATGTGCTCGTGGTAGAGGCGGTCGCCGCGGATGTTGATGATGCCGACGGTGGGGATGGCGAGGGGCTTGTTGGTTGGGGGGATTTTGGGGAGGAGGGCGGGGATTTCGGTGGTGTGGGTGCAGCAGAAGATGAATTCGTCTGGACTTTGTTAATATGTTCTTTCTTGTATTTTGGGGGTTGATGAGACTTACCGACGATGCGGTCTGGGCCGATGGTGCGGGAGACGGTTTTGAGGGTCGTGTCGGGGGGGTTGCTGGATTGAGTGAGTGAGGATTACTTTGAATGTGGGAGATGAGGGTTTACCAGAAGATGAAGTGGTCGCGGTAGAAGGCGGTCAGTTTCTCGCGGCCAATACCTCCTGTCATCTATGCACAGGTTAGTTTCCATTTTAGATGTATGATGTTGAATCTTGTTACTCACTGTAGGAACGTGATTAACATATGGCTCCGCCTATAATTGCATGTTAATAGCCTATATCGGACATCTATTAAGAGGAAAGGTGAATAAACTCACAACCATGGTAGCCATTGTCTTGGCAACACTTCGTCCCACAAACTCCCAGTAGCAGTGCTCTTCCCAGATAGCTTCGAGATCAAAATGAGGCCCGCCGAGATGCTTCCGCAGAAACACCAAGCTTCGCGTGTGAGCCATGCTGGCAGAAGCGTTGTCGTACGCCGCCGCAGACGGCAAGACAAAGTGCGGAGTCGTGCCCGGGTACGAATACACTTTGACGTCGAGACTTTTGCCAGCGTCGTTTTCTGAAAGTTCAGGTGGCGGAGGGATGCTGGCGTGAGAGAGAAGTGGGAGCACAGAAGCAACGGTGGGGGCGCTTTCGGAGAAGGTGATGATGCCAGCGATGCCATGCTGCTGTAGGCGCTCGGCGTCGAGCAGCAGCGACGGCACGATGACCCCGTCGTAGATGATGAGTCCAAACTTGTCCTTGGTGTCGACTGCGTCATGCGCCTTCAACGCCTCGACGCCCTCGCGAATCTGGTTCACGATGTCTGAAACGGTGGCGTCGTCGCCGGTGAGCTCCTCCATCTCATTCGCCGGCAGCGTAATGGCCACGACGGCGAAGCCCTCCTCGGCCCATTTCTGCAGGGGTTCCGGGTCGAGTGGCTTTTCGACGGCGGCGGGTTTTGGCGTGACGGAGGAGTTGCTGGGCAGGAGGACGACGAGGCCTGGGCCGGAGCCGCGGCGGGAGAGCGGCGGCTGGAGCACGGAGGAGGGGCCGATGGATAGGGCCGGGGCGGAAGGGAGGGGCGGGGCGACTTCGTTGGGGGAGGAGGCGTCGTAGGAGGATGGGAAGGAGGCCATGGTGATGGTGATGTTGTACTGATGAATGGAGTTTTACATTAATGAATCTTGAAAAGAGATGAAGTCGTGGCGGTTTATATCATCATGATAACTTGGCGGCTCAACTGGATGAGGGGTAGCTCTTATAGCGAAAACCCCACCATGATCTTCGGATTATTATCCTGTCTTCTTTCACTTATACGCTCTTTTGCTCGTATTGCTCTAGTTTCACCAGCTACTGGATACATGATTCAGGGCGCATTGCCTCATTGACAGCTCGGTGACAGTTCCGAAGCCAGCTGCTGGATGCAACGCTATCGGGGACTAACATCGATAGCAGGCATATCAGGCGAGGCAAGTAAGATGCTAATGCCATGCAATGCCATGCAATGTATGCATGCACCCGGAAGTCCGAGTTCCTAAACATCTTACTCACCTTTTATTAGATCCTGGACCATTCATCTGTCTCATGTTTAAGACACCATAGTAGATAAAAATTATTGAGGCCCGGTGATCTGATCATCTGCCCGCCCATGCTGGTGTAGCGCCAGCCGCTGCCATTCGTCTCCATCAGGCACTTGCAGGGTTCGCTGGGCCCCGCTACAGGCCCTGCCGGGTCACAGCGAATGCGACTCTGAGCCTCGATCCAGCAGTTTTGAGCTTCCTGTTAGTGTTAGTGACGCTACACACGGCCCTCGTTCAATCTCTTGACCTCCATCATCTCATCTCCTTCTCACCTGTCTCTCTTTATCCCCTTTTCTCTTCTTCACTCTCACAACTAGAGTCATGAAGAGTTGACAGCTGCGTCAAGAAAGAAACAGGTACAACAAGTCAAGATGCCTTCTCAGCGCTCCTCGCGATGGCTCCTCACGCCGCCCATCCAGACCGCGCCCTTCAAATACCTGCTCGTCATCCCCATCGTCCTCTCCGTCGCCACCTTTGCGGCGCTCTTTGCCAGTTCCGACGTCGACATCGCCCTGCTGTGGTCGCAGTGCAACGCCCACGCGCGCATCCCCGGCCTCAGCCGCATCCCGCTGCTGGGCACGCCGGCCTGCTTCCTCGTCAGCTTCTTCCAGGCCGCGCTCGACTCGCTGCGGTCGCGCGCCGTCATGGGCGTCATCCTGGCCTACGTCGGCGCGCTGGCCACGGTGTGCACCGTCGAGTCGGCGCGGCGCTGCAACAGGCCGAATGCGCTGATTGCGAGGCCGACGCTGTGGTGGCTGGTCTTCAACCTGCTGGGCGGCGCCATGGTGTGGCAGCTGGTGATTGTGCCGGCGTTTCTGCACAGGGCCAAGGCGCTGGTGACGGCGAAGCAGCAGGCGGGCAGTGATGAGGATGAAAACGACAGTGAAACTGAGAGTGATACTCTCAACGCCAAGGAGCAGGGCCGCACGCTGCCAGACTCCGAGGCCGTGGCCATCCCCATTGCCGTGGCGGTGGGCTTCTACCTCCCCTCGATCCTCATGCTGGCGTACAACTCGCCCGTCACAATCGCCGTCTGGCTCTTCTTCCCGGCCTACGTCTCGCTCGTGCGTCAAGGCGTGCGATACATCATCCAGAGGATACGCCGCGCGGGCCCGACCAACATCCACCACGAGTCGCACTGGCAGAGCGTGGCCCTCGTGTACACGCTGCCCATCGTCCTGTCTGTAGCGGCGCACTTCTTTGTGCTCTGGAACCTGGCCCAGCGCGACGATCGCAAGGAGCTGACCAAGCTGGCGGTGGGCTTCATCGAGATCGACTTCCAGTTCATTGCCTGGACCGTCTTGTACTGGGTCTTTGTCGAGGTCGGGTGGCGGGTGCCGCTAAGCATGATTGCGATTTCGATCCTGGCTGGGCCTGGGGCGGGAACCTGCTTGGGGTGGCTGCATCGTGAGAGGGTGCTGAAGAATGGCTTTGCGGGGCTGTTTGATGGGTCTGACTCTGGTGATGATGAGCGTGGTGTAGGCGAAGAGGAACCGCTGCTGAGATGAAGATGAGATGAGATGGCGACATAGCGAAGCGAAAGTTTGCACTGATGCTATGAGATACCCCTAATACTTTGTGTCACAAGATCTTATAATTATACAATCGCAATGAGCAGCTTTGCTCTCTTTTTCTTCATATAATACATATACACCCGTCTCACTACTAGATAGTCCAAAGAAGAGCGAATTTTGTAATGGTACATCCTGCTAGTATCATAGCCAGGTGCATTCATGCTTTCTAGATTCAAAACACTTAGCTTCGTCTCCTCATAAATAGTACAAGGTATGGTTACACAACGCCGCCGCCGCTATCCCTTTTCTTTTTCTTTATATATGCCCTCTCCCCCTTTTTCTCCATTTTTGTCTATAAGATTTTTTTTAGTTATCCTTGGGTACCTGTGCCAAGATCCTCTCCCTCACCACCTGCGCCGCTACGGCAGATCCGTGCTGCAGCGTGACGGCGCCGATGATGGCCATGAGCGCCGAGTTTAATACCACTTCCACACCTGAAGCCTCGAGCCGTCGGGGCTGTTTTCTTCATGTTAGCAATGTTATCGCCACAAGTCAAGTCGTTGGAGCGTTGGAAGAGTTCGTCAACGTACCAATCGAGGCTTCCACCGCACTACATCCATCAGCCCAACGTTGTTGGCCAACTGGTAGAGCTTGTCTTTACCGATAATGTCTCGGGGTCCCATGACGTTGAGATTATCTACCGAGAGCAACTGATCGTCCTCCAATGGTGTTCTGTCGAATTGGTCGGGGAATATTGAGCCGTCAAGAGGCTCCTTGCTGACAATCTCTTTTGTTGCTTCCATTACCATCGTCAACCGTCCTAGAAACGCAGAGTTTAGCATAAAACCTTCTTGTCCGTCCAAGAAAGGCCACCATAACCAACCTAACAGTGCCAATCTGTCGTTAAATCCTCTCCTTCCTTGATCAAAGCTCTTGTGTGTCACCGCCAGCCACTTGAGTTCCTCCGGCAGCATCTTGCTACCTCCCGGTCCCAGCAGGCGGTTGTACACCTCGTCCAGCCGTGTGGGATCGTTATTCACCGCCCAGATCTTGTTCCGGGCGCTCTTTGCAAAATCCAGTTGCAGAGGAGCTTTCATTCCTTGGGGCGTCTGGCTCCATCGCGGCTTCGTCTTCGTATTGCTGGCTGATGTCGCGGGGATCTTGAAGGACTCTGGTGTTGAGGGTGCTGATTCTGATTCTGTTGCGAATGTGCGCGCGCATGGAGCGAAGGCGCGAGCGGTATGCCGACAGCGGACCAGGCTCGGACGGAAGGACTGGAGAGCCATGGCTTTGTGAGATCAATTGTGCACGAAAGTCGGCTTTTATGGCGATTTCGACGCTGTCTCTATGGTGTTGAAGGCCTATCGAACAAATCTGGACCATTTTCGGGGTCACGTGTTTGGCGGCATGTTGCGATCTTATCTTATCGCTTATCGATTTGCAGTCCTGGCGTCACTGAGCAGCTTCCTAGGCTGATCTTACCCTACAAATCTGCAATGCTTGTTCGATTGCCGAGTTTTAATAAGACGAGCGCATTAAGCTCTACTGAATCGCCAATCTAATATGATTTGATGCTTGATATCGAGAGTAAGCTAACGCGTGTATACGAAAGAAGTCTGATTGACAGTGCTTGAATGTACATTGGTGTTGCTTGAATGTAATAAAATAGACATAAAAAACGAGCAAAAGTTATGACAATCTTACTGACATGCGCCAAAATATTGATTTTGCAACAACAAACAATTGCTACTCTTCGGCTACTCAACCCATAAGGTTCTAGGCTTTCATATTCACTGCACGACATGATATAGGCGCCTAGTTGGATTCGATGTACGAAATCAGCCCTACTGTTCGCTATCTACCCGCTGATTCCCATTTTGGGCATGTGGCGCCCTTGCTCTTCAGCGGACCCATAGCGCTAACTCAGCTGTAGGTACAGCGGAGCTCCTGCATTCAATCTGACGTTTTGTCGCGACTCGAGGGAGGTACCAGCCTTACATTCTTTTGCTTTCTCTTCTTGCTCCCTCTTCTTCTTTACAAATCATTCACCTCGGAGAATCTTCTGCTTTTTCCGAGAGGCTATTCTACTTAAATGGCGTCTACAGATCCTCCAGACGCCAGTCTGCGCGGCCGTCTTGCTGCTGCGCTTCCGAAAGGCTACAAATTCGGCATCCATCACGTTTCCACACCTCCCACGAAAGTCGACGCGCTCTACTCTGCGCCTCCAGGCGAGCGACCCGAACGAACATACTGCGAGAAACACTTTCTGAGTGTTTCAATTGACGCCGAAAGTCCATCATCAGATGCTCCAACAAGCGAAATCACGCCAGAACAGGCTGCGCAGCGCAAACGGGTCCTGATTCTTGGCATTGAGATCTTCATATATACCACGGCCCGGTCAACCACCTTGTTTGTGTCCAAGGCTGACTCTACTGGATTTTTGAACAAACTACAGCTACCAAAAGGCGCTCCCAGCCCGATACGAGAGGTTTGCGCGACCTTTGTGCGCTACCTGGTCGACAAGAGGAGGAGAAAGGACGTGCAATTTGTCGTCAGCTTGTTTGCTCGCGCCCAAGATCAATACCTCTTCCCCGGAAGCATCGAGTATTCTGGCAAGCATGTTTTAGACGACCGTGGCCTTGTCAAATGGTGGTGCCGAGTGCTCGACCCCATCGTCGAGTCGCCTCCACGCGGCAGTCTCTCAGCATGGCGTAATACCAAGGGCTACCTGCTTATTCCTGGCTTAGACGCTTACGAAACCCGTGCTTTTATCCCCCGTCGTGCCGGCGCGACATCTAGCTGGGCGTTGAGCCATCCACTGGAGCGCATTTCTCACTACTCTCGAGAATTTGACTGGGTACCACCGCGATGTCTCATTCCCAAATTCCCAGACGACCCCAAGTGCCGGTTCCGCGATGAGCTGGACGACGAGGTTACCAAGACCAAGGCAATGAAAACGACGGGAAGCTGGAAATCTGTAAAGACGCTGGACATGTTTTGGGAGATGATGGCATATCGACAAGAGTGTTCAAGCGGGAGGATGACGGGATTTATTTGGGTCGTATTTGATGATTTGGATGACGAGTCAAAGCAAGATGGTAGTGATATCGTATCAGTATCTAGTGCCTCGGTCGTAACCAGTGCGTTGAGCGGCGCTCCAGAGACGCCCAGGAAACAGAGAACTCTGTCAAATGTTACGCCAGCGACTACGCCCAGGAGACTGTTTCCATCCAAATCAGATCAAAATGGCGGCACGCCCACTAAATCAAAGCGTGACTCTGAGCTTGAAGGCAGAAAATCCAAGAAGCGAAAGGCGGCAAAGATTAAGCGAAAGCTCAGAGGCCCAATCAAGTCGCGCCAGCCGCGTATCAAGACCAAGCAGCGCAACTATCTCCTAGACAAGCCCGTATCGACGGCCTACTATTATTGGCCGCACCACGGTCGAGGAGAGAGAATCGTCGATGAGACCGACTATAAGCGCATGCATGAGCTGCTTCTGCGCCTGGACTTTGCGACGCTGGAAAAAGCCACCGGCAGCACTCGCCGCTGGTTAAGCGAAGTCGGTCTCGGCAGCCGGTGGGGCTTTGACGTTACGGGAACACGGGAACTCGCCGCTGCATCGGCGGAGCAAACGACGGATAGCGGAGCGGCGCCGGTGAACAACTTGTCTGGCCTTGTTAAGAGAAAGAGGTCGGATACGGTAGGGGACGGGTCACAGGGCGAGGCCGCCAGTGCCAGCGTCAATGTATTGGGTGGTGGGCTTGTGAGGAAGAAGCCGAAGCAGGGTGAAGGTGAGGGTGATACTCCGCCGGTCAATGTTTTGAGTGCAGGACTGGTGAGGAAGAAGCAGAAGACATGAGATGAGGTATGACTGTATGTGCGTGTTGCGTGAGCTCTAGGCTGGACCTTGGGTTTTCTTTTTCGCCCCCTTTTTGGAGGATGTAATGATTAGGATATGAAGCTTGTATACTTTAAGAATTTTTAATAACGAATCTAGATGACTTGGTGAATACGTCTATAGGCGCGATTGAGTGGTGATGTCCTCTTTATCGATCTACGATGTTTGTTTTCGATAACCCGATACCAGGATTTGTCAGGGGAACGAGATAGCCAAAGGCAGATCATAGGGGACGAGAGATGTATGTGCCCTTGTTAGGCTGGAAATATGAGAAGAGCACTATATCGAGAGTGGTAGAGTTACAAGAGTGACGTTTCAGTGGTTATGAGGCTACGGCATGTTGATTTGACATACGATAAGGGCATCATATTAGGCTTTTGGCGAACATCAGATGGGACCAAATCATATTCTTTACGTGGTTCAGTAGGTTTTGAGGCTTTGAGCTCTCACATGCTATCCGAGGCTCATGGATGTTGCATCGCCTAGCCCATTGAACAGTCTTGGCCACGGTCAGAGTAACTTCCTAGCATATATCTCTTGTTGCTTCTCATCCAGCCCATCTCTATTTCAGTTCTTGTGGAGGCAAAGGCTGGCTTTGAGCAGGCGAGGTATCGGAGATGACTGCACAAAATCACAGAGGCAGCATGTTGGCATGTTGGTATAATTTACAGCCTGTCTTACTATAAGTGACAAGTAGATGGACGGATATTGAATGGTGCAAGGAGTGACGGCTGAGCTTATCTATTCTGGCTTGGCGATTATACGGCACTTGTTCATTATATCTCTGGACGTTTCAGGGATGCCTTACGCCTGTATGTAGATGATAACTATAAAGGCGTAGCTGTCAGATGAGTTGAGATGGATTTACAAATATCGAAAGTGGTTTATAAGTCTAGTATCGCAAGGAAGTGAGTTGATGGTTGAGCTACCATCACTACGAAGCCGGGTAAAAGATATCGCAACGCTGATCACAACATTCTTGATAAAGAGCACAAGCTACAACAGGCAATATTCTCTATAGTCGTATTCGTGTAGAGTTACGATACACGTGCAAATGTTCTAGAAAAAGCCTCACTTAGACCCATAATCCCTCATCCTCAGCATCTCACTGTAGCATCTTTATACCAAATAGAGGTAATAAAACTTTTCCCAAGCTTACTGCGGTCTGAGCCTCTTGGCGATGTTCAACTAGGCCTTATGACGCGGCCAAGCCGTGCAAGCTTGCCAAAAGAGGTATAAAAACCGCACCGTCACTATGGATCCACGGCCAAAAAGAGACGACTTAATAATATTTTACGAGAAAAGATATCCCAATTGTCTAGAACACTTAAGCCTCAGTGTCCCATCTCTAGGCAACAACTTTGATGTTTCACATGTCCGGCGCATAAAGATTTCCATTCCAGGTTCGGAGATAACTTCTTGTTGGATCGAATCGAAGAGGGCGAGGCCAACCACTTAATTTAGCCGCTAGACAGGGCGCATAACAATCACCAACCCCACGGTCTCATGACTGTCTCAAAGGCCGATCTGCCGGCGCGTTGCCCATCCGAGTATCGACTCTGGGGAGGCCCCCCGTCTAGTTCGTCTAGTTTGCGGGGTATTAGCGGAGCTGCAGAAGAGGAAATGCGGGATGAATGAGAGAAGCACGGGACGTAGAGGGGCTTATTCGCTGTTCCTTTGGCATATCTAGTCTCTGAGAGGAAAGATTGTTATGGTAGCGGTGAAAAAGTTCTTTCAGAGCTCCAAATGAGTGTCCAGTTTGGCTGCTCACAACGTAAAACATGGGGGGGTTTCTCAAATCCCACTTTGCATGATTGATCGTAAAGAGCCACAATCATGCCGCGCAATTCTCCGTTGAGCCCGCATTAAAAACTCAGAAACAGGGGACAAGCCTATTATGAGCGCATTAAGCTCGCTACGGCTTTGCTTGAGGCACCGGAATCTGTCCAAAGGAGGATGCGGTGCTTCCAGACTGGTCCGTGGGAGGAAACTCCAAAGTTGTGAGGGTGTGTTGACGGCTCTGGATGTGCCGTCTAGGCGCACAGCTACTGGAACTACTGGAATCTTTCTTGCAGCTTCTTTAATCCGTTTGGCTTGTGATGCCGAAAATCTTCATAATTAATTTCACGACGATGAGGGGAATGGCAGTGTTGATAGGCTGCCAAGAGATGTCAAGTGTGGGTGGCTGTACACCATTCGACCCCTGCAAAGTGAGATGTAAATACCTAGTCTTGGATCCTCGCGTGCAGTACATGTGTGAAATGGAAGGAAATAGGAATTCTACAAGGGGGTGGCGACAGGATCGCCCAGATCATCTCGCTCCCGAGCTGGACCGGCAACTCAAAATACCACTATTATTATCTGCTGCAAGTGGTGAGAATCTTACATGTTGATAATATGAGCTTAATGTAAACTGAAACCCTCTTTCGGCAGTCGTGCAGATGTTTTCAGAGAGGTCATTTCATGCTTATACCCTCATATCCTTGAGAGCCAGAAGCGAGGCCAGGAATCTCTCACACCTCTACGACAATGCAACATTCCCCGTGCTCGGCCCCAGATACTACTACCATAAAGCTCCGTACGCAAAGTCACGCACATGGCCGCTGGGCCCGCATTGGCGCCGGGGTAGGCGGGCGTCGTCTTACTGGCGGAGCAGCAAAAGCGCCGCATCGTGAAAAAAAAAAAAAAGGATTCTCCAAGCCCCATCTGGAAGTTTGTCCTTGCGCTACCTGAAGTGCCTGAGCGCGAAAGGGTGTAGACAAGAAGGATTCTACTCGTCAATCGAGTCGAAAGATGCCGAGTTTGGGACTAGCAGATCTGCTTGTCGTGGAGAAAAGCATGTGCTTTATAGAGAAGGCCTCTAGATGGGGCAGACGACGAGTATAAGACTGCCGCAGATCCGCTGTTTCACTCTGTTCATGCCTTGAGATATCCCAAGAGCAAAGTAAACTCATAACCTTCCTCCATACATCAGCTTATCATCGTACAGGATGCGATCCGCTGCTATTTTCACAGCTCTCCTGGCGGGCCAGGCCTTTGCTTACCCAAAGCCGGTCATTCAGTCCTACAACAAGCGGGACTGGCCTTCAATCAATGCCTTCCTCACCGAGATTGCCAAGATTATGCCCATTGGAGATACCGTCACGGCTGCTTGCGATCTGATTGGAGATGGTGAAGACATTGCTGCCGATCTTTTCGGTATCTCTGAAACTGAGAACGAGGCTTGTGGCGACGTAACCGTCTTGTTTGCTCGCGGTACTTGCGACCCGGGCAACGTCGGAGTACTTGTCGGACCTTTCTTCTTCAATTCGCTGCAAAACGCACTTGGCAGCACATCTCTTGGTGTTCAAGGCTTCAACTACCCTGCGAGTGTTCAGGGTTTCCTGTCTGGAGCGGTCCAGCCGGGCATTGACTTGTAAGTCACCTCCCTATTATTCGTTTTCTCGCTGCAAAATCACAAGTCTAACCAACCTTTTCAACTCATATAGGGCCACCCAAATCACATCCGTCACAAAGAGCTGCCCGAACACTAAGCTTGTCGTTGGTGGCTACTCCCAAGGCAGCTTGGTCGTCCACAACGCTGTGGGCCACCTCGATGCAGCAACCGCCTCCAAGATCAGCGCCGTGGTTCTCTTTGGAGATCCAAGAGACGGACAGGCTCTCCCCAACGTTGATGCTTCAAAGGTCCTGACCGTCTGCCACGATGGAGACAACATCTGTGCTGGTGGAGACATCATCCTGCTCCCACACTTGACATATGCTGAGGATGCAGATACCGCTGCTGCCTTTGTTGCATCTATTGTGTGAGAAATCACATGTTTTATTTCTGTACAAAATTTTGAAGCGAAAAATGGGGCGTAAAACAATTACGTAGTGTATATAGCTGAGTGTTTGGCATCTTGAGGATTGCCATGATGATTAATGTACATAAGCAAGCGTTATGCGATTTTATACAAGTCACGTATATATTTATCCAGTTATCAACTGCCTTTTATCTACTCAAGTGCTTTGCCTCTCACGCTTAGTAGTTCAAAATAAGTTTTGACTGGCTTTATGCTGCATCAGGCTTCACTCATCTCTACGTAGTGGAATAATGACAGATAAGTGGTGGGGCCGCCATGTCAAGCTCATGTAGAGACACAGCATTAAACAAACATGTGATATAAATTTATCGCTAAATAAGTCTAAGTATATCGGGTTGATTGAATATACTCTCCAACAGAAACTCTAAAACTCTCGTAGGCCGATAGCTCTATCCTAAGTCAACAACGCCTCAAGCGTCTATTTGCGGCCAATCAACTCCAGATAGTGCTCAACAACAGAAACTGTCTGCTCCTCGAACGACTTGAACTTGCCAAATGTCTTCTCGGACTTGGATGCATCGACATTAACTGGGCCCGTGATCGGCCGGGGAATAGACTCGAATTTGAAGACGCCATCGGCATAGGCCTCTGGGAAGCGTCTCTTGACGATTTCGTACGAGTCGGTCCAGTCAATTGTGGGAGGCGCAAATGCGATGAAATCTTCATTGCCCTTGACAATGGACGAGTCCAAGGACTGCACGTGCATCTTAGCAACGTCGTCGACGTGAACGACAGCACCAATCAGAGGCTGATCACGAGCATGGCCAAGGAGAGGGCCCATGAGAAAGCCGTTGGTGCCCTTGGCGATGTTTGATGCGTCGGTGACAGTGTCATCGCGACCAACAACAAAGACAGGCATGATGTTGATTACGGAGAAAGCAGGCTTCTTCTCGGCGATGAACTTGTTAGTGGCCTCGAAAGCTAGAGCTTTAGAGACTTGGTAGGCGTTGACGGGGTTACCATAGGGTCCCTCGGTGTTAACCGCGCGAGTTGTCTCTAATAAGCATATAAGCAACTATTCACTTACAACCATATGAAACATAAACCAGGATTAAATGAAGTGACATACCGTCGGTCTTGGCTCCGCTAGCCAAGCTCTCGAAAGAAGCAATGGACAGTATGGAGGCAGTGATTACGATTCTTTCAATGCCGGTCACCTTGTGTGCAGCCTCCAAGATACTGACTGTGCCCCGAATCGCGGGCTGGATAACTTCAGACTGGAAGCCCTCTTCGGTATCAACTGGTTGGACAAGTGGAGAAGCAATGTGCACAACATATTTGACGCCCTTGACGGCTTCATCGTAAGCCCCGGGAACAGTAATGTCGGGGACGATGATGCTCTCTAGGTTTGAGACATAAGGAGCAAGAGGCTTGAGCGAGGCGATGCGATCAAAGCCGGCTTGGTTGCGGACAGCGGCGCGGACTTTGTAACCAGCTTTGAGGACTTCAACAAGAGTTTTGAAGCCAATCATGCCAGTGCCGCCAGTGAGCTAGAACGGGATAAGCTTGTTAATAAAGATGATGACTAAGTGTAGGGACTGGAGGATTCAAAAATGTTCAAGACTTGGGAGTTGATGAGGACTTACAAGAACGAGATCGCCAGCCATGGTGATAATTTGGTAGGTTTGTGGATTTTCTGTAAATGTTTTGTATTTAACCACAGGTGATTGATTGTTATTGATTGATAGTTGAGTTGCTTGTAGCTGTATATTGTATTGTTTGTTGAAATGAATCTGAAGATGAAGATGAGAAGCACAACATTGCTGCTTCTTGACTCCTTATATCCATCTTCCGTCGAAGCAGTTTACTACAAATTCCAAATATTGAATCTCAAATCTTCCATCTGTTACTATCTTCATTCTCATCAATGACTCTGAGATTTCTAATCTTCGCTCGGACTTTTCCTATATCCAAGGCAACATGAGCTATTCGCGGCTTTTTCGTGGCGTTGAACAGCCATGGTACGGACGCATGTAGAAGTTGCGGCCTTACGGATCCTCCGTAACACCGCAGCGGGCATAAATGGCCTTCTCTAATTCGCAGGTTGCTGAAAAAAAGTCCGCAGGAATGGCTGGGATCCACTTTATGGAAGATTCCGCGCCGGCGCCATGAGCTTCAGCCGCGGCCGATTACGATCTTGACGCGGTTGCTGATTACTATTCAGGAAATTAATGATTAGTTGAACGTTCTATGATTGGTTTACAAACATTAATAATGATGAACTAGGCTTTGGCTTCCGAGGTGCACTTCTAGTTCAAAAGGGCCAGAAAATATGTAAGCTATTTAGAAAACCCACGTTGGATGGGCGTAACTCGGCCGAGTCTTGGGTAACTCTGTACCAAGGTGCCCATGCATATCAGCTGGAAATGTCGTAATGACGATGCTGTCATAATTCCGGGTCGGCCCAATTGCGTTGCCGCTTAACGCCACAATTAGGGTTCCTGGAACTATAGCTCGAGACCTCTTGTTTACAAATAGAAATTGTCCAGTTGAGTGATCAAGTCAGTTGCGCGTATAGGCTGTTGACTAAATACGCAAGCTTTTATAGTTGATTTGATTGATTTCAGTACCCTACAAGTAAGACACGGTACAGTTAGATTTGGCTGCGCGCGATGCCGCAGAAGTCACGCAAAATTGGACACACTCATAACAGTAGGATAGCTGGAATAGCGTGGAATATATCATGTTCTTTTCAGATGACCCAGTACTAAATTGAATAAAAACCACCACAATTGCCTGTTCGCAAATGGCCAAGTGTCCCTGTTGTTTCTTCTCTTTCGTCTTCCCCTCTCGAGGACATGGATAAAAGGTGCGTTAAGTCTAGCTCACGCAATGTTGGCCGCGTAGCTGCTAGCGACATATGTGGCTTAATATGTTGGTAATTCACAGTCATCCTAGCCGCTTGAAGGCGAAAATTACAATGCTCTACAGTACGTGCATTGATCTATGATTCTATGTAAACCACATAGCTGGACCGAGTGTCGATCAATATACAAGAAGAATGGCTTTTCAACTTACTGCATTCTACTTCATTACTTCATATATAATAGGCACTAGAATCATGACCTTATTGCCGTATGCTTCTGCGGGCACGGAAGTAAACATGAGGTAATTCCGCGCCGCTATGGTCATATTTAACTCCCGCGTTCAGATTCAGCATCAGCACTAAAATTAATCATGGTTCGTCAATAATCGTGCAAGAACCATGCAACTACCGAATTCTGCGTAGAAACATGATTGGTAATGCAGCTCAAGGCGACTTAAACACACGTACTTGGTCAACTCGTAATTCCCGCAGAATCCAGTTCTTAAATAGTATATATGGCAGCTCCCGATTGGTCGTCATCTATCCAAACGCTACTATTTAATAAGCATTTCTATTTACGCAAACTCTATGCAGAATCCACATTTGTTGCTTTTAAAATTGTCGGCAATAAGAGCATATTCATCTTGATTAAGTGATCCCTCTCTAGTAGGCATTCATCCCCATATTTGCATTCTCCATCATAATTTCACGCATTTAGTCCCATTGCTCCCTGCTCCATTGCGCATTCATCTTGCAGACTGGCGTTCCATCGCTGCTACCACGTCCCCGCCTATAAATCGCCTGCGCTGGGATTCGCAGCTGCATCGTAGATGGGGTAGATCTAACCGCCTATCCCCAGTACTGCACAACTTTATTTTTCTCATGAATCCACTAGTACGGAGGAGTCTGAAAATACAGATAGCCTTTCTCAGAGAATAGCATAAATCAGGCTGGTCGCCAGGATTGCCATCAAAGATGCTTCCCTCCATCGTCTCGCCCTCGAGACTATAGGATCCTCGAAACAAAGATTATAGGAACTGTAAAGCAGCGTGTATGTGTCGACTTTAAGTCTGTCGTGAAGCCATGTACTCTGTTCGAGGCGAGGAACAGGCATGGAATTGGGTTTTCCCCCGTCCATTTTGGCAACACAATCGCGTCCTCCCGAGCCCAATGTTTCAGTTGAGAATTCCAGCCTTGGTGCAAGACTTTTGTGGGCTTTCAGGTCACCTTTCTGCCGTTTGACGCATTACTTCAAAGTCATCTCAGGCGGCTTCTCTTTCAAGAATTGCGCTACATGTCCATTTTGAGGCTTTTGGTTTGGAGCGTGTCAATGGATCTCGGTAACAACATGTTTCTGTATGCCACGAATATGTCAAATTAATAGATGAAAAGATTAAACCGTCAGACCAGCATATATTTGGCAAAGATTGTAGATCCAATCCATATGTTAGACAAAAGCTGGTGGCGCGCTGCTTTAAAGAAGTTGAAGTCCTCTGGAAAGCATAATGGTGATTATGCTTGATAGCGCTTGTTTGCTGTCATCATCCTCCAATCACCATTTTCCCAGCAATTCTCAGCGATTGACGGCCTTTGAACTAGTAGACGTGCGCATTTATCATTCTGGGCAACATTAGCCAAGTTAGACCACCAAAACAGTAAGTCAAATAGCATGAATTAAACTCTACGTATCTGAAAAAGCGATTGATACAGTTGCAGTACTCTTGTACTCTTGTATAAGAGAGTAGCTTCCATTGTCACCATGATAGATAGTAACAAGCCGTTGCAAGTGTAAATACATACAAATCTACCCAAAGATTGACAGACCATGGCTTCCGTTGAATTAGGGAGCTGTGTCTTCTATAATATGATATTTTGTTTGTGATGATGAGTTTGCAAGTGATTAAAATACATTGTGTAAAACAGTATGTCTAGAGAATAAACTGTACACCTCACAGCGCCCTACGCAACCAATCGTGGCAACCCGACGTCTTCACCTCCTCACCCCGTCACGATGAAAGATATCAGCAGAATCCCTAAACCACATTTTTCAAAGGGTGCGCCCAAGCAACGCGCCCAGAAAATGGCTCTTCTGCATCCAAAAAGTTGAAAGCTCTAGCTTTACTGGTAGCCGGTGCAACCAGCCAATTGTCTCTGAAGCCGTCCATAAAGTTTGGCACCAAGAGGTAGCGGGCTACCAAGTAGTACCAGATATTCGCCCAAGCGTGGATTCGTGTGACTCTCGCAGACAGAACCGCATCACGACCGAGAGATTCCCAGCGCTCAGTTTTGTAGTCTTCGTACATGGCCTCTAGAGAAGAGACACCGGGGCGTTTCGAGGGTCCTGAAGAAGCTACCAGCTCTCGCAGGTGGTTGACCAGCGACACAACGTCTTGAATGCCGTTTTGGTAACCCAAGCCAGCGTTGGGGCACGCTTTATGGATAGAATCTCCCGCGAGGACGATGCGGCCCCAGCCCCAGTTATTGCAGATACCCTCTTGCAGATCTGACATGCCGCTTGTCAGCCTTTCAGCAAAGACGTCCTTCACTGTCAGGGTTTCATCGATGTGGTAGTCGGCAAATCTGTCGGCCATTGCTTGCACGTCTTTATCGGTGTTGAATGATCGCTCCTTGGTCGGCTCCGGTAATTTCTCATAAAGGAATATCCAGCTGCGTTCCTTGCCGCTAAGATACATGATGGACTTGTCCTTGGTCTGTGTTTCAAAGCCTTGCCCAGGAGCTGTAGGTCTGGGAAAACTAGCCCACATGCACCGATAGGTGGACGTGTATGGAAGCTCAGGGTCCCATTCGGCATTTGGGTTTGCTTGCAATGCGAGTTTTCTCATGACTTGTCGAGTGTTGCTGTTCACGCCGTCTGCGCCAAGTACCAGGTCGCCCGCATAAACGCTTCCATCCTCACAGAAGACTTTGACCCCGTTTTCGTCAGTCTGAACGTCCTTGACTTTCTTGTTAGTAAAAACATGGGGCTTGAGCTCTTCAGGCAGCTGATCATAGAGAGACTGGACAAGCTCTGCACGGTGAAAGGAAGAAGGTACACCGCCGTGGCTAAAACCTTGAGTTAGACCATTTGATACTTGGCAAGTTGTCGAGATGCACGAGAGAGTTCTTACTTCTTCTTCCCCTCACAAAAAGCATCGGGGTTATCCTTCCACAGTTGGCCATCTGGAGTAAAACATTTCTTATGGCTGATCTCAGAATAAGTATCCCGTAATTGATCGAGTAAGCCAAGCTGATGAAGAACTCGCAAACTGGCTGGTGCTAATACTAGACTGGCGCCCACGTCCAGTGCGATTTGGCGGCTTCTTTCGAGGACAATAAACTCCATGCCCGCCTTGTACAAGGCATGCGCGGCTATTAACCCCACAGGACCTTGTTGAAAGAGTTAGTTGATGGAGCTTGAAGTTAGTGTGTAAGGTGGAAAATTGCGTACCACCGCCGACTATCACTACCTTGAACGGTTTGTTTGTCATTTTGTGTAATAATGGCGCAATGTGTGAAAAAGAAGGGCTTTAATGTTCCAATTTGTATGCTTTTGATGCGATTTCTCGTTCTTGAGTGTTGAGGATGAAGATATCTGAGTGAAGAGTAAGTGAAGAGGAAGTCCATGTCTCATATATATAGATCAACAGCATATATAAAAAGTTTGTGCGAGGACATGACATGTGTACAACACACAAGCATTCCAAGCCCAGCGCAATGTCGGACAATAGTGTAACTCCGACGTCAATAGGTCTGTGGCCATCTGCAGGGCTCAATATTGTCTTAGTGGAACACGATAGAATGGAAGAGACCCGATCCGACGAACGGAGTTCCCGCCCTTAGAAGGGATGTAGTACAAAGTCAGCGTCGGAGTTCCATGGTAGTACGAGTTTCTATGCAAGCTCGTAGCTATGGTAGGCAGCATTGAGCATAATCTCGCGCGATATCAAATCTGTCTAGCTGAGACGGTGGCCGTTGTCTTTCCGGCACATGAGGTCCGCTCCCGAGCGACAATGATGTGGCAGAGGACGTGCGTACACCCTGATTTCGCAGATCGGGAGCCACTCATGAAGTCGGCGTTTGCTAAATCCGCGTTGAACCCACATTACGGGCGAAGCCGTCTAATGCTTGCCATGCTGTTTGTTAACACTTAGCAAATTAGGAAGTTGAGAGCTTGTTGATGTTATATAGATTCTCAGCGTTATAGACTGCTGTAAGTCTACTACATATACATAGAATACATACATGAAAGACTTATTGTTTCCTATCCTCCACTCACCCAATGCCCAATTATTTTTCTTTGGAGGTGTAGTAGATAAGAGAACAACCCACTTTGCGTCAGGGCATGACATACCGTTACACATCACTGATAGAGCTAGGTTTGATGCCCTTTCCCAACCTTGGAGCAGATCAGAGTTGTAGCATTTCCTATAACGGCTAGGTAGCCGAAGCTCAGCTTCTATAATAACCCTGACGAGCCTGTCTAATTGGTGAGACAAGGGATGCAATGTAACGAAAGCCATAGCATCGAACATGACTCCACTGAAACCCTCCCTCTTGTGTTAGAAAACAATAGACTTTTAATATTGAACGCCGGAATTTATGGCTGGTACCTTGAGCTTTGCCCCAATTCACTGCGGAAAAATTAGGTTTTAAGGGGATCCAATGATTCCGTCTATATTTATAAATTCTTACGAAGCCTAGCACAATGTTGCACTCCGCGGAACCTGGACTATTTCTTTACCTTTTTTGACGGCGCACTACGGAGTAAGAGAGTCGGCTTACAGACATCCGTTAAGTGCCCTTATCCGCCCAGCATTGTTGAAGTAGTACCAGCTGCGTGCTTTTTATGCTACCCCTCAACTGTGTCATTTTCTTCTTCAATTAGCAATAGTAAAATTAATTTCTTTTGCACTTCTTCTAATTACCGTATAGACTTTGCGATGCGAGGGGCCGTGGGTATGGAGCAAGTTGGCAGCTCGCGCGCGTTTCTGACTAAGCGGAGGTTTGGGGATCGGCCATATATCCGCCACCCATAGTTGCTTTTGAGCTCTGATTTATAGAGATGTCTGTATTACATATTGATGACAAAGACCGCCGCATCAAGCTAGGACTGCGCTGTTTCGCCGTGAAACGAGAGGATGAGCTTAGTGTACTTGTATTAGACTGACCACTGTCTATAAAGGGTAAAATTGAAGGTAGTAGACTTCCTCTTAGTGATCAAATTACAAATGAAGAACTGTTGTGAACAGGCTATATAGATGTAGAGTCGAGCTATAATAATCGCGTATAGATGAAGCCTTTGCAGTCAGCCAAGATATTGTACCTGGAAATAAATAAACATAGTCGGCAGTGTTACCGCCTGCCAACTAACTACATTACAAATTAGATATGGTGGCCTCTTCGGCACCAGGCACAATAAAATTCTACATTCTTTGATAGATTCATCCATATCCGGGATTTTGGTAACAACTGGATGTCATTGTTTTTGAACATGTCTAAAACGGCAAAGGCCTGTCGATTCTTCCCCAAGCTATCGACTGCAAGTCATCATAGTCCAAAAGATTGTAGTGCCTGATTCGCTTAGTCACCGCCCAATTGGATGAGAAACAGTAAAAAAAATGAGAACTTGACGCATAATGAAGAACATCTATCTGAATAGACTACGTTTTATTCACTACATTAGTAGTAGGGTTGGCCCTCTTTAAGTGCTTCATAGGCTGGATGATATGACGAGAGAAACAAAGCATTGATGCCTCAACTCCTAGATACCATTTTGAGAGATGGCTCCTTTCGCGGGAACCAAGCATACGGTCGGCATTGAGCCCAAGGTTGTAAGCGCACCTTGATTCAAGACGACGACAGATTTGCAAAGCTTCAAATGCTAGCTTCTATGTTATGCTAAGCACCTCCACGCATATCTCCACTGCGTATATGTGATTTGGAAGATGTGATCGTTCAAATGAAGAAAATAGACGAATTACCGCATCGGGATGATATGGGAAGTGGCTGTCACCAGAACTCGGCGGCGATTACATGCAGCGTTTTTAGCCCAATGCTACGCTTCTATGCACCATTGTGTGACCTGTAATGATTCCACACCGAGATTGATTGCGATTCGTTGAATTCGTGTGATATGTGATTGGAAACAGCTGATCTTCGGTGTGTCTTATGCCGAGTGCTACCTGCAATTAGAAATCGGACTTGCCCCATTAACTCACTTTTGAGAGTGACACTCAATGAGCTAGGAATTAGCCCAATAGCTGATTGGCTGTCCATTAATTATTGAAAAGTGGGCGTCTCTTTGTATCTCCGCGTTCTCCTCGTCTTAATTACCCTGCAGTAGACTGAGAACATCACAAGATATTGAATAAATAAGAATTCTTTATTTGGTCGTACATAGATATAGTCTCTAGGCTTTTGGCATGTTAAAAATCATGATAGATTAATAATCTCGGTAATTTAGGTAGCGGTTGGGTGTCCTCACCAGCGTGATATGCAAAGAAATATTAAAATTGGGCTTCTTATCGATGCCTGATTCTTTATATAATTGGCTCCTAGCAAGTAGCTTATAGCGACATGAAACAATCTTATTATACTCATAGATTCCAATGGCTGGATTTTCGTAACTCCATTTCACATCACCATCCACTTTAATTCTCAGTTTCAATCTCATGAGCACATATAAATAAACTGACTTGGGGCTGTTCCTAACGTACGCATCTGGTAGCATGAGCATTCTGTCATTCAAAGGAACACCATTAGCATAGAATATCCCTCCGAAGATCCCGGAGTGTTTATGCATCGCCGGATGTTATGACCCCAAGCCAATGAAGTTGCTGATCTCCACCCCAGTTGCAGCTTCATTATTAGCGAATTGCTTGATCCGCGACATCCAACTCAAAGAGTAGCATTTGCCGTGAAGCGAGACTAAGAACTGTCAGGTGTTCATTGTGGGTCAGAAGTTTGACGATCTCCCTGGCTCCGCAATATGACTGTCGCTTGGTATTGCGACTAAGAAATCCAACTTTTGATAGCCGGTCGTATGATGATCATTCCATGATTCTATTGTAGAGAGTTCTAGAGTCAAACACCAACTTTCTTGAAATACACAATTTGTTTGAGGTATAAGGTATCATTTATCATTAACGAAAGACTAAAGTAGATTTAACGACCGAATCTATCTATCATTACTCCATATTCCCATCCGTTCGCAACCTCATTAATATGGGGGACCATCCATTTTTCTCCATGCACTCCACTACTCAAAATCTCGCCAATTTTTTTCTAGTCTGGTATCACTCTATTTGCAAATCGCTGTAACCGTTTCTGGCTGCCCCAGATGCTCGTGCTCGCACAGACATCTGTAGGTGTTCACGGGTTGACTGGTGGTGTAGAGGAGCGGAGCTCGCCGCTGCTACTCTCAAATTATGTAGGAGTTTTGGTGTGGCTGCTTAAGCGTTGTTGGCGCCAGAAGCAAGCTCCTTATCGATGGGAGCAGCAGCAGCCTTGTTGGCGTACTCAGCGCGGAGGAGGATGCCCTCAACGATGGTGTTGGCCAAAAGGAAGAAGCTGTGAATGTGGATGTTAGTCAAATGCCTGTTTATAGTGGCAGATGCATTTATAGAGACACTTACAATGCAAGGAAGTTGAAGGCGTCAATGGCGTGCTTGCGAGAGCAGTGTCCCTGGCCAGGCTTGCCGAAGCCACACTTGCCGCTGCTCCAGTCTTGAGAAGAGAAGATGAAGGAAGTGAGCCAGAGGTAAGAGAAGACCAGGTTAAGAGGAGCCAGGTATCCGCGGTATCGGCCAATCAAAGGAAGGACTGAGCCAATGAGCCAGAAACCCAGAGTGATGACGGCCTAGAAAGAGAAATTGTTAGTTTACAGTTTGAGGCAGTGATGTTGATGAGTAGAGCCGACATACAATGACCTCCTGGTAGACAATGTCGACGCCGCGGTAGTCATACTTGGCAAGGAACCAAGAGGCAAGACCAGTGACAATGATGGAAGAAATGAGAACCATCAAGTGGTTGGCGAAGGCGATGTATCGCAGGGTGGCGTGCTCAAGAGTGCCGAACATTTTGATAAGATTAATGGTTGATGTTTGGGGTATAAGTGATGCTGATGTGTATTAGGTATTGAGTATTAAGCAGATGCTGCTGTCCGGAGCTGGAAACGATGCTTTTGGGGTATATATAAGTTATTAAGAGTTGGGTATCAAGATGCTTCTATATGTATTAAGCTCGATGCTTTGAATGCAGAAGAGGCTGTTGAGGCTGATGCTGAGTAGCTAAAACAACATCTAGATACGCGGAGCGCACGACCTTTTTTATAACAAATCTCGACAACCATCTCGTCCTGATACCCTCGGCCATCGCGCCGTGCAATCCCATCCATCGGCTCGATGTCGTCTGATGATTCGCCTTGCAGTGAGAGGGAAAAAAAAAACAAATCAGAGCAATCCAGCAAAACGACGTCATAGCATGCCACTCTCCCAATGCCGAACGATGCAAAATGGTTCTGGCATTGGGCCATCTGCCGGCGCCGGGACCTCCGGCAGTCGTCGTGCATTAGCACCTCACAACTGGGTGCTTTGTGCACCTGAAATCTTAGCTGGATTGGGTGTCAAGGCCCTGGAGCTTCGCATCAGGCTAGGCTTTTGCCGTTGTATTGTGCTGCTTCTTAACCGAGAGCCATGCAGGGATGGGCGATTTCCTCGGTTAACTCGCTGCCATCCGTCCAGCCACCCACGAGGCACAGAGCAACGAGGACCCCAATGAGGAGAAGAATGCTTGATCTGGCTGCATGCATAATGGGCGATACACCTCTAACCGGCTCGGTAAATCTCGGGGTCGCGAATTCTCTCCAATGGCAGGCTGTATGTAATTCATCTGTGAGTGTGTGACGCTGTTAACCAGCTAACCAGCTAACCAGGGTCAGCCAATTTCGCCCAGCGCTAAGCGCCTTACTGAGGAACAGTCCGAATGTTTTCCGATTCTTCATCATGCTCTGCTGGGCTGCGAGTAGAGTCGCGTGAAGCTTCGCCTGGTTGACTAGAAGAGATAGCAATCCTGCCCGGCTTGTAAGTGCGGAAGTCCCGAAGCAATCGCTTGGTCCACGCCGCATGCATGCCGCATATCGGAGGTGGTTTGCAGTTCGGGATTGGTGTTGTTCGATAGTTTTTTTTTCTTGTTTGTTTCCAAGGTGAGATTGATGACAGACAATTTTCGGAAGGCGGCTCGGTGGAGGTCGGGATCGGGATGTGAGCAGAATCTTTTCTTTTTCCGAAATATCAGCCAATGCGGTTACGTTGACGACGTCATACCAATCAACGCAAAACGTGAGAGAAGAATCAATATCAGCCAAAGACTTCGACAGTTTGTTCCTTTGAGATGCTCATTGACCACTGCAACTAAATGCGAAGCTCGCCCATTCACAGTAGCGTTGCCCAGGCACAATGCAGTAATACCTACACGCTCATGTAGGCACTGTGATCGTGCCACCTTTCTGTTCTTTTTCGCTGAGTAGACTCAAAAACTGCCGCTACCGATCATTAGTCAACAACTTCGCGATAATGTTGACTAAGTCTTTACCTTTTTGCCGGATCGTGAAATCGCAAGTGTTAGCGGCAACGGCTGGAGCGGGCATCGGCTGCCGCAATGGCTAACAAAACGTGCTTGGTCTCATTAGCTTCCATGAGCAAACTTGAATCTGATCATGATTGCTCTTACGAGTCATTGATAGATACCTCTTGCCTCTGAAGGGTTGCATTTGAGAAATTCTCTCATCCGGAGGAGGGTGAGAGCCGTTCCGGAGCTGCCGGCTGCATGTTCATGGCAGCCCAGCGGTCACAAATCATCGAAGCCCACGATCACATAAACGCATCAGGTGGCCCATTGCAGCAACCGTCAGTTCCATGAGGGTAATAGTTTTTGATTCGACTTATTTCACGGTCTGCGATAGTGATGGCGGGTATGTTGTATCGACAGACTGCTTCTTAATGGACTATAAGCCCCCGCATCAACTGGTCCAAAGGTTACCGAGGTAGGACTGCAGGCTCAACAAAGTGATATTGTCATCATGACTGCGAATTGTACTGCTTCAAATGTTGAGCAGTACTTACTGACTGAGATGGGTGAAAGTGAATGAGAGAGAAGCGAGATCAAAAGGCTTGTAGGGAGATGCAGATGCAGTCTTCTTAAGCATAGATGGAAGGCTGTGCCACAAAGTCAATCGTTGCCACCGACATCATCAAACGCGTGGCCATAGAATTCAGTCTCCAAGGCTCGTGATTACCGTCTTCGTAATACAGCAACTCGATTCGATTTTAATAGTTGCCACGACCGGAAGCAATGGCTGCTGCGCCTGAGGAAAGGATCTTGAAAGATTTGACAGCCCTTTTTTTTCCCTCTTTTTTTTTCTTTCATAAGCAAGCCTATATACCCAATGGCGGCACAAACTCGACGGCAAGCACGGAATACCAAAAACAAAAGGCTTTTAGTGTAAGCCATGACCTGCGATAGGCACCCGTAAGAGGAAATTCATGAACCAACTATATTGCTTGGTTCGAAGAGCGCGGTGGGCCCTGAGAGCCCGACACGGAAGTGCAAATGCAATCTCGCCTTGCTACAGCTGCCATGTTATAAATTAATGAAAGTATACGGATTAACATTAAAAGCTATTGACATTGTAGACTATCTGATGAACATTGATGTCTTCTAAGAAAACCGCAGATCCGCCCTACAATAGCCGATTGTATATAGTGCCCTTCCCGTGGATATGATATCCACCTTTTTTCTATAGTAGTAGCTTTTTGTATCTTGGGTATCTAAAGAGACTCAATCACGGCAAATGCTGGAACTGTGCGGCCCCCGGGATACTTCGCCACGGCATTGAGAAACCCAGTGTAAGAAACTACCGGAACACCTGCGGTCTGGATTTCTTGATCAGGCCTGATGCTGGACAGATACAGCTCCGGTCCGCCCGGAATGGCAATGGTCCAGTCGAGAGGGTAAGTGACACCAGTTGCGGGCGACGTAAAGGTTCTGTTGGATGATATCTTTTCGGTAACGGGCAAAACAATCTGCTCTGCTCGCTCGCCTGTTCGGCGCGTCGCGAACTGCTTGTTGCCGTTGATAGGGTCGTTCCATGCCCAGATGGAGTAGAGTTCGTCTTCAGTCCCATCAGACGCCTGGCCCGGAATATGAACCTGGAACCAAGAGAAGTCTGAGGGGAAAACTCCCCACTGTCGATCGTACCATGTTAAAGAGCGGCTTGCGTCGACGTTGACTTTTGTGCCGTTGACTGATATCCAGCCTGTTGTTTTGCCAGCCGGCATGGACCATTGGAAACCAGTTTCTCCTCCAACCTGGAATGTGCCAGTGCCGGCGTTGAGGATCGGAGGAGAAGACAGATCAAAAGTGAGATCGAAGTCAACGTCCGCGATGTTACTGAAAATTCGTATGCCAGAGAGAGGATCTGTTCTGCTGGTGGATTGGAACGCAAAGCCCGGAACCGTGAAGTTGAGAATACCGGTGGGGCCATATGTCTGTGCTAAGGCTGTAAGGCGGGCGTATTGCGAATACTGAGACGTGTCTTCTAGATCGAGAATTGAAGCTCGGTATACATCGACAAGGGTACCGCCGCCCACAGGCAATTCGGCTACCGCGTTGGAAACGACGAGGTAGTCTCGGCCGTTTGAGCCATGGATGAAGGAGGAGCTCCAGAAGGAACCGCCAGTCGAGGCAAGCTTGTGATTTGTTTGTGAAGTCGACAAGTTATACGGCGTCGGATAGTTGCCCTGTCCAGCTCGTCATACAGATGTCAGAAGATGTCCTGTCGTGGAACAGGAGACGGATTGAGTGGCTATAAGACTCACTAGCCCGCCAGATGTAAACCCATTCGTCTGAGGATGAAATATCCAGCCTGGATTGATCGCAAATGCAGTAGCGGCCAAGGCTTGGAAAGCAAGCAGCTTGCTCTGCGTGTTTGAAGAGGCCAGCATCATGCTATGTATATCTGTGTAGCAGTATCTGAACAATCGGCCACATATCAATTGTACTCAGTGACGTACAAAAGTTGAAGCTTGGTATTAAATAGGGAGGTAAGGGAAATTCCATCGACGGCACCTAACATCTCTACCCCAAACCCAATCGGCATTTCCTTCAGGGAGCATCTCGTTGTTCAGCTTGCCCCGCAATGATCCTTCGTCTGGGTAGTACGGCTCCTTTTGGAAAGGCCCCGACTGGGGTAAGGCAGCTCGAGGATCGTCGGGTGGCGGCATCCCGGGGTCTATAAAACCCGATTTCACCATAAGGGCTGCGGTGATGAACTCAAAAGACTTGGTGACAGCCCCAATAAGCATTCCGAAGCCTCCCTGAAATATGCAGGAACTGCTAGGATAAAGAATGGGCCACAGGAGAAGCTGTTAGTAAGCGGAGGCTAGGAAAGGGGCATTGAAGATAAAAGCTGATATAAGCAAGGGAAACAATTACCGAAATACATGTTGTTTTTTCGTGCTTCAATCGTGTTTTCAAAGGAGGTTCTGGGTCCATCGGATAATGTAGCCTGCCTACATATACTTACTGTGGCCGCGTTCAATAGTAATTCGTCTTGCCTACATGTACAGCTATGTAAGCACGTTCTTTATCGCGTATGCCGTGGATTTACCAAGCAGTTCCATGAGCTCCGTAGCCGATCTTAACTAGATCGTGATAGGTAGATGGTACCTAGAGTAAAACTTATACATCACGACATTTGGCACATGGGGTGAATATGAGCTAGCGATTGTAAGATTCATGTTCATATACATTTTTTGACAATTCATTCCATAGAGTCCATGATGGCTAATCTAAATCAAGAGAATGACATTTTGTCTCTATAAATTATCATCTTCATCAAGGGCATTAAGCAAACGGTAGATAGGCAGCAATAAGACCGCCCCATCCACCCTTATTATCGGCACTCAGCGCCGCAGCCTCGCCATTCACAGTCACCATATTCTTCACCAAGTGCGTGCCGAGGTTGAAAATCTTCAGCCGCTTCGGTTGGCCCTCGATAGAGACAATGTTGTCTTGAGCGTATGGGCCTGAAACGCCGTTGAGGCCGTTGAAGAACTGTCGCGTTCGGTTAATGTTTTGTTCAATGCTGGACATGGTGGTATGAATGAGTAAACTTACTTGCCAGAAGCCCAAGCCGTAAAAGGTCATATCACTGCCTCCTACGACACGGAGAGACCAGCCCATGAAACACTGGATCGAGCTTCCATCGCAGTTGGAGTAATCAGGGTCAGAGTATCGGGCATCAGGTCTAGGTAGTGTAATAATTAGTCATCTAAAGCTGTAGATATGATGAGAATGGATATAAAACTTACGTCCAGGGAGAGGGAGCCGCTGGTGCAGGCTGCCAGTAGACAGTCTCTGTTTGCGCCATCAAAGCTTGTACATTTTGCGCGCCGGCAAACTGATACTGGTAAAGAACATTGTGCTCAAACGCTGTACCTACGAGCCACGTTCCGAGCTTGGATTCCACAAGAAGGCCTCGGCCCACGGCAACAGACTGGCTGGTTCCGTTGGTAGCACCGCTGAGACCATCGAGATCACGGTTGACAGACCAGCCCCAGACGCTCTCCAGGTAGGTTTGGCTGCTAGACTTGAGATGCAGAAACAAGAAGGCGGCTTTGCACTGATCGATCGGGGACTGGGGATAAGAGCGGCACTTGGTTTCAACGGCAGAGCCGATTGTGCCACCGGCGCGGAAATGTGAGTCCCAAAGGCCAACATCGCCTGGTCTGAATCCAGCTGCGTTGTTTTCGACCAGAATGGCACCGGGAAGGACATCTGCTACGTCAAATGCAATGTCGCTCACTTCTATAAAGCCACGGGATCCGGTGGTGCCCATCTGGAAGACAACCTGAGGGTTCTTCTCATCCTCAAATGCGCTTCCGTATGCTAGAGATAGATTTGTTAGGTATTTTATTCCATATGCCTTGATCTAGAATTTGAACTTACCACTAATGGTAGACCAGACCTCGCCAACAATTCTGGATCCAACGGGGACGTGGATGGTGCCACTGACGCGATAGTTTCCAGCAGGAAAGTATGTGATCCTTCGGTTGGCATTAGCCTTGAGTGCAGCATTGATCGCCTTGGTGGCATCCGTCTTTCCATCTCCCGTGGCACCAAAGTCCCGGACACTGGAAAAGCAGCCAGAGCCGTACTGCTCGTACTGAGGTCGTGACTTGGTCCAGTAAGCGCCGCTGGAGTCTACAAGAGCTTGGGGGCGCGAAAGTGAGCCGCTGCTCTCCAGGTATTTGCCGGTGGTCTGATCTCTGTACACAGTGCCTTGGATAAAGGACTTGATTGTAGTAGAGCGAGTTGATCCTGCAAGGACAGAATTGCCATGCGTATCAGCGACAGCGTGGTCGACGCGGTTGAGTTTGAGGTTCTCAATAATTAGGGAGCCATCTGCGTTTTCAGTGTGTTGCGATACAACAACCTTGCCAGTGGAGGTGGCCTCTGAATCAATCAGGATGACCGATCCGACAGAGTTATTTGGCGGCGCGGTAAAATTGACACCAACATTGACATTGTTGAACTTGACGCCCTGGAGGGATAGAGTGAAAATGTGGTCAATTTGTATTCCGGTCTTGACATTGTTGAAAGTCAGTGCGCGCATGGCATACTGCTGGTTGTTTAATCGGATCTACTCGTACAATAAATGTTAACCATTGTCAATACACGCCGAGATTATGGCGTTTGCAAAGATAAGCTGCCAACTTACACCGATGTTGCCTCCAGTAAACTCCAAGTCTCCCATGAAAGTAGCAGAGCCGCCGCCGCCGCCAGTGGTTCCGTTGAAAACGACGCCCTGGTGTAAGCTGTTCTCAGCCATCTTCATGTGGTTGAAGCTCAGAGTCACGGCCTGCGCAGAAGGCCAATTGACACAAGCAACAGTTGATTTGGCATCTACGCTGGTTGTATCAAATACAAAGTTTCGTACTTGGTAGTAGAGATTGATGGTTGTAGGGAATGGCGAAGTCGTTGGAGAAGGGAACGTATCCAAGAGGTATAGACCGGAGAAGTTCTTATCGGCTTTGAGAACTGGTCTGTCTAATGGATTGCCGACAAGTTGTGTGAAGATGTAGCTGTTTAGAGTTCGTGAAATCTTGTAAGTTCCGGAGGGGAAATAGATTAGCGCAGGCTTGAGTGTTTTGGCTGGAGGGTCTCCCGGGCCACATCCCCATAAGCATCGTCCGCCAGCTGAAAAGGAGTTAGTTGGAGAGCAGGCTGTTGTTAGAATTGAGTAACTGCGTACCATCAATCGCCGCTTGAATGGCCGCAGTATCGTCTGTTTTGCCATCGCCCTTTGCGCCAAAATCTTTGACATTACGGTAGACTGTGTATGAAGAATCGTTGAGAAATGGAGACACGCCTGTATGCTTAATTGTCTCCATCCAAAAATCCTCGTGGCGGACAACAGGGTGGCATTGGCCGAAAGTGAGACTAACATCCAGAGACGCGGTGAGGTCACGGGCAGTGAGCCTAGAATTGTTGTCAATATCAATGCTCCTCGATCGTGTAGAAACACACATAAAAGGAAGAAAGAAAGTTACTTACGCCTCTGGAACAATGTCAATTGCAGCAGCGTTCACTGTGGACGTCACTCCGGCGAGCCACGCCAGCAGCTGCGTTGCTCGAACCATGATGGCGCTGGTCTTACACCGAATGGAAGAATCCCGAGACAACAGCGCGAGTGTCAAGAAAGCCTAAGCAAACAACCTTACTGAATTTCCAACATTCTTCGACCGGGCGCATAGGGAAAGAGCTTGGATATATAAAGAACAAGGAACCCAAATAACCTTGATTGAGAGTTACAGAGACAACCCGCAAAAGTATCCGCCATTGTTGCATTGCCTCCTCGCACTCTAGACATTTCCGAGGCCTTGGCTTTTCCCCAGCTTCTGGATGGCGAATCGGAAGGCCCCCGAAAATGAAGAGCTGCAGGTCTGAGCGTTATGGTTGGTGGAATTTCTCAAATCTGGGGTACTGAGAGCCGGGCCGAATGGCACGTCACCACAATGAGGCTCGAAATACCGGTAAAGAATTCTTAGAAAGGATCAAGGAACAGTCTTGTTGTGATTCGTGTAAATTCACCAAGGCTGTGGGGCGAACTGCCAAATGCTGAAGCTACTTACAGGAACTATTGCAAATGAGATCAGTCAACACATTGGCGCTGAGTTTGGCTCCCCAATTATGTTGGTCAACTATATATGGGCTCGCTTACAACTCGACGAGTCAGATGATTCCGATGAGAACATGATATGGTGAGGTATTGAACGTTGCTCACCGCAAGAACTGCCTGTCGCTGCCAAGATACTTGAATTATAGGCTTTTGAGTGACCCCCACGGACCGTTTAGGGAAATCCTATCTTGCCTAATTGGATGCCTTAGTGAGTGGTGCAGTTGTCAATGAAGTCTAGTGTAAGTTACCATCGCGTCGTTGTAGGACGCATTTCTTTTTCTATAGTAGTATGTTGAAAGGATCTCTCCGTTGTTGCGACATTTGCTATGATGTGGAGTTTAATGGCCTGAGCTGTTACTTGATGTAGTACAGCCGTTAAAAGTTCTGGAAATTGTGCTTAGTTATAAGTGGTGTCAGAAACTCGGCAATTGCGTGAGATTTAGAGATAGTTCTAAAATAACTTTGACAGCACTTCGGTTCTTGCCTTTAGATAGGCGAATAAAGCAGCAATAAGGTGCGAGATGAACGCTGTTGATAAAACACACTATGAGTATCCGGCGGCCGGGAACGTAGAACGTGAACCGCTTGTTGGGTACCGCTGCCCTGAAGAAATAGAACTATACAAGCACATATCAAACTGAACGATCAATACATGTACAGAATTCTGAATATATGTGCAAAAATAGCAAAAAAGAAAGACAGCCAAAGCTCGAATCGTTGTTTTATAGGAAAAGCCCAATGCGGGGGTCGAACCCGCAACCTTGAGATTGTATCAGAACGTGTGTCCCTCTTAAGAGTCTCACGCTCTACCGATTGAGCTAACCGGGCAAGTCACATGACCGTTGACCAATCAACGGCGATGAAATTCCGATTAAGCACTGGCTGCTTGTTGGACGGAGGAGTTGTAAAAAGTGCTATAAAGTTTCCCTTGACAGAGATGCGCCGAGACAACAGCCAACAGATAAAGAGCTTGACACGGACGCACTGGCAACGCAGAATATGTTGTTTCGTGAGATGACATCTGATTGGAGGACTTCGAAGTGTTATACATGACCCCAATTCATGTACTATTAGGATTGAGGGCCTTCGCTAGATTCTTGCGCAACCAACATCGCTTCCATGATGCAGCGCATTGCAACTAGAGGCAGAGCCCTGCGGCAAATATACAGTGCCACCCATAACTGTTCCAGATCGCTATTCACATCCTTGACCAAAACGGATGTAACGACACGCTCCATGCGCCATATAGCAACAGAGTGGGGTGAAACTGGTTGGATCCGTCGTCCTCGTGCCATGATGAGCAGTAACTCGGCACGGCCTACAACATATCTGGATGACGGGTTTTCAGGTGATATCGACTTTGACCGTCTCAAATCTCACATGACTTGCTCCAAATTTCACGATTCGATCTGGGGTTTAGTGGTAAGGCATACTCCTCGATGTCTCTGAAAGAATGGTCAAAAAGTGCGCTACGCTGACGCACAAGTCTAGATATATCGATGCTCTCAAGGCCACCAGTCAGCTTGGGACCGTATGGTGCAAGCCTTGCGCAGCGAGGTCCAAGAGACTCTCAGATACTACATCCGCGAGGATTTACTACAATTCCATGATCTTCATGTCATCGACGATAAAGCACTCTAGTACGTTTTGCGACGCGCCCATGTCAAGTCTGTTGTCGCTAATAGGTAGCTAACGTTAGCGGAGCCACGTCCCACCAAGTCCGAGAACACTTCCAATCCTGGTCCCCGAAGAGCCTCAAGGACCGTCTCCGGCCGGGCGCGACTGATTTGGAGAAAGACATAGGCTGGCACTATGCGACATCCACGCCCAGGTATGACTATTGCCTCTTTGCGGATGATATCTGTCTCGAGTCCATGGATCAATCCGGTTATGACATGCCGGTCGTAAAGATTCTGCCAAGGGACTGGGAGTCCTCATTGTCCCCAGAGGAGATGAGCCAACCAGTGCCGACCCCATTTCACGATGGCGTCACTGAGCACTGGGAGGAAGATGTGGGCTGGATGTATATGTCCCTGAATAATTACATAGACAAGTATGACTTGCTTGGAGAAGTAAGTACTGACTGGTACGACCAGTACGTGAGACCCCCATATATGAATGGTCTTGAGAGCGAGACAGATTTTGTAGGAAACTGGAGGAAGAAGTCATCAAGCGAGGAAGCAAATCAGGCAGACCGTAAGGGATCACTCTCCACGAAACAATCGAACCACTAAGCATCTTCAAGATGACACTTTTACTTTTCTTCGCTTAAAAGCCGACTGGGTCCGCTTCATGTCAGAAGTTTCGCAACCTGAACTACCGTAGGATAAATCGTGAAAAGACCCTGACAATGATAGAAATGGCATTCAAATCAGTTCTTTACTCTTTACTCTAACTTCAAACGCGTTCTCATACACCTAGCAGTTCTCCACAGCCGTAATCGCTGGCTAATACGACACTGGAGTTAAAGAGGACTCGCCCCCCATAAAAGAAAGTCATACCTAGTACTTACATAAAGCATATCTGCTGCCACATTTTGAAACGAATGGCATGGCTTCTTTTGGCTTACTATTATTACATATGTCCTACCTGAGAATTGGAGTATAAGATCTATCGCTGCTTCATAAACTCTATAACAGAGAATCAGGTATTTTGAGAAATAGAACAATATAGATACATATATACTTTACCCTGAGCATAATTATCGGCCAGTATACCGTTTTTCGATATATCTACCCACAATATACACAACAACTGTAATAGCTGCGCTCATATATATACCCACATCGCCCCCATCACCACCAAACTTGGCCGCAATGGGTCCCACATACCACGTCTGGCTCATGCCCGGTACACCTCCAGCGAGATATCCTGCCAGTAAGGCTGTTACAGCCGCAACTCCCGAAGGGAGCAAGTGCGGTTGATCCCAGGCCTCGAGATTGTAGCCATCTTTGCGGCGAAAGATGCGATCTTCAAGCATCAGCACCATGGTGAAGCTCACAGTCCAATAGCCTAGTAGCGACACAAAATTGTTCACCACATTGGATAGATTCTGCTGTCCTGCGATGGCTAGCACCGCAACTACAACTGCAAAAGCCATGGACCAGATGAAGCGAGGCACGGCGTGAAAGTAATGGCCCATCAGCTGCATGCTTAGGCCGGATGAATAATTGATGGCAATATTGTTACCAAGCACAGAAAAGGTGAGCAGCACGAGGCAAAACTTGGACCAAGCATCTGGGTGGTAGATCTCGCCAATAAGGCCACCCAGGCCATGGTTAGTGTATGCATCGGCGTAGGGGGGATAAGCAGCCGTAGTGGCAGCGTTTCCGAGGCAGCAACCGATAGTGACGGAAAAGGTGGTCGGAATCACGATGCCCCAGAAAGTGAGGAAGAAGGTCTTCCAAGCAGGAGTGCTGGCGGGAAAGTTGCAGTAGTAGTCTGCAGCGATAGAACACCATCCCGACGCGTTGGCTGGCAGTGATGAGTCAGGACAGATTAAATAAGGGGGCGAGTTTCCAAAGACTTACAAAAATTGATTGCAACGATGGTGAGAAAGGTTCCTGAAAATACCAATCCTGAGCTGCCATCCTCGCCCGGCAGACTGGTTTGTACATGAGGCGCCGCCTGTCCAATGAGTACGCAGAGGAGGATAAACGTATAGATCCATGAGTATTTCTCGAAAGTATGAATCAGCCGGAAGCCAAAGATGGATACTACATAAGATATGACGGCTATAATGACGATGCCGACAGTGATACTCATGGTGTAGCCAGACACGGCGCTGAGAATCTGGCCAACGACGACATAGTTGACAACTGCAAAGCCACCACCCACGACTATGTTGAGGACGCTACATAGTTTGGCGCCCCAGAAGCCGAAAGAGTATCGAGATGTCGCGATTTGTCTCATGCCGAGCTGCCTTTATTAGGATAAATGTTTGGAGTTTATTTACCACGCTGAAATCATCTTACCTTTGGTCCCAATGTTCCCGTAGTTGAAGTCATCAGCGCACCCAGTATGATGCCGATGATTGAAGCCGCAATCGACTGTTTCAGCGAAAGACCAAATTCCGGTCCCAGCAACCCCAAGGGCAAAACGCCAACGTGAATGTTGAGCGACCACCACATGAGAAAAATATTCCACACTGACGGCGGTTGCTTCTCCTCCTCTGGAATGCGATCCACACCCTGCGTCTCAACACCCAGCCTACGATCGAGCCATGATTCGAAGCCGTTGAGATATCTCAAGACTGCGACACGTGCTTGTAGTTCATGCACGCGATCTGCCTTGAGAAGAATGGTTCGGCCCGCTTCGATGTCGGATTGAGTGGTGTTTTCGGGGGTCGGAGACCCCGATTCGAGATCGCGCTTCTCTATGGACATGATTGCTGAATTGGCGGCCTGTGGGAATTACAGAAAAGAAACCAGTCAACTCAGAAAGAGCCTCACATCACACGACAGCAGAGCCGACGTGTAAACCAAGAGGAAAAAACATTAAACACCGCACCCGACATGTCTTTATGGCCCATTCTATTTTTCTTCTTATCTCTTTAAAATCTCCTTATCAACTGTCAATCTCTAGATGTAAAAACCACGATGCCGTCTTTTCCGTTCATTACTCGATGGGTGATAAGAAATGGTGGGTTGTGATTGGCCTGCTTTGAGGACTGGGATGGATCAGTTTCCTGATATGGAAGTTTCAGATAACTATAGTGGCGACCTGCCGGGCTATGTCGCGGGTTTTCGGCCTTGAATCTCGGAGATGGGCGCTGTTACTAGCTTAACGCTGTTAATTTATAACGCAGATAGGTTGGAAGTCGTTAGTTGTCAATTTCTTGTGAAAAACACAGCCCATCTATTTTAGCTTAAGGTTAGGTTTATAGGTGCGCATGTGCCTGTCATCATTGGACGCAGATATGCCGCTTTGACGTACCTGCATTTATGACATGCATAAACTCGATGAGAGTGTTTGTTTCGAGTGGTATGAGGATCAACATGTCGCGACCTGTTAGTTGGTAAAATGACTATTCAAGGTTTGGTAAGCACTTAGACGGATAGCACCAGGGATGAGGAAACAGTGATAGCTTAACAAAACCACAGGGAAAAAGAAGAGTGAGACAGCTGGTATAAGTGTATCAATACTTACAGAGCGACAGAAAGGACCGTACCCGATAATTCCATGAAGTGCGAAGGGATGTGAAGAGGGAAACAACAAACCCTGACTCCATGAGAACGACCACCACGACAGATCCGCTTCTGCATCTTCGACACGGCAAACATCCTGAACTAATCCTTAGACTGCGAGATGCTGACCTTGAATCAGCAGTGATCTCGAGTACTGCATAGCGCATATTTATTCAATCGCTTGGTGCTCTGAAGTGCCCAGGAGCACATTACGGTAGCGGGCAGACGTGAATGCTGGCGTGTGAGAGTCGCTGACACGACTGACCTGATGATACAGTGCTTCAGAAGCCAATTCAAGGTAGCTTGCGGCGGTGACGTTGCGAAGACTTGAGAAACAATCTCAAAGCCGGTCCTGCCCGTGGTGCCGGACACGGGGCTGCCAGCAGAAGAAGAAGTGTTGCCGGTTGTCAAAAAGTCCAAGTCAGACAATGTTGTACTGGGTACAGGCTCACACCGTGCTCCGTGAGTTTTTATTCCAGATGGCAACGTTCAATAAAATGCTTTGATTGCATTATTCATGTCGTGGCTCGCTATTGTAGACACTAGCTTTCTCAGGCATCGTCGACCAGAGGATATAGGAGCGGACAGGCAGAGGGTTGGAGCTTATACGGCGGAGCTGTTGTTGCTATTTTCCAGCTTCTGCAGCTTCTCTGAACAGAAGAAGTTCAGCCATAACAAACACGGAGGGCATCATGAGGCTGTTTTGGTAAAGTTTCTCTCACGTACATTACGAGCACAGATTATTGTCGTAACTGAGTCCGACTTCAGATATATAGCTCGCGCGATGAACTTATCAGAAAAGGCCGCCTTCTTTTGGTATCCTTGTAAGTGCTTTTAGATTGGCCTATAATTCGGTGTTGTTGGATGTGCTATAATCATAATTAAAAGGCTTTGTTCCCGGAAATTGGAACTCCTGGCTAATTATAACTCTACCTGTGATGAGATGCACGCAGAGATCTATGCCCCTCATAAGTGCTATTTCAACACAGCCGTCAGGGTTGCATCACAGCTTTAGTTTAAGCATGAAGTATCGAAGGACCCCTGGTCAAATAAGGCTTATGTATTTCATTGGAGATATTACTATTAGTCAAGTTACAATTATAGCTATAAATCGCAATTTCCGGAGATCGGATATTTTTGCTTCTACGGCAGCACAACCAACAACGCCGAACTATAGGCCGCTCCCTAGGCGCTTACAGCTTGTTTAGAAGAGCGGGGCCCTTCTTCTGCAGTGGTCAGTCTGCCGTGCCATAATCCCCAATAGGATACACTTGTAGGATTGGGACATGGCGTTAATGCTTTTTAAAGGTTAGCTACCATTTGCTTAGATGCCGGAGACTGCCTTTTTCGGACAACGGCTTGGGATGATTCACACGCAGATCAACGTACATGAATCTTTATGTGAGGTGGCTTAAGACGCAGGACGTTGCTGCAAACTGTGACATGGCTGGTGCCTAATAGTGCTCGACTTAGGCAGAACTGGCAGACAATACATAACTTCTTCGAGCGTGCCCGGCACAACTTATAGTAATATACAGCTGGCGTTTCTGGTTTGTGGGATCATGGCCACAGGCAGCGAAATAAAGAGCGCCAATACCAGCCTCACCCTGCTCAGACAATGCGGGACTGGGAATATATAAATAAACGCGCCTCCTGGGAACAGGTGCTTACTGCTTCATGTCTGCTGGCGTTACGCCGCGTGCCACCAACGTAATGATTGTTCCCACCGGCCTTCTCCTTCTCCCCTTCGCATTGGCTTCCTGCATGATTGGCTACTGGGATTGTATGACCAATAACGAACTAGGCCATCTTGGCTTTATGAATCGTCTGTCTGTCTGTTACTATCAGTGTTACCAGATGCATCCGAGCGACGATAATGATTATGAGGATATATGTGGCTACCCCGACCAGGAGCCCCCGCCACAATATCGGTTGTCGACAGGCTCAAATCCTGGCGCCATCGTAATGGGCTGGCCCTCGACAGGCGGTGTATACAGGCTTGGTGATGTTCACATTGTGCAGCGTCAATTCCTTGGTCTTAACCGCCGTGTTGCTAAGGTCTTGCGGCCTGAAGTTTCGGCAGATGTGGAAGACGCCTTTTGCGACCAGCGTAAGCAATGTACCGCGATGAGTTAATGGATTGTATTGCTAATAGCCTTCTTAGTTCGGAAACTAGGTGCTCAATGGTGGGAGAGCGAGTCCAAGTACAGCGATGAGCTGATTGACTTTCAAACTGGGCGACCTGCCCCAGATAAACCGGTGCTATATATCGGCTGGCCAACCTCAGGCGGTGTCTGGGCGCTCTCTATGGATGTCAGGGATGCGGCGAAGGAAGGTTACGGCGTCATCTACAACTCACTCACTATGGAAGAACAATGTGAGATGATTGAAGAATTTGGAGGAACATTCTACCAAGATCCAAAAGACTGTCCATACTTGGACCTCCCAAGGGATGAGCCAGACCCTTCTTTGTTCCATCTGCCTGTGCTTAGCCAAACCTCTTCGTCCCCATGGACATCTTCTGTACCATAGAGGTAGTTTCCGTCAAATTCAGCATCCCAAATATGATCTTATCCCGCTTTAACTATCTTTAATGCGGGGAGTCGCAAAGAGTTCTTTTACTCTAGTCAACGGTTTGATGAGAGAATGCGCTGCCGTGGCTCCCGTTATGAGGCTCAAGTCTCGAAATGTCAGCCAATGACGCTTGGCCTCTGTCTTCTGTATATTAACTTGTCCTGGCCATGAGACCAACATTGAATGGCCGTTGTAGAAGCGTAGAAGCTCACGTTGGTACATGAGTCGTCGATTCATACTCACGCAGAAACTCCTTTTTATAGTCGAAATTCACTTCTAACTTGCTTTTTTCTAGTCTTACACCCTCTAGGATCGTCATTACGGTAGGCAAATTCGCCGTCCTAATTGACGCGGATAATGTGCAGGCTTGTAAGGCCGGCACACCGGGGCGCAGGGTCGGCACGACACAACGTCCATAATCATAAAGCGATATAATAGTCCTCTCTTCAGAATTACTATAATCAACATTCTGCGGGATTCACCTAATCGGAAATATCCGACTCAGGTGTAACGAATGTTTGGCAACAAGGTTATATAAGAATAACCTATTCCGTCCGCTATATAGCGGGAAATATGCGTTTCGCCGGCAGGCAGAACTCGATTACGGCTTTTCTAAAACGCTTGGCCATCAAACTCCGCTGTAAACAGCGTAACCGTCAAAGTCCGCTGTGGACAGTTTAGTAGTTCAAGTCCGCTATGAGCGTTACAACAAGCCAGTAGCACCTAGAGGTTGGAGTTTCTTTGCCGCCTCTATTCACTTTGATGAAACACAACCGTGTAGTATGGTAGGCAAAGGTAGCGGTTTTAATCCTCGGAGTTAATAAATGATATGGGTAGCTATTATGAGAGAAAGTTATCTCCAGCTTGTATTTGTCACACCCAAACAGAGAACTCAGTAACTTCAAGCCATTATATATTGTGGCATATAAACCAGTCTGACATGTATGTTTTCTATATGAAGGTATATCGTTGCCAGCATACAAACACTGAAGCTTAACAGTCCAAACAACGGCAAAATGTCAACTGGTTTCGAAAACAAATACGCGATTGTTACTGGAGGTTCCAGGGGCATCGGAGCTTCCATCGCGCTGTTACTAGCGGAAAGAGGCGCCAAAGGAGTGAGTTTACTACGTCAAATATGACTGTATACAGAAGTATGAAGGCTCAATTAACTCTTTCTAGATAGCTATTACTTATTCCGGCAATGAAGCAGCAGCTAAGGATGCTGTCGCCAAGATCAAAGTCCATGGGGCAGACGCGGTTGCAATTCGTGCAAACATTTTGGACGCCGACGTTGGAGAGACAATAGTGAATGAGGCTCTCGCAGGATTGAAAACCAACACTATACACGTTCTGGTCAATAATGCTGCTCTGTAAGTTGGAATAATTGCAGGAGAGTCTGTACATAACATTAACGATGGCCTAGTGCCACTTCAGAGCATCTACTCCCCATTCTTGATACCAACATCGAGAACTTCGATAACCTCTTCCACGCAAATGTACGGGCGCCACTTTTCACAACACGCGCCGTGCTTCCTTACATGCCCGCAAAGGGTGGCCGAATTATCAATGTGAGCTCCGTCACAGCTAAGCAGGCTGCTGATGAGCCAGGGATACTTTACGGTTCTAGTAAGGCGGCATTGAACAGCATCACTCGATCCATGGCTAGCGCTCTAGCTGCAGAGAAGAGCCTCACGATTAATTCGATAAGCGTCGGACCTACTAAGACTCCCGCCATGGAGGACGCTTTGGCTAATCTGCCAAAGGAGTATATGGAAGGGTTGAAAAACTATGCCACTGCTGAGAAACGATTGGCAGAGCCAGAAGAGATTGCGGCAATCGTTGCTTTTGTAGCTAGTGATGAAGCTCGTTGGATGAATGGGGCTAGTGTTCCTGCGAACGGAGGGGCGATCTTGCTAGCAGAGGGTTGATAACTGGTAATTCAATCTGGTTCTAATAGATACTTACATTCACTAGATGGTACGTGGGGAATAATTTCGAGATTATAGGTGTTAATTGAAAATAATAATAGAAATACTCCATGTCCCAGAATGGTGCCGTATGCAGCTGATCCATTCAACCAACCCCGGACGGAATCTTCAGCCTTCGTCTCTCAAATTGTAATACCCAAGGCAATTAAAGTATCAAGATTCATTGCATGGACTTGATTATCTCTTCCACGTTGGTAAACTTGAACTCTTGGAGAGTCTCATTCCATACCAGATCCGTCAGTTGAGTTCCATCCGTGTAGAACCAACAGGCAAGGCTAAAAGTTGAGTGTTAGATATCTAACTGCAAGTTCCATCGGTAACAGGGAAGAAAACTTACGGCGCATTCTTGCAGTTCATGAGAAAACTTCCATGGGAATCTTTTCCATGGCCCAGAACAGCATCCACATATGTAGCGCTGCCCCTCTCGGTTGGTCTTCCTGCAACGCCCAAGAAGCCCTTCAATGCGAAACTCAGCGGTCCTTTGACATCTCTGCCAAGGCCCGTGCCTTTTGTAAGCCCTGGATCGACCATATTGATGATAACATTATCAGGGTTTACCAGATCTGCCAATTTGACAAGGAACAATTGATTTATCAGTTTAGACACACCGTACCTCTCTTGTGGATCAAAGGGAGTAATTTTTGTATCATCAAATGAAGCCAGGAGAGGGCGCTCGTTTCTGTTGGGAAATTTGCACAAGTGCGCCGTAACTGAGTTGACAATTGTGAGGCAGGGTAAATCTGTACCTCCGGCTTTATCTTTTAGGCAAGGGAGTAAGAGTACTGCTAATAAAGCTGTGCCAAAGTGATTGACTTGCATAGTCTTCTCATGGCCAGTTGAGCAAGCGCTAAATGACAGCGGACTTAGTCCTGCATTCAAGATGGCAATATCAAGACGGTCAAGTTCTTTTTGGCACCTGTCGGCAAATGCTTGTATGGAGTCGTATGATTCCATGTCCAGCTTCCAAACATCAATTTTCGCCGCTGGATTCGCATCACGGAGCACTTTAGCCGCCTCGTTTCCCTTTTCTAAAGATCGTACCGCCATAATGAGACGTGGAAGACCAAGAGCGAGGAGCTGCCTTGCTGATTCAAACCCCAATCCAGTATTTGAGCCCGTGATAATTGCGCATTTGCCTTGTGCGTTTGGGTATCGTTCTTTGGTCGGCAGCTCAATTTTCGTCCGGAACTGGTTTTGAATAAAAATGGGAAGAAATTTCTCTGGAAAAGGGTCCATGTTCTTTGAGAGAACAGCGGGAGAGTCCGCATTCTCAGTGCTGGCGTTTTTTTTGTGTCCCATGGTGAAGAGGTATCGGTATATTGGTATGACAGAACTTGCTGTGCTCTTAATCGTATAGCTAATGATTGAGATGATGAAAGTATTAGACTTGCAGCACGGCATGTATTTATATGCCATCAGTTACGATATTTAGGATTCCCTAACTCCTATTTAGCTGGTATTGGCTCTCGTTCAATAGAAAGACGAAACCCTGGCCGTATTAGGAAATCGAAAAAGCTTGGCCATCCTTAAGCTGATCTCCACCAGCGGCGCTATGTTCCTGGCCAAGACGAAAAGGGTAATCCAAAAAGTCTTGGCATGTCCTTCGTGACGAATCTACGGAATCCGGCTTTTCTGGGCCCATGTGCATGCCGCTGTTAATGCTCCGCTAATTCCGAGGGCTGGTCAGACCGTTCGTTACAGGGGGTTCCCAATTTCAACATCTCTGAGATCTTGGCAATTCTTTGCTTTTCTGGTTGGACTTTCGTGGAAAGGACTCTGGACATTTATCCATTCGATTCTTCGTAATAATGGCGCAGCATCAATCAGGAAACGTAAGCACTACTGCTGTGGTGGATGCGGAGTTCAATTTTCATACCTAACCGGCTTCTAGTATCAATTTATCGAATTTGTAGTAGCAACATCTGCTTCATCACCTAGCAGAAAAGAGCAACGGATTATCCGAAGTCATGCTTCTCGAGGGAGAGCTAAACGGCGCCAGCGTCCACAGCTCAAGTCTTGGATTCTACAACGGGATGGCAGCCCATCATTAGTGGACGACCAATATACTTCAATACCTCCGCGGGTCGGTTGGGATCTTTCCTTTTTCGACTTTCCTATAGAAATCCAGCCTTATATGCAAGGCGAACTGTCATTAGGTAATTGTCAGTTCTTCTTTTATCCGATGGCATGGATTAACACACCATACTAGCTTTATCTCCGCTGAGAGAAGCTTTATATCCTCCGGAAATTTGCCTACAAGTGGATCCTGCGTCCAGTTCTTGGACCACGGCGCTCCTTACTGATTCAGTATACTTACACTGCACACTCTTTTCTGTTGAGGCGTATCTTGAAATATGCCTTAGAAAATCCCATGGCCCACTTACGCACTTCTATTTCCAAAAGACACTCCGGCTTCTGCAAGATAGGTTGGACACACCCGGCGATCCGCTTTCAATTTCGGATCCTACTATCATGGTAGTGTCTGTCTTAGGCCTGACAGCTGAGGTGACTGGAGATTCAGTGGCTGCACAAAAGCACATGAAAGGGCTACGAAAAATGGTGGATTTGCGAGGAGGGCTTGAAATGCTGCGATTCGACAATTCTCGACTACCTGCCAAGGTCTGCCGGTTAGTGCCATTCCCAACTGACCAATTCTCTCCATTAGTCGATTCTCTGACATGATGAAGCATTGATCTCGTACTGGCTCTTCGATTTGGAATCGAGCCTGTTTTCTTCAATAGCGCAATACCGTGGCGTTCGTTCGTTGGCCATGGACTAATAAGAAAAAGCAAAGGAGCTCCAGCAGACAACGGAGATCTTTCAGAAGTTCTCAATACGCTTGATAAGAGGCTGACAAACGTTTGGAATGACTTGAAAGAGTTTTCTCAGATATGCAATCTTGCATCCCAAACACCTCATAAGCTCTCGCCAAACATTTTCAGCGAAATCATGATATCAATTTATTATCGACTGTTAAGTCTCAAATTTGAGGATGACCCTGTTGCAGAAGCCATTCGCGTCGCGATGATGGCCTTTGGATCGGGTATATTTTTCCAATGGCGGGGCATCAAACAGCGGCTGGAATTTCTCGATCATCTTTCGCAAACCTCCCTGTTAAACTTGCGAAAATCGCAAATCCGACTGCCTCAGCTATTGATTTTATGGCTTTTAGTGGTCCAGATTTCTGCATTTTCACAATTGCCGCCCGAGAATGACTTGAGGCTATGGGTTAATGATATTGTTTCACAGCTGCCCATTTCTGATTGGAAACAAGGCCGCCAAATGTTGAAATCAGTTGTGTGGATTGACTATTGTCATGACAAGTTACTTGACCAAGTGTGGCCAGAAACAACCAAGAGTCCCTGAATAATAAGATGATACAATTAATATGTACTGAAACAAGAGTCATTGTAATGAGACGTGCCCATTTGAAAATAATGCTAGTAATGTACCTGGTGTTGGGTAAATGGTCCTCACTAACCCCGCGACACTCTTAGTAAGCCCTCCCGCACGCCAGTATGTGGCAAGGGCAGAACTATGTAATTTAACAAGCAAGCTCATCGGGCATTAAAATTATAAACACAGTGAAGAAGAGCTGATTTATTCATCTATAGGAGCGTGAAAGGACTAGCTCAAAGGAATTGGTCAAATAAGTCACCGAATAAAATGGCAGGAAAGTGACCCCATCTAGTTAATATATGCGGCATAATTACTGTCCTCGGATAGGACAACGTAGCCAGATGCGTCGCCTCCACTCTGCTCCGAGCATTGGGCATTAATAGCGTTCCAGTAATTGATCAAGTTTGGGACGCCAATGTCCAGACTCTCACCGGTACCAGCCTGAGTGACGCCCACGCCAATTGTTGCGCCCTCTACGGTGAGCCGGTAACCTGAAGGATTGATCTGGAATGTCTGCTGGCCTTGCCCCCAAGTTGTACCGAAGAATGCTTCGATAGCAATGGTAGCTTGAGTATTGGACGTTTCGCCGGCGGCGGTAGTGCAGATAATTGGGTATTGACGAGCGACGAGAGGTGCAGCAGAGCTTGAAGCAGAGAGGCCAAAGACAGCGGCGAGAACATGTAAGGAATACATGGTTCTGATATTAGATGAATATCGAACAGCTGAGAATTATCAGTTATTGCACCTTATATGGATACACCCCAGACGAGCTCTCTTGTATACCTTATTAAAGGATGGTCTTCGGGAGTAAGAGGTAAGAAGTCGCAGTTGAAGGTATGAGAAGTATGATTTAGTAATATAGTGCTAGAGTAAATGGATGTTTGTCCTTGTGGTTTGTTACCTTTCCCTAATCAAGGACTTGCTTCTTATATAGATAATTGCTTTCTATGGGTATAATCAACATTTACTATTTTTAGGGATTGGTCTACTTAACGGCAGTCGGCAAGTCTAGACTATCGTAGGATGCGCTACTATTGCTATTCTAAACGCAGGATGCACTACTATAGCTACTCTTAACGCAGGATGCGCTACTATTGCTGCTCTAAATGCAGGATGCGCTACAATTGCTACTCTAATGTACATGAGGTAACGTAGTATCTTAATATTCCTAATATAGGTTACTTGACTCAGGTACTTGCTTCTGTTACTGCCTTACACAGTCTTTTAACCGGTAAGCCGAAACTAACACAGGTGTAGCCTTGTCTAATAGATACAAACAGGAATTCCATATTAATTCCTGCTACTGCTTAATAAATAATACGTAAGCTAGTATATACAAAAGCTGTAAAATATTTTTAATAAGTAATTATCTAGACTTTGGGTAGTATCACAGCAGCAGGTAACAATATTAACTTGATCATCTATTAAAAAGAATAACAATCGGTACTAAAGTTCTACAGGTGGGTAACAGCTCAAACATGGGCTTTATAGCAGCCGAGGCATGGAACGTAGGTATCTGTTCTGGTTGATGATTCAATGTTCAAGAGCATGTGGTCGTGGCTCTCCATTAGAATGTCTCTCGGCGAATAAATCATTGATTTGAGGCCTGTGCTTTCTGGCACTGACAACAGCGGTCAACTCTGGTAGAGGGCCTGGCTATACTGTAGCAAACATCATTCACTTACCTACATCGGCTCAATCTAGCTATTCGAGAACTCAGCCATACTCTATTCATTGCCTCGCACATTTTTCAGTAGATCCGGCCTTGGCTAATGCGAAAAGACAGTGGGTTCGCCTTGGTAGGCCTATGCACCATGACAGCCCTTGAGGTTCAGGTTAATCAAATATGGGGCAATGAGGAAGAAACTCAAGTATTTGCTCACGTTCACGATGAGAAAGGGTCTTGTCTTACTTTCCGCATCTCTCAAAACAATGCGCTACCCCTAAGTCGCGAGACCCGAGTCGTGGCGTGCTTTCACGACTTGCCGGTTGCGTCTTTTGACGAAACATTTGAAGAGCGCGCTGCAACGCGTACGGCACTCAAAGATGCGATTCGACAGGCATGGCTAAATTGCGTACTCACTACACGATCACCAGACGCGATTATTGATCTCTATGACGGTGAAGAGGGGTAAGCCGATTGGCATATAGTGTATGAGTCTGCCCTCTATCAGAACTACCTACAGTCCTTATCGCCTGCCGCCGCTGTACTCACGGATGAAATAACACCAGATCGGTACCAATTTGTTAATTACAAAGATCTCACTATTGTTCACCGTCTGCCAGGACGAGGAACATCATCTATCGTACGCCAAACCTCAACGGACCATGCCCAGCCGCTGTACGTCCTGAAAGGCCTTGATTTCAGCGAATTCTTGGCATCTCAGGATCAGTTCATGCATGAACGAGAAGTCTTCTACCGCACTATTAAGACAGTCTATTTGATGCCACCGCATCCTAACATTCAACCTCCTCCGCGCGCTGTTGCCGTTGCGGGACATTGGGAAGACCAAGGCCAGGCCCTCTTGTGTGGGACACTATACCCGAATCCAAAAGTATTATTGTTGGTTGGAATGAGATGCGGTTGATATACCGGATGCTTGGAAAGCTATTGTGATGAGCTGCCTAGAGCCCGATCCCAACGAGAGAATCAGGCTAACTGACCTTGTGAAGTTTTGCGAGTTGCAGCAAATGAATGTCAAGAAGGATTTGTAATGAGATAGCAGATTATTAGCAGCTACATCATCTTTCATAATAGCAACGTTGGAGCATAAACACTACTTGTAGCATCTTAAACAATCTTTTAATGGAGTACAATGATATTAGAACCCAATGAATAAGGAATTACATTATGAGGTCTCCCCGCACACACCGCCCCTATGAATCGCCCTTTGCCAGCATATGAAGTCAAGATATTTGGCTCGGGTCTTAAACGAATGACGGATTCAAGTCTTCCTAACTCATTTCCCAATCTTCATTTTGTATTTTAATGCTGCAATTAATCAAGTCAGGACTTGTAATTTTAGAAGTCTCAATAAAACTGAACTTACCCCACAGTTCTTGCATGTGCAGCTCTGGCCACAGTTACATGAGCTGGGCCCAGTGCAGTTGCAGGTCGATCCACAGTCGCAAGCCATAGTTATATACGAACAGTAATAGCTGGATTTAATCTGTCTCTCAATGTCTTAAGATGAAGAGTTGTAGTTTACATAGAAATACGTGGTGGCGTTCATCTGCTTCTTATAACCATCAAGAGCAGTGACGTAATCATGAGACCTGAGAAGATTGCAGTCTCACCACTCTAGCTTTTCTTGTTAAAAAGTTATGTAAAAATGACAGCATGATATTAGGTTATATGTAGTTCAGCCAAGAAATTAGTGTAGGAGACAGAATACTCAGAAGGGTCCGACTTCCGAAAACAGATTCTTGGGTAAATAGACGTATAGCTTATGAGGAAGTCTGTACTAACAATCCGCCTCCTAAATCTGATTTCAGATGGGTAAACCTTTACAATAGCAAAGGGTCAGGTAAGTTATTGCTAAATCTCTATGGTACAGTTTACTGTGATTCACCATTACTGTTTTCGGCCGCCATTCGCAACGAACCATTGGGTTGACCAAGCGCAGATTTGAACACACCCTGGATTGTATTATTATGGGTATCACGTTCTAGATCTCTCTTCCATCTTCTTTGAGCGCGATATACTTAGCTTTGTGTCTACATTTTGTTGTGATGGGATACTTTGTACTCGCTATCATGGACGTTGTACGTGAGAGGTTGGTCTAAACTCGGCGAATTCGCCTTTGCCCTATAGAAGCCGCAACAAAACCTCATGATCTTATCAACTTTACATGTGTCGGTAGCAAAAGTAGGCGACTGTGGTGTTACGCACGTTGGCGAACTTTTTGGTCAGCCTTCTGGCGTTTGCTGTCGTTGAGTTCTCTGCTTCGTTGCGGTTTTGGTATTTAATTCAGTGAATAGGTGCTGGTTTTGGCGATTTGCTTAGGCAGATTTGGTGAAAATAGTTCACTTTATTCTGGCAATTTCTCACCTGATGATGAGCTTGAAATAATTCCCTTGTGTGTCAATCTAGAATTTTACAAGTCTGCCGCACATTTTAGATTGCCCGGACTCATGATAGAAGGGAAAGGGACAGGGACATGTGTTTCTCCATCATTAGTCGTGGTAACGTGCGGAGGCATATGCTTGAATAGAGTACCACGCCATGTCCACTTTTCAAAAGACCCAAGCCATCAGACCCGCATCAATTGTCCCATCTGGAACAAAATATATCACGGCACGCTATCCATCTATCTATATACGAAAGGAAAAAAAAGCAAAAAGAAAGCGAAGAGTGCAAGAAAAAGAGAAGAACAAAAAAGCGGGGTGGGAGTTCGAACCCCAGACCTCTCACGCTCGACAATGCTAACCATCCCGGAAGACCCCCTCGGGGCAAACGCATCAACGCCGACAGCGGACTTGTTGCCTGACCGTTCGACCACCCCGCAGCTGGCGTCCCACCTATTGACAATGGCAGGGATTATTATCATTAATAAAGGGAAGAGTGCAAATTGGCTGGACCTGAAGAGAAACAAAAAGGATCGGGATTTAACGAGCTGGGAGCGGGCGCTGTCTTTATAGATGTGAGACTTGAAGATGGCGCTAGGCAAGGTAGATCTGGTGCCCACTCAGCATCCACAGTTATTAATTTAGTATCGCAATGCTAGCACCAGATTGGTTTGAAGCTGCTGTTAGCTGGAGGAGTGGATTTGAAATGAATCAATGAGGCAAAGCTGAGAATTGGGATGGGGGCGGGAGCTAGAAGCTTGCCTGCTGCGCGCACTCAAGTTATAGCGGGCAGCTCCCTGTAGAACAGGCGTTGAACTACCGTTAGGACTGCAGTCATTACTCGGGCTGTTTGCATCTGTCGCAGTCTTTTACATCTCAATCTTCACACATTTTCATCCTGTCATTACCTTAGACTTGGAACAAAGCTGCAGACTTCTCTGCCCAACTCAGTGTCGCACTGAATTTGCTTTTTGAAAGACCAAATCGTAGCCGCCTGCTGTCGACCGGCTGAACACGCTTGCAGGGGTTGAAATGCATGTTGGTCGCGATGTGTTACAGCTCCCGGCGCCTCGACCGCCGCTGTCCTATCAAAAACTCGCGATGGAGAGCCTCGGCGCCTCGTGAAGCGGCTATTTCTGGATCAAAATGCCCTCTCTCTCTGAAGCAGGTATAGATATGAGGTTGCATGTCTTGATCAGCTCTTCCCTCCAGACGTTGAGCACGATAACCGCTGAGTCTTATACTCGCCGCCAAAATGACAATCACCAGGCCAGACAACGCGTTTCTCGCCTTCTTTTCCTCCGGACATGCCGACTTTCTGGCTCTTCTCTTGACCACGCCCATTAGCACTTTGCTTCTGTACTGGTCGATTAACGACACCGTCTTCTCGGGCTCTCTCCTCCGCTTCATCGACTCAAATCGCCCAACGGTACAGTTTGCCGTGCAGCTGATAGCCAATCTCCTGTCGCTTTGCCAAATCCTGGTGCTATGCAGGCTCATCAACTATGGGATTCGAAGGCATCTCTCGTCCAACGCGATGAGGCTGGACTCTCTGAGGGCCTGGATTGACGCCATGCAGCCGAGAATGAATCTTGGCCTGCCCATCCGCTTTTTGTTGCCTTTGTCTGCTTTTGTTGCGCTGACAATGATCTTATCGGCGCTCTGGGCCGCTGCGCTGACGCCCGTCCAACTGTGGGAAGACGTCGAGCAAAATATCCTTGTTCCAAACTGGGACGATTCTTCTCTCATAAAAGAGTATCCTTCCGAGGTTGGCAAAGAGGGAGCCACGGTACAGAATCTCAAAGGCCGATTTTCATATTCTGTCGGCAATCAGTTGCTTGGAAGTCTCCTCGCAAGCGCATCCTCTGCGACCACGATCGACGGCTCGCATAGGATCCACGAAAAGCTGGACAAGTCCAAGTTCACATACATCGGTCGCTCTTACGGCATTGGTTCATCGATAGGGCTGATGGATGAGGAAATCTTGGGTAACAATCTGGCGCTCGGATACGCATTTCAAGAGGCAGGATACAAGGCCGATATCAATTGCATCTATAATACTTCAAGCGCGTTTTCTTTATCATCAACGGTCGTTGACTTGGTCTATGCTGCGAGCGGGCCTCTGCCCGACAGCGACAACGGCCCCGAGTATTCGGACTATATTGGTCACAATATGGATCGCATAGTTTCCATCGGCGTCGCACATTTCGCAAACGAATCCGCGACTGTATACCCGCTTCGAAGATATCTGGCATTCGCGACGGGGTCAAACTACGACTTCTTGAACACGGTCCAGTGCGAGATTGACTTTATCCCAACGCTGTTCAACGTCACGGTGGATCTTCAGGGCCAGAACATCACTGTCAACGCTACAAATGACGCCGAAATCCAAGACATCAATCCAAGTAGACGCCTAAAAAGCACAGTCATGCGCCAATTCGAACTCATCGCCAACGACGAGACGAATCTCTACATCTCAACTGTTGGGACTGCGTTCAATGCTTCTATTACCGATTTGCGAACTTATATCCACTCCTCGAGTCATCCTGGCCAATGGTCGGATACAGATATTGTTCTCGCCGCCGTTGAAAACTCCATTACTGCGATGACGGATGATATGTTGGGTGCGTATGGGTCGGCGCAGCTCATGGTCGGCAACCGAACACAAGGTATAAACGCTACTGTGCGAGTAACTGCCATAGCATTTGGAGGGATCAAGTACAACATCGCCGTATTCGCGGCTAATATTACCGTCATCTTGCTGCTTTTAATTGAGGTTATTCGGACCAGAGGATGGAAAGGCCTTCCCGATTTTGATGTCGCAGATGTACGCCAGTTGATTATTGCGGCGTCAGAGGGCGGAAAAGACTTGGGTAATATTGCCTTTGGGCAGAGAAGTGACATTGGAGACGTTTCCATACGGTACGCAAAATTGATAGGCGACCGTTTTGCCATTGTAGCAAGTTCTGAGACTAAAGATGCCATTGTGATGGAGTACGAAGGGCTGGCAATATCAACAAACAGCTCAGTTACAGAACTTGCCAACATAATATAAGTCATGCGAAATCCAGTCATCGAGCACCCCAATTCTGATGTGTTGAGCCATGCCCGTAGATCTATAGGTACTTGTTCACATAAAATCAGTAACTACTTCTAGTCAAAGACTCGACTGACGTATTTGTTTACTGTTCCATCCGCCAGTGCACATACGACGGCCGATCTAATAGCTCTCTAGCTACTTCATCCGACGTGGAACATCGGATTGTCCGCCACCTTTAATCTTACGGTCCCCTTGGCTTCCCTGGCTACTTCATTCGACGTTTAGCATCGGGGTGCCCTACACCTTCTTCCTTGTGGTTTTCTGGCTGCTTCCAACACTTCCATCGCCAAGGGGCTTGCCCCCACCTTCAATCTTACGGTTCCTTGGCTTCCCTGGCTACCTCAACCAGCGTTGAGCATTGGATCCCCCCCTACCTTCAATCTTATGGTTCTTTGGCTGCTCTAGCTACCTTATCCGGCCGTGAGATCGATATATACCTTCCATTGTATGGATTTCAAGTTGATGCGACTTCAATCTCTGAGCACTGAGAGGCTTTCACCACTCTCTGACTGCTTTGGCCATGTCATCCTGTTATACGGATTTTCAGCTACTCCCACCTTCAGTAATATACTATTATGGTTCCTTGGCTGCTTTGATTATATTATCCTATGTCTCCTTTTTTATGAGTTTTCAGCTGTTCAGACTTCTCAGAGATCTAGCTAGCAAGATGGATATCATTCGCCCGCTCTTTGGCTATCTATTGATGATATTACACTTTAGATCTGTTTCGCTTTTCGCTCATTTTCAAGAGTCTCACCTTCTGACTGCCATATATTTGGCAAATTGGCGTCTTATGCCGGCTATGCGGCTTTTTAAAGGAGTCATTTCAGCTATCAAATTCCAAGGCCACCTTTTCTAGTCGAAAGGGAGTTTATTTGTGTATATTTCTGGCTCCCACTGGACCTCTCAACTTTAAGTATGTAGAGAAAGGCAGCTCAAACGTGATGGCACTGGCGGCGGGTTTTGCAGGGTTAATCATGGTGTAACGGAGTGTGTGGGATTGATCAAATTTTTTTGGATCGGGGTTCCGTAGTCAATGAGTGCGTAGTATAATGTTGCTTCAAAAGAGAGTTCAAGTCGGAGCAGTCTCAAGAATGGATAGATGCAGGTATTGGCATACTTGGAAGCGGCAGAATTACCTCTGGGGTCAAATTTGTGGAAGATAGGTGGATTGCAGAGCGTTCAGATTCGTCAATAGCCAATCAATATAGAGAAAAAAAGATCTATCTGTCACAAATTGCTTACCTGTATGGACTTTTTAGGTGTCTGATGCACCATTTTGTCTCCAGAATTCTCTGCCGTCTCTATGCTATTGTATTGATGAATTGAAGTGACCACAAAAATAACCCCCCCGCCCCCAATGAATCATATCCAGCTCGCTTCTGTACTACCCATATACATTATATCGATCTTCATATCGAAGATCAAACACGATTGGATTATCTTTCGGAACTACTCTCACAGTCCGTTCCTTCGCATCATGCAATCCCCACCGTCCAACCTCGAGTTTCGTTATTCCCAAAAACTATCTATCATATCCAGCTACCATAATAGGTAGCCAATGCTCAGCTGAATACTCTTGGCACAATGGGAATAGAGTTTTCTACATAGTTCAAAGCTCAAGATTGTCCATTCTGTGATGAGTGGGCCGATTCACTGCTATTAAAACCAACTCCAGGAGACTAATTGTACACCCCAAAACAGACGTACTCATAAACTAAAGCCAATTTAAAAAGCTTATGGCCACACATTAGGAACACTTAGCGACTCTCGCTATTTCATAGGCTAATAGAGATAAGAGTACACCAGAGGCCAACTTCAACATACATTCGGGGTGCGATAACAATGCCTCTGAAAATGGATATAGATGAAGCTCATACTAACGACATAGAGATGAAAACTATTTTCCCACAGGGCACCAGCAATATTTTCGCTAATGATTCATCCAGCCGCAGCAATATGACCAAAGATAGTACACTCGGTAAATTGCTAGATGATATTGTCATGGAAGTCTGTATACAAGTGAGTTAACGTAACTAATAACGAATCATATGTCTTCAACAGGTCCAGTAAGGCGCTCAAATTCCGAATCTTTTCGGTGGTTGAGGATCAAGAGATGCTGCCTGCCAAAGATAAACAAAATCGTGCATGGCAGCGGGTATCTGGACAGAGCGTTAATACTTGGACCTGTGATGCTGGAGAAGCTTAATATGCCGAAAGCACTTGGAGCAGTAATCCATATCCCAGCAAATCTGGTAAGTACCTCGTATCGTATTTTTGCTGTAAATGTGGTCAATCAACTCGATATTTCTGATACCCGTCACTGGCTCTTGTTAAATTTACACATTCGCAGCTATCGCATCCTTCTGATGGCCACCTTTCGTTTGTCCTAGGAGAGCTGCAAGTTGCTTGACGAGCCGCCTTATTTACTCCTATACCTGCCTCTACATCACATCCATCTGTGACATCCATCTGATGCTGATTATTCAACCGAAAGCATGAGATACTCTGTAGCTTTTACCCAAGAGATATTTTCGCTGCCATGCTAAGCTGCCACGTCTCGTGGCAGCCATCCACGCTTTGTAGACTCAGTGACCCTGGCTCCTTCATTCAAAAGAAGCTATATAGTAAGGGCGCTCAGAGTGTCCATCCTCGGGGGGAGCATACGAACTGCTAGAGCTGCTAGAGCGACCTCTGCTACTGCTGCTACTTCTGCCGCGCCCGCCTTCTTTATTGTTTCCACCTTTTCTACCGCTGCCTCCTCCTCTTCTTGCACCACCACCGCTGCCCTTGCGCTTGAACAGATCGCGCTCCACCATTAGTGCTGGGTATAACAGTAGCTCACAGAGTAGCTAGTAAGAGAGTGAGGTCGAATCTCAAGGTGCAAAGTGATAGCGATGCTGACGAAGATGTGGAACGAAGCCGCCTCCTTAATGAAAATGCCTTACGTAGAAAGCTCGGAGTCCCACTTGCCGCCTCGCCGTTCTGCGTACTGCTGACAATATGAGGAGTTGGCAGGTACTATCGAAAGGTCTGTTCTCAAACAAGGGAGACAATGGCGGGATCTCAAAAGGAAGGGCTAGCCTGTTCTGATTATATTGCCAAGTCGCTCGCTGCTTTGTATTGGATCTGCAGCCACATTTTGGCTTTCGTACCTGTTTCCATAAAGTAGCTGCAATTACCATCTACGGAAACCTTCAAACTCCTGAGCATCCCGCCTCTAGCGACAAAACAACAATCACACTTTGTTATGGAGTGAGTTTCGCATCATATAGTGTAACGTTTGAGTGTCTGTCCACCAGTAGTGACGTGATGAATATCTTACAGGGAAGCGTCGCAGTTACGCATAGATGTTGCCGATTGCTCGCGCCATCCTCGGTTTATTGTTTTGAGAGTTTGTACACGTCAAAGGCCTGATGTTCCTCTCGCCGACATGGCTTCATCCTGTGAAGAATAGTCATCTCGCAGCAAAGTCTGTTTCCGCGGCCGTGCGGCCGATGGTCTTCGTGAAATCGAGTAATGGAGTATCCTAGTCAGTAAGCAAGATGCTAGACTGCAATCCGAATTACGGGAAGGTCGTAATGATGAAGAGTCAACAGATCACGCCTACAGCGATTGCAAAGAAGCTGTCGTGTGCCTGGTAGATGGATGATGGTGGTGATAAAGTGAACTTGATTGCACAGGCTAGAGCTACTCGACTTTCCATCTGGCGATGCGCTATTAATACATGTAGGTAGATACCGGGGCTCCTAGCGCCAAGCTTCACTAGGTTATAGCGCTGGATCCGTCTCTCGGGTGATTCCACCCGCTAAAATAGTGGAGGGAGCACACAAAATCAGACCAAACAAGCTTTCATGTTACGATAGAAGCTCTCTGTAACAATCAAATCCATCTATAAGAAAGAAATAAGGAAAGCAAACTGCGACTATAATAATAAATCAAGAAGTACTAAGAAGAAGAAAAAAGAGAGAAAAAAAGGCGGGGCAGCAACGAGTTCGAACCCCAGCTTTCCGCTGCGGGAATGCTTGAGCCTGCAGGTACTACAAACACTCGGGCGCTGATTCGCATATTGGGATTAACCACTGTACCACCCCGCGATGATATGGAGGAAAGTTTTGATATATAAGGCATAGAGTGCAGGCCAGCTGGCAATTTTGGGAGAGAGAAAAAAAAGGACGAAGTTTGAGTTGGAGTTTGGGGCTGGTGACAGGCGCTGCCAGGTGGCTTTATAGGCGCCAAAGTGCCAGGCGGTGGATTACGGCGCTAAGCTGGCAAGGCCTGGCTCCCGCTCAGCGCCCCGGCTTTTTGGCTTTAGGCCATGAAACTAGCCCCAGAGTGGCTTGGATGGCGATCTTGGCAGGCCGCTATTTGTTTACATGTAGGCTGGAGAGGTTCTGGAGAGGTTCTGAATATGGCCAATGACAGTTGGGTATGCAATCTTGCATTAAGCTGGCACTCGTTTCACTTCTTGCTCTTAACAGCCATCGCTACTTTGATCGAGCTGGATGCACATGTTGAGATATACCATTTGAAAACATTCAAGAGACATTACAGTTGAGGCATTTTGGGTACGGGCATCTAGCGGATCGAGCCCATCTTGTCAAAGTTTGTCGAACCACTCCACACCCAACACGTACGTAAGACCCCATCTGGAGACAAATATTTGATGGTGGGCTGCATGACCTATAATGCATACCTAGGTATTTTCATACATGTAGGCACATGTAGACATATTCAATATTACTACTTATCTCACTACCTTAGGCAGTAGTCATGCTGTTGCTGCTACTGCTCCGTGGGCGACACTCAAAGTAACTTCAACGCTCTAGAGTCTGCGTTTGAACGCACTGCAAGCAAGGTTTTGCTAACAGCAGCACTTAAAGGCCCTTTTTCTACCCAATACGACTATTCCTATATATTCTTGACGAGAAGTTGTCCAACAGCTTCTCAATTAGTAGAAACCCGGCTTAAACACTTCAGTCATGGAAAGACATGCGTCGCGAAAGAAAGTATAAACATTTTGGCAGGATCAAGCTCGCGAGAGCAGCCAAGTTGAGCTTGTTGTTCTGCGGATTATTGCTTCATATACTCTAATACCATGATAATATTTACTTTCAACTAATAGTAGTAATAAGTTCTACCACAGGCCTGGCCCAAGTAGTTCAGTATAGTCTAGTAATAAAGCAAAAATGGGGATTTGGTGTGCAGAAATAGAATGGCTTTTTAGGGTGGGCTCAGCTCCTACACAGCAAATAGCCCGGGGAGCTTCACACAAGGACCAATACTTTGTGGCGGACGCCTCATGATTCCATATATTCGTGTGGACTTGTCGATACTGTAATAAAAGTCTTTCATAGAGTTCCATTCTGAAAACGTAAAGGATGTGGAAAGTATCGGGTCGTTGGCCAGACTAATTCTTTAAAGCACACTACTCTGCTCCCTTTTCTCAAACTCTTCTTCTTAACAATAACATTTGACGCTTCTCCTTCTTCTCTTGCGCACCCATATCAAGCTTCTCCTACATTCAGAGCTCGTCATCGAACAATATACAAACCATCATGTCTTGCTTCACCGATTTGGCTATAGAAGGCCGAGGTCGCCTCCTCAAAGTATTCGATATGATCACAAGCCCGGAATTTATCGTCGACATCTTAAAATCTCTCATGACGGCATTTACGTATGAATTTCTCCGAGACGATGCTCATTTTTTCGCTTGTTCCGCGAATCTTCGTTTTCGCCTTGATTTGTCTAGTGTATATTCATACTGGTAAATGGATTCGTCGCCAATATCTCATTGCTACAAAAGTAAGTTGTCACGCCTTTTCATCGGGTTGATTAGTTCTCTAACGTAAAACTTACCCTAGCTTCAATAAATTCATTATGTTGAAATGGCCGTAACGGTAGCCGCTTGCGAGTTCGGCGATTCAATACTTTGAGAAAGTGATGGGACGCACGCGGAACTGAAACGCCGGAGCCGCAAGTAGTGAAGAGCGCGAAAGAAAATGCCCCGAGGATGGATGATACTGGGCACGATAAGGAAAACAAACGTGTATTTTTAAAGATGTACAGATTAATACATCGCTTAATACCCACTACGCCTAAGAAGTTTCTGGCGTCACTTCGTCCTTGTACTTGTTCTTTCTTTATCTCAAGCGTATCCGAAAGTCTTGTAGTTGAGTATCTACCTGGAAAAGTGTGGCAATAAAAGAACGGGGCTCTGCCCTTACCATACGGGGTATTCATGTTTATGAGGGATATTTATCTCTATCCCGACAGAGACAGAAGATCATCTTGGGGAGCTGATTTAATATTCTGAGATGCCTTCTTTAACTGTGGTAGTGGCACGATATTTTAAAATTTTGAAAACACGTGTTTTTTTTTCCCGCTGGGCCTACTTATTCTGTGTAGTATGCACAATTGGGACAGAGCCCGTGCTGACATGACATCTCCAGACAGGTTCTTGTAGTGTCATATACCATTCCACCCGTGCCACACCGGCACTATACGATGTTAGTGTCTCTAATAAATGCTTTTGAGGGGTTGGTGAGCACACGTACACATGTCCAAGTATGAACCTGTCCTCGCCACGGCCTCCGAAATACAAAATTTGGTCCATATGGGATAGATGGCGTCTCTCGATTTCTGGCTATCGGTCGACCTGAGTTTGGGCTTCTCATAGTCCCTTCTGAAGAATAATGAACGGTAGCAGCTGCTTGAGCCTCCTTGCTATTTTTATTTCCAACTTCCGTGAGATTCTTGGTTTCTTGTTCATTCAATACCTCATCTTTGCTTGTGGTGCTAGGGTTAATTGGCACGTCAGATGGGGCGTCGTTAGTATCCTGTTCGAAAACATTCTCTCTATCGACGGCGCTATCTTGCCTTTCATCTTCATCCATTGCCACATCGGTCGGTGTCGCATCCGAATCAATAATGGAACCAGAGTTTGATAAATCTTCATCTTCTTTCGCTCGTGGTACGGCGAAAATTGCCAGCTGCTCTTGATGTGAGGCAACATGTCTTTTGAAGCGGTTATGGTTCACAAGTATTCCTTGCATTGAACCAAACGAATGAATTACTGATTCCGACTTCTGTAGCAGTTTTTCGGCCCAATCATCGCAAAATGGGCAACTTTGAGCTTCAAATTGTGTAATGTTTTCTCTTCCTTCTTCTTGGAGAATTTCTATCTGAGCATCCGAGAAATCTCCATGGGCTTTAAGAATATGAGCTTGCAAGGCTATAAGAGAAAAGCCTCCTGATTGGCACAAGATGCAAGAGTATTGCGATCTGTGTTTTCTTAGCTCATGATCAAACCAAGAGTCACGATCCTCGAAAAATTCGGCATCGCATTCATCTCCGCCTAGCGTGCACACATATGCTTTCAAATCATGAAATGCGTGAAGCCTGTGTCAGAGATCATTAAGCAGGGCGCACAAGAAATATGAAACTTGAAGATACACATACTTCCATGAGTTTTCGCTTCTGAAAGCCTGAATAGTAAAGCATATTGGACACTCAAAAGGTTGATCAGTGGGAGCCAAGTCTGCCAAAGTTGGTAACTTTAGATTTGATATAGAAGTTGCCATTGTTGAAGCGCTAGCAAGAGAGAAATTATCGTCTTCTTCTTCTTCTTGTAAACTTGAATTGAAAGCTGGTAGAGGAGCAAATGTCGTAGCTTTACTTGATAGCAGCTCGGTATCCGTGGCGTCGTAAATATTGGCTTCATCCATCCCCAGTCGAGATCGGTGATCTCTGCAGTACTTAATAAAATTTCTTCTTTTGGCGATCCCACTACCAAGTCTCATAGATAGCGGACTATTAGCTAGCTTAGAGTATTTGTTTCTCACGTAATCAATGTCGTGAGAATCTGAGAATGGAAGATCAGAAGCCAGAAGGGCTTGCTTAAATCGGTCGCGTGGCGATAATTTTCTTATAAGCATACTTAAGCGAAACAGAGAGTTCATGCATTCGTGAATTATCTGTAAGGTTATCTTTACTTCATCAAGGGAATCTTCGACGGTCTTATCCGATGCGCTTGTTCCGATTATTGAAGAGCTGATAGCTTGGTCGACTGCGGTGCCGCTATTTGGACTTGGACTGCGAATTGAATTCGCCACTATCAAACCAGTGAGACGAAGTAGGACGTAACTGCTACCGAAGACTAACAATCATCAATAGATTCTTCGATCTCATCCAGTTGTCGATGTATCTGCTGCCGAATATCCGTCGCTTGAAGAAGTCGCTGATCAAGCGACAGCGGTGTCAGAGGGTTACGCATGGCACCCATGTTTCCTGCCCATAAAGAAAATCTCTCCAGGCAATCCGCAACGGCTACTGATGGCAAACTCAAACTCAAAGAAGAATGATTATTTTTGGAGAGATCCATCAGATCGAGAAAGTGCTGTCGAACACGATGACTCTGGGCTGAAATAGTTACTACTTGCATTTTGTCCACGAGGGTCTGAAGATGATTGAAACGAAGCACTTTTACTCATAGTGGGCAGAAATCATGTCAATTAAGAAATTAGATAATGATAACCCTATACAGCAATAATGGACCGTCGGGCACGGTTTGTATATACCCCGCTTGCGAGACAGAAGCAAAGGCAGATACGATTGGTCCACGCAATCATGCATGTAGGCGTAAAAAAACTCACTCATATCTAATGGGAAGAGGTAGATTTTCTGATCTTTACTCATAGTTCTATTTCATCAAAACACCGCGTTTCACAATGGCAGCATCGGGTCTTGAAAGTGCAGGAATTGTTCTTAATGCATTTCCGATCGCCATTAACACGCTCGAGCTATGTCGCGATGCTGCAAAACTGGTTGGATTGTTTCTCCAAATTAAATTAGCATACAAAAGATGGTGCGACGATTTGAACTTTCACAGGCTCTTGTTTACAAAGAACTTGCGACAGCTTCTACTTCCACTCGTACTGGATGACGACACAATTGAGGAGCTTTTGCTGGCGCCTGGAGGAGATTGTTGGAGAGAGGAACGAGTCACGAGGCTTTTCGAAGAACGTCTCGGAGATTCATATGGCCTTTACATGCAATATATGGACGGTATGGTTCAGACTATGGACGAAATAAACAGAGAGCTCGCTGTCGACTCTGGCTGGGCTCAAAAGCTGATGCATGATCAGTCGGTAAGAAGAATCGAGCCAATGGAAACGTGAACTAAATTGGTTGATGTCGCCAGTAGCAAGCATCGAGCAGCGAAGAAAATGTGAAAGAATTTCTAACGCGTCAACTATATAAGTTCAAGCTTAGTAGTAACGAGACTGCCCGCAAACGACTATTTGGAGAGTTACAGCAGTATAATGATAAGCTCGAGAGGCTTTTGAGAACTAGCGATGAAGATAAACGCTTGCAACGCGATAGGAAGTCAAAAGGCCAATTAAACAGCATTGACCTGGGAGTTTGTAATATTTGGAGGCAGGCCAAAAATGTCTTCCAAGCCCTTGCTTCTGCGTGGACCTGTCAATGCCAGCAGCATGGCGCGAAATTACTCCTTCAGCATCACACAACACCAAAACCCGAGTTTGAAATCACGTTCTCGGGTTTTGTTACATCCGAGTTCGAAAGCCATAAAGTTAAAATTTTGGAAGCAGAAGACACCGTGTTGAAACAGAGCAGAAGTACTTTGGATAGGGTTGCTACTCCCCTTCACCAACCAAGCCACAGATGGGGCCATCGGCTTGTATCTAGCTTTCGAAGAAAGATAAAAAAAGAAGAGCCCATCCCAACTTCAAGGTTTGTGGATCCTGTTTCAAATATGGGGCAAGTAAGCCGAGAATATATGCATTAATATACTTCTAGATCTCAGTTATCTTTAAGGCTTGTGCATGTTGATACAAGCCCTAGTCTCCCAACAGCCGACAAGATAATGAATATTTGTGCTGCTTTGGGGACGCCTGAAGCGTCATACTACGGTTATCTCGTGCAAGAAGAGTGTTACTATCACGTTTATAACATATCTCGGCAAAACAACGAGGCAGTTCGATCGGCAACCTTGGACCAGATGCTTCGCGGCAGTGTCTCTCCACCATTAACTCGTTCGCAGCGATACAATTTATCATTAATCATAGCTTCGACGTTTCTGCAACTATTGGATTCTCCATGGTTATCAGTTTTCCCGAAAAGATCTGATATCATTTTCTTTGGCAGTACAAACGAAGACGCACCATTCTTTCGACTAGATCAGCCACATATCAGCCACAATTTCAGACCTTCGAGTATGCAAAATACGTTTTCTTCATCGGAGAAAACATTTAGCTTCACTGACGCTCTCGATCATCTCGGGATATTGCTCTTAGAGCTGTGCTTCGGTAGAATCATGGAGGACCAGCCCTGGAGAAAGAATCTACCGGTGGGAGCAAATGATCGAGAGAAGAAAGGTTTTGACATATTAGCAGCCCGAGAATGGCAGTGTCATGTAAATGAAGAAGCCGGCGGGGACTATGCTGAAGCGGTCGCATGGTGCCTTGGGGGAAACCGGATCGCGCCACTAGAACGGTGGAGACAAGAGATGCTGCGTAGGGTGATACAGCCTTTGCAAAGGTGTCGCGAATATTTGTCAAATAGTGGAGTTGGAATATAGTTCGATTAAGTTATAAAGGTGAAACTTGCACCACAATTTAACAGCAATGCTTCATAAGGCTTAGTAGTACTCATCAGCTTTGGCCGAGAAAGTTCTACGAGTAATCTATCGAGTATTATATGTAAATTTGTGGCATGTTGTGAACGCTTATGCCGGGATCAGCTCTGAAAACTGGAACCCGCCCTTCACTACCACAAGCCTATGACCACTAACAAAAACAACTTCGTGATCCATACTCTGCAGAGGCATTCCCGGAACAGCAACTAGTGAACATTTCATTTCGCCCTCTGCATCACACCATTCACTTAACGCGAAGAAATGGCGACGAATACCGATATCGGGTAATGAAGACCGACTGCCAATAATATTTCCCTCTCCTTTACCAAATAAAGACTGTACGTCAATGCTGCATATCCAAAGCCTAGTATCCAGAAATACTAGAGTTGATGGACTTATAAACCCAATCACTGAACGTATATGCGAGCTCACAGCACCGAAACTAGGTAGATTGACGGATGAAAGGGATGTTCTCGACGAATAGGGATCAAATGCAGCCGCCGGCCACATATAAACTTGTGGATTTGCAGTCCCTATTGTTTGTAAGATTTCGACCACCAACCCGCAGCCGACATGATACGATGCTGCAGCAAAGACACAATCAACCTTCAGCAACTGCGGCGGAAAGCGCTCAGACTTTGGAGAAAATTTGAGTTCTCTGGGCGATGTAGGCTTCCCGGACGATGTGGGTCGTTGAAGAAGAATGCCGTCTTTCGAAGTTAGTTCTTCATAATCAGCCCAACTGTAGACACGCGCAGTATTGCCACTCATAGTAACAAACCAGGCTTCATTGATGGGATGTTGAAAGACGGCGCAAGCAGAAGCAGTAGGTAGTCTGACGTCGTCTGAACAGTTTGAATCCATCATATTGCCATTCAAATGTGCTTCTTGTTTTCCAGCAAGTATTTCACCTGATGGCAATGCCCAGAGCTGGCTAACATTGTGGCCCGTGACGAGAAGACGGTCGGCTGCACCATTCAATAGTAATCGTACAACCGCACCGCCAAAACGACGGTCAAGGATGATACGAGTAGTTGGCATCTTTTGGCCTGGAACGAGCGTTGTAGCTTCTCGCAGCAATATGGGCGGCTCGCTGATTAACACCCTGCCGGATTCATCCGCGGAAACAATCAGGTTTCGACTTTCGCCGAGAGCAACCTTGGTGACCGACACGCCTCTTGCGTGATGGTATAGCGTGCCAATTTCGGTTCCGTCAGCAACAGAGAAGAGCGACACTTCTCCCCGCTGGTTTCCCCCAATAGCGTATCGGCCATCCGATGTTATCTCCAGAAGACTAGTAATCTCAGGATCTTCAGAGCCATTTATCGCTCCAACGGCTGTTACTGGGAGAGTCGCGGCGTCGCTGGTGCTTTCCAGCTCGTTGTTTGTCCTGACAAGGGCCGCTGGTTCCCACACGCGGCACTGCTGACGATGGACATCTAGGAAGCGCAGTCCATCAAAACTGAATGCAACGCTTCGAATTGGATCATACAATCCATCTATGCGATAAATAGGCACCAAGATGATATTACCGTCATAGTCGTGATCGAAGTCAAAAACTTCTATCGTGCCATGGCTACCGCCGGTCACCAAGCTATGCCCATCAGGTGAACAAGCAACACTTTGTGCATATGTTTTGTGTATCGTGAACATTTGCTTCATGGTAAAGTAGTTAAAAACGCATAGTCTGCCGTCATTCAATGATACAATCAGCGCAACGATGTCTGGATTTGGGTTGAACACCATGCAGTCAATGCCATTATTGGCATCAACAACACAATGACCTAACCCTTGCTGCTCGAGCACATTCCATATAAACACCGGATGTTTGCGATAACCGACTGCAATCAAGGTAGTGTCAGTAGTTGTTAGGAAAGCCGCACATGTAGCCGCCTGTTGTGTGGTAATAGACTGCGTATTTGCATAGATATCGTTTATTTGGTCAGAATTCGAGTCATCCTGCTGTGTATCTAAACTCCTATCAAATCTATTAGTCTTTTTTGCATATAAGACATTTTGAGCAATAAATGAAGTATTACCATCTTGTCAAAGTCCCAGACTGGAATGCGCAGAGAATTTCATCAACGCCCAAGAATGCCAAGCTAAGAGGAGGCGACGCTAGAGGAAATGCATATATTTGTGAGCCAGATTTTGGCTTCCATAGAACCATATGTTTTGCGCCGCAAGAGGCAAGGAGATTATCGTCTTCGCTGAATTGAAGTATTTTGACTCTCTCCGGGTGAGTCATGGTCAACTGTAGCTGAACAGATCCAGCATTATAAAGAAGAATCTTTCCCGTAGACAACCCAACGGCGAAGGAAGTGTAACTGTGGCTGACAGCCGTTGTTTGACCTCTTTGGAAGTCAATACGGCTCAGGCAATCATCCCAAGTTCCTGCCGGAAGTCCTTTTACAGTCATATTAGCGGTCCGTAAATCTTTCAAAACACTTCTGGATATCATGGACTCGGAAGGACACAGAGGAGGTATAAGTCGGTGGATAGCGTGCGGATATGTGAGAAGTTGAGCGTGGAACTTGGCAGCTACACGGATAAGGTCGGTTACCCATCCTCCAACAATGCTAATTGATAAATCTGTAGGCGGGACATACTTGGCTCGACGAGCTAAATACTCTCGTACGTTCATCGCAGCCCGCGTGATGGTGCTTAGATCGCCGCGTTTTGCAATGAATTCGATCCATGAGAGAATATTGCCATTGAGAAAGGTAGACAAATTGTCCATCAGATCATCGTCTTCGGATGAGCAACGATATATATGCTCTGCGAAGAACATAGATGCGTAGTCAAGCAGAGACGTGTCAAGAGATGCCAGGGTTCCAATTTTATTCGAGCTTCTTAACTTCACAGGACGTTGAGATTTCATCTGTTGTGTTTTGAGGCAGTCACCGGAGAGAAATCGAGTGAGGATAGACGCGATGCGGGTATGACCAAGCTCTTTATATACTGTCAGTTCAGAGCATACATCTTGATCAAGAAGAAATTCGCGAGCTGTTGCATGAATTATATGCGCCTTGTCTGCTGCGTCAACGTAGACGAGCTGCCCGCATATATCTGGGATTGCCCTCCTCATGTTCTGGATCGTCTGATTAAGATCCAGCTTTACTGCGCAGCGCAGTTCTTCTAATGACAAAGGGCGGCGAGCCAAAACGACCCATGTCAATATCTTCTTGGCAAGAACTGTTTTGCCCTTATCCATCTCGATTGACTGAACCATCTTACTATACAGTTCGTATAGCTCTCCGGGAACTTCGTTCAGTATTTCCTCCATAGCCTCTTCCGTCCAAGCGCCTTCGAGTTCTTGTAGAACGAGACGAGCCCAAAGGAAGGAACCTGATGATTTTTTAAGCATTTTATTACACATAGTCTCCACTTCATCTTCAGTTTCGAAGCGGCCGAGTTCTTCGAGCTTCGCGGTCAAGAAAAGCCGAATATCGCTTAGTGTATCGGAATCTGACAAAGCATAGGTGCTCACTTGAGGTCCGAGAGATGCTAGGCCGCGCTCAATGGCGTCTAAATTGCGACTTGTTATGAATATCCGAAGCTTGCTTTTTGGGGGTAGCTTGGCTAAGAGTCTCTTTGTGAAGAGTGAGTTGAAGTTGGCGCATTCATCAAGACCGTCGATCACCCAGAAATGTTGCTTTGTGAATGATAGCTTGAAGATCCTGTCAACAAAAAGCTTTGTCCAAATCGTGGTGTCATCAGCCTTATCCCAGGCTAGCCCCTCGTGCTCAAGCTCTATCAATTTTTCTTTCACTAGGCTATCCTGAATAGCCATTTGGAAAGCAAGAGACCTGAAACAGTCGCCTAGCGTGGACTTGTTGGCAGTCGAGTGCTTGAAGAAAAAATAGCTGCAAGAGACGGGCATGTTGTTCAAATGGTTGATGACATGACTAGAGAGAATGGATTTTCCAGTCGCCGGTCTACCAGTTAGCCAGAAAATGCCAGCAGAATCGCCCGCTTTCCACGATAGAAACTGCGGTTTATTGATGAGCCATTCGCATGATTCGGGCATTTTGAGCTCTGATTGCAGCGTAAGATCTTCTTCCAATATATCTCGTAACTTGAAAAAAGACTCCAGTCGCGCATCAGCTTCAACATCTCTATCAGTTGTATCCAGGTGGAGGAAAGCCGTGTCCAGAGCCTTCTCTTGGATCTCATCGATGGCAGTATGGAGAGCGTTTCGCAGTATCCTATAATTAGAATCCTCGCGGCTGGTAAACTTGCAGACATGGCGATGGTCGGCATTCAGCGCCTCAATTCGTTCGTTATCGAATCCTAATATTGCCGAACCCTTCTCCACCACGATTCTGTTCATAGGCCCCAGAGCTGTAGGCAGTGTCTCGTAAAAAGTCCATAGAGCCAAGTCTGTTGCAACATGTCGGAACCGATCTCTGATCATAGCAAGTGCTGAAGAGCCAGCCTTTAAGTCTGTCACGAAAGGCTTTTTACCCCAGACAGCTATCAGCATGTTCTCCAGAATGCCTGCCATGTCCGACCCGTGGTGGGGAGTTCCAAGGAAGAATATCCCATATATCCGCCCAGCCAAGTCTTTATATGATGGATGTTGTCGTGCAATGATAAAGGCTTCTTTGGCAACACACCCGCCCATGCTATGGCCAACGAGAATGATGCGCGTGTCATCGCGGCGTATGCTTGGGTGATTTCTCAGCCCGCCAATCAGTGACTCAGCAAAATCGTGAATGCTCAGGATGCTTTGCTGCTGCCACTTCTTTCCCCAATCGGCTTTATAGCCAAAAGAATGAATGCGCACATTCTCAAATCCAGGCTCATTCGGCAGCCAATCCTGCGGCCAAAACGACCTTGGAGTGCTCGAGCTAGACCATGTCTTCCTGCTATGCCCTCCGAGGCCGTGTATGAATATGATGTCGGCTATAGTGCTATTGGGCGTGGGGTCGTAGAGCGTATGAAGCCCCAGCGAGTCGGTGTCTTGGCCTTCTGCCTCGGATGTGTCAGTGTTGGTATGGGCTACCCTGGCGTGCAAGGTCTTCATTGCCGCTGGGAACAGCGACATCGTTGCATTCTTTTAGCGGTCGCAGACAAGAGGTTATCATCACCATATAACCTCGTTTAGTCCCATTAAACGCTCCAGTATCCAGTCTTCTGCTCTGTGATGTGGGGATGTGAAAGAGGAGGAACGCTTCAGCTGTGGGTTTTTGTGGCCAGCTGAACTAGAGATACACGTTGGTAACGCAGCCAACACGACTTCCAATGAGAGACGCGACATAAGCGCCTAACTCCGCACTCTTTTCGGGCCACACTTCACGCAATCCAATGCTAGTCCAATGAACATGGTAGTAGCAGGTGGGCCATTCAGCGCAACGATGGATGCTTGAGGGGTATGGAGAAAGCCTTGTTTCAAGCTCGCTTAGCAGCTGAATCCCACCAAGCCTGGCTATGCAGATATTTCAGATATGCGCCCATGCGAATTGTCATCTGGAAACTGCGTCAAACTTTGGAAAATCTTCAGCTGGCAATATTCAGTTGAGTGGGTGGGAAATTGGTGCGATTTCTACCCGTAGCGCATCAGATGAATATCTCGAAGCAGTGATGATGAGAGACCGTATTACAGTGCACGAGGAAGATTTTAGAGACGAGGCTGTAGTGAGTATAGGGCTCTTGGACGCGCTTTTTGACCCGAATGATAATCGTGTACTCCAAATGGCGTTTCATTAAGCTTTAGATTTGTTCATGATTATCCTATTTGTCTTGCTAGATTATATTCTTTTAGCTTGTTAAGACTTGAGCTTGCAATGTTATAACTTCATCGCCTTCCGTATCCCATAGTGACAATTTTCCCAGATTTCTCTGATCTTCCTTCCACTAGAATCCCGAGAAAGAAGATTGAAAATAGCCTCAAGTCCGTATTAAATACCAAAAGCTGAAGCGATTGGTCACCTTTTTTCCCTTTTTTCCTTTTTTCTGTTTTCCCTTTGTTGTGAAAACGGTCTGCTACATACTTAGCCAATGGCTTTGGCACGAGGGATCCAAAGCGAGATTTTAAACATTCTTGCACAGATCTCGATCAGATGCCAACGCATGTATCATATAGGCTGTTCAAAAATTGCTCTGCACTCTCTCGCGCTGGAAGAGAAGTACTATATGCTAATAACTAAATGAAATACTGCTGAACTACAATTTAAAGGATAATTTTCTGGAAAATGAGATGCCTGAATAATATCGACCACTATGTAGTAAACTTGCAAATCTCTGAAATGTGAGCATCTGCTGCTTTGATTTTTTCCCCTTTAAAACCAGGCGTGGCCAAAACGCCCTCAAAACCAGACGTCAACTAGTTTTTTCCGGCAATTTGCAATCTTCTTTTGCTTCATGCACCTAGAGCTACGGCTCGGCCCGTACGCACTAATCTCTTAGTGCAGGTTGCCAAGGTCAGAACCGCATGTACTGAGTGTCAATTGGCATCGAGGGAAACTTGCTCGAGGGAAAAAGTATATACACTGCCTAGATTGCTACTGAAAAATGAGGAAGTCATTCGTACCAGGGTTGTATTATTTCCACACCCAAAAACTCGAAAACAACATGTCGCCAGTACTCAGCTCCATTTTTCTGCTGCGGCACGGTATCTCACATACAACCGACATTGAGTTAAGTACATGCATTATTCTCCATGGCTCACATAACCGTCTGGGTACGTATCGACGAGTTTCTGAATCCCTTCTACTGCCCTGATTGAAAATTAGCAAACCAGCAAGTTGTCTAGCCGAGTGTGTCGCTGAGCAGCTTACATATGTACGAACGAGTCCTGCTCTGGAAACAGTGCCGCTGCATGTAAATTAAATCTCCTACATCAACCAGATTAACCAACGTTCTCGGTAAGATCGATCAAATGTCTTCATACAAAGAGTAAAGAGCATTGCGATCGTCGTAGTCCTCTTCCGGCTCCGCTTTGGGTATGTGAGAATGGTATGCTTGAAAATAGCGACGTGTGAATTTGTTTCGCTCAGGACGCCAGTTTCCCAATTCATCTGTTCGTGCGTCTTGTTAATTGCTAGCCTGGAGTAAAAGTCGTAAAATCACGGCCTGTAAGTTAGATAACGTACATTCGTTATGCGCCCAGAAGCTGGCGGGATCATACACGATACCCTTCTCGGTATCGCCATCAATTATTCCTGCATTTCCATACCACAAGTCTCCGTGCACTAGCGAGGGTTTAATTTTTCGTCCCCCGCTTTCCAGTGGTCGCAAGAGCCTGGGGATCACTTTGTCAAAGAGCTGAGGCAGAAGTGCGTCGAGTTCGGGGTTAGGGCCAGCCCTTTCTTCTCGTATGTTCAAAATGTGACGTAGGCCATTCGAAAAAAACTGTTCCCAGCTGTCACACCAGGTGTTGTCCTGAGGAAGATTGCCATTGTATGTTGTGCAATAGAATCCGAACTTGCCCTCCGTCGGAGATTGGCTGGAATGTAACCGCGCAAGGCTCTCACAGAAAGAGCTCGGCTCAGGTACGCCTTCGATAAAGTCATAAAACTTACAAATGTAAAAGTGTGAATTTGGATCGTTCTTGAATGTCCCCCATCCCATAGGCTTGGGACAAAATTCGGGTACAATAGCGTGGATGGTTGATGTCGACTCGAACTCGCCCTTTAGAGCCAGCTTACCATGATGACCAATGGAGACCTATATTCCGGTCAGCGACCTTTTCGGCTATCAAGCTTTTTCGATTGGTCAACAGGCCTTCATGAAATAGCGCTCTTCGCTTAGGGTTTTCTGAAGCACTGTGAGACGAAAAGCTTTCGCCCAAGCTGATTCCTGGCAGGGTGCTACTTCGAGCACCTCAGTAACATCTTGCAGCACTAATTTGACATCAAGAGGCTCTATTAGTACATTGTTACAAGCAGAAAGTCAGATTTGCAGGGCTTACCAGCAAGAACGTTAGGATCCACATGCCGCTGACCTCCAGCGGCGTTGTTGCCGAGTATACTATCCATTTCGTCGGTAAAGGTTACTGAGCAACAGCATGGCAAACTCAAGGAGTTCCAAATATATTTTAAAGTTGTCTTGAAAGCCTCCATTTTATACAAGGAAGAAAACATCTGAGAGGGCGTATAAATCTAATGCTGGTCAGCCGAGGTCGTGAGAACCAATAGCTCCCAATTGCCTCACACAACTTTGAGGAGGTCGTACAGGCCCCGTTTATTGAGACCGGGATAGGGAATGATTGGCTAGATGCTCCTCTTGGACTTCTAATGGTACTGCTATAACGCTTCATTGCTGTAATGGGAATTGACGTGCTCGGACCTCAAACACGGACCTCAAATACTAATGGGGACAGGTTCAGATTTTTCATCTTGTGAGGCAAGCCACCAAGTGCATCAGTTTCTTCACTATGGACCTTCCAACTATCTTTCCCCTCAGCAGTGGCAATAATGTTCCCGCTGTAGGACTCGGCACATTTCAGGGCGATAAAGGTAACGCATTGGTGAAAGAAGCCGTTACGAAAGCGTTACAGTTGGGATATCGGCATATTGACGGAGCCCACGCGTACGGAAACGAAAAGCAAATCGGACAAGCGATCAAAGAGAGCGGTATCCCTAGGCATGAAATCTTTGTGACTACTAAACTGTAAGTTACCGGCTACTTCGGGCTGACATGGGCGTATTTCGCTTAAAGTTAACTGATAGCGCGCAAACCTGGCATGAACCTGCCGACGTCCAGAAGGCTTTAGAGCAGTCTCTGAAAGATTTGCAAATGGAATATGGTAATATTTTCTTCTGTATTGTATATTGCAGCCAAGATACACTCTCGCTAACGTTCGAGGTAGTCGATCTGTACTTGATGCACTGTACGTCGCACTCGCTGCCCTTGTCGATGATTATAACAGTAGACAGAGGAGTACTGATGTCACCAAGTCCCTCATGCTTATAAGGCTGGCAAAAAGAACGCAACGATAAGACATCCAAGTGGCAACGGAAAGGTAAGATATCATAACATATTTCTATATATCATACGCAATGATAGGCTTACACAAGCCAGCCTGTCATAGACTATGATCTCTCCAGGAGATACCCGGAAACTTGGCAGGCAATGGAAAGATTAGTTGACTTGGGTCTAGCGCGCTCGATTGGTAAGTATTGAATTTCAAGGGTCACAATTGATCTCACTAACTGGAATGAACGCAGGTCTTTCCAATTTTAACATTCTCAAGACCAAAAGAATAGTTGATATCGCCAGAATTATGCCAGCAGTCAACCAGGTCGAAATTCATCCGTAGGGCATCATCCGATACAAAGTTGACCCTTGATGCTAATTACGTGCTGCTATAGATATCTGCCGCAACAAGAGCTTTTTGAGTTTTCATCCCGGCATGGTATTCTTCTCATGGCCCACCAGCCTCTAGGTGGGCGTCCCGTTGAGGTAGTCCGTGGATCCAATGCACCATCTCCGACAGTAGATTCTAAGGTACACGACCAGAAAAAATAAATGTCTCAATAAAAGGAATCTAAACGTTAGTTCTAGGTAATCGAGATTGCAACAAGATACCAAATATCGCCGGCCCAGGTAAATGCATATCAACACATCCAATTTGCGGTACTTATCAACTAAGCGAAAAACTGTCTAGGTCTGTTTATCTTGGGCAGTGCAAAAGGGGATCCCTGTTATCCCCAAATCGGTGCAAGATAGCCACCTGCAGCAAAATATCCAGCTGACAAGGCTCTCAGACGAAGACTTCCACGCTGTAGACCAGCTGTCTTCTGAGCGCGGCGCTGTCCGATTCCTTGACCCGAGCCGACACTTGGGCTTTGATATCTTTGATGAGGAAAACGACCAACCAGTGGCCAACAGCGCACCTTGGGACTCAAGCGAATTAACGACATAGCTGACAGTCCAAGTTATATGTGATCGGACAGTGCTGTGTTCTGGAATATGCTTTGAGCACAAAACAGCAGCTAGCTCCACCAAAGAAGCCTCTTGAATTACAAAAATTGCTCTTCGAATACTCTCAATTCCATCTGATGTGTATCTTTGAGTGGTAGTGTCTCTATAAGTGTTCTAAGACCATCACTATTTAATCAAATTCTACTCAAATTCTACTTTGAAGCGAACCTCCTTTGACTCTGGCTGGATGGAAATATTTCTCGTAAAGCTTTTGCCGAAGTGGCGTCCATGCTTGAGGTTTCCCCCCTGCTGGAAGTTTGGGCGAGAGGTTTTGTTCGCAGCTTCATCCAATCCGAGCTGCCCACTAATTGTTACCTGTCGATCAGCTTTCTCGACTTTTGAAGTAGCGGTGCGTTTGGTGGTTTCTATTTTCCGAGCACTCTTTTGTTTGTACCACTCTGAATAGTCCGTCAGCTCATACAGCGCAACAGGCTGAGGCTGTAGTGGGCCATAGAGCCATGTGACATCTTCATCTTTCGACCTGCAATTATGAGCATCATCCAGCCCTTAGGCGTCCATAGTGAACTAACCAATTAATATGAGTTGGTGAAATCGTAGGTAAATTGTGTCTGAATTTAGTCCAGGATCTCCATGCAGCGTTTTCTAGGCGAGCTGCATTTTCGTAGTTTGTCCTCTGTGATTGCACGTGTCTCCAGGATTGGTGGAGGTCTTCTTCCTGCCACACATGGGATAAGTAGTCTACATGCCGCTCAGGTTGCAATTTTATATCATTGTCGTCTTCTGTTCTGTCATAGGCATCCAGAGGAGGGCTTTGTGGCTTATGTCGACTACCGACCACTCGACGTCGAGGTACGTGGTCAGCCGCCTCAAGCCCGGTGCTATGGGCTGTCGGCGTTGGTTGCAGTGTCTGGTCTTGATCTGAGACTTCTAGGGAAGATAGTAACGGTGTGGAGAATACTTGTTGACCTAGTCGAGAGCGTGACAATTTGTGAAAAGAGCCTTCGAATAGAGACCGCATGCGTCGTTGTTGCTTCTTCACCAGCAAGCAAGAAATGACGACGCTTAACGCAACGAATGTGATGAGATTAAATGCAGAGCCTGTATGATCATTAGAAGGCCAGGATGGCAGTTGTCGACGACGAACCGGAGGTGGTCCCAAAGAGTCGGGCTGCAGATCACACCCCGCGGGCTCCCAGTCGAGCTTTCAAGCTCATCGTTAGTGTTTCACATACGACCTCAGCTTTATATGCGCTTACTGATTGACAAAACTCTATGAAATCCTTTCTGGCCGTCCATTTGGCCAGCTCAGTGGCCTTTTTTGTGTCTGCAGAACCGGTGAACGTCGGCCAAAGCGTCACAATCGCGATGAGAAGAGGAGCTGCAACCATGACGTGGCTCCAGAAGCCCGCTTTCATGTTCTTCAAACTCGCCACCGCTCTACATAAAGTTTCAACCCAAGTAGCAGCTTTGAGTTGAGAAGATAAGAAACTCATTGACAACGTGAGGTGAGAAGTGTCTGAGCTTGTAGCTGGTACCGGCTCGTCTTGGCTTTGCGCTATAATGCATGTATGTGCTTGGCTCTGGCTGCCGCCAGCAGTATCCGTAGATGGCGTGGTTGTCGACATCCCTCTAGCATATGTCGTGAAAGATAAAACGACTACCGACGGTTACCAGGCATGTAGAGTGGCAGACAAGCTTCAACAAACTGTGTTCATACATCACCGTCTCCGAATGGCGGTAGGCAGCCTTACGGACGGCCGCGCCCCACGCAATAAGTGCCTTGCCGTGCGCAGTCTGTCATTATTGGCTGCCTGCAGCGCATTTCGCTGGACTTCGCCTTGCTGGGGCTTTCTCCTACAATGATGACGTTCGACCTTAATACCGGAATTGACGCTGCTAAACAACTTGAATCAATTATCCTAGTCAAGACGAGAATAGGTGTCTCACTCTATCCTTAGGCTGGGAGGTGTGGCTGCAAATTCGCGATCTGAAACAATAATAGTCCAAAATCCTGCTTGTAGACAGTAGCGACAGCCAATCTCTGATTGGCCTACTCAGCTACCAATATCCGGAATTGCATTCCTTATAGCATTGCATATTCTATTGTACGTCATTCTCAATTCTCGGTATAAAGGGTAACCCCAAGAACATCCGGCTCACCGTTCATCGTCGGCTTTTAGCCTACAGGCTAAATGGATCGTCAACGCTTCAATTACCAATTACCCCAGACGCACAAAAGGAAGACTGCCATAGTGAGTTTTCTCCGCCCATTTCTGCTTTAGCGGCCCCGTTGCTGCCCCGTTGCTTTCTCTACCATGTATTCATGTTGTGGCACTCACATTGTCGGCCTGCATGATGACGATAACTATTCTGTCTGAGATGCTATTGTTAAATATCCGAAGCGGGGGAGATGAATGCTACACACAGCTCTCGGAATGTTTGTGCCGCCGGTTAGGCTGATATCCTTGTATGTAATCAAGGTAGACGATCGCTCGGGGATGCGGAGGATCATACACGAAGTTATTACTGGTTACATCCGATGCAGGTCCCAGGAAAACCGTGTTTCTTACCAACAACTGGGGACGAGAACTGACGATGATATTAGGCTATTTAACGTTGTCAAAAGCATTCAAAGGAAATACGCTCTTATATATCACTACCAACGCTGTTATATTTTTGCGACTCTTCTTTCGCCTGAGTGATCGGTCTTGGATGAGTGTGAATCGTCAGCCTACTCGTGTAAGCTGCACTTACAGAAGCAGATAGACCACATCATGCGTTTGATCGCCTTAATCTCGAGCTTTGCTGTAGCGCTAAACGCTGCTTCGCTACATCCTAAATCCGACTTCAAATATCTTGTCACGTTTGGAGATAGCTACACTGATAATGGTCGGCTTAGCTACTATGGAGGCCATAATGATCAGCCGCCACCGCCAGGAGTTATGCAGCCGGAGTCCAACGCCACTGCTAGTGGAGGTTTAACGTGGGCGCAATATGTCAAAGGCAGCACTGGCGCAACTCTTTACGACTACGCCATCTCTGGTGCTACATGCGATAATAACAATGTAGCAAGATGGGCATCTTTTCTCAATGCAAACTTTCCTTCAATCATTACCGATGAAATCCCATCATTCAAGAGGGATCGAAAGACGGCTTTATACCGTGGCGTAACTGCAGCAAACACCGTATACTCCCTTTGGATAGGAACAAACGATCTCAGCTTTACCGGAATCCTCAGTGACTCTCAAGTGGCAGGAACAACTATTTCAACATACATTGACTGCCTGTGGGCGACATTTGATGCCATTTATGCAGCAGGTGGTCGACGCTTCGTGTTACTCAATCTGAATGCCCTTCAGCTGGTGGGACTGTATCGTCCTCAATCTGACGGAGGCGCAGGCGACAACCAATTCTGGCAAAACAAGACATTATATAACCAGACAGAGTACGCCCAAAAGATGCTCGAGTATACTGCATCATCAAACACTATTATCGACTATGGCGTCCCATTCCATCTCCTCGTCAAAAATCGCTGGCCGGGAGCCAAGATTTCAATATTTGACATTCACACCCTCATTACCGACATCTACAACAACCCCAAGGGATATTTGGAGTCGCCGCACAACGTCAAAGGATTTTACCACCATTGCGATGTGAACGGTGCGAATTGCAAAGATGGACCAGGTTCACTCGATTCGTATCTATGGTATGTACTGCGGCCCACGCCGAAGGATAGACACTGACGTCGACAATAGGTACGATGAGCTCCATCCTTCAAATAAGACAGGTTAGTAAAGCTACACGTCATGACAATAGTTGCTTGAGCAACTCATTTACTGAGAAGGTACTGACTGAAGATTTTTAGACTCTATTATTGCCCGGGAATTTGTTAAGGTTGTCGCGGGAGACTCCAAGTTTGGCACGTCTTGGGGTCATTGATGTACAGATTATGAAAGAGTTGCAAAGATAGCGGCTTAGGCACTAATGATTATGACACACATGAATTGAATGCTGTTACGATTAGCTGCGCCAACCTGTTCATTCGTTCTTACGCTTCAAGTTAATGGAAAACGTGTCCAGAGCACGCATCAGGGAAATACAGGCATATTGAACGACCTCTGGAATCAAGCTAATACCAGTGCTTTTGTCTCCGATTAAATTTTATAAGGGCAGCATCAAGTAAGTATTAGAGGCAAGCTAATGAAGGATAGTCATCGCGGTTGATGAGCTACCCATTACCGACAAACTCCGAGTCCTCGACCCTCCTGAGACGCGTATCATACAGGCAGCGCGAGTTCGTGACTGCGGACGCAACTTCACTTGTGGAGCGACTACCGAAAGGCGATATCATCAAGACACCGTGAGACGATTCTAGTCACCGAGCGAAAATCTACCAAATGCTCGGCGAGCACCCTCGACTGGTGAAGTGTCGAAATTGGGATCCTGTACAACATGCAATGATAATGGAGCACATGCCACATGGTGCGTTCCCCATAAACAAAACTCCAAATAGGCAAAGAGAGCAATAACGTGTAATGAAGATGGTAAGGTAGAATTTGGTTAAGTCGGGGCAAAATCGAGTGATGTCCATTAAGTATTCTAACAACTTCTTACTCCCAAGATAGAAACCACGGCTACCGACGATTTAATAACTCAACGTAGTCTCAGATCAAACCGGGGTCAGTCTCCCTAAAAGTCTTCGTTGGTTTGCCCATTCCTACCTGAAGACCTTTTCACCTGTGACTCCCGAGCAACATGTCGCGTGAGAAGTCCAGCCGTTACGAAAGTCAGTGCACTGACCAACTCTGGGATCAGACCTAGAATGACACGGATAGCGAGAGAGCCGGTCTGAGGGTTCAGATTCATGTCTTTCGTGACCAGCGCGATGAGGGAATAGATGACTCTAATGCCACTGAAAATATCCGACACAAGGACAGCCCAGAGAAGCTATTGCTAGATTAGAAAACTGAAGTCTTTGCATACATATTCAACAAGACTTACTTTGGTTCCTGCAGCAGTGATAGTTCTTGGCATTGGGGATTTGGCAGGACGAGCCAGTATCCAGACTGATACAATGGCGATAATAGCCCAAGCGAGAGTCAAAAGTGACATGCCAGTTCTCACCGAAGAAGCATTTTTGGAAGCTTTGGAAGCGTCCACAGGCTTGTCATCAGTAGACTGCAGGCTCGACGCACCAGAAGCTACAATAGCGACTCCGGTAGTGACAAGGATGTGGAACAAAATGATAACAGTCCATTTGAGCTTCCTAGACATTGGGTCGCAGTAATAGTTTCTCCTATTAGTATCCATTAGTATGCAAGATTGGACGACGGCATTTAGGGAATGGAACAGTACGCTTCATGCAGAATGCCAGATGCAGCAAGAAGAAGAGGAGACAAGCCAACGCTTGAGATAATGCCTGCTGATGTATTGCCAGACAGATCCATGGCGCTTCCAATTACACGCAACGAACAGAAGGCAAACTGATAAAGCCATCCAAGCAATCCAGCGCGGCCATGTTTGAACAGGACGTATAGAGTCGGGATGCTAAGAGTAGCATAGATGATCAGCTCGGCGGTCGATAACGCGGTCATGGTGCTTCCGAGAGCCTTCAGGCACTTGGTCAAGCTATATTGACTTCGAATTCGATTGACACTGGACAGTAGAGTGAAAATTGGCTCTTAGTTTCTGTCGTACACTGCGGTAAGGGATGCGAAGTTTGCTTCTGCCGGAAAGACGACTGCGGCCAACACAATTGGAGAATGAGCTCAAAAGACTGATAGTGGAAATGGTAGAGAGGTGGCTGGAAAGATTTAATTTGAGAGAAGAGTGAAGGAAAGAGAGTTATTGTAGGTGACTCTGATGCTTTATATGTCCAAACGGTGATCTGTTTCTGGCTTGGAGAGCGTCAACAGAGCAAGGCGGTAATGCCATCCATCTAGCGTCTAAGCCCCTAACGCCTCATCCCTTTTGAGGCCTCCAGCCGCCGTCCAATTGAAGCTATCTCCATTCTTGACGCAGTTTTATTCTGTTGGAAAAATATCTACTCAACAGCTTGACTCCTGGAAAGAGATGGCGGGCCTGCGACGAACCGACCAGAGGCGCAGGATTCGGAAAAGCGGGACCTAAACGATACCGAGAAGCGAGACCGAGAAACGAGCAAGGGTTAAAAATGGCGGTAGGATTTAGAGCGACAAGCGACAACTGATAGTGTTTTCATGGAGATGGTGAAAAAAGAGACAGTCTTGGTTTCTAGTTGTTCCATTGTCTTATCCGATGTGGTCTGTGTTCAAAAATCCGGTTCAAAAGGCAGTAGATCCGCCTAGTCTGAAGCCAGCCAAGTTCATGACAGCAGCAGACATTAATATGGTGTTCTCTTCTTCTTATAACCCCAGCCGAAATAATCGTGACGAAATAGGCCCTCCACAACATCACTTTTCACTGCCATTCACCGCGGATTGTTGACCACGATCGCGGAGAACCTGTAGCGGCCACGCCATCATGCCATGCCACTCGCTTCTGAGGCTGCCGTTGATGGCTTCGATCTCCTTTTCTGGGTAATTACTTATCCACCATATCCTGTCGAGGTGACATAGCAAAGCGAAGTAGTGGGCGAGGATAACCATAGCACGCGGATTTAGCATTTCGATCAAGGTGATGAAACGATCATGCAAGATAATGGGAAAAATTGTAACTCTTCGAGCAGTTTTCACGAAATCTTCTCCTGCTTCCTTTGCTGCCGCGACCGATGCAATGTACGCAACCGCTGTTGTATATGCCTCATTATCGGTATCATTCTCAGACTGGTCAGCATTTGCAGGCAACAAGTGAGCAAACCGAGCACGATTAGCTTCCGAATAGATGACCTCTGGATCGGTGAAAGGGGCAGCCCCCCTGGCCATGATACCGAAAGATGTGTCAGAGTCTTCACCGATCATGCGCAGTCCGACCGAAGCGACATTTCTGGCCCCCCTGCACATCTGAAGCCATTCTGTCGGTGGCTTATATGGTACATTGGCGTTGGTCGGTTGAACCCATCGCTCTCTGAGACTAGCGAAAGCATCAAAGATGAGAACAATGGAAGTGAAGCTGGCCCCATTGGCAGTATGATGGTCCATAGAGCCAAGTGCCTGGCGGTGGTTCCGCAAGGCGGCCTCAAAATATCTTGCCCGGTATGCAAATAGCTCGTCCTTTCCAATGCCGACCTGAGAGTTGCTGAATACCATGTAGAGGAGAGTGATGGAGAAGATGGCGGTGAGTAGAGGTTCATAGTCAAGAGCAATCTTGGGGACGTCGTGAGCCCAAATCCTGAGATTTATAGGATCGTAGGCGCCTGGCAGCGTCTGACAGACCTCGGTGGTCCACAGGTGAAGCAACCGGAGTTCTAGATAGCGACGATCACGGCTTTCTGCCGACATTAAAGGCACCGACTCCTCGAAATGTTTGTCATCATGGGTAGCGGTTTGGCTCGTTGCTGTTCCTGTCTGATGCAATACCGGTTCGGTAGCGCTATTGTCATCTGGCTGCGAGGCCTTCCAGCGGTTTGTTCTGTCATACAGACAGTTTACTTGGTGGCGGGTGCAGGATTTCTGGATCCATTGTTAGACCTTCCGACATGTGCGAATGGACGACGTGAAATGGGGCATGTACGAACACACTTTGGCTTGGTTTCATCGCACTGTAATTATACAAGGCATTGGGGTCAGTTATTGTGAGATGGCCGTTGAGAAGCAAGCTCAAGATGCTACGGGGACGTTACCTTGACGCGGCGAGCTCTGCAGCGAGCGCAGCCAGTCTTCGATTTAGTGTGATAAAGCCGGGGCATGGCGATGGAATATACGCCGCGAGACTCCTATCAGCTTTTCATAATGGACAATTAAAGATAGCATTTATGGTTCCCGTAGCTTTTGATTCTTTTCCATCAAGCAAAAGGAGTTATGAGGAGACGATTGAAGTGCTGCGCCTTAGAACATGAAGCCAGCGCCTTAGATCACGTGGACTGAGAGAGCGACGGCACTGATACATGTATTGTTTGGACGGTTGGTATGAAATAGCAGCAATTTGTGACAAGCTATCTTATTAAAGGTGCGCCGATGGCCATCTCAATGTATTTTTACGTACCTGGGCACATGTATTATTCATCTTAGATACCTCCATGTATGTTGCATGCACATATCTACTTCATACAAGAGCTTAGACAAACCGTCGGCGCTCTTACGACCAATATATTCTGGCTAACGGAAATTCTTTACTAACAGGCGTGCGCCAGTCTAAGTTGTCCAGTCTCGCTTCAAAATGCAACTAATTTTATAATTAACAACTCTAATACTATCAATAAATAATGACCTGAGGAAGATGTGGCTCGGGCTCAGCGTATAGATCCCTCAAACATGGCCAGCAAATTCGCTCATCTCCTACGATGACTGCGCTATGTCCTTTTCCTTGCTGAACTAAAATAGACGCCGCAGCTAGACGCGCTGCCCAGTTTTTTTTCGCGCGGAAGATCCCAATACAGGGTGGCGGATCAATCAGCTCTTCCCAAGAGTCTATAGAGACTTTATCCCCATGATTCTCGGCCGTTGCTGCTGCCAAACAGCCATGTTCATGCTGACTACAGCAAAACTTCTCAATGACATCAGGGCAGCTCTTTTCCATGTCGATAACATCAATATCCGCCACCCAATTGCCTTTATCTTGCACCGACACAACTGACTCGAGAAGGAAGATTTCTTGATCAATTTCTCCAGTATTTTGCCAGTCCAGCGGCATCTTCCAAGTGGTGAATGACAAATGCAACGACGTTCCACCAAAGCTGTCTGTACTCTTGCCGTCAAAAGGTCGGTGCTCCACCAGTGTGGGCTCATGGCCAACTGCACGGATACGAGGTTCAAGGGGAGAGACCATTAGCACCATTCCTGAATGACCGATATTACCAACCAAATGGCGAATTTGAGTTCCTTTAGTGTGGGAACTGGGATCGGAGAGAATAATGCCTGCTACAAAAATTGAATCTTCTGAACACAGCGCGATAACTTCATTTAATTGATCAGGATCTATGTCAAAGCATCCAGATTCGAACATTGCAATGCAGGAAAATGAGGCTGCGCGAGTCATCGCGGCCAAATATTCCGTAACGGGTGTTTTGGCGACATCTCTTGCGGTCCTTATGCCAAAGGGGTTGTTTAAAAGAGCTTGCATGGGTGGAGGTAACCATTTTGCTTTCAGTAGATTCTGTTCCACGAGCCGCAATGAAACTGTTGCCATTGGCAAATCTCGATACAAGAGGCTAACGACCTCTAGTATACGTAACGACATAAGCCATGATGTTGACTCATCGCAAGCGCTGCTCAATAGGTGAAAGCAGCCAGTAGTATCGTCTTGAATTTTGCTCTCGCCAGCAACATCTTGGTGAAGCGTCAAATTGGAATCTTGATAAGATTTTTCTTGTGCTGGTTCATCTATTGGAGCCTTTCGTTTGACCCCAGCATGAGAGTTGACATTCTTTACAACCAAATCATCAGTCTGCTTTGTCGATTAGTTTGAGTTCTTTAATCAAGCTTATTTTCTTCTAGACACTCACAAAGACAGATCCCTTCAGGTATTGGATGACGTGGTGTGGTTTAGGTTTTTGTTTGAGCCATGCAAGTCCTTGTTCTAGTGGGGCTTTGGATAGTGCGGCAATTTTCATGAGATTAACAAAGTAAGCAGACCCGAAGCTGCTATACTTGCTCGATACCACCCATAGTTGAAAGTTAGATCGCTGTGCATGTCGCATAGATGGGACGCACGTAAACTCAATAGGTGATAGTGCGCTGAAAATTCGAGGCGGCCTATCCCACCGATATGCTTGCTGCTCTCGTCTTTTGATTGCGTATAGCATCTCGTTCTTATCATAGATAACATAGCAAATATCTCCCATCTGCTCAATCTCTTGGCGTCTTTTTTCCAGCATTGCAGTAGCAGTGCTTTTCTCTTCTTCAATGCGAGGATGAAGCCATCGGACATGTCTCTTTTGCATAGCATGTGAAGAACTAACAGTAGTCCGGAGCCCAAGGTGGGCTTCGATCGGAACAATCGTGGCCCATTCACTGTAACTGTCTCGCTGGTTCAGTTGCCCCGTGTATGATATGATCGCTTCATTAGCCTCGAGATTCAACTGGGACGCGATACCACGCAGATATTCGAGGCCGCGGTCGACATCAGTGGCACTAGTGAAAGCCGACATGACATATGGGTTACATAGCCCAAAGAACGGACAACGCATGGCCCTATCATCAGGCCCGAGAAGTTTGGTGGCTCGCCTCCAGCCGTATTTAATTAACTGTCCAGCCTCTTTGCGATTATTATCGTTAATAGTGGAGGCGACATCACAAAGCCGAATCAGCCACGACAGCTCTGTCCGTTGAGCATCGTCACCGTGGATTAGTATCTTCTGCAGTTGCTGAAACCAAGCAACAGCGTTGTCAAAATTGGAATACGATACTTCCCATTGCCGGAATATGACTCCGAGTGTCAGAAGCCATAACTGATGGATATTCACCCGACTTTGGTTGTCATTGCTCCTAACCAAAATAGGATCTCCATAATATCGCAAATGTGACAGGGCGAGAGACCATTTGGTGAAATTGTCCGACGGACCTTTGTATTCAAGGCCTACGCTGAGTATACCAACGTTAGGAAAGAGCCTATCATGGAAGGGTATCTTCTTTGCTTCCTGCTGGAAGACTAGAAGGTCGGGATAAATATGCCAAGAATGTATTGCTAGTAGAATGGCGCGATCAGATACCTCTTGAGGTAGGTTGTTCAGAAGTCTCTCTACAACTTCCATGGATCGAATCCATGCCATTGTTACTTTCTCAAACGTTGATCCTGTGGTTGAATATGGTATCCTTATATTGTCCATGATCAATTTAAGTTGAATATGCTGCAACCCCATTGCAATATTCGCTCACCTCTGCCATGAGCGAACGCTTACGTCCCAGTTAGCCAATTCTGCTCTGCTGATATCTTGCTTCGCAGCGGCTAAAGAGTGGGGATGCACTATCCTATTGCTTTCTGTTTGAGCATAAATATTCCTCTTTCGTTGTTCAATGAGCTCAGCCCAGATAGAAGTCGCTGTTTTTGCATCCCAGGCATTGGAGAGCATGCATGCCAAGAGGAGAATACAGATTGATGCCGGTCCTGAGGTAGCAGCAGCCCATATTGAGGTGCAATCAGCACCTATAAAGGCACGGAATGGGCCATCGTTCTCAGTGCCCTCTGGATTGATGCCAGGACGAGATAGAATCTCACATACGCGGGTACCGTATGCCTGGAGAAGCTTTGGTGTGTCTGGAAGGATCTGGTGAAATAGAAAGCCCAATTTACAGGCTGTGGCGTGAATTGCACCACTTTCGGCTTCTTGTTTCCTTTTGGTTGTCAACGCTGAACCAACAGCGAGATATTCCGGGGATGGATGACAACGGAAAACGGAAAAATCAACGTTTACATTGAGAAGCGCGACTGTATTCTCATTTGCCACCGATACCAACGAATTTGCAATCTTTCCAAGAGAGGCCATCACGTAGGAGGTGAACTCAACAAGCCTTGGTGATGAACATATGGAAACAATGTTGTAGCCTTCTACCAATCTTGGCAAGATTAGGTATATTTATATGCACACAAAAGTAGCAGATGCTAATACATACATATAAATCACATTCTACAGACAACACGGCATAGCGAATAGCAGTCTATGTTGCCACACCGATGCAATCTACCCCGCGTTTGGTACATGTACCTTAGGTAGCAAGATTTCAGCCCAATGCCTATCTGCCTTTTCTCCAGGTTTGTATTTATACCTACTGACGAGGCAAAGCGCCAAGAGTGCCTAGCGAGGCGATGCTCGCCATGTTCCGAATTGCTATTGGACTTATGCACCCTAGATAAGCAGCCCATATGCATTAGCACTATTGTATTGACTGTCGGTCGGAAGGGATAGGCGTTTTCTGGCCTGGCGAGCCTTGAATCCTCGAGGCAAATACAAAATGTACATGCAGATGCGGCTGGCGCAAAATCTGAAGCAGGCTTTCGCAAAACTTGAAGATTACATGTATGCGAAACATCCTTCTATTTATGTCCTAGACTACTACAAAGAGTAATTAAATATTTCTTTATTCTTTACTTCTTTATTGTTTTCCTATATTTGTGTCTATGCCAAGAGACCTTACCCCGTTACCAGTTTGATGTTCCTGCTTTTTCTACGCCTCTTATCATGGTTGAACATGGGTATATAATTCTAGAGTCAATTTTAGTTAACAGGAAAGACCAATAAAAATAATATTGAATATAGGAATTTGCAAATCCTATACTCATGTCATCGTTTTATCAGCAATGGTTCAGTTGGATGGAATGACGGCACTACCAACTCAACAGCTATCTGGGTCTTTCTCGCCGCCGCCTCGACACTGTAAAGCTCCCTATCGTGCACTGTGACCGCCGTGGCCTCAGCCCACGGGCCTCTTCTATGGTAGCATCGTTGAGATGGACAGCATACAAAATCTACCGCTTTTCTTTTTTCTTTCTCTTTTTTTTCTCTTTCGTGTATACTGCATTCCAAGTTCCCAAACGCCGTGATAGAGAAATGCTATTAACTAAAAAAAAGAAGTGTCGACCGGGAAACTCAATCATCAGAGGTTGCCGAATCTGATATCATCTTGGTGCTGTCTCGTCTTTCACGGTCGCGGTCACCGGAATCTATGGCCAATTGATGAGAAATCATGTATATACGGCGCTCCAAAATGCTTTCGTCTTTGAATGACCGACTTTGTGTGGTATTTGGCTCTCTAGGTCAACCGCCTACATGTATGCTGTAGCGGCCGCAGCGTATCTTTACCGGCACATTAGCATTACACGATGACGCACGATTGCAAATCCGGACCGATACATGGGCTTGTTGGTGGAGATTACATACCAAATCCAGAGTAAATAGGACTTTCACTGATCCGTTGTCGTGGCTACGAGATGTTTATCGCCGAGTACTTTGCGAAGAGTTAAACTCCATCAAAATTTGTGCTATTTGTTGGTCTAAAGCCTGCTCTCAATCCACAAAGCAACGAATGTCTCAATACCATGTAGCTGTACTGAGAAATTGACGTATATTGTGGACTACAATATGCTACCAGTATATCAAGAAAGGTTTTAAATGTAGACTTAGTATGCACAATCGCCATTGAACTACCGTTGTAACAGTTATAAGAATCTAGTTTATTTGGTTAGGTTAGCAGAGCTAAGAAACCAAAGTTGTGTTCCACCAATTTCCCCAACATAGCGATGGACTAGAGAATTGGGAATAATGCGAGTGAACTCATATAGAAGCTCCGGGCGAAGTGATATGTACATGCGTTGGCATCTCGTTATCCATGGTCCCTTGTGAATTAACTATTTGAACTATTGTTGTTAAAGTAATATAATGTTCATTTTAATTCCTTTCATCACATGCTAGAAGACTTAATATCTACATGTAGACAGCAGTGGTGTTCTTGTGCACGCAAAGCACAAAAGGGGAGCTCCAGCGTAAAGAGTGACGAAGCGGAAAACCTAATAAGGGAAAAAGAAAAAAAAGGAAAACAACATGAGAAAAAGGATTCAGGGTTCAGAAGATTTAAATTTATGAGTATATATACATGTAGCTACCTCCAGAGGTGTGCCTCCAGATACTCATTCGTTGCAATGTCAAACAAATTGTCGTTGTCTGGTACACAGACATATGTAGGTAGGTACCTAACTAAACGGGGCGCCACGAAGCAAAAGTGGAAAATATATTTTGTATCTTCTCCTGTGGCGCCAAAGACCCCGATAGAAATTAGATTTTCTTGCGTTACTAGTTGTTTACTGCCCGATATTCACTCTCACCCATCACGTAGGCCTTTACTATAGCTAGGATTCCTCCACTATAACTCGAACACACGCACATCAGTCCACTCGCGCAAGTTCGTTATTTGCCATTGCTCTCAGGCCTGGTACTTCAAGAATAATTTGGTTGATAGTAATGGTATATATAGCCTTCAGCCACTCGAAAGCCACAAGTATCACCGTGGCGACGGGAGAACAAACGGATTTGCTTTAACTTCCATATAGACACAGACGCTGTGGTATTCGGTGAAACCCAAAAGAATGGCTTGATGAGGCTTTACGAGGGCTCTATGAGGCCTAATGAATACATAATTGGCTTTGTGAGGTAAAGGTTGTTTGGTACCAGTATGGAAGGACTAGATACAGGTACACAACAATCGGCGGCTCAGCAACATTAGGAGAAGTTGCTTGAACAAACCTTTTTGGTGTCCGCCCGCCTACTTTTTATTCTCAAGCCGAATCAAGGTTTTCCAAAGTTTGATATGTATTGTAGTGTATGTGAATTGTGAATAAAGGCACTACCTAGAGAGTGAGTACATACTGAGTGGATGCAAGACTTGGGATGAAGTTTGTTCGTGGCCCACCAACCTCAGCCCAAACTCACTTTTCAACGCCACGGCTCCATATGTTGACAAGAAATCTCTTTATTTACTTATATATTACGCTCTTTTCTCCTGACTCTCGTCTCTTCTTTTCTCTCATACATCATCTTATTCCGCAAGCCTTTCGATCCCAGCTGCAAGCCTTCACACTGCACCGCATCCAAAGACTTTGACAGCCATCCATCACCGACACCATCGACAACTATCGTCGACCAAGACTTTCTTCCCCACGTCTTTCCGTCAGTCCAGATGCCATCCCGCGTTGTCCTCAGCGGAAGAATCGAGAAGAAGGGGAAAATGAGTTCCCTCCCCAAACATTCAGCCCTGCTGAACATGCCCATCGATCTCATCCGTGAGATCACCACCCACCTGTCCCCCGCGGACAACATCATCCTCGCCACAACCTGCCGAGCAGTTCGCAACTGTGCAGGTCAAGGCCAATTCCCGCCCGCCGACACCGAGGAGAACCGAGAGGAGCGGTTCGAATACCTCGCCGGCATGAGTCGAGACATGCCCGACCACTGGGTCTGCGAGGAGTGCATGCGATACCATCGCATCGACACCGCCGACACGCCAGCTGACAGCCGCCCGAATTGCCCCCTGGCAGACTTGTACGGGCGATACAACCAGCCATTGCAGCTGGCCCCCGCCGACGAGTACGAGCTGGGTAGACGCCACGTCCAGCTGGCGCTCAAGTACACCCGGATGGGCGACTCCCTCACGCCCAGCCACCGCCAGTACCTCGGGCGTCTCACCGCGGCCCGGCAGTTTTCGCTCTCCTACCCCTGGGAGAAGAAGGTGACCGTCGCCGCCAAGGTCGCCCCGCGGATCGTCGACGGCCGGTTCCTGCTGCGGACCATCTGCGAGTACCGCCATCCCTCGCGGCAGATCACCAGGGACCTCATCGCCAGCGAGTCCATCTGCCGGCACCAGCAGTTCTTCCCCCTGGAGGACGGGGCCTGGACCAACAGCTCCCTCCACCAGGACCTGCGCCAGTTCCCCCGCGCGGTGGACAACTCCTTCGAGTCGCCGGGAAAGGAGGTGCACGGCCACTGCCCTCACTGCTACACGGACTTTTCCGTGACCACCACGGCGAGGAGCGTCCGGATTTCGGTCTGGATGGACCTGGGCACCGAGAGCTCGCCCCTCGATCCCGTCTGGCGCTCGTTTGTACACAACGTCGAATTCCCTCCCATCGAGGAGGTCGAGTACATTGAGCCTGGTCGAGTCCGCGAGCTATACAGCAGCGGCGAGAAGGAGGAGGAGTAGGCAGCGGAAGAACTGCGAGGGCTTAGCCTGGTTCGAGATTGTTATTCTGGTAAGTTGCTTTCTTCCTATACCTTCTGTTGTTTGATATATGATATACTAACAAGAGAGAAGATTAGAAAAGGACTTGAAAGAAATGTTTGCTTTTCCGACTATAGGGAGCATTCAAGATACCCCTCAAGAAACCTTTGGATCGTTTTCGACAGTTTCGAGACGCGACACGACATCATGATTTTGATTGGGAGTCATTGTACGATACATGAGTGAGACGGATAGAAATGGAATGAAGATGGTTTTCTACAGTTTGACGTCGTGATAAAACATCATTGCATGGGTTGCCAGCCATTATACTACATGACCAGGACAATTAGGAATAAAATAAAGTTGTTCATGACCAAGATATATCTTCCTCGTCTCAAATGAATCCAAGTACATCGCGCTTCCTATGTGCCAACACAATCCACTCGTAAATCTCCGAAAAGTCGCTAATATCGCTGGCATCCTCCTCACCTTCGGGCTTGTACTTTTTCAGATTATCAATCGCCCAAATCATTTCCTTTGTGAGCGGCGGCGGAATTCTCCCCTGCCCAGTCAAAGTTCCCAAGCCAGACCATTTGAAGAACCCCTGCAGCCATTCGTGAGTTTCGCCATTTTCCCAGGTGATGTCGTGGAATTTGCGGTGTTCCCGGGACCTCTCTTTCTCTCTTTCGTCCTCCCAGGCTTGTTGTTCGGCTAACGGCGGAAGCGGGACTGGGTTTCGATTGGCAAATAGGCGAGCGAGGGCGATGGCTTGATATTCGAAGCTTCGGAATGTTAACACCCGCGGCAGTCCCACGATGCCCAGGTTTGGGAAGTCTTGGAAGAATGTATGCCAGTAGCTCTTCACCAACTTTCCCTTTTTGTCGTCATACAGCGGTTGTCCATTCTTCTTGGCATCCCAGAAGGGATATGATGGCTTATATCCGGTACAGTATATCACTGTATCAATGTCATCCAGATAAGTGCCGTCTTCGAAGAGAATTCTACCAGAAGGTAGATATTCGGATACAATAGGCTTCCACTCAATCCCCTTGGATGGTGAATCTCCCTCCCACCACGCCTTTGATCTCCTGGACTGGTAAACGGGAAGCTGAGCAGTCGAGACCAGCTCCCGGCTTACGTCTGTTCCCGAAGCAGAGTTGCCAATCACAAGTACCTTTTGTGACTTGTATGATTTGGCCGTTCTATATGTCTTAGAGTGGACCACGCGGCCAGGGAATTTTTCAATGTACTCGTTCAGACCCTTGACATTGGGAATCTAAGATAGTCAGCATCCATTTTAGCAGGCTGCCAGTGAGAGCACTTACTGTTGGCACAGAGTAGTGGCCATTTGCCAGAATCACGGCGTCGAATGTTTCTTCCCACCAGAGATCGGCGTCTTGAAGAGCATCGTGTTTTCTGAGAGTCAATTTCCACTGACTGGAACCATTTGACGGATGCTGAATCTTGGAGACATCTTCGACGGTGGTGTTGAGCTCCAAGAACGTATCCGTCTTGTGTAACGCAAAGTAGTTTTCTATGTATTGGCGAGGAATATGATGTGGAGCAAACGGTCCATATGCAAAACGGCAATCTGAAAATGACATGGCGATTTCAGGCACGTTTGTTCTTGCGACCCCTCTGTTAGCATACGGACGCTATATGTTGACGAAGACACTTAAACACTTACGTCAAGACATCATAGATGGGCGTCTGGGAGAATCGCTCCTGTTTATTTGGTGGTAAGACAGCAGGCAGGCTTTTTGGAATTTCCAAAGGAGGGTCAAGTTCAGCTGGCGTTGCTCCTGGTCGCCCAAGCAGGCTGGGTTGAGTTGCAGCATCGTAAATCCTGAAGCAGTATGAGAATCCCCGTAAGACGCTGTGTTACAATGGAAATGATTCTTACCATGTTCCTCCTGCGCTCTCTCTTCTCTCAAAAACTCGAATTACGTCAAACGCTTCTTCAGCCTTCAAAGCTGCCGCCGTTATCGCTCCTGAATGCGGGCATTAGTAAATTGTTGTCAGCTTGGATGCTTAGCCCCATTCTAGCTACCTGCAGCTCCAGCCCCAATGACCGCAACGGATTTGATTTGGTTCCCTCCTCCCATTGTATCTGAACTTCATCAATTTGAAGATGGTTTATATATCATGGGGGAAAATTGATATGAGGGAGATTCGAAATGGGAAGCAATGATAAACATCGATATCTTGCGATACCATGCAACTATCACGTGCGGTTGGATGTCGTGATCGACTTGGGAGATGGCACGATGCTAGCTTTATATGTCAGCTTTCTTCCATCAGCAAATAGGTGCATAAAACGCGTTATCTCAGAGCATCTTGAGAGGCCAGAGAAGTCGCAATGGCAAAATCACGACTTTGCAAAAACAAGCTGTCCGCCTCACCCACCCAGAGACACACTCAGACTTTAAGTTACATGCAGGGAGGAATAGTTGATGACTTAAATAGCACGTCGGCGAGCGTTTCTCCGAAGCGCGGATATAGCTTCATCTTAGCTTGTTTGAAGATGCATCCATCCCCGAAAATGTAAGCAAATGAGTCGCTAGCACAAACTACTACTTGTATTTATTGATATCACGGAGAGAAGTTTATTTAGTTACTGCTGTGCGGTAAAATGTGCAAGCCCGAGCATTTCCCAAATCTGGTAGCAACAACTACCGATTTAGATCATCGGAATAAAGCCGTCCCCACAACACTCCGCTATAGTAAGTCGTAAGTCATACAGCATACTAACACCAGTCGCGCCCCGTCTCTTCAAAAACTCCAGTAGTATACTACTATCCGTATTAGATAAAGACTATGGTTATTATTCCCAGTTACTAGGCCAGATAGTAAAGACATTAAATACTGCAAGACGCTGACACCGCTGACTCGCACGCTTTGTCAGATTCGTGCAGTCTGAGACAACTTTCTGGAGATGTACCAAGTTTCATCGTAAGCGTACACAATATTACTGTACAACTTCTTGCTTTACCAGCTTCGCATTACTTACAAATGAATATCTATAGTAACAGGACAGTATTCTTTATATCAAGTGTGAAGTTTCGCAGCCTTATATCTTCATATCCGTATTCTATTACAATCTTCCCTCTCAATGCCGGAGTAAAGCATCTCTCCCGGTTAGTCGCGTTTATGTCTGAACCAGTGTCCCCACAGCTCTAATAGCGATCGATCTCAGATGCCGCACGAACAACCATGTGAATGCCAATATGCATCTAAAATTATAACTATATAGCCAAGCTTATCTTTATACCTTCGCTTAGGAGGAAATGAAATGAAATGGTGATTGATGAGCTCAATGCTTGATAAAAGAGACTATCTGGTGACCCTAGTCACTTGCTTACTCACAACCACCACTCCATACCAGTGGTCTGAGCACCAATCTCATATCGCCGGCACCCTGAACCTTAAATAATGCCAAGATCACCCATCATCAACGCGTTACCCCTATATCTCATCTAATATTCTCATTCTCATCTGGTGGCTGTCCATCTATTGAACAATGATATGATCTTAGAGACGCGCTACTTCCCTAAATATACCGCGGTCTTCGTAATATTATCGCGATGAAAGCGTCTGCCTGTCTTGCGGCCATTATTCCGGCGCTGGTCGCCCAAGCCGCTCGCATCGTCCAATCCAACGACGATGGCTGGGCCGAACTGTATCTTCGCTCTTTCAATGATGCGCTGAATGAGGCTGGTCACGACGTTGTTCTATCCGCGCCAGCAGATAATCAGTCTGGAACCGGTACGTGCTTCTCATATTGCTACGCGCAATCTTTACCACATCTGTAATTACATGTATATGTAGCTGTATACCCTTCATACATCACATATGTCTATCTCGGAATTCTGTCACGTAACTGGCAATTAATTGGTCGCTTAAACCAGGCTCTAGCGATTCACCTCCGGTACCCCGAACGCTGCCCTGCGAATACGATTCATGTATCGGCAACGGCAATACCACTGGCCATAATGATACACGGCCTGACCTCAACTGGGTCAATTCCTTTCCTGTAACTGCCATGAAATATGGCATCAACACTTTCGGACCTCAGCTGTGGAACGGCTCTGCTCCCGAATTTGCCGTCGCGGGACCTAATGTCGGCACCAATGTCTTTGTCCAACTACCGTAATGTCTCCCAATTTCGTTGTAGCACACAGAGAATTACAAGCTGACACTGCGTAACCTGAGCAGATTCAGCGGCACAGTTTCTGCTGCTGCATATGCCGCTCATGGCGCCGGCATTCCCTCAATAGCCTTTTCTGCGGCTTCAACCGGCCGCCTTGCATTTGATACTGATCCAGTACCTCTTCGCAGCAGCCTCTACGGTCAACTCGCCGCACAGTTGACCAACAAGATCATCTCTTCTGGAGCTCCATATCTCCCTCCGGATGTCTTTCTCAACGTTAACTTCCCTAAAGTTGAAGGCAGTTGCACTGACCTTTCTGACTTCAAATGGGTCCTTACCCGGATCAACCCTGGTTACTTTTCACCCCCAGATGTCAGCTTCTGTGGTGTTGAGCGACTGCCTACCGAGCTGTCCGTAATCACACATGGTGGATGCCTCATCTCTGTCAGTGTTGCAAATGCCAAAGACAAAACTACTGCGCCGACGGATAGTCAGGCTGTTGTGCTTGATAAACTACGCGATATGCTGAGCTGCTTACCAAGCTCAGTGAAATTCATGAAGTTTTCAGATCAGCTAATAGTTCAAAACTATAAAGAATGGTCATAGCGGAGGTAGTAACTATGTAACCGCATGGTCTGTATACACATTTGTGAATTAAACTCAGTTGAGAGCGAGGAGCACGTTTACTCAATCAGCGTCATCATACGGAACATTTTGATGAACTGGGCACTATTATGCTACTACCTATTTTGAACTGAAGATTTCTTTTTACGCCCTTGACGGCTAATGCATGACTCCGCCTAATAATACAGCTGTATTCATGATACATAGCAGTCTACGACACCGGTACTGACTCAAGATGATCCCTGCATCCATGGTATGCTTGAAATCACAGCTTACACTTTCTTACTCTACATAATTGGTAGCTTCAGTCACGGTTAGGTCATTATCATCAAGCTTCTGAATAATGAGCAGTGCTTGTTACAAGAAGTAATTTGATAGCAATCAAAGCATTTGTTCTTATCAGCCCATGTATACGGTGTTTGGCCAAAACCTTTCCTCAATACGAATTTTAACACAATTCAGCTAGAAACTTAACAATGTCCAATCGGCTGTTTTCAACAGCTACTGAAACCGGCGTTCGACCACTATCATCACCAATCTCAGTAGCAGCACCTTTCCCAGCTAGGAACTTAATAACATCAAGATGATTGTGTTCGACAGCCAAAAAAAGGGGCGTTTTATGAGAAGCATCTCTGGTATTGATACAAGCGCCTTTCTCAATCAGGAGCCTAACAACAGCCAAGTGGCCATATGTAGCAGCCCATGAAAGGGGTGTTAGCCCAAACCAATCAGTGTTTTCAATATTGGCACCTTTCTCAGTCAGAAATTTGACAATAGCTAGGTGGCCGCGCGCAGCAGCCCATGAAAGCGGCGATTTGCTATTATCGCGAGTTTCCATACTGACAGCTTGCTCAACGAGGTATTTGACAATAGCTGAGTGACCGTGCTCAGCAGCCAATGAAAGGGGGGTTCTGCCAAACTGATTCCGTCTGTCGGTAACGGCACCCTTCCTAGCTAGAAATTTAACAATAGCTAAGTGGCCTTTCTCAGCAGCAAATGAAAACGGCGTAATGTTTAATTTATCGACATGTTCAATAATGGCACCATTGTTGAACAGAAATTCAACAATAGCCAAGTGGCCGTGCTTAGAAGCCAAGAATAATGGCGATCTGCCGAACCGATCCCCCCTGTTAATATAGGCGCCTTTCTCGACTAAACATTTGACAATATCCAGGTGATTTTGATCAGCAGCCCACGACAGCGGTGATCGACCATGATTATCTGACTGATCAGTAGAAGCACCATGCTCTGAAAGCCATATGACAATATTTCGATGTCCGTTTATAGCAGCCCACGAAAGAGGCGTCAGGCCATTATTATCGTTTGAATCAACCTTGGCGCCTTTATCGAGCAGTAACTTCACAATAGCTTCATGCCCGCTCCCAGCGGCCAAAGAGAGTGGCGTTCGACCGTCTTTATCCTGGAAATCGGTAACTGTTTCCGCGAGTAAAGCGAGTTCAGTCGCAATTCTAAGTCCATGAATAGATGAATATCGCAGTATTTCACATTTAAAAGCCATTGCCACAGCGCCCTGTGTATTTCTTGTGCTCAAAAAGCCCTGTCGTAGCCCAGAACAGGCCCAACTCTCCAGCAAGTAAGCACCGGCAGTGACTTCAGTCAAGTGCTCGATAAGTTGAGAAGTGGCATATTCAATATTGGAGCTCGGTTCACAAATCTCAACGTGGGATCCTATGTAGCCGAGAGCATATGCTGCAAGCGGTCTTCTATTGAGATAATGGCAATAATCTCGATAGTGTGTTGTATCCCAGTTGTTGACATCAGGAAATTCCTCCGCTAGAGAGGTATTTGTGACGCATACCGAAAGATATTGGATACAAGTAACAGCTATGTTAATATGTGCATACTTATCAGATACCCAGAATTCTGAATTCGCGACTGGCCCATGGGGATTGAGGAAAAATTCGCGAACGGTCTGATGCATAAACTGAACTATCTTGTTGCCTGTAAATCGTTAGCGAATATATTCAAAGCCTGGAAACTGTTTTATTCATACCATTCTGCATCTTGATTTCTAGAAAGTTGCCTCCGCTTGAAAGAATAATCCTCTCGGATGACGGAATGAACCTTTCGAATGAGACATCAGAAGGAATAAACGTAGTATTGGAGTCAACGCTATTTGAAATACCAATGACGTGAAGAACTTCGTCAACCGTGAGAGGGCGCCTTGCAAAGAGAATAAATCGAAATATTTTGGCCGCATGCGAAAGAGACGACTTATTATGCTTCATTTTCTCCAGCATGAGGCAGTAAAAGTCTTCAAGTTCAGTAGGAAGCCGTTTAAGAAGCTCAAATACTTCTTCTTCCGAATAGCCCTCCTCATGAGCCTCTATTAATTGTTCACTTATCAACTTTACCCACAGAAACACTCCTTGAGCATTTTGCAGCATGTATGCAGTTGCCTGGGAAAGGAGATTTGTTGAATTGAGACTGTGGAGTTGCGACTGCGCATAGTTATAAATGTCGAATCTTGTTTCATCATCCAAATTTATGAAGTTATGGAATTGACCTCTGCGAGCTTCAAGCTGTGCAACTGGACGACTGGCCATGAATATCTTCACAACGGAATGTTTTGTTTCAGAACATAAATCGAAGAGTAGGCCAAGAATTTCACGCCTATCTTTTTCTTCCGATTCATCTATCGCATCAATGGTTAAGTAATATCGTTTGTTCGTCCGGTAGTCTTGTAAAGATTTGAGAGTTCTCTTCAGTGAATCATAACTCCACTTGAAATGAGGTTCGCTATGCCGATGGGCCCGATACTCGGCCTGGCAATGATGGTAGAAAAAGCCTTCGTCTTGGTACAAAATCTCGTATAAAATCGATAAAAGCATATTATAGTGACTTCTTTGAAGTTCGCCATCTCTGAAACTGTAGAAGAACCTTGCCACAATGGATCGTTGAGCCGCCGGTTCCTTAAGGAGCAGATTCTGGTTGAAATACTTCATGAGGGTGCTTTTGCCACTGCCAGGTTTTCCTTGGATGTATAAGAGTCTGGAAGTATCAGAGGCCGACCAGGTTTTATATTCATCATGTGACCAGATCCATCCAAAAGATCCCTCGTGTTCTTTCGTAATCTTATCGTATCGGGTGTTATCAAATTGAAGACTTCGTAAACACTCTGCGTTCGTTATCGTTAATCAGTTAATCATAACCTGATTATTTCCAAAAATGGGTCACAGGCTGTTGACCAACCTTGTCTTTCTTTATTATGTTCAATATGCATAAAACCTTTATAATATTGTGTAGTGTCAAATCTTTCCGAACTTGTGAGCAGTATCTTGATGTTCGCATTTTGTTGCTGAAGATCTTTTATGAGCGGAAGAACATAGCCATCAGGTTCATTCACAGATTCGAATGCATCTAGATTGCTGATCACTATTAGCAAACGCCTTTGCCTTTCAATGCCGAATGCTGTCTTCAATGAACTGAACACGTTCCAAGTTGTTGCGTTTTTTAGAATGTTCTTCATATATTTCAAGAAGGTTTCTTCGTTGAACTTCTCTTCCTCCCAGTCCTCAATACCTACGTCAAGGGTTTCTAGTAGCTTACTGAAGAAGAGTCGGGTGATTGAAGTTCTCTGTTCTTCTGGTGAGCAATGTACTAGCTCCAGAAGCAACATGAGAAAGAACGTAGTGATACTTGTCCCAGCAATTATGCTTGAACAAAACAGGAGCAGAGCAGAGTTACCGGCCGCCTTTTCTCGGTCCACAACGTAAAATGAGATCTGATCGAGGATTCGTGCCGATGGATGGCCCGTGATGCAAAGAACACGAGGACCCTGATTTAGCCTCCATTGCTTAAAGTCTATATTTCTCAATGCCCAATAAAATACGGGATTATAGTAGTTTTCGGGTGTTTCCAGATATTCATGATGTGCCTCGTCTCGTAATGGAAGCAATTCCAGCAACTGATCCCATTTGACCTTGTCCAAAGTGGCTTGAAGCATATTCTATATTAATACCAATATTAGCAAATCATGTTACATGTCCTGCTTTCTTGGTTGATTGTTAACATACGTATATAGCCTCTCCAGTGAAAAACGTTTTTATAGGAACCTCGGAGGCTGGCGTAGCTAATAACACTTCTTTGGCACAAGCGGCCGCCGTTACTGCAGCATACGGCTGCCAATTTTTGTTCTTGTGCGAGTCTGCATAATCGCAAATTCCCCGGATAACGAGGCAAGGGAAGACATCCATAAGCCCAGCAGCCTCCATCTCGAAACAGATGATGTTCTTCTCGTCACGAAGCTTATCTCGAGTTGCTCCATGTCGCATAACTTGGTTTGCCGAGCCAATAAGGCCGTAATGAATTATTGCATTTGTATTTCCGCGAGATTTTCGGAGTAATAAGACTTCTATATCGCAAGAGTGACAAGTTGGTGCTCCATTTGGGTGTTCGTAGTCCGCTCGAAATAGTTGATCATGCTCCAAGCCAGGATGGGAAAATTCTCTTTGCATCTTTCTGTTCGACTTAAGCATACGAGCAATGTATTGAGGAATACGGCTTTCTTCTATTCGATGGCGCGCTCGCAAAGTTGAAACGCTACTGCTTAATACTATTGACGTCTTGTTCAAAACGCCCGTCTGAATAAACTTGCCTTCGCTCATCGTTTTGCCAAAGTCATATTGCAAAACGCCACCTAAAATTTCGATAAGCACTGAGAAACTTGAGCAGACAAAAGATCAAGTTACCGGAATTTGCCGATGGGCAGCTAATAACTACATCTCCAAGCCGGATATCTCCACACGGATCATCACTGGAAACACTTGGAGCGCCGCCTCCAATGCCTACCATCAAGCAAAAGCGGATGCTTGGAAAACTGCGCAGCATGTTAGTTGCAGCATTGGCCGCAGCATTTGTCCCTGTTGTTCCCGATGGGAGGCATGTAAGAACAATATTATGCTGGTCGATTTGGCCTAGAACATAAGTGTTTGTGTCTCCTTGAACCTGAGAAAGTTTCGGGTGCTCATAATCCAGCATTGCCACTGATGCTGCCAACTCCACGTCCAAAGCGCAGATCCACCCCACAGTGTAGCTGTTGTTTGTGAGGCGTTCTGGAGTAAGCTCATCCATGGTCTCCGCGATACGACTGCTATCAATGTAAGTGCTACTGGTGCCGAGAGAAAACCGAGCCAGTACAAGGTCAAAGTTCATATGCTCGACCGCTCTAGGCTCTCAGACGCACTGTAGAGATGGAAAATGTAACAGGTGCACGGCGCATAGTGAGCTGGCCTGTTACTGCTTGCTTGTCCAGTTCGACTGCGGCTCGGATTTCTGCAATGGTTACGTGTGAGAGCTTGGCCAGGAAGAATATTGGAGTCGATAGACCAGCCTGACAAGAGTTTGTGAAACTGATGAAGTAAAGGCGCGCTGCTTTTATTGCCGGGCGCCTGATATGCGTGTAAAATTGAATTAGGCGTCTATGTACATTAGGCTGTCCAATAGATGTCAATTCCCCTCAGAGAGGCCTGCGGTCGTGATTGGGCATTTCCAGACGAGCCGCATAATTACAGCCCCTATAGGTGGCAGTGCAATTTCAACTCAGCCTTGGCTGAATTCTTCTAAATCTATCACAGCTCAAATCTTCAGTCAGTGGTAGACCAGTCTTATTTTTTATTGTCCTATGCAAACTTATTTAGGACCAGTTTTTCCGGTCGGAATGCTAAACAGGACAACTCTCGGTCCCTTCAATCCAGCCTCGCCAGGCGCCCAGTCATTCAAGCCCTTGTCCACTCTGTAGAATCCCCTACGCTCAAGCTGAATAATGTCATCCGCCTTCAACTCACCAACGCCAGCATCGCAAACGGCATCCTCCATGCTCGCCGTGTTGGGGTTCAAGAAGTCCTCAAAGTTGTCCTCCTCCTCGAGCTTGTCCTTGGTCAGGAGATAGTCAAACTCCCACAGCTCGGCAGGGACCAGCTTGAAGCCCTCAGCAGACAGCCAAGTAATCTTCTTGTCGGTTGTCTTGAAATCTCCTTTCAAGTTGAGATCAAGCTTCAGGCTTGTGACCGGCTCGGCCGAAGATGAGAGATCTCTAACAAAGGCGTTGCCCCAGCCCATGAGGGTAATCTCCTCGTCCGCCTTGAAGCTCTTGGCATCGGCCTGGTCAATGTAAAGAGTAGGCGAGAAAATGACCTTCTTCAAACCGACGCTTGCGTTCTTGGGGTGCTTTGGTCGCTCCTCCACAGTAACGGCAGAAGGCGCCTCGGATCCGGCAACAGTAACCTTGACCAAGTCCTTGCTCAGGAGAGCTGTGAATCGGGGCACGATAGGGTCGATAACCTTCTTGTTGTTGGCCCAGAAAGTAGTCCAGTCCATGTTGACAACATTTCGGCTGGGGCCCTGCTTAATGATAAAGTCGCGCAGAGCTTCAATGGTCATACCACGTCTTCGGATACCACGAATGGTGGGCATCCGGGGATCATCCCAGCCCCAAACCTTTCCAGCATCAACCAGCTTAGCCAGCTTACGCTTGGACAAGAATGTCTTGACAAAGTTGATTCTGGAGAAATCCCACATGTGGACTTGACGCAGCTGAAGGGTATCGATGAACCACTGGTACTGGGGGTTTCGGTCCGTGTATTCGGTAGATCTCAAAGCGTGAGTAACTCCCTCGTGGCTGTCCACCACTGGGCAGGCAAAGTCGTACATGGGGTACATCTTCCATTTTGTGCCGGTACGGTGGTGAGGTGTGTCAACGTTGCATCGGTAGATGACAGGATCGCGCATGGCCTTGTTGGGGTTGTCGTAAGATAGCTTTGCGCGAATGCAGTGTGCTACACCTTCCGGTGTGCCATTCTTCATTTCTTCGAAAATTCGGAGAGTCTCCTCGACGGTTCTATCACGGCGCTTTGAGGGGATACCGTCCATTCTCTGGGCGCGCATTGTCTCCTGATCAGTATCATCGGCGTACGCCTTGCCCATGGTGATCAGCTTCTTGCACATGTCATAAAGATAGTCGAAGTAGTCGGAAGTGTAGGTCAGGCTGTCAGGCTTGATACCCATGAGAGCTAAATCCTCAACGATGGCATCTTGGAACTCCTCCTTCTCCTTGTCGGGGTTCGTGTCGTCCAGTCGCAGGCGCATCTGGCCCTTGTAGGCAGTGTGGCCAAAGTAGTCGCTGAGAAGAGCAGCCTTAGCGTGTCCGATGTGAAGGTAGCCACTAGCAAAAGCAAGTTAGAAGAGCTAGAAGAACAAGAGAAAAGGCTTGTATATCATACGAAGGCTCGGGAAGGAATCGAGTGACGACGCCCTTGTCAGTGTCTTGAAGAGCGAGGTTGTAGTTTGCACCGCCCTTGTTAGCCTTGGCCGCAGCTTCGGCCTTGGTGGCCTCCTGGATCTCAGGGTGAGACTGCTCGATGAAAGTGAACCATCGAGTCAAGTTGGGGAGTCCATTTCGTCGAATGGCACCAATGGCGACCTTGTTGGCCCTCAGAGTCTGCCAGATCTTGGTGTCGAGCTCTCCCAGAGCGTAGCCCTCAAGATAGGATCGAAGCGTCAGGTGCTTGTCCAGATCCCGCATGAAAGGCTCAATGGTGCGGAAATCGCCGGACAGCTTGCCGGAAACGGCCTCGAGCTCGTCGTGCTTCATCTTTTCCGCTTTTTCGAATTTCAAAGTCAACAAAAGATGAAGTGCAAGAAGCAGAGAAGCTTCTCGTGACTCAAGTAACGATTTTCGGCGCTTGGTGGGGAAGATGGAGGGGCTGACCTTTGCTACGAGGGGCCGTCAGTCGTGCCACACATTTTTATCGATAAGAGTTTGTCCATTTTTCAGCCTAATTTCCGAGGCAGGACGCCGCAGAATATGGCGAGCTTCTGGCGCAGTTGAAGAAATCCCAGTTTCAACTCATTCAGCGGCAGAAATGGCTCCAATTGATCGATGCTTAGCCTCTGTGGCCAAGCTGACGCTCTCACAGCCATCAATACGACCGCTCGTGCCGACGATACCCCGATTCCTCGCGCCTGCGTTGATTCAATCCCGACAAGCCTCTGTCATCCGGACAAAAAAGACGACAAAAAAGAAGGCCGTTCCCAAGGATTTTAAGCGACACAACCTGGAGAAGAGGGGATTCCCACAGCACACACTATGCGATGCTATGCGGTAGGTTTGGGGAAATGAGACCTAAGTCTATAGGCAAATTTGCTGAGCCCTTGAGCAGAGTCCTCCGAGCCATCGAGGTCGGCCAACCTCCTGCTTCGATCAAATACGAGATTCATATCAACCTTAAAACAGCAAGAAACGGCCCTGTGATAAAAAACAGCATCAGACTGCCGCATCCCGTCCAGAGCGATTGGCAAATTGCCGTCATTTGCCCCGAGGGTAGCGACATCGCGACTGCTGCCACCGCCGCCGGCGCTGTTGCCGTTGGAGAAGAGACGCTCTTCGAAGCTATCCGCCAAGAAAAGATTGATTTCGACCGCCTGATTTGCCATGAAAACAGCGAAAAGGCCCTGAACAAGGCCGGCCTGGGAAGAATCTTGGGTCCCAAGGGCCTCATGCCCAGCAAGAGAATGAAGACGATTGTAAACGACGTGGTCAAATCCATTCGCGACTCAGCCGGTGCGGCGGACTACCGTGAGAGACAGGGCGTCATTCGAATGGCCATCGGACAGCTTGGCCACACGCCCGACCAGCTCAAGGCCAATATCCAAGCGCTGTTGAAGAAGGTCAAGGCGGAATGCGCCGAGATCTCGGAGGAAGTCTCAAAAGAAGTGCATGAGGTTATTCTGAGCACAACGAATGGTCCGGCGCTGAGCTTGAACGGCAAGCTGAACGAGGCGGAGAGCACGCTTACAGTCGAAGCATTGTCAAGCGTCATGTAATCATTAACGACATATACAAAGTGTACAATATCCAATTGAATGCAAAAAAAGAGAAGGCTAGATGTAACGTTTAATCATGGGGTATCATTATGTTTTGTTTTTATGGTTTGAAATGTAGTGATCATCTACCGCGGAGAACTTTGACAGCCTCTCCTTGCGCGTCAAGAGCTCTATAAACACCAAGATAGCCCATGACTCGACCCTGACCTTTCGTCCCAGCGGCTCTAGCTTCCTTGAGAGCATTGTTCAAATCCAATAGTAGCGTATTCCGGCATTTCGTCAACCGCGCCCTCAGCTTGACGACAAAAGCATTACCGTCATCTAGCTTACCAATCAGTGCCGTAATATGACTACACTCGCGCGCTGAGGCCAACAGCTTCGAAGGCGGACTCCCTATCAGACCCTCGACGGCTTCTTTCTCGAATTCTTCGTCGTCTTCACTATCGTCATCCCAGTCCGCGGTTCCTTTCTTTTGAGGTAGGCTATCCAACGCCAGCGTTTCTTCTAGGGAAGATAGTCGCTCCGATACTTCTAGCATTGCTCGCCCTTGTTCAATATCTGACCGTATGTCTCGCAGCTCGTTGGTAAGCGACTCCGTATCCCTCCTGCGCTCGGAGACCTTTTCTTTAACTTCTTCGACTGCTCTACGAAAGCCAAGAAGCGAAACCTTGACATTTTCGACCTTCTCATCGCCTCCTCGCAGTTCTGAACCGAGTGATAGAAAAGCAGTATAGTTCGAATTGACAAGCTCCAGGAGCTCAGCGCTGATGGTTGCCGTTCGCTCGCGGAGGTCTGATCGTAGGTCTTCAAGGGTCTGGTGGCGATGGGGGAGAGCAGATAGATATGCGGCCGGCTGGAACTCCGTGACTAAGAAATCGGTGCGTGGGAGCGCCGCTGGGAATGGTAATGGCGCATCGTCTTCGGTGTCTGAAGAGTTGGAGGAGCCGAGATTGAAGGTTGACGCATTCTGTCGCCCAGGGCGCCGTGGCAGCGTGAGAGGGAGGGTGAAATCGGCCATGGACGAAGAAAATAGCGACAATTAAGAACCGAAACGCTAATGAATCACTCAAATACAAAGATGCACTGAAAATAGAAGCACTCGCGACATCGCCCTGGATAGAGCGAGACACATGTCAATTGGATCAGGAAGTGGATAGTCTCGACGAGCCGTGATCGCATTGGTGCATAACCCCACTACGAGCATATAGATCTAGCTCGAAGATAAACTGCTGCGTCTCTCAACTACAGCGCCATTCGAAGAGAAAATCCAGTGTTTAAACTTCTCGCTTGATCAAAATGGGCTATGTCATTTCATAACAGTCCGCCCATCTAGGAGTTTGTAAGGAAGCAATTTCAGCCACGCCAATCTCTGGAGCGAACTCAGGGTCTCTAGCCAAAAACCGGCATCAAACGCTAGTAGTCAACAGTTTCTTGCCAATTGAGTTCTCAAGGTGGGCTATTTGAGTCACGATAGACTAATGCCATTAGCATATATTAGGACATTCTCGCCTTTTGCTCTTCGTAATCCGAATACGATCCGAACCCAGACCATCTTCGCTTCATATGTCCCTCCAGACAGCTAGGTCGAGCCTTGGGTAACCTCACGTGCAAGCAGCAGTAGTCGGTGTCTCTAATGGCCAAACAAGGCAACAATCTGTTGAGGGACCCATCCCTCTTAGGTAAACAACGACAATTAACGCAGATTTGCGCAGTTCTCGGTCAAAGGACGTCAAGGTAGATGGAGTAGTGAGACTCATAGCGGGGACATGGACGAGCCGAAGGTATCTGATTGGATTGTTTCATCAAAGGTGGGTGCAGCCTAGTGGCTGATGGCGCGTCAAATTTTTATCAATCACATCTTATCAATCTGTCAAGCCCACCCGCTGTCTCCTAGAATCGGACCATTATGCTGTTAAAAGGCCAGCCGGGTACGCTCGGGACACGAAAAATTCACAACTCACAAATCCCTCTCTGGCTCCCGCCATCTCAATTCTGTCATCTCTACATTCACATCTGTCTTAATCATTACCTCTTCTCATCACCCTCATACAAGACAGCTCTACAGTTATTCGGCCAACTCTCGGTGTAAGGCCCGAAACTACCTCCTGAAGATTGGCCACGTGCGAACGAGACAACGACTACTCCCTCCGACCTCCGCTACTACCGTATAATATCCTGCAACACTACGGAGAATTATTTAAACATTTTTGTAATCAGTTCAACTGCAACCAGACGATAAGGAACCTCGAGCACGTCAACAGATCAACGCCAGATAGAGCCGTTTCCCTGCATAACGGGCCCCAGTTTTTCCTTCTCGGGCTTCCGAGCTGCCGCCGACAGCCAATCACGGATCATCCCTCTCCGAACCCACCCAATTCAGCTCGCACCACTATGGCCAGCATTTCACCAACGACATCTCCTCTTCGCCAGCCAGGATCCAGTGAAACTCCATCGGACTGCAACAAGGGATTGCTTCCTACCGTCAAAGACGAGCCCTCACCGCCTGCAGGTGCATCTTCGGCTCCTGTTGCTCCCAAACGGGCGCCGCTGCCCTCTCACCGAAAACCCGCCGCCCCGCCACAACCCGCCCCATTTGTGCGCATTTCACTGCCTCCAGTCGACAAAATGTCAATGACGGCCGTCATCAGTCCCAATCCTCCCATGGAGCAGCCACAGCCCAAGATGTCCATGACTTCCAAGGAATGGGTTATTCCACCACGGCCGAAGCCTGGAAGGAAGCCCGCCACTGACACGCCGCCAACCAAGCGCAAGGCGCAGAACCGAGCTGCCCAGAGGGCCTTCCGGGAGAGAAGGGCTGCGCGGGTTGGCGAGCTCGAGGAGATGCTGGATGAGAACAAGAAGGTCCAAGATGCACATGAGGCGGAACTAAATGAAAAGATTCGCACTCTGGAGCTGGATGTCCAGTCATTCCGGTCCAGATGCCTACTACTGGAGAGTATGCTGGAGAGAGAGCGCCAAGAGCGCATGAGAGCTGAGATGCAAGCAGAGGCGCTCAATCGCAGATATGACCAGGCCGCTTTCCGATCAGACAGCATGGGTTCCATGTACTCGCAGCCATATGGTCGGCAACAACATCCCCAGCCAAGGCACAGCCTCTCGGACGACCGATTGGCTCAGCAGCATGCCGCAACTCGGCATTTCTCCATCTCACAAATCGTCTCACCGCCAGAGACACTGGACGCTCACTCTCCTCAAGATCTATCCGAGCCTCATCTTACTTGCGGCAGCTGCTCACCAAACGGACACTGCGCTTGTGCCGAGGAAGTTCTCGCATCAGCAGTCAACGGGTGCGGCAAATGTGGATTTGGAACACCATGCCATTGCTTAGACGATGCCACCAAAATATCAGGTCTTGGATCTGACTTGAAACGCCCTATATCTCCCTCGGGGAAAGCGTCTGATGAGAAGCGGCAGCGATCAATGGCTGCTAGTAGCCGGGAAACAGATTTTAGTCACATGTTCTCAAAGCCAACGTCTCAACAGCAGCCTCAGCCGAGCTCCATCATACAGCAACTTCCCTCCACAGACTCTCTTTCATTTAGAGATAGCTCATTTAGAGACAGCTGTGGATTCTGTAAAGATGGAACATACTGTGTGTGTGCGGATACAGCCATGAATGCCCCAACCGTGGCACCAGCCGATGCATCTCCAGTTACAAGACAAACCCGAACACCACCTCCCATGGAGACGGACGTTGTCACCCCGCTTCCACCCATGGCGATGGAAATGACCGCCGATGGAGCAGTCAAGCTACCACGCCGAAAGGAAGCTCGCTCCAAGCCGCAGCCAGAAACCACCGCTTCACGTGGCAGCTGCGGACCTAATGGCCCGGGCACATGCGCGCAGTGTCAGGCTGACCCCAAATCGGGTCTCTTTTGCAGACTGATGGCTGCCAACTTCAACCGCGAGAATGGTGCCAGCTCAGATGGCTGCTGCGGCGGAAAGGGCGCTGGCGGAGGGTGTTGCAAGTCCAAGCCCAGCCAAGAGAAGATTACACTACCTAGCCTACCCAGCCTTGGGTTGAGTTGTGCAGAGGCGTACCAAACACTGTCCAGTCATCGCAACTTTGAGCAGGCTGCCGATGAGATTGGTACTTGGCTGCCAAAATTAAAAGCTCACCCAACACCAAACGATACTCGACCAGTGCCGGCGGGCAGAGTCCCTATAGAAGTAGAAGCCGCAAGTATCATGAGCGTGCTAAAGGAGTTTGACATTCGATTTGGAAGGGAATGTTAGATGGGCGCAGTGCAGTGGTCGGTTATTGCGGATGGAGTTGTACAGCGCCATGTATTATATCACATATATGTTTCTTATTTCGGTAGCATTGTCTTTTGGTTCTCCATCGCATGCATTACCACTTGCGTAATAGCAGCTGACTAAAATTCAACCTGAATTCTGTCACATCTTGTTTTATAATATATTTCCTCAAGTGATATGAATACATCTAGGGTAGTTATTCGATAAAAACGCCAAAAGTTATGCTTATTATGCCATGTCGTGTCTTCACAACAAATGCATCAACAGTAAATACACAAACAAGCCAATAAAGAGAACATTCATCATTCATTCGCCATCAACTTCATATCCACGCTCAAACACTCCCAGCCACATGAAACGAAACTCCCTCTTTTACATCGTCACAAAACCCAATCTCATCCCACCCCCATCCTCCATACCCGTTGCCCTCGACTTACACAAATTCTCCCCATCCACTCACTCTCTATCCACCCACCGATTCCCAAAACATGACTGCCACGCACATGTGCCCTTTTCCCACTTTCGCTTCCCATTAATTCACGCAACCAACGCAGCCAGCCTGGCCGAGTTAAACGGCAAACGTGGAGCAAGATGCGTGGCTGGCTAAAATTGGGTCTTGTCGTATTTACTGCTTCTCTTTCTTTTTTTTTTTTACCAGCCTTATTTTTGTACGAGGAGGGGAAGCTCATCGTGACCAACAGCTGCTTCTAATACGCGAGGCC